TATAATTAGACTTAAGTACGTAGACGAGGAATCGATTAGGCTATCTCTTAGAATCTAAAAGTAAAGAAGAAAGAAAGGAAGGAAGCGCCGGAAGGCAGAGCATATATATAAGCGAGCGGTCACGTAAGTATTTCGTAGCGAGCACGTGACTCTATAACCGTAATAAGTTTAAAATATTATAAAAAGCATTCGAAAGTATTACGGATTAATATAATAAGTGTCGGGAGTATAGCCCAGGGCGCCTCTGACTCGGAAGGTGAGTACTGACTCGGTCGGATAAGGACAATCCGGCGGGTGAGAGTTATCCGCGTGATCTACTGTTTCGGGCCTCCACGTGGGTGTCGAATATTATGCGTACGAGTCAAGCCTCGTACGATACTCTGTATATAGCTGGCTTACTGCCCTTAGTTTTGAGAGCAGACTTAATACCACAGATAGAAGGAATATAACCTCATCGTGGTACGGTCTCATCCAAACGAATCACGTGATTATTAGCTGTATACTGCGTTTCCAACAGTGGCAACAAATATTAGTCTTTTCTTAAAATCCGGTTCAAGGCTCGGTAGTCTACGCAAAATCGTAACCCACCTCTTGGCTTTCGTACGAAGAGAACTAGCGTAGTAGCCAACGAATTGCTTACTTAAATAAACTACTTATTAAGCAAGCTAGTTAGCGTTTTTCGAAGCACTATAAGCTTATCTCGTAACATACTATATAAGAGACCCTAAGGTATAACTAGCTCTTTCCTATCAACCTTTTTTAGCTTGATCGTATAGTCTACACCGAGGCCTCAAAGAAGCGGAAGCTTCTTTGCTTTTGCTCGATTAAACGCCTTTAAAAACTCGAAATAGTGTAATAGTAGTTTTGTGTGAAGATCGGTCTCCTTTTTCACTATAAGAGCCTTTTCGATATCTGCTATTGTAGTAGAGAAAATCTCCGCTTGTCCGCCTACGTGCTTCCTTCTCATGCTTTATACAAACACTATAGCTAAGACTTAGACTAAGTTCAACTTAATAGTTGTAATACTTGTATTCTAGTTTCGTACGCTTGTCTTTTAGCTTCCGATTACTAAAGATAAACGGTCTACACTTAAAAGCACTTAGTTTTTTCGCATCTATAGCAATCCTAAGATCAAATCGTACGATGCTAGTTTTAGTGCTATATAAAAGAACGCTTTCTCTTCAATACACCCATCGATATTAGTTTGTATAACGGCTACTTCCTCTATTTTTCCCGCTTTTTAGTCGCCTACTCCGATTAGCTCTCATAAAGTAATCTTTATACGCATTAAATTATGTTTCTAAGCAAATCGAGAGTCGATCACTCCGTATAATAAGCACCCTAAGTCGACTAAAGTTTTAGTAAAGGCTTTTCTATTCACTAAAGTTAATATTAGAAATAGTAGCTTATTTATCGAAGGTTTAAATTCCTCCTAATCTTATACTACATCTTTTCTTTGCTTTATACTACGCTTTTAGCACAAAGCTACTCGTTTTCCGAGTCGCTATCCTTTTCCTTAGATAACAATAGCTTTGCTTTCTTAGTCTTTATAGCTAAGAGGGACACCTTTTATAAAGATTCTTCTTCGTATAACTCCTCGTAGTCTCGTACGATGTGTCTAGCTTTTCCATACTTATAATAAGTGCGCTTCTCCTTCTTCGACTTTTTTGCGTCCTCTAGTCTTTAAGTGCTCTTTATCCTCTCCTTTTATATGGCAGCTAGTTGGGTTGTCTTTATCGGCTCCTATTCTATTCGATTAGTAGCTACTAGTAGGTTGTCTTTCGGGTAGAAAGTCGGTCTCTAGCTCGCCTTTTCCTTTAGACGCATAGATTCTAAATTCCGGCTCACTATATGTAATTAAGTATAATAATCTACGTATGATACTAGTGTTGGGGTTGCTAGGAGTGTTTGTCGAATATCCATTGAAAGTCCTCGAGTTAGAAACGCTTTTTTTATTGTATTATTCTACGAAAGGCCTCCGGCTTTAAGCAGCGTTCGCTTAAAGCGGGCTAAATACTTCGAAAACGATTAGGTGCCTTGTTAAAAAGTATCTAGCTTCCGTACGGCTCGTTCCACGGATTTTAGGTCGTCAAACGTGTTCCGAAGTTGTATAAAGATTCCTTCTAAGGCTTGTTCATCAATCGGTGCCTTAGCTGTTGATTGGGCTAAAACCTAAGGGGTGACTTATCCTAGGGCAGCGCCCTTAAGTCGGCTATAGACGTACTAAAATCGTACGTTGTGAGGCTTATAGCTTATGTCGACCGCAAGCTTCGCCCGCATCTAGTCTAGCTATAGTCGAAACCTTGATCTTAATCCCTCAAACATCTCGGAGTCGGATAGTCGTTTGCGTTGTCGTTCCGTACGCAATAGTCCAAGCAAATCGTCTATCGTCGATTGAGCTCCACTTTAAGTGTTCGATCGACCTTCTAGATTTTGTATCGGATTTAGCATCCCTAATACTAGGGTAGACGCACTCTACACCTTAGCGTTCGAAGTCAATTGTGCTACATTTGGCATAACCGTCGATACTAGTGTAGCGATTCTCGCTAATTCTCTCGTACAAAGCTCGATAGCTTCCATTTGTTGAAGAAAGTGCTTTGCCCAAGATGGAACCTTATCCGTTATCCCTCTAAATGCTTAGCTTACTGTTTCCGAAATCTCCGGTGTGTCTAAGTTTATTATCTCGTACGACTTAATCGATAGGCGTACAATAAACTATTAAGACAGTTTGATCGAGTAAAGTGAGTTTGTTCTAATATCATAGGTTAGTAGTGCTATGCTTAAGCAAATAGTTTCCCTAAATACAAGAAGAACAAACTAAAGAGAAAAGTCTACTCTTAGACTCTCGTACGGTATTATATACATTGTTCTAGCTATGTATCCTTTAGTTGCTAATAGCAACGCAGGTGCCTTAGGCCTTTGGGCACTAAGTCTTTGCATAAGTCTCAACCCGTTACAATTTTTTATAATAAATAATATATTTATTAATTTAAATTTTTTTTATAAAATAATTAATTTAAATTTTTAATTTAAAGCATTATAATTGCGTAATAAAGAAATAATTATTCTTAGATTTTATGTCACGATCACGGGACCCATGGGCCATAGGCCCAGTGAGCGGGGGAACCTGACCACGTGATGGAGTCCGAGGGAGTCTGATGGACTCCCCGGGACTCCTGGACTCCAGGGAAAGACGGACTCCAGCACACGGAGAAACTATATAACCACTCAACTTCACTCGTTAGATAGGAGCTCGTGCTCAACTTGATTATTATTCTTGACTTCAATACTATTGCCGACTTTACTTCATCTACCATACCAACCCACGTGACCTTACTTCCAGGTAAGGCAGGAACCGTGACATTTTAATAATTTAAAAAAAAAAGTTCGGTTAATTTTGACGTGGTGTCACGAGTTATGCAATCTGCTATGCAATCGGCTGTAGTGTCGGTGGGCTAGCAGCACTCGATGACTGCAACCTCACGGTCCTCACCAAAATGTGGGCCGTTTCCATAAATCAATTCTGCACAGAAAAATAGAAATCTCGAGATGGTTCATGGAATCCCGTTGTTTTTTCTCAGCTGCTGTTCTTCCAGTGGCGTCGTCGTTGGACCAACACGACATCTCAGATATGCGAGCACCCGCTCAATCCAGGATCTCAGACCTTGGCCAAGCCCCTTCACCAGAACTCGACAACTTCAAACGGGTAGAATGAGAAATCGCATGCGATGCGTGTTGTCCAACAACTCAAAGCCAGAAAGCAAACGAGTACGTGCAAGTACGGCGAATAGAAGTCCAGTGTTGCCGTTTGCGTCAGTCACAACGCAGAACTCTCACACCGCACATATGCCGTCAATCGAGAGCAAGATTGGCTTTGATGACTTCCGAGGCGTGTAAATAGTGTGAGCTGATGCCTGTTCCTCGTGCAAACTGGATTCATATGCCTAGTAGAATCTGACGGATTCGAAACACTCGTCGATGTTGCGCGTTTGCATGGATGTCCAACTTCTGTAAGTCTCGGCATAAGTTTCTAACTGAGTACGGGTGTAGGCAGGCGCACAAAAGCATGCAGAACATATGCGTCACAATTTCTTCACGCTCGGATGCAAATGTTTCGGAATCAAATTCAAGAAATCGAATCTCGAATTAACCCGAGAGCAAAGCCCTGCTATCTAGACACTTTTCAGGGCTTAAAGGAACTTCATGATGCTACTGATATCAATAAGCACTTAGTGTCTCTTAATCTTGCTGCTGAGAAAAGAAAGCACTCACATCAAGGATGGAGATATCACTTCTTCATACTTTCATGCACGATCGATCGCCTTCAAACGAATATGACCCCATGCTGGCTCTATATGTGTGTACCCGCTGACCGCTGAAAATCAATGACTCCCCTTCTTATTGTCCGTTGCACTGAGATGAAGGAAGAGTTGCATATAAGAAGCAAGGTGACCCCTCTGCTTCACCAAGACTGTCATAGCCTCATTTTGGTGCCTTGATATCGACCAACCACTTTCCCATCGCTATGGAAACTCCCAACTCAATGCCTCTTCGCGGCAAGAAAGAGAATTCTGCTACCCTTGCAGATCCGGTCATGCTGGAAAAGATCGACAAGCTTTTTGCCTGCAATGTTGGCAATTACATTGATCTTCCCCAAATTGTGGTTGTTGGGGATCAGTCCAGTGGAAAGAGCTCGGGGTTGGAAGGCTTGACGGACTTGCCGTTTCCTCGAGACAGTACATTGTGTACTCGGTTTGCCACTCAGATCATCTTCCGACGATCATCAACAAGCAAAATCAGCGCCTGGATTATTCCTGCCAAGTCAGCCACAACAGAACATATAGAGCAGGTACGAACATGGAGCAAAGAGATCGAAACCTTGGACCAAAAGACCTTCACAGAGATTATGCACGAGGTATGTACCTAAGGATGTTTGGTTCAAGCCATGCTAAGATTTGCAGGTTCATAAAATCATGGAAATTTCCAATTCGGATGACCCAGGTCGTTCGAATACTTTCTCGGAGGACGTCCTGTGTCTAGAGGTATCTGGACCCGAGCAGCAGCACTTCAGTGTGATCGACGTTCCGGGAATCTTCAAGAGAACGACGCAGGGGGTTACCAACAAAGCAGATATGCAAATGGTCAAGTCTATGGTGCAGGGCTACATGGAGAATCCGCGATCTGTCATTCTTGCCATCATTCCTGCCAACGTTGACATCGCTACACAAGAGATTTTGGAGATGGCAGAAGAAGTTGACCCGGAGGGACAGAGAACGCTTGGTGTCTTGACCAAGCCTGATCTTGTGGACAAGGGCACTGAGTCTGGTGTGGGCGACCTTATCGAAGGTCGAAAACACCAGCTGAATCTAGGATGGCACTTGGTGCGAAACCCGGGGCAGCTTGAGCTGTCTGACCCGACTTCTGACCGACATGCACTTGAGAAGGGCTTTTTCGAAACAGTAACGCCGTTCAACAGGCTGGCAAAGGATAGGGTTGGCATCCCAGCCCTAAAGCTACGTCTACAGGAGGTCCTCGCTACTCACACCCGACGTGAGTTTCCGAAAGTAAGTAACTTATCCAACAGCTCAAACATCTCAGATCTCAGCTACAGCTACTGACCGACCCGCTCAAGGTCAAAGCAGAGCTTAACAAGAAGCTCAAAGACTGTAGAGCCTCACTTTTAAGCCTTGGTGCAAGTCGAGACACGACATCTGATCAGAGGGAGTACTTGATGGATATTGTGACTCGCTTCCAGAAAGTTACCTCACTTGCACTAGGTGCCAGATACTGGGCAGATCAGATCTTCAATGGACATCCGAAGCTCTGTCTAGCAACACGCATCGTGGGTTGCAATGAGACTTTTTCTAAGGCAGTCGAGATGCTAGGGCATACGTACGAGTTCGAGGTTAGCAGCACAATTGGTGGCTTGGATGTATCTGAATCGGAAATTGAGGGACGCGATACTTTTCGCACGAGAGCCATTGAACCACACAACGATATCGAAGACATCTTATGCGAGGAGGATGAGCTCTCTGTACCTTTGAAACATGGGATCCACGACTGGCTCACAAGTGTCTACAATGAGTCGCGTGGGTTTGAACTCGGGACATTTGATCCGTCGCTTCTTGCCATCACTTTGACGAAGCAATCGATGAAATGGGACAGTATTGCCTTGGGCTATGTCAGTGATGCCGCGACCATCGTACACAACTTTATCACCGATCTGCTTCAACTTGTCTGTCCTGACGATCGCGTTCGAAACGGGTTGATGTGTCTATTGATTGATGAGCTACTCGAGCGGTACAAGAGAGCAGTCGACCAGGTAAAGTTTGTCTTGGAAGTCGAGAAATCAAAGCCAGCAACGCAGAATCACTATTTCAATGACACTCTCGAGAAATGGTATGACCCCACTCCCTGACTGGAAGCTCTTTCTGATTGCTATACAGTCGACAGAAGCGGATGCAGGAAGCAATGTCCAAGAAATCTTTTGACGACTGCACACACGGTTCTGTAGTCCGACTCGACGACATCATGGTTCATCATCCAATGAGCAACGTTGAGCATACGGTACAAGATCTTCACGACATTCTACGTTCCTACTACCAAGTTGCTTGGAAGCGGGTAGTGGATGTGATCTGTATGCAAGCAACAGAATACCATCTCATGTCCGGACCAGCAACCCCATTGAGACTCCTCTCACCATCCTTTCTTGGCAAGATGACATCGGAGCAGATGGAGGAGATTGCAGGAGAGGATGCCAGGCAAAAGCGCCAGCGAAAGCAGCTCCAGAAGGAGATTGAAGAACTTGAGAAGGGTAAAAAAATATTGATGTGAATGTGTTTTTTTTAGTTTGCTGGTCTCTGGTATCGCGATGAATAGTCTCTATGAATTGTTTTGCTGGGATGGCCGTCCAACATTGATTGACCATGATATTATGTCACCGCTTACCAAACCACAGAAGTCTGTTCTTTTTCTCATCCTCCCTTTCTATATTCCCTTCTCCTCTATCTATCATCTCTTCTCCGTAGTCTTTTGCATTTTTTTCTTCGAGATTTTAAGCCACTGGAGAAGAGGTGGGTGCGCAACAGCTATGCTTGGATTTATGAGGGTGAAAGAGGTTACTTTGTTTCTATGGAAAGAGCTCTTATTTAAGGCGCTTGAGCTCGCTAGTGCTACCTAGGTACTATGGCGTTAAATAAGAGCACATGACTAGAATAACCACGAGACAAAAGCTAGCATTTAATACCGTAAGGTTAGTAGCCATTCTATTATTTTGAGCATTAAGAGTGGATGAAAATTGAAAATCAACTCAAATTCGACATGACAGAAGTGTCAGAATATGGTATCGAGAGCTTACAAACAAAAATATTTTAACTCCACAAGTCAATTCCAATTTACTAAAAACGAAATAACTAACAAAGAATTGCATGTAAATTTGTATGACTTTGACTTCTCTTGGATTTTCTCTCCTTTGTACTCGACAACCAAGTGCTGCTATAGTAGGCTTTAGGTCTCTGGATGAAAGCCATGGTCATGAAATATAATATCTCCTTTGCCCGCTTCCTTCTCGAGTGTGTGCACGCAAGCTTTGGAATAGCATCCATCATTTCCTGGTTCGCACAAACTAACGAGGTTAGAGAGGTATTTTGAGTCTGTTTTTACCAACTTACCAGAGATCAGGGTGCGCGCTCGAAGCTGGTCTTGGCCCTCGAGATTGGCCAACTCCTGCTGAAGAGTGGTAGCCATGTTCAATGACCCGGCCTCCCATCTTTGACGATCTCTCCTTGATTCACTAAATGTCTCTGTCATCCCTAGGCCATGGCGAACGAACATGATATACCGAAAAATCTAGCCCACTAATGTGAGCATCATTCAACTCAACTCAATTAGGTAACCAAATCGACTCCTTGCATGCGGCCAATCTGGTGCTTCTTTCTGACATCGATCTCCATCCTGGTCGAGAAGCTGATGCGCCGTTTTGATTGCCATATCCCACCACTCAATCTCGTCGACCTCCCGGAGGAGGCCAATTACCCGGTGTTAGTAGGCCCCTGATCTCGAGCGTCCAGTAGCTGCTTGATACTACCCAAGTGGGCTGTTATGCCAATTCCTGATGAGAAGAAGATGAAATTGCCATCATTTCCTGATAGAGGTGAATGGCCGTACGGCCCTTCAACGAAGGTTCTTACCGTCGTGGGAATTGCTCGAAGTCTTCGAGTAAATCCGCTCATGCGCTCTGTTAGGACGGTAATGATCCTGGCATTGCCATTGCCATCATTCTCCTACGATGATATGAAAAACGGATGCGATTCATGAAAAGACCGAAGGGACGTAGCTATTCGCAAGTTCATATACTGGCCGGCATGAATCTTGCATGGTTCCTCAGACGGAGCTCTGCAAGAAGAAGCTATTCTCTTTAATAGTATTGACATCCGCCTTCATCCAAAAAATTACTTCCAGGCGATTTGTCATTATTACAACAACCACCAAAACTAACACGATCATTAAGATTGTTGAGAGGCTGGAAATATTGAGTGGTTGCAGATGCATAAAGAGCACTACTATGGCGAAGATGGTCCCAATAAGGTGAGCTGTGAGAAACAATTCATAGACATGTCGACGAATGAATGGCAATGAGAAAACTCCCGAGGTAGCTAAGCAAATGGCAGACTATATAGTCTTAGCCTCGCCACTTGCTGAGATTGAGGTCAAGAATGAGGAGATTGAGGTATTGAAGGAGGAAATTGCTGGACTGGAGGACAAGCTTTGGGGCCAGGAAGAGCTGATTGAAGTTCCTTAGGAGAACCTTGATGACTGGTGAGGGAGATGTTGCATATGCATTTGCCTTACCTAAGCACCTTGTTTAGTCTGTCGTTGGATTGTAATAGATTACCAATTCACTGAATTTCGCTCATCTGTACTATACTCGAAGGTCGATAGTGTAAGCTCAGCTGCGCCATTATGGCCGCGCATTTTGGCCTATCACATGTCCTCGGAAGTCGAGGCAGGCTACGTGGTGCATCTCGAACTGCTTCGCGTCCCGGAGTAGCAGATGGAAGTGGTCTTTGAAGTACTGCGTTTCTCGGAACTTCATATGAGCATCAACACTCGTCCACCCAATAAGCACCACCGCTGCCTTGCCCTTGACGCCCTTATGCATCAGATCCTGATACGTGATTCCCGCCGCCAAGTCCATAAACCCCGGGATCGCAGTCGAGGTCCCGCCCTTGGCCCCGAGGCAATGCTGGGCGAATGTCACGACAGCATCGAGGTAACTGGCGGGTGGTGCGCCGTCGAAGTAGAAGGTCAACACCTCGGTCACCGGCGCCGCGAGGACGGTGCTGAGTTTGCTGGCGGGTTGGAAGTCGATATGTATTACTAGTAGGTTACCTTCAAGTATGCTCAGGAATTGTTGGCAGAATGGGCCATATGCGTCGGTGGCACGAAAATCATCATGGTTCTTCTTTTCGTCCCAGTCTGTGGAGTTATTCTAATTATTTGAAAACATGATGTGAATCCGGAGTAGGACGCCTTACTTTTACTTACCGACGAATAGTTCTAGATTCCTCGCATTCTCGACCCACGTACCAAACTTGATCTCCTGTGCGCCTGGTTGCTGTAAGACGGTGAGTAGGCAATCCCTCAGAACGTCTGCCGCGTTGTGATTTGAATTGCCAATATCGTAGCCCGGCTTGAGAGGAAAGACGCATAATTCGGTACACGGCGGCGACATTTCGAGACGGATTGCTGCTAGATTGATCGATAGTTACCTAGTCGAGTAATAATGCGACAGCGCGAAAGTGAAAGGGACTGAAATCTAGGCAGGTACAGTAAATGGTTTGCTAATGCGCTGCCTTACGGGGAAGGGGGCGTTGGGATGGGATAGGGGAGGCTTCGGCTCCTAACCTATTACAGGGCAGGGCATATTGCTAGCTGCTAAATCAGCAAAAGGGCGCTGGGATGGGGGGAGAAAGACAGCAGCACAAGCTACCCTACCTCTACCTAGGCTTCGGCTCCCTATTCCAGGGGCATATTAGTGCAGTGCCAACTGCCAAATCAGCCGAGATCGTGCCCTGCAGTGCCCTGCCCGTGCCCTGCCCTGTTGGAGATCATCCCCAGGGCCAGGGCGCCGGAGTCATTACCTACCTACCTACCTACCTACCTACCCTAAGGTACGTACCTAGCTAATTCGGACGCAGGTTCGGCCGCTAGTCTCCGAATGCTCACGCTCCCGGTCGGGATTGGTCATACGTGGTTTGTAATGCGCAGATGTGAATTTGGGGATCGCTGAGCGTACTATACCATCCTTCCCGTTCCGTTCCCGTTCCCGTTCCCGAATGCTGCTGCTCCGTCCCCGTCCCGGCATTTCTCTCCTCTCTTTTTACTTTCCGAAGTCCTCGATGTCCTTCGTTTTACCCAAGCCACTCCATACCCAAATCCTGATTTCGCCGCATTCCAATCCACATACATGGATACTAAACGTGGGATCCGGGGTGACGTTGAGCAAAATGGGAAAGAACAACAACATCAAGTACTACTACAACAACAACAACAACAACAACAACAACAACTCTTCAGCCTTCCAAAAGACCCCATAGCGATCGACGACAGCGACGACAGCGACGACGACGGCGCGGGCAGAATCGATGGAGGCTTTGATGCCTGGCTAGTTTGAGCGGGAGGATGGTGTTGCTCACTCGTCAGCCCGGGCTGGGCCAACTGTGAGTTCTCTGCCTCCTCGATGACCTTCCACTTCCGAGTTTTTTTTCACTCTCGCTACTGTATTGATCTCGGCGGCGATATGTTCAATATGTTCAATATGTTCAATTCGCTAACAACTGCAATTACCTCTCAGCCGTGGGTATCTTCCAGCAATACTACCAGGCGGGTCCCCTGAAAACCTACTCTGCTAGTACAATCGCGTGGATCCCGTCACTTCAGATCTTCTTCCTGTTCGCCATGGGGCCACTCGTCGGTATTCTGTATGATAAATATGGAGCGCGAACTCTCATCCTCGCGGGCACACTGCTTCACGTTTTCGGGCTCATGATGGCGTCTCTGGCAACGAAATACTATCAATTTCTCCTGTCCCAAGGAGTGTGCAGTGCTATCGGATTTGCAATGATCTACCCGCCTGGTGAGTTCGATTTCCTGACCACCATACCATTGCCGCTTGCTAACTAGGTATGTGATAAAGCAATCAGCAGCCTTGCCACCTGGTTTGTGAAACGGCGTGGATTCGCTATGGGCGTCATGGTGACGGGCTCGTCAGTCGGTGGCGTTATTTTCCCTATCATGATCAGTCGCATGATTGACAGCGTGGGATATCCTTGGGCGATGAGGACTGCGGCATTTCTCATTCTTGGTGTGCAAATATTTGCTGTGTTTACAGTGCGCCCGAGGACGAAACCCGTGGCCCGCAAGATATCTTTCAGTCACTATCTTACGCCCTTCACCGAGTACCCATTCGCCCTGTTGCTGCTGGGACTCTTCTTCCTGACTTTTGGCATCTACCTTCCGGTCGTGTACCTAGCATCTTCAGGGTATCAGGTGGCCCATATGTCCCAGGAAATGGCCCAATACTTGGTCCCTATTTTTAACGCCGTGAGGTAAGCTGACACTCATCTATGCTGTTGGCACTCGCTGATGATTCAATCTCTTGAAAGTCTCTTCGGCCGTCTCGTTCCTGGGTATATTGCCGACAGGATCGGCAGATGGAATACGTTCATCATCGCCTGCGCTTTGTGCGGAGTCTCAGAGCTCGCCGTCTGGCTTGTTGCAAAGACGTCGGCCAAGATGATCGGTTTCGCCGTCTTCTTTGGTTTCATGTCGGGAGCATTCACAAGTCTGTCTGGCGCTCTGCCTATATCGGTGTCGCCTGCGGGCGAGATCGGCTACCGCTTGGGACTCACATATTTGGCTTTCTCGATCCCCGGCATTACTATGGGAGTCATTGGCGGTCCAATCATCGAAAGCTCATCGTTCGGTTGGTCGGGCGTGGAGCTATTTGCGGCGCTCACATGTTTTGTCGGGTCTGCAATTACGTTATATTCGAGATGGCTCTACACCAACAAGAAGTTTTTCGAGAGATTTTGAGGAAGGCGGAAGAGGCACTCCGGATTTACTGATGGCGACGTGGTAGAGTGTGGACAATTTCTGCAGAGTAAGAGGAATTTTATCACACTCGGCAATCTGCACTTTTCCACCCCGATCACCAACTCCATTCAGAATGTCAGCAAGACACAGGAAAACGTATTGAGCAGAAGAACATAGCGGGAGGATAGGGCGGGACAATGCCAATACGAAGTACTTCGTATTCCAGGCGCACGGTTGCCAAATGGACTGATTGTCACTTCCGTAAGATTCAGGTTACTTTCGGTCGGCTGATAAGCCTCAATCTTATGCAATAGCCGGGAATAGTTCTCCGCAAGCTTCGAAATCCCGGCAGGGGAAGGGGCGCCCCACGTGATCGCAACGCCGTCGGCTTCAATCCTTGCCAAGAGGCTCCCAGCAACCAAACTGTCGGGATTTGTGGCTTTGTGGCTTTGCTCTTGTTCGATCACGTGTCACTCACTCAGACCATCAGCTAAGGTACCTACCTACCTAGGTAGGGTCAGGGTCGCACAATTACACGGTGAGCAGAAATGCAGAGCGCAATCATTCCGCTGTAACCTTATATTGTCACATCATCGTTGCTGGCGAGCTACCGGGGCCCGGTCAGACATCTTGTACTCGGAACTCCGTCGCGATTAGCAGAGGAGATGTGTCACCCCTCTCACTGCTCCCACACCACGCTCAAATCCTTCCAAATATTTGGTGAGGCGTGTGTCATTTGTGTTGCTCTTATTTTCATTCTGATGTCGTACGGTTCAAGTGAGTATAAGTAGTATAGGTCTTGTGGTGATTACGCGGTTGTGAAGTCTGTCGGGCCGGACCGATCCTCTTCTTTGCTCGTCTATACTTCCAACTTCCCAGGTTCTCTGCCTTTCAGCCCTATTGATTCCTAGCAATCCCAGGCGTCTGCAGCGCACGCTTGAAATTACTGATACGAGATGACCTCACTTTAGTAAGCTGCATAAGTGCTTATCTCCAACGATATCGGTCGATAGCTTCAACATACTCAATTGGCTAAAGTTATAGACCGCTCGAGACCGCTTGCGTGTTTCAGTACATATCATCTTCCTATTCAGTTGGACTGTGCCTTTTTTTTGGACCTTTGTACTGACTCTCGCTAGTTTTAAGGCTCACATTTGAGTCGTTTTGCAGCTCTGCAGTACAGCAACGCTACTGTAAATTACAGTGCAAGGGCCCTGGAGTCTGGTTATATAGTGGGTTTAAAGCACGAGCAGAAATAGTTATTTGCAAATCTACAGCATCGTAACAATGTTAGATACCTCAGATCTGAGTCCAAAGCACGTATATTACTTTTAAAACTATCTCGAAACCTACAGAGCAGCGTATATCGTGAAAAGTCCAAAAGCACTGGATTGCGACAATTTCGCAGAATTCTGTAACCTAGGGGTAAGACATTATCTACGCCGCACCGCAACATAGCCAAATGTAGTAACTGTTTCAGTTCGCTGCAAAGTTGCAAAATAACCCAGTTACTTGGAGGCTTACTCGCAGGCCCTCTGAAATATTCCGTTCAAGAGTTAAAGGATGGTTTATTGCTCCATTACGTGCTCTGGCTGATTCTCTCAAGTTGGAGCTCTCAAACTACTGCCATGATACGACGTATCATTGATCGTTATCCTACAGTCCAAGGGATCGTGTAGATGTCCTCATTGTATTACGAGTACCTCTCCATGTTCTTCGCCAGCTTCGGTGATTGCATCTGTACCAGACTATACGGCAAGATCCCGTGCAACCTGGTTGGGCTCAGGAAGAACAGGTTACGACTCACGCCAGACTTCTACCATGGTAGACGATGTGGTCAGGCGAAGTGCCTGTGATCGGTGCCGACGATAGAAACTTCGATGTGTACGTCCGGGACCCGATCAATCTTGCGAGCGATATCGAAAATCCCACACCAACTGCTGTACCAGCGATTCGGCGTCCCGCCATGGATCCAGTATTTCAATGAATAGCGGGTCATTGCAAACAAGTCAGTTGTCTTGCTATGCCTCATCCGCCGATTCAGAACTCTCGTCGAGACTAAGTCCGGTAACTTCAATCAATATCTTCCAGGATGGAATTGACCAACTACCCCCAGAAATTCGCAACATGATCGGGCCGGATCTAGACATGACCTTTCAGACCCAACTGCAGAATTTCGATGGCTTCTCGAATAATCAGAATACTCTACCAACCGAGCTCTGGGAGCAATTTGGCCAGAGCGGTCGGACTCAGACTTTACCCACTATCGGCTGCTTTGACAACAATTTTCTTGACAAGCTGTTCCAAACGCCTACCATTCCTTCGTCTGCCGACGAGTCTTCAAGACCTACGTCAAACGCACAATCGCCCACAAGGACTACAAAAGGGGTTCGAACAGACAACGAGATTCTGGGCCATACTGCTATGCTCTCGAGCATGCCTCAACACCAGAGAGCCATAGAGGCTTCTCCCGTTCATAGCGGGCAAATGTCAAGCGAGCTTGCCAGCCCACATACAAAATCTGTCTCCTCCGAAGACATCAAGCTCTATACGACACAGATCCTCGACTTGCACAGACGCTCGACAAGAGATGCTGATGAATACATGGCGACCCGACACTCCTCGCCCGATATCTAGCGAGGCCCGCTCGTACACTCTACTCACTACGATTTTTCAGAATGAAGTGCCCGCCAGTGCCCGCCACTTAAGCCCTAAAACACCAGAAATCTTAATTTTTGCGACGCAATTGACTAGCAACTTGTATTATTGTGGTTGATTACTTAGTATATAAGTTTTAATTAATAAAATAATAATTGTAAAGTCCTTATTATGTACTGCGATACTAGAATTTCTTGAAGCCTAAGGCAGTTATGCATGCGCAGCTTGCTTAGGTGCAATTAGCTTAATAAACTTGCACCACGGGTGTGATTGCAGTACTGGATAATCTAACCCCCATGTCACACTAAGCCAAGTACTGCCTCAGGCTTCAACACCTCTAGAGTTTCACTTGCATGTAGTGAAAGTTTTTATTATTTCTAACATTAATTATAGCTAATATAAGCTGCTATATACTATGCGACTTATTGCACCCACGTTGCATGGCCAAAAAATTAGTAATTTTGGTGCTCTAAAACCGGGGTAGTGGGCACTTCATTCTGAAAAATCGTAGTGAGTAGAGTGTACGTAGGGGCCTCGGTAATATCGCTGCGAACATGAACACAGAATCAATGGAATCTCGTGCAGCAGCCTCGAGGCATTTTATCACAACATTGTTCGGTGACTCCCAAACCTTTCTTGCGATCCTTCGTCATGTGCAGGCTTGCGTTCGGACTTCTGTTACCCAACCCGATCCAGAAAATCCGTGAAGACTGAAGTCTCGAGCAGATGACTCGCTGGGACCTTGTCTCGGAAGCCCGAATGCCATGGAGTCCGAAGAGTCGTCGTCGAGACCCTCTTTCACCGACAACATCATTGGCCCGCACGCTCTCTTACGATCATCTCCTACTATGCGCACATAATACACGCATACAATACCGTTTTCCAGGACATCCTCATTTTCATGGGAGACGTTGCCCTCGGAAACCTGCCTGCGACTTTGCCCCTCTACATACCTGAAATTGAAATCGGGGGTATTCGGCTCATGGACCAACCCGGACTGCAGCTTGAGTCTCTACTCAAAGCGAGCTCTGTTATCTTGGAAAGTATCGACGATAGTCTTGGACTCGGTGCAACAGCTTCGAGCAACGGATCATCGAGTGGCGCTCAGCCACAGGGCTTACTACTGGATGCTCTTCTTGGCCAGAGTGATCTCGTGTACCAGAAGGCTGATGGGACAAGGGAGGCACGAGTAAAGCAAACCATTAGTCAGATCCATCAATTCTTGGACTCGGCTCGCAAGTGAGAGAGTACGGGTGTGTAATCCTGAAATCGATCCCCCTTAGAGCTTCCAAAATGGTTTGTATTAGATTTGAGGTTATCACTGCTACAACATAGATAGATTAGATGATTCATATCTCAGTTGGCATTCAATACCATACACATGTTGTAAACACCTTTGAGAACACTGGGAATGTGAATGCACGTAGGAAGAGACTGATTCTGACCATTGGAATCTGAGAGTGGCTAGTATTTGGAGCTACTTCTTCCCTCCTCGAGAAACTCTTTTCGTGCACACTCATTGCCAGTCTCTCCTTATGCCTTACGAACATGGGGACAAAAGTCCGTGCGTTCAGGGCATCAGAATCATGAATTTTATTAATTAATTAGCTGTAGACCAGCCACATCGCTTAATTAAGTCGTGTACCCAGAAGTCCTGCTGCTCAATAAGCCCATTGATCCATTCCTGAGGAATTTTGTCCCATTCTTCTAATACTGCTACAACCATTTGAACCTCAGTTGTTGGCTGCCTTAGGCGCCTATGGAGAGCTTGTTTTATTCTCCTCCAGCACTTCTCAATAGGATTCATATCAGGGCTAACTGCAGGATGGGGGAATAGAGTAATACCCATAGAAGTACGCCAAGTAGCACAAATATTGCTAGTAGTCTTGTGGCCGTGAGCAGAGTTGCCGTCTTCCATGAACTGAGGGGTCTTCCCAGGCCCCAAAACAGCCGCAAAAGCAGCTAAAAAATCCTGAATATAAGGCTTGAGTACTTGAGCAAGGTAATCAGTTTGTGTAAATGCCCCACTCTTCCCAGTTCCATGAATGTTGATCAATAGACTTTTGTATCCGTAGCCTACAGCACCAAAGAAGTGTACAGGAATAGTGCCACCTCTATGCATTTGGAATTGAATGCAGTCAGGATGACAGCGTTCCTTCTTATTCCTAATACACCTCTGCTTGCATTTCTTCCCTCCAACTTGAAATGTGACCTCATCTGAGTACAGTATCTGACTCCATTCCCAAATAGTCCAAAACATGTGTGCTATCCCCCACAGCCACCCCGCATTGGCTTGGGTCTTAGTGAGGTAGGGCTTTTGGCAGCAGATACAAGAGTAGTATCCAGCTTCTTTGCAGCGGCGTTTGAGGGTCTTGACAGAGCAAGAGAGTTGCAATTCATCGTGTATTTGGATCCAATTCAGCACTCTAGTTGCATGGTCGGTGCAAATATACTCAATAATATCTCTAACCTCCTGTTCATTGAGGGATTCTCTGGGTCTCCCTGTGCGTGTAGGGCGCGCTCTTTCAGGCATATCGTATAGTAGGATCTTCCTAACTGTGCTGTCTCCTAGGTGGTAGTAGCCCTGGAGCTGTTGCAGGCCTATTTTAGCGAATTTGAAGAGCCGGCGTATGCCCTCTTTGTGCTTGGTTCTGATCTCTGCACCTGGGAGACGTGGAGACATAGGTGGAGTGGTAAAAGGATCCATAATGGTGGAGTTGTTGATAGTTTAGTCCTAATGTGAAGAGTTTTAATTTCGAGGTTCTACAGCCTGAACGCACGGACTTTTGTCCCCATGTTCGTTAGCAATTCGACTCTATCAACCCTGCTTACAATTACCGCGATATATCACATCTGCCGTAGCAATTCGAGCGCTACTAACACAACAAAATGTAATCAGCGAGGAATCACGCAGAGATGCTCGTCTTGAGAATCGACCTCAAAGTCGAAGCGTATCACATCGCTGGCAAGAGGATAGATGTATTTGGATGTGAGTCTTAGAAAAATGTTAGCGGCAAGACTTTCAAACTGGTAAAGCCCCATAGTGGCAAGATGGAGGCGTTTCATACTGTTCGTATTCATCGCTCGCATAGTAGGCGTTCAATGCCTCCTTTCCAGTGTGATAGCTCACCGACGCAATGTCGAATGATGTGCTGCTCATTGCATAGGGTTGCGCCACAGATGGACCGCCCGCGATTAGGCGACCATCGATAACGGACGGAAATGTTTTGGCAGCTTCTCTGAGGTCGCGTTTGAATTGCTCCTTCTGCTCGTCGGTTACTTCAGGTTTGAAGGTAATCATCACTGAAGTGAGTGCGTATTAGCGGACGAAAGAAGCAACAAAGAGCTCGTTCATGATTCGATGTCGGGAGTGGATCTGGCCTGGCTTACCAATATGAATAAGCGTCATCTTAAAGAACTCGACCGGAGTGCTTCGCCTAATCGTCCAATTTGGGTCTATCTCACTGTTGACGTCTCAAGAGTGGAGGACAGTGTTGCAAGATATAAATCAGGTCTAGAGTTGGGCTTGTTTCAATAGCACGTCCAACCCGAAGCGTGTATGCAGAGACGACGCTGCTCCTACACAACGCATCCGATACGCCGAACCATGTCGGACTGCCCCCGACCGACATTATTTCGCTCGCTAACCTGTTGAGCCCCGACCCGTCCACCGATATGACCTCCGATCCCTCAGGCCGGTACTTTGAGACCCCGCTGTAAAGACGCCTTTTCACATGCGAGACATGTGAGGAATCGAGGTGAGAAGGCTGAAAAGCATGATCCAGCCTTGGACCCTTATTTTTAGCGTACCCACAATGTAATATTAGAAGAGCTCTTATAAGAGTTTTCCCTTCTGTGTAGACAATCTAAATCTTCAACGAGTAATAGTCCTCGACGTTATCTCGTGCCTTGACAAGACATATACTGTAGGATCTGACAACCGATGAGCTCGAAAGTAAACAGCTGGATTTGCGTTCCATTACCACATCGAAGCGTCTTGATTTCAGGACAGACATTGGGTCGGCGTGCTGACAAAGAACCTAAAGATCTGCAGCCAACAATGATCAACAATGATCAATTCTATCCGGGTGATATTGGGCTGTAAGGCATTAATACCACTAGATCGAGTTGCCCCATTCATTTGCGTGTATTGAATTCGAATTCAATAACTGCTAGACTATCTCTATTGAATCTCTAGGTCTATCGCTGGTGCAAATGCATATATCCGAAAAGCTTTGCTTCCCAAATTTGAACTGTCACTAGTTTATGTAATTCCCAACAATCTACGAAATCCTCAAAACACCAGGCGCCGTTTCAAGAAGTCCAACTGGCGCTCAAGAATGCTCTCAACATCCCCGAATACCCAATCAAGATGTCCTTTACCCTTCAAGATATCGAGCTCCTTGGGTTCGTCCATAAGCTCAAAGCACTGAAGCTGTTCCTTAGTGGGGCACGACATGTCAAACTCCGGTGTCACCATCATAGCTGGCGTCGGAGCAATGTATTTGACCAGGCCAAGAATGTTTCCAAGACAAGCTTTTGTAATATGTCTGAACGGAGATGCGGTTCTCTACGGGAATGCCGAGGCGGTCGAGTGCTGGCATCATGTCTGCTGGCATCTGAAGGCCGTTGGGAACGCTGCCATCCTCGTTCACATAGGGAAGGTACATGGGCTCTTCTCCAGCTAGGCGGCTCACTCGATCATGCATAGCGAGCTCGAGAATCGGTTGTCGTCTCTCCGGATTACCGGTTGAGTCAATCAGTGGCGCAACAGCAATGACAGCGGATACTCGCTTGCTAAAATTGCGTCTCCTGTTAGCGGGTCGTAGATAAGACATATTAAGGCTGTATAACAACGAAGATATAGACCTAGAAAGCAGTTCACTTACTCAAAAGCTGCCGCTGCAAGACTGACATTGCCTCCAAAACAAAGGCCCCAGAGAGCAATTTTAGTATCATCGACGTAAGGCTGCTCAAGGAACCAAGTCACGGCGTCATGAAGGTGCTCGGCTTGCTGTCTTGCGTCGACCTGGGTGCGTTCGGGCGGTCAGCGGGCTGTCCTTTAGACTGACCTGAAAGTAGAAAATATCGCAGAGCGGAATCTCACATCGTTCCTTGGCTCTCCATCGCTTGAGCCTATGCCTTGACTATCGAAGAGGAGGCAACTAATGCCGTGCTCTTGAAACCACTTCCCGATGTCTGGCAAAATGGCATCCTTAGGCATGTTGAACTACTCGATCGTCAATAAGTTGATGTATGGAAATAAGGAGCGTGAAGATATACTCCTGCAGACATGATAATAGCCGGGCCACGCTTCGAAGCAGGTAGAACACAGCCACGAAGGGTTACCGTCGAGAGTTGGAAACTCGACATCGAGACGAGTCAAGTCTGCAAGTGGCATGTTTGGCTTTTGTCGCAAGGGGTTTCCGCAGAGCAGGAATGTTGAATGGCAATGGACACAGTCAGTTGTATGCTTGCCCCAATATTCGATGATGATACATAGCGGAGGTCGCGACATACAAGTGACAATAAGCTTTCTGCTTCGATGGGACTTACTGAAGTCCGAGATGGCGACATGACGCAGATCAAGCCCCGATACTTGGCAATAGAGGCTGTCCTCGGAGTTCCTGCATAACTTTTGTGCCCGACTTATCTCGTACAAGCATCGCATCGGAAGTAGGTCAGCCGGTTCGGTAACCATCGTTAGATTCGGATTAGCTGCAAGTCGGACTGCAAAGAATAAAAAAACTTTCTTCTGCGGAATCAGCGTGTAAAGGACTGTCATGAAACGTTGGAGCGTTTTCAGTCGAGTCCTTTAAAGTGAGTATCACAAGTAAATAATAGAATATTTCAGAAGCCGGAAATCACGGATTTAGGAAATTGAAATTCGTCGAAATCGAAGTCTGATTTGTTCATGTAATTCATGAAACTCGGCGTTATATATCACCCGTAGCCAGCACTGACATGACTAGCTTTTTCGCATGCACCTTTCCAAGCTTCATGTCCGCGATAGCACCAGGCAAGTTTCTCAGGCCGCCGTCCAAGACTTCTATGGGATGGAGAACTATGCTCCCCTCTTGCAGCCACCTCTCGACTAGGGCAAATAGCTCCTTGCCGTATTGCCTGTACTCAGGCGTTGGTGGGCGGCCATATGTGCCACTCATCTGGATTCCATCTCCCGCAATGGCATCTGTCAGAAACCAGCCAGCACGAACATCCCTTCGTGTGTATTTCACATCAACGGCGATCGGCTCAAGCGCAATATAGCTGCCACCAGAAGACCCAATGCTCTCATAGCACATCTTCATGGTGGGAGTATCGGTAACGCAGTCCAGGACGTATCTCAAGCTGTTGTTGGTGTGCACACGGATGTCCGCACCACAGGTAGGAGAATGGTAGTCGAAGCAGGCCGAGGCACCGTAAGACTTGCACAGGTCGTTGTTGACAGGAGAGCAGGTGACTATGACATGATAGCCGGCTCTGCGCGCACAACATCAGTGAGAGACTATGCTAAGCAATAATGTGCGGTGAGTCCACTTACACTTTCAACAATTGCGTTGCCATGGTTCCTGTGGCCGTGGCACCACCTGAGATAAGCACTGTTTCCCCCGACCCGTGCTCCATCGACAGCATCAACCCAGGCGCCTGGAAAAGTCCCAGACCTGCTGTGGCCACCGAAAGTCCAATCGAGCAAGCTTGCACGAAGGTCAAGCGTTCGGGAACGTGGCAGCTGAAGTCTTCGTCTGCAAAAGCGAACTCGCTGAAGGCGCCTTTCGTTTTGTCCGAGGTATTTGAGCCAAAGGTCACGGCGAGGATACGATCGCCCTCCTTAAATCGTGTCACGCCTTCGCCTACGGTTACGACGGTGCCAGAAGAGTCGCACCCTGCTAAAGATCCAGTAGCAGTGCCGATGTCAACCATCTTTCCGTCTCTCGGATTCAGGGCGACGGCATGTACCCGGACCAGGATGGATCTCGGTCGCGGAGTAGGAATGTCGAAATCCTCGACGAAGCGATATCCGACAGGCCCTGCGCTAATGATTGCTTTCATGGTGACCTCGAGAGTAGTTTCAACTCACTTTGTGAGAAGCTGATGGAGCCAATTGAGTACCTAGGGGAAGGGGTAATATACATCTGCAATTACAGACACGAGATTGGCATACTATAGTGCAATTGGTGACTTAGCGCTTGAGAGAGCCACAGAATCATGCAGCGAGTCAGAGTTCGACTGTTGTCTCACCCTTCGGACATCGGTACGTTACCTAGGTATGCAGGGACGGAACCGCTTCGGAGACCTTCGAAATCAGCACGCTATGAAAATGAACGGGCTTTCTTATGACCTATCGGAGGTCTCAGACCTTTCAACTGTTTGAGACTCGGGAACTATCCCGTAACGTAAGATCTCTATTATTAATGTTCTCTCAATATCTCGAAGTTTTTTGAAAGGAGACCTAAACGATCTCCATACTCCTTCCTCTCAGTACACTATCGCCATCGATCCTACTATCCACCATGGGAAGTCAAGGGACCCAAGCTGTTCATTGCTTTCCACGAGAACCCATAGCAATAGTGGGCAGCAGTTTCCGTTTCCCTGGTGGCGCAACTTCTCCTTCCAAGCTCTGGGATCTCCTCGAAAGACCCAGAGATGTGTTGCAGGAAATTCCAGAGAGTCGTTTTAGCACGAAGACATTTTACCATCAAGATGGCCAGCACCATGGAGTAAGACTACTTTCTCATGACTAGCACTACAGCGTCGTCTCATGGATCTAACTCGCCTTCGATAGAGCATGAACGTTAAGCACGCTTATCTTCTCGACGAAGATCCCCGCGCATTCGATCGAGACTTCTTCTCCATCAACCCCAAAGAAGCCGAGGCCATGGATCCCCAACAACGGGTACTTCTCGAAACCGTATACGAGGGCGTTGAGTCAGCCGGGTACTCAATGCAACAGCTCCGTGGATCACGTACCGCCGTGTTGGTAGGATGCATGAGCTACGACTACCATTTCATGGCCATCCGGGGCATTGACAGTCTGCCTCGGTATCATGCTACTGGCACCGCGGCCTCAATCCTAGCCAATCGTATATCATACTTCTTCGACTGGAGAGGGCCTTCTGCAACCATCGACACAGCTTGTTCGTCCAGTCTTGTAGCCTTGCACCAAGCAGTATCTGCATTGTGGAATGGAGAGGTGGACATGGCTGTTGCAGCAGGGTCAAATCTCATACTTGGGCCGGAGCCGTTCGTTAGCGAATCCAAGGTTTGTTGCCCACCACGTGATGTTGAGAAGAGAAAATTTGGCACCATCTAACACATGAAACCAAAGCTGAACATGCTATCACCCAACGGAAGATCGTTCATGTGGGATGCTTCCGCGGATGGGTATACTCGAGGCGAGGGATTCTGTGCGGTCTTTCTCAAGACTCTCAGCAGGGCCCTCGCCGACGGTGACCACATCGAAAGCATCGTTCGCGAAACGGGCGTGAACTCTGATGGCAAAACTCCAGGTATGGCGGAAAGAATAGCTCGGTTCTTCCATCGATGATGGCTAAACAAATTGCAGGCATAACAATGCCCAGCTCCGAATCGCAGGCACAGCTGATCCTTGACACATACGCAAGATGTGGGCTTGATCCGACTCTTGAATCCGACCGTCCTCAATACTTCGAGGCTCATGGTACGGGCACGCCAGCGGGTGACCGTAAGTAATCCATCCCCCACTTCGCCGTTTTGTTAAATCGTTGATGAATTCTGACATGTTGTTCCAGCTATCGAGGCCAGAGCCATCCAAACGGTTTTCTTCCCCGACGGAGAGACCGGCAGACTCATGGTCGGCAGCATTAAGACGGTCATCGGACACACAGAAGGTACTGCTGGAGTCGCTGGCGTATTGAAAGTGTCCCTGGCAGTCCAGCACGGCGTAATCCCTGCAAACCTTCATTTCAAGAATCTCAATCCCAAAATCCGGCCATATTACACCAATTTGCAGATTCCCTCATCGACAACGCCCTGGCCGCCTGTTTCGCAAGGATCGCCGCGCCGAGTCAGTGTCAACAGTTTCGGCTTTGGTGGCACCAATGCCCACGCTATAATTGAAAGCTGGGATAGCCACGGCGTTCTATCCAACGGCCATACCGCTGGCAATCAAGCGCTGACCAGTGTTCCAGCGAATGGACCCTTTCCAACTTACAACGCTGGACCGTTCCTACTGTCGGCCAGCTCAGGCCAGGCTTTGGCGTCAAGCGCTGAAGCCATGATCAGCTATCTCCGCGCAAATCCTGATGTGAACCTTGACCGATTGGGCTACAGTCTCATGAAGAGGACAGCCTTCCCTTTTCGAGTAGCCTTCTCCGCCACCTCTACCGAGAAGCTCGCTGACAAGATTGAGGCGAGCAAGGATTCTCTTCAGAATGCCTCGCGTGCCATGGCCATTCCCGAGACATTGCCTCTCCGAATCTTGGGGGTTTTCACCGGCCAGGGAGCTCAGTGGGCAACGATGGGCGCAGAGCTGTATGGCGCTTCAGACGTGTTCCGTCGCGCTATAGACAAGATGCAGCAGAGTCTCGACTCGCTGCCTGCTGAAGATCGTCCCAACTGGTCCCTTGTCGACCAACTGCAAGCAGCGCCGGCGAGTTCGCGCGTTGGGGAAGCTGCTATTTCACAACCTCTATGTACTGCTCTTCAGGTTGCTTTGGTTGATACACTGCATGCCGCAAGCATCCATTTCGACGCCGTCATCGGGCACTCGTCTGGCGAGATAGCCGCTGCGTACGCCGCCGGGTATCTCAATGCGTTTGATGCGATCCGCGTTGCACACTACAGAGGTGTCCATTCCGTCCTTGCTCAGGGGTCGGTGGGGGGGGGGGGGGGGGGCCGGGGGAAGGGGGGGGGGGGGGGCGGGGGGGGGGGGGGGGGGGGGGGGGGAGCCCGGAAAGATGATGGCGGTCGGCATGTCGATGAGCCAAGCGACTCTTTCTGCAGCGAGTTTGGTGAAGCGCTTGCTGTTGCCGCAAGCAATTCCCAGACGAGCTGTACGATCGCTGGGGACGCGGAAGCCATTGAAGAGGCTTTTGCTCGACTCCAAGAGCGTGGAATCTTTGCACGCATGCTGCAGGTGAGCGTTGCGTACCATTCTCACCACATGAAGTCGTGCGCCAACCCATATCTTGATTCCATGAGGCGGTGTCGAGTCAAGCTCCAGAAAGGTTACAAGCAGTGCCGGTGGTACTCGAGCGTCTGGGGATCCGATGGACGCAGCCGATCATTCGACCAGGCGGATGGCCGACTTCTCGAGGGTCCGTACTGGCTGGATAACATGACGCAGACGGTGCTCTTCAGCCAAGCACTCACCAGGGCACTCAGCGAGGACCAGTGCTTTGACGCCATCCTCGAAGTCGAACCTCACCCAGCCCTCAAAGGGCCATGCTCGGAAACAATCAAGATGCTAACGGGCCTCTCCATTCCTTACTCGGGCCTCCTGAAACGGGGGGAGAGTGCCGTAGAATCGTTGGCGGATGCCATGGGCTTCCTCTGGAAATCATTCGCTTCGCAACGTCCCGTCATCACCTTCGAGGGGCTTCGTCGAGCCTTTCCCAACAGCCAGCCGTAGAAGCTGGAGATTCTCAAGGGCCTTCCGTCTTACCAGTGGGACCATCGTGAGCTGATCTGGAAAGAGTCGAGGTCATCCCGTATGTTCCGCACCCAAAACAAGTCCCGTCACGAGCTTCTGGGCCATTCCACCTCGTACGGTGAACGTGAGAAGCGCGAGGTGCATTGGAAGCAGCTTATTAGATTGAGTGAACTCCCATGGTTGGCTGGCCATCGTGTCAAGGCGAGATTCTCCTAGCTGCTGCTGGCTACTTGTCAATGGCATACGAGGCCGTCATCCGCCTGGTTGACGACCAGCAGCAAGTGCGTCTCGTAGAACTTCACGACCTCGACATTGTGCGTGCGATGCGGGTCCAAGAAGATTCTTCCGGTCTTGAAGTCGTTTTCACTCTTCGCGTTACTACTCAGACAAACGACTGCATTAGTGCCGAGCTCTCATGCTACACCGGTGCTGTCGACGCCGTGCAGCCTTTGGGTGTCCCTCAAACTGACATGACAGTCCACTTCACGGGACGCGCGCGGCTCTGGCTCGGCCAACCCATGGAAGACGTTCTGCCTTTTCGAAAGCAACCCGTGCTGACCATGGAAACCCTGGATATGGGACACCTGTACTCAAATCTGTCGAAAGAGGGATTCAACTACACCGACCTTTTTCAAGCGAAGGCCATGCGTCGACGGCTTAATAGCGCAGTGGTGACCCTTTCTTCGCCCCCTGAGCACACCCAGATCCGCAACAGCATGCATCCAGCACCTCTTGACACTGCCTTCCATGGTCTCTTCGCCGGCTTCTCATACCCGGGCGACGGCCGCATCGGTAGCATCTACTTGCCAACGCGGGTGGACTACGTACGAATCAGCATGATGCAGTCCGAGTCGCAGGATCCTGTCCTTAAAGCGGATGCCACCGTGACTTCGACGGACAAGAACATTGTGGTCGGGGATTTGGACCTGTTTGATGCAGCGACTTTGCGAACAGAAGTGCAGCTACGCGGAGTTCACCTTACACCTGTTGGTAACCACCGGGACCCTTGGTTATATGCCAGCCCAACGTGGATACGAGATGCCGAGTATGGGATTCCGCCCAGCAAAGCAGTCAAGATTTCGGATGCGGAGTTGGTCCTGTACGAACAGCTCACACGTACGGCATACTTCTACTTACGCCGACTACGCAAGATGATACTGAAACAAGAATTGCTGATAATGAGCAAGTACCGGAAACACATGATGACCTGGATTCTTGACCATTTGTTACCCCAAATTGAAGCTGGGGAGCATCCGGAGATTCGGCCTGAATGGAAAGACGATACTCTCGAGATGGTGCAGGAATGGCGTGCGAGCCAGCCAGCAGACAACAACGACATGAACATTCTCCACGCCATGGGGAAGAACCTTGTCAGCGTTGTTCGTGGAATCACACAGCCGCTCAAAGTGCTTATGCAGGATAGTCTGCTCGATCGTCTGTATGTGGAAGGGATTGGCTTCAAGCACGGCAACGCGGATCTGGGTACTCTGGTAAAACAGCTCACACATCGACAACCTCGCATGCGCATGGTTGAAGTTGGCGCTGGTACGGGCGGTACCACGCGCACTGTCTTAGATGCAATAGGAAACCATTATTTATCCTACACATATACAGACATTTCAACCGGATTTTTCGAAAATGCTCGGACTGTGTTCAGTCAACATAGCGGTAAACTCAACTTCAAGACGCTCAATATCGAAAACAGTCCTGAAGACCAAGGCTTCACCACCGGATCGTACGACATGGTCATTTCTTCAAACTGTTTGCACGCCACACGGAGGCTAGAGGAGACTCTGCGTAACTGTCGGCAGCTCCTTCGACCGGGTGGAAAGTTGGTCTTGATAGAGATTACCCGAGACTTCTTACCTCTGCAACTGATAATGTCGACGCTTTCGGGGTGGTTCTTCGGCATTAAAGATGGGCGTGTCTGGGCTCCAACGGTCAACCTCCAGCGATGGGACGAGCTATTGAGAGCTACCGGGTTCTCTGGCGTTGATGTAAGCTCGACACCATCTTTTGCCTCTGTCATCATGGCAGAGGAAGTCGACCAAACATTTCAACTCATCCGTGACCCCTTTTCTATCTCGCTAGAGGCCATACCGGCGATGGGGGACATCATCATTGTCGGCGGTGGTGCCAGTACCAAACTCCCATCCCATGTCCAGGCGGTTTTATTGGCCGCGGTTCCTTCGAAAACTGTAACTTTACACCCTGGCCTTGAAGGGATCCACGTTCCAAAAGGGGCTGTTGTGCTCTCTCTTTGCGATCTGGACTGCCCAGTCTTCCGTGACATGGATGAAAAAAGATTCAAAGGACTGCAGAACGTTATGGAAATAGCAGATGCAGTTTTGTGGGTGTCATCGAGTGCACGAAGGGGCGAGAATCCCGATAAGACGTACCTTCTTTGCGGTATGACGGGGGATTTGGGTATCTCGGTATGCCTTTGGATGATAGAGAACGGCGCTCGAAATATGGTTCTGACCAGTCGAAATCCCAATGTAAGCCCTGATGTTCTCGACTATATGAGTAGCAAAGGAGCTCTTGTGCGCCCTATGGCTGTCGATATAACAAACATGGACTCGCTACGCGCTGCCTACGCTGATATCAAATCCAACATGCCTCGTATCGGAGGCGTGATGAATGCCGCCATGGTTCTTCGTGATCGCTTCTTCCACCACATGTCTTGGGATGACTTTGCAGCTGTGTTTGCACCAAAGGTGGCGGGATCCAAGAACCTCGACGACATGTTTGGAACGGAGCCGTTGGACTTCTTCATCTGCTTCTCATCCACGACATCTATCGTTGGTAGCTTCGGCCAGTCCGCTTACGCGGCTGCAAACCATTATATGGCACGTCTGATCAAGTCGCGTCTACGTCGTGGCTTGGCTGGATCCGTCATTCACATTTCCATTTTGACGGGCTTTGGATACATCTTCCGGCGCGATGCTGAGCATGCCGACACCATTCACAAAGCAATCCTTCCGCGGATGGAAAGACAGTCGGAGACCGACCTACACGAGATGCTGGCGGAGGCTATTGTATGCGGGCGTCCAGGTTCCGGTCAGCCGTCTGAGCTCATCACAGGCATTAGGACAGTATTTCAAGAGGATTGGCGTGAGGACCCTCGCTTATCCTGCTACATGGGTCAGCAGAAGCTGGAGGATGATTCTGATCGAGGACAAGCTGGCAATACGATCAGTGTCAAAGAGCAGCTCACCGGGGCTGAGAATCCTGCTGAGTGCCTGGCTGTATTGGTGAAGTGTTTCTTGCTCGCTTTGGGCAACATGCTCGAGATCGATCCTGCACATGTTAACAGCAACGCATCGGTGGCAATTCTGGGCATCGACTCACTTATCGCGATCCGCATTCGGGAGTGGTTCCTCAGGGAGATCGGCGTTGATGTGCCAGTGCTCAAGGTGATGTCGGACACGTATTCGATCTTTCGCATGTGTGATGACGCTCTCGTGGATTGGCGGAGGGCTAGCAAAACTTCCAAGTAGAGTATCAGAGGACTGAAGGAATAGAATAGAATAGGGAGACAGATTTCATTTGTATATGGCGTTCTTGCGGACTGGGCACATCCTCAATTGACATTGAAACATGCGGTCGAATAAATATATTGCCTCGTTAAGAGATATGCTGATGGGGAACCAAGTAAATGAGAGTCAAGATGATTTATTACTATCTACGCTCGTAGCCAGATACGGTTACGACTAGTGGCTATGACTAAGCTAATCACGTGCCCAAACATATGCAGCGTCAACTTGATGACTTGATGACTTAATGACTTGATGACTTGATGACTTGATGACTTGATAAGGTGATCGGGCTTTGACAAAGAGATCAAAGCCTTCAAAGCTATAGCAAAATTCAATATCAATCTTCCCCCCACCCCTCGCCTCCCCTCCCCTCCCCTTCCCACACCCCGCTGCAATTCTAAAGCTTAAAGACTTCAAAAGAGCTTGACTCTAAAATACCGGTAAGAGCTCGACTATGATTTATTGCAAAAGTACGAAAAAACGTGACTCTTTTTTTTTTTTTAAAAAAACGTGACTTGCGATTGAATCATAATCAAACTCCTATAAGGTAGAGAAAATTGACACCCTCGGATGAACCTTTGACTTCATACCTCAGTCAAAGGCATAATTGTATCTTGCCACGACGGCAGTCCTTCGATTGTTGCAAGAGAGAGCATCCAAACCAATCATGTCACGAGCGAGCTTCATATTTGAATCGAGTGAAAGCCGCAATGTTTCGGAAAACTGGGCGAGAAAGCCCGTACCGCTTGTAAGCCTGAAGTCCTTGACCACAATGGAATTCTGCCCATCGTTATTCATTTTGATATTCTTTCGAGGAATTGACTGTCCTCGTTGTCCAACTGTAGAACGACGCTTGCGTATCTGTAATGGAGAGAGGTTCGGAGCGAACGTCGATGGCTGTGTGAAAGGAGTGATTGCCACCATATCTGCAAGGGTCCCAGAAGTTTGTGGAGTTAGAGGAGGAGGAGGAGGAGGAGGAGGAGGAGGAGAGAAGGTAATATCTTTCTTGCTGTCGAATCTCATAATGTCAAGCTTCTGTTGCTTCCATTTGTCCTTTACCATGGAAATATTATTTAAACTTTTTGATTAAATAACTAAATTATAAAACCTTTAACATCGAGGTTTCGAAGCAAAATTCGTTATACATAACCGCATTTTGCTTATTCGCCCTTCCATAGAGAAAACCATAGCTTCCATGCTCAACTAATGATACTATAGCACGAAACCGGCAATACCCGCCGCAACAAGAGCCAAAACACGAGCATCAGAATTCCGAAAACCATTACCGGACATGGTGAAGTTGGATAAAGTGACTCCGGGTGAATGTGCCGGCGGCATTGAGGCTCCCAATACTGTGCAAGTAGAGGTAGGCATATTCGGGAACGAAGGAGATGATGCTCCAAACCCGGGCCCAAAGGTTGAGATCAGCGGCGGCGAGTTTGTGTTGTTGATGGGTGGAGGCGAAAGTATCGATAGAATTGCCTTGGAAGATGATTGTGGTGTTGTGGTGTTTGATGCAACAACGGCAGATGGTGTTGCAAATACCGGGCTAGACGTTGTGCCGCTAGTTGGGTTCGAAGAGGATGAAAGTATTAGTATGGCTGCCCTTGTGCTCTTTGTAACCAGCAAGAACGGCGAAGAGATCGGAAGAATTGCTTGCATCGTTGAGGAGACAGATATCAGCTCGGAGCTGGATGGCAAAGAGGCAATCGAGAATTCGTAGATACTATATTGCCAACCACCACCACAAGTCTCAGTTGAATCGCCCGCACATGGCACGGTGCAATCATCATTAGCTGCCACGGCTGATGGTATAGCATCACCGCAGCCGCATCTGTATTTCTCATTAGTCGATGAAGTTATAACCAATCTCAATAGTGCTTACTGGTAACCATACTGAGTACCAAAATACTGATATCCGACACACATTGCGGCGCATGAATCGGTCGTTTGAGAATAATTGTTGTCGTAGAAGACTAGGAACATTCGAATGCCATCGACGTTGTTGGTGCCAATGAGGCCATCTCCGTCATTGTAACAGCCTAGGTAGGTATAGTCCGCTTCTCTTGACAAAAGGATATGATTAGCTTCGAGTATGGAAGCTGATATTCGCAATACTGATGAGACAATAGTGCCAAGTACGAGAGCGGAGTTGAACCTCGCCATTTTTAAAAATATTGTTAAAACAGATACAGGACTTATTACGTGTCTATACCGAGGGAGAGATGAACAACAAAACAGACCATAAGACAAGATCTGAAATTGGTGCTCCTGAAAATATCATTTAAACGTCTGGAATGCTAAAATCTCCCCAGCAACTGCGAGGAAAATGCAACAGCAGAACGTATTAATTTTTCCGACTTTATGTTCTACGATTGAAAATAAAGTAAAATATTTGAATAAAATAGAAAAGAATATTATCCAATTTCTTTAAAATTAAATATAATGCAAATATTTAATAAAGTTGAAAAAAAATTATATATATATAATATAAATGCATTATTTCTTGTTAACTTTTTATTGTTCATTCGATATTTGTATGCATTTTCTGACTGAAATCTTACTTTGAAGTACGGCATTATTAAACTTGGCATATGAAGTCTCTAGACTACTGCCGAATATCCCGAGATATCTAGCTAATTCCCGTGCTATCTCCAGATTTTATGTGCTCCATTCGTTCAAGGAAGTCTTCTACACTTTCCCTTGCTCCAGGATCTCCTCTTCCCAAATGTCGATGCGTGTTTGCCCCTGGACCAGAGTGTTCTACAGCTATCCTAGCTTGCTGAAATAAAACCATGCTAGATTGATACATCTCCTGAACCTTGTCATTTACACCGCTCCTTGCTATAATCCCTAGTAAATTCAGGAATGGCTCAAGAAGTTCAACATCGGCTTGCACCCAAGGATCTGATGGGTTAGAGATAGTATGTACAAGCAATGTTGTCGCGGCCGTAATGAAGATGTGGAGAGCAGTCCTGTGACAGTTATCTTTCTGGTCTCAATAATCGGTGTGGTGAAATCGAAGATGGCTGCGGACTTACCAGACACAAGCAAGCTTTCTTCGAGGAGTCACGCTAAATAACTTTAAGGCACTTCGGGCCTCCACAGGATACGTCACTCTAGCTGACATAATGTGTATTCTTACTTCCGATGATTGAATCTCATGATACCAAGGGATGAAGGGAAGGGATTCATGTATGACAGCCAAGGTCTTGAAATATAAAAGCTGGAGGTAAAGTGGATGGCGAGAGGCCTCCGAGGGTGATCCATCCAAGGCTAGACCAGTATAATCACGGAAAAGTTCGACAGGGACGCTTGTTCTCCACATTTGAAGTGTCGTTTCGAGCTCTTCAGCTGCCATCGCTCTCTCACTAGCAGACTGCTTCCCAGCCTTCACAGATAAGAGCCGTCTGTATATCTGGCCCTGAATGATGGCTAGTCTTGTTCGGAAGTAGAAAAGACTATGATGAATTCCTCCGGGTTGAACTGGACCGTAATCATTCTCGGAAGGTAGCTCAATGTCCATGTCTTCATCACCTTGAGTCGGTGGTTGCCTCGTTTGTAGGCTAATATCTTTGTCGAGAGAGTAAGCCACCCAAAAGACTCGTATACGTTCTGCACTTTCAATGGCACTCAGCACAGGAGACTGGTATTGCCTGTGTAACCCTAAGTTATGCGCTATTTTGATGGCTGATGAAGTCAATAAAGTGCTAGGCCTCTGATGTGGTATGGCCATCATCATCATTGCCATTCCCAGCAGTGCTTGCACAGATGCGAGGGTATAGTGTTTTGTCATGAGCTGATTAGTAGCAGCAAGGGCATTTTGAAAGTAGCCCCAAGCTTCAAGGTCTTCTTTGGAGTCTGGAACCGGCACGTCCCAGTATTGGTACGCAAGTGCGAGCACGACGTTCAGAGCTGCCCACCATCCTGGGTCACCGTTACTGCAGTCTAGACCGTATGCAGAGTCGAATTTCGACATGAAAGTATTTTGGTCGAAGATAGGATGCACAGCGTTGACTCCTTGAAAATAAATAGTGATGAGGTGTAAAGCCTTCTCTTTTGAAGGCAGCTCTTGAAAGATTGGTGTTCCCTTGCCAATCGAAGTGGTATCCCGACGAAAGTTTAGATTTGAAGTCCCGGAAAAGAGCACTAGCATGTTGTCAGCGACGAAAGCTACGTTGAGACTTGGAATACTTTGTTGGGATGGCGTAGTGATATTTGATGTTTGAGAAACAGGGGCAGATTCCTCGATCTCCGGAGGTTCAAAGCCTCCTAAGCTCTTACTGAAGGCATGGGAGGTTCTGTACGTGGGCTGGTATTCATGGAGACCCGTTATATCTTGGGCTTTTGGATTGGTGCCGGATGCTAAGTCTTCGGGGAGCTGCCGTCCCTCCAAGGGTAGTCTTAATTGGCCTTCCATCCATGCCAATCTCCTTTCTAGTTCCTCGACACGCCTATCCCTACATTCAATGAGCAAATTGTCGTCTGACCAGTCGCTTCCATCCTCAAATATTTACCTCGTCAATCGCCTTCGACTTCTGACCACACTCATCGGGGTGAAATGGCACGGAGTCTTGCTTTTGATACACTGTGCGCAAACATCTGAAAATGGTTCACAGCGAATCTTCTTTTTCCTACAAGTATCGCAAGCCTGCTTTTGTCAATTTGGCAGCGTATACTCTCGTGTCAGAGGGTACTGACTCTAGTAATGAGTCTCTTCACGCTCCCCTCGTTCCCCTCGTTCGAATCTAAGCGGAGCGAGTGCGACATCATGTTAAAAGTGGAGTGAGATTTCGCAATGAACGGAAGTCAGGTGTCTTTAGAGAAGTGCAGCGATATAACACAGTTAGAAAGGAGTAATTCAGTGACATTGAACAACATAGAATGTATGTAATTGCCGCCTTGAATTTCTCTACCTCGCCCATAACCGCTTACAGTAAGGATTGATTTCAAAGCACGTCACCTGATGCGATAACCGTACCTAGGTAGCCGCAGATCGCCAGATCGCCACGACCGATTACGAACAGCTTGAGGACAGTGGATAACCTTACCCCTGCCCTGCATGAATTGACTCCTTATCAATTGGCTAGCAGGATTTGCCATGCCAGGATGCGCTGAATCTACATTAATCTGCGCTTTCTCCTGCCAGCAATACGCATAGTTCGAGCTGCGAACAGCTCGTGAAATTCTTTTCGGATTCAAAAAGAAAATGAAGGTGACGGTTCATACATCCCCAGTGAATGGCCTCTAGACAAGTGAAAATGTATTGTGCTACGCGCCTTGGAGTCCGACGCATGCATCGTGGATTGCTAACGACGCGCCATTCCATAGCGGCACCGATGCCAGTCTCTATGCCAGAACATGTAATCAAAGCAGTCTTTTCTGCAAATGAGAGTGTGTCGGCCGGAATATTCAGTAAATGAGCAAAAAGAATCGTTCGAAGCAAAGGATCACATAGCACAGTTTTCGAGCTCTAATGGGAGAGAAACCTATGTTCAGACATGCGATAGAGTTGACTATATGGAACTGCTATATAATTTTGTATACGCTGAATAAATGCAATTATAAATCATCAAGTTATAAAACGCCGAGAATAAAAATTGTGCTTCTACGAGATCGCTGTTCCTGTGGATTATGAATATCACGGGCAGGATTGTCGCCGCTCCGAATCGCTTGACTAATGCCGCAATAATTTCACGGGCAGCATTGTCGCCGCCCCGAATTGTTTGACTAATGCCGCATTAGATATCTCTCTTAAATTTAAATAGTCATAGACATGTGCCTATATATCTATATACCAGACGAAAGGTTTGGTACTTGCACCCGAATACTCTGACTCTCTACACTCAGAATCATGTCCGGCACATCCCCAGTCATCCTTATCCTTGGAGCAGGACCAAATATCGGTCAGGCAGTTGCTCGGACTTTTGCTTCGAGAGGCTATAAGGTTGCCCTCGCTTCGCGATCATTAAAGGAGGCAGACAGCACGGATAATCAACTAAACATCAAGAGTGACTTCGCTAACTCCGACGATGTTGTCAACGCTTTTAAAAAGGTTAATAAAGTATTTGGTATCCCCAGTGTAGTCGTTTATAATGGTAAGCATTGATACCCGAGAACCCTTTTGAGTTCCTACTGAAAATTCGTAGTCAGCGCCTCGACGCTCACCCCACCTCAGGACCCCTTCGCCCTCCCACTGGCCGCTTTCAATGAAGACGTAGCAATCAATGTCACCAGTGCTTTTGTCGCCGCGCAACAAGCTACTTTGGGGTTTGCACAGCTTCCTGCTTCTGCTTCAAGGACATTCATCTACACGGGAAACATCTTGAACATTACCATCCTCCCGTCATTTCTCGACCAAGGCATGGGAAAGTCCGCCGGCGCACATATGGTTTGGGCTGCTTCAGCCGCATATAAAGACCGTGGATTCAAGTAAGCTATTTGCGCTTCACTTTCATTGCTCGTGAAAAAATAACCTATTATAGGTTTTATTATGGCGACGAACGGAAGGCAGATGGGACAGCTATATATAGGGTCAATGGAGATGCGCATGCGAAACTCTACTGGGAGCTTGCGGAGGAAAAGACCCATGGTCCATGGTTGCAGACATTTGTCAAGGGCGTGGGTTACACGAAGTTCGACAGTCAATATGCGTCTTCCAGCTAAGGCGTTGCTTGAGCGTCTAGCGTTGTATTGCAGGCTCATTAGCTGTGGCCCGTTTAAATTCACTGATTTCCGATTTCTTTGGTTTAAAGTATCTTTTCTTCATTTCTTATAACGTCATCAGTCTAACACCATACGAAAAAGATTATTCATGCAGATCTGAAAAGCCTCCATCAATGCTCGTCGCCCAAAGTACACACTTAAACAGGAACAGCCGTCAACACAACAGGGAAACACTTTGCATCGCTCGTCGTCTCCGTGGTTCCTTTCACCTTACTCAAGTCCAAATAGTAAACATCCAACGCAATTTCGCAAATCTGCAAAACATGATTACCATTATCCTCCTTCTTCGCCTTCATTTCCAACGTATCATCATCCACAAAAAAGTCGACATACACCCAGTCATTCTTCTCAATGTTGGCGGCAGTGTCTACCCATATCCATTCTGAAGTCTGTCCCGGATCTTGTTGCGCGTAGCGTGTTTTGTAATCAGTAGGGTGATGGGAGGAGGTCAGGGTCCAAAGTCCGGAGGACGGTACATTCTGTGGGTAGTAATCGTGGACTAGGATGCCGTATTGGTTGGGGGAGGTGGAGGAGTCGTCACTGATGAGGAAGTGTGGGTGTGCTGGCAAGACGGGAGAGGAGGCAGAGATCTTGAAGGTGGTGAGTTTGGTACGGAGTTGGAGAAGGTTTTCGATACTGGTTGTGATCGGAGAGGAAGCGGTGGGACTGATCAAAAGTGCCGAGGCACCAACGAGGACAGATGAAAGCTTCATGTTGACGATGATTGAGGTAGCAGTTGGAAGGTTGGGATGTGAAGATCTAGCTCGGATGTGGGCATTGCTTTTATACTGTGTAGTAGTCTAAGACATCGGGCTATCGCTCAGAAGTGGATGGAGTCGCATGTCTTTCCCATACTTTGGGCTGCAGTGACATGTCTTGGAATGCGCCAACGTCTGGCAGTGCCAGCCGCTCAATTCAGCCATAGCTTCAGGTGGAGAACAAGCAATTCCATTGTTGTAAAGTTGTCATTACATACCCATACTCAGTCTATGAGCTGATGACGTTGTCATTGCAATTCCTGAGTTCAGCGATTCAGTAAGCTAGAATTGGAAATTCAGATCTCTAGCCTCGACTCCATCTAACTCGCTCAATCTGCACTCTTCTGTGAAATACTGCTTGTAAAAGACATGATACATGGCTACGTGGCCAACAAAACAAATTCACAGACACTTGACGCATCGGTCCGTCCCATCAAATCACGGGCCTTGCCACGAGACGAGAACCAGGACTAAAAGCTGAAAAGCAGACCGCTTGTGTTCACATGATCGATTAAATCATTTTCGGTCCAGTTGTGGTCAAAGGACATCAAGTCAGTGGCGCGAACAACTCAGCATCCAGATTAAGAAAAAGTTTCCTACCTTCAAAATGGAACGCAGCTGAGGTGAGTTTCTGCAACGATTCATAAAAGTTTCCCCAAAACTAGACTGGGATGACTTCAACTCCTCGTGCTCCTGCACTTCATGTCTCTCTTCCTTTTTCCTATCTTCCTGATAACAACATCGCTTTGATCTCCAGGGTCGGATAGACGTACTTCGCAACGTTCTCGCGATGACCGGCCTAAGTCCAACCTGGACCCAACGCCTCCTCCAACTTGAAAGATCTAGACATCCCGATCGCAGTCATCAGGTCCTGCATCTGGATTGGAACCGGTCCACCCAAAGCAAACGCCACGGTGATCCGTTCTGCATCATCTTCCGCTCCCTCAAGAGTGGAGTTCCCAAAGAGCAGCATACAGCGACGCAAGTTCGGGAGGACGGCCAATGTTCGCGGTAGCTGAAGAACTCGGTTTGGGGAGGAGGGCATTTGTTGGTACGTTGGCCAGGCTGCACTAAAAATCGAGATACCAGGCATGCGAATGCTGCGAAGAACTGTGAGTATGGATGCGCCTTTTACTTGGAGTCCACAATGTGATATGGCGTCGTCGCAAAGAAGCTGCAACATGTATTCGCTCTAGAACGGACGTGAGCCTCGAAAATCAACAAAAACTGATAATAGAAATATCGAATCAGAACTTAGCACTGCCAAGATCGGAGTAGTATTCCTAAGGACTTCTCCAAAATTGCAAAGAGTTTTATAACATTATTTAATTATTTTAAGAATTCTTTGAATTACTTTGAATTGGGTATTATTTTCATTGTTTAATTAACATTACACATATTTGTAGCAATATTAGTAATTAATAAAGTACAGTAATTCAAGAAAGTATTCTCGATATACGTAATTTTTATTTCTCCGGATAAACGCAAATTGAACTCTCGGCTATTCGAGACCAACGAAAGGAACCCGCATTCTATCCAGCAATATCCCGGTCAAGTTTCTACCAACATATTAGTGCTTACGTGTGCCTCGCCGCAGACATGCTTGCCTTGACTGAATCAAGTCAATTAAAAAGACGTCTTTCACCAAGACTTGTGTTCAATTGACATTTTCTTGAAAAATAAATCATTTAGACTTCCAAATACCCCTCATCGTCTCGCTTTCCAACATGGGATCTTTAGATAAAGAACCTACTGTGGGACAATTCATGATCAGGTTGGTTGAGGCGGACACCAAAGATGATGACCCGTAAGTGAATTGGAGAGATCGAACAACGATGGTGATATCCTTTCAAAGTTGGGCAAGCTCAATGAGACAGCTCTCGGGAGCTCTACTTCATTCAAACTTCGGCGATATTGGGCCATAGCTCTCTCGCATAGCTGTAATGACATGCAGTAATATGGACTGACAATGCACCAGGTGGCAACGCAACTATTTTGCCCCTCCACAAAACATGAAGCTCGTCCCGAGGAGCTACCCTCTCATCGATGTCCGACCTCTCATTTCTGAGTCCAGATACGACCCTGTCGACCACCTCCGCACCCACGGTTTTGGTGTGGTCAGAAGCCCCTCGTCGTTCTTGGCTCAACACAAGAAAGAGGAACTCACCGATGACAATCTCCGAACCGGGTACCATCCAGAGGTGACGGAGTTGATTAAAAAGACCCTGGGTGCCAAGCATGTCTACATTGGCAACAGTGTTTTGCGCCAGGGGAAGGAGGTTCAAGAGGAGTTCAAACCGCCTGTGGGTCCGTTGCCAACCCCAAACCAGCGAAAGGATCCAGCCGTTGGGGAGCTAAAGGGGGCGGCTGACTTTAGGAAAGGAGCTGCATTTGCTGCTGCAAAACCCATTCGCGCGCCACATATGGACCACACAGTGAGTCTCGAGTTCTCACAGAGGGAATTCCAATTCCTTGTTGTCCGTTTGTTCTATATAACCTTCTTAGACATGTCCGTTCACTCCGGAAAGCACGAAAGAGGTATGCTAATTTTGAGATTCTGCTCAAAGCCTCTAGGTGCTAGGCAATATATTCGTTGGGATAAGGAATTGGTGAAACACATTGCTGTGGACAGTGGCATCATCGCCGCTGAAGACAACATCGTTGAGGGCCAGCATTTCCCAGCTGATAGCGAAGAAGCAAATGCTCTTCTTGAAGAGCGCTATAATCTGAACGGTCTTGGTCCACGCTATGCGGCGTTCAGCATCTGGAGACCACTTGCTAAAGTGGGACGGGATCCAATCGCTCTCTGTCAGAGAGGCGACGAAGGCGTCTTTGCAGAAGAATACGTGCACAGGCCGTACTTGAATAAGATTCCGGGTGCAGAGGAGTTAGGTGGCGACTATCTGAGGGAGTATGCAATGTTGGGCGTGCAGAGCGAGAAGCCGAAGAGTGAGAAGCACACGGCTGGACTGAAGTGGTATTATGTGTCTCAGCAGCAGCCTGATGAGGTGCTGTTCATCAAGTTGTTTGATAGTGCGGCCTTGCGGGGTGGACATGCAGGGGCACCATACCACGCATCTCCTGAGATCGGGGATTTGGAGGGTGCAAATGCGCGAGAGAGTTTGGAGTTGAGAGTTTTTGTTTTCTGGTGATGGAGACAGATGGTAAGTACTGCTGGTTCTAGCACAATAGGATATCTTGGCACTTTCATCTGGCATTACAACGAAAACAGGATCTGTTTGGCGATGAGCATCAAACCACCTCACTGGCTATAATGTATGCCCCGATCATATGATAGTTTAACAGAAATATGGAGATATCTTGCTTCAATTTAGAGAGAGTGCGTGAACAAGATCTCAAGTCTGTCGGTAGTTGGTTGCTTTAAAGTAGTGTAAGTTTTGTCCTCTCCAAGTTAAAATAAAACCATTGACAGACGAAATTTTTCAGTAACGTATGATGAAGAGAGTACATTACACTTATCATGGCCCACTTAATGTCTGCCAGCTCGGTACTGCCAGGACCCCCAATGCGTCGGCGGCCCACAAAATAGTAGAGTGGGATGATTAGCGATACTTGAATTTCCAATGGACAGACAAGCATGTCCATTTCTTATTCCTTTGCAATCATCATCTTCCATTTTCCCTCCGCCAGTCAAGCTGTTATTATCTTCGAAAATAAAATTATGCCGCTCGCATCTGGTCAGTTCCTACCACTCTGAAGTAGTATTTATACTAAAGTCTATCAATTAAGTGGATGCAACCCGAGGTGCAAAGCTCTATGTTGAGCAATGCGAACACTGCCATACCATAGAGAAAGGCGGGAAGCATGTCTTCGGACCAAACTTGTACTCCATCTTTGGACAAGTTTCAGGCCAGATTCCTGGCAGCAAAGCAAGTCAAGCATACAAGGACAAGGCTATCAAGTGGACTCTCGGAAGTATGGTAAGTGAAACGCCGTTCTCATTGAGAACATTACAAGACAGAACAATGTTCAGAAGTGAAAATTAGTTTGCCTATCTTGAAGATACAAAGACGCCATTTCCGGGATCGAAGAAACCGTACAAAGGGTTCCGAGTGAGCAAGACCGGAAGGATATTATTGCGTGGATTTCCTTATTCCTGTCCTTGACTTCCATCATTGGATCGAAACTGATGCGGATGCAGGTATCTTGAGACCCAGAAGGATAAACCCAAATGGTTTGAGATCTTTTAGGGTATCGGATTTTTTAGCTTACGATGCGAGTTGGATAGAAGATAGGATTGTTCTAGACTTCGTAGGATAATATCAACAGGCTGAAGTCATAGTTATAAATTAAAATTTGAAGGCTAAGGTGATGTCAAAACGAGCTAAAGTACGACGCAGACTTCCTTTTCATCTCCAAGATTCCGCTTTCCAACTTATATTGTCCCATAAGCTCCGCAAGCAATATTATCTTATGTCCCATTTTTTATAGTAAGCAATACATCTCGTAGTCTACAATACATTTTCCAGCATCACATTCAAGTTCCTGAATTTGAAATCACTCGATAGACTCTGTCAGAAACCCGGACTTAACATTTGTGCAGAACTGGAAAGAACCGAAAAGTACAGATTGAATTACATCCTACAATACCACGAAGGCACTTGGAAAATACTCAGATATTGCTCAGCCTAGTGAGTAATATCAAGGCTTCTAGCTAAAGTGGACGAGTCGTCTGGTGAAGCACTAGATCCACTCGGGTTTACCACATGTAGTAGATCATTGGAGTCTGAACTGCTACAGAAGCTTGCCGGTATGCTGCAGGACATCAGTCTCTCTGGCATGGGAAATGACATCTGTTTACTTTGTGAAGTTTTTGAAAGAACGCAGTTGGATTAGATTTGAGCGCCTCCATCTGTCTTAGAATTAGTATGTGGACGCATCAGGAGTTGAAGGATTGTTTACCAATCTGCACACTAGTCCCGGTAGCAAAATCAGCCTTCGCAAGGTATAGGTAGGCTTCCGCAATGTGATGAGGCTCGGCGACAAATCCCACAGGAAGATGGGTATTTTCAAATTGTTCCTTCTGCTCCTGTTCGCTTTTGCCTAATTTACTCCACAGCTCACTCTTCACCAGCCCTGGTCTAATATAGATAAATCAGTAAATCCTTCTGACAGAGATCTGGAGGCTGAGGGGTTTATTCGAAAAGTTGAGAAAAATTTTCTTTGAAGAGAGACTCCAGAAGAGAATTCCAAAATTCTCAGCTTTTAGGACGGATACAAAACAAGGGCAAAATTTGACGTACACAACAACATTAACTCTGATCTTCTTTTCAGCCAAATCTGCAGCAAGGCCTTTGGTCAATACGATGACACCGGCGTTCAACGCACCACCTGTCGCGGCTCCTTTTCCTGGCCTGTACGCTGCTGCTCCGGACGTGAGCGTCAAAGAACCCCCAGGTTTGATCAGATCAAACTTCTTCGCAGCTAGAACAAGAAAATTAAAAACTTTGACATCAAGCTTCAGCAAGAGCATCTACATACTTTTACCAATTACGACAGCACCCCAGAATTTCACACCAAACAGATGTTTCGCTTGGTCGAGATCCAGTTCCTCAAGCTTTCCTCGAATGATGAGATCAACACCTGAGAAGACCAAATGATCGATCGGAGCAAGGCCTTTCAGCACTTCAACGAATTCATCTTCCTTACGGACATCGCCAACTACACCTGCCACATTAGGAGATTCGAGTCTCTTCACAGCATTGTTGACGCGGTCCTCGTTGGATGAGATGACTGTGACGATGGCACCAGCGTCGAGGAATGCCTGCGCAGCTCCGAAGCCGATCCTGACACAATTTTCAGATTGGGGATCATTCTGAAGAGCTGGGTATCTTACCCCGAAGTGCCACCAACAACTACGATCTTCTTGTTCACAAGTTTCTCTGCTGATTTGACCATTGCGCATGTATTCAACAAGGATGTGTTTCGTTTTGATTCTTGGTTACTGTAATCGGAAGCGATCCAGTATCGTGAAATTCTATGCTCGAGCGAGAAGTTACATAACAAATCCTACTCAATATATAAACCACGAAAGTGGCGCGTTATGCGACTATTACGAATTGAAAGAAGTTGAGGGGAGAGGAAATAGCACCTATGGCGGAGATATATGGCAACTGGTCATGACAAATGCAATTGGAACGTAAATCACACCATAGCACGCCTCTCCGGCGGTGTACTGTTGATGGCTGTGTTTTAAATTAAGTGATTTTGATATTGATTTCGTCATCGTAGAGCTGAGTATCAAAAGTGGGGGGACCATCAACCTCAATCTGGCCGAGTAAAACGCTGATCGACAATTGGTACATCTCACAAAGCACTTTATTGGCTTTGTCTTGTGTGGTCTGTCAGGGCTCAAACTGAGCTCCTTCCAGTTCTCCAATTGCAATGTGTGCATCTTTACTGTAGGTATTGAGTGCCTTGCTCATTGTGCAAGATAGCTACCAGACATCCTTGGGAGAACAGACCTGGCCTCGAAAGGAACTTGCTAAACCAGAAATGCGTCTTCGAATTTTGAACGATGCTGAACTCTTCATTTGTCTAGTGTTTATCTATTTTAAGTACTTCGAATGACTATGCTTGCCGAGACATATTGCCTGCGCACGGGAAGTACGATTCCACTTGGATCGGGGATGAGAAGATTCCGAGAGTTCGTCGCAGTTTTGTACTTTACTATCAGGAGTTGAGGGATCTGTTATCGCGTGGCAGTCCTGCATCCGATGGGAAAGCAAACAACCACCTCTAAACCCAGCCCCTAGACGCTTAAGCGAAGGAAATGATTCTCTGGGCAACCACATAAATGAATACACATTTGCTAAGGATTTGAAACGAATAGAGTTGTGCACAGAGTTAAACAGGTATTGTTACAAGCAGCCTGGACTTGAAAAGCTATGTACAACACCTTTTCAAATCAAGGAAAGAACCAACCACCATTCTCCTGGCCCGGGACATACAAAGAGTCACGTCTCATACCAGCATCCTTGACGCCCTGAAGCATGAGGTCCAGTCTCCGGAAGTCAAGAGGCTTCAATGCCCAACCATCGAACCTGATGTACCAAGTATCAGTATGTGCTTACTTTATGGTAATTCGAGGAAAAGACATACCCGCTCTGGATATATTCGAACCTGCTGTCATTGTCTATCTCGGATGCAACGGCAATAATGGGCACTCTCTGCTTAGGAGATTGTACTTCACGGCCGTCAGACGGCGGTCGAAGCTGTGATTCTTTCTCCCAGAACCGAATCATTCGAGCACTCAATGCACCATCTACCAATGGCATCTACTACTCGTCATTTCGCACTCTTAGCCACAGACCCACATAATGAAATGGTCATACCTTCATATCCATCAGGATCACATCGATCTTTGTAGCGCTATTAGAGCTTGTCACAAACCTATCATGTGCTTCTTGACCATCGGAAGCAGTGACTACCGTATAGCCAAGTTGCGAAAGTTTCTTTTCCAACATTCTCTGGCTCACGAAGTTGTCCTCGGCGACCAGTACATGCATACTAGCGAATGAGACCCTACTGTTTTGATCCAAATCTGGCATCGACGAAGGTTCGCTCTTTGGACGGTAGAGGCTTGGTGGTGCTTGATCTCGCATTTCGGCCTCTACAACGTGTCCGTTCTCTCTAAGTCGAAAAGTTCCCCCACGTGAGGACAGCGAATCTCCATTCGGGGTAGGCACCATTGCTTCTAGCTGCTTCATGTTCCGATTAGATTTGGGTGATCTTAAGGATGGTGGCGAGTGACTTGGGGGCAAGGGAAATTTGGATGTGGAATTGGACGATGATTGCGAGAACAAGTTTCGAAGTTTCCGAGGGACAATCGCTTCGGGGGATGGTGCGTTCTCGAATGGGAGTTCCAAGGTGAAGATTGTCCCTTTCCCTGGCTCACTTGTCACGCGTATTTGACCATCGATATTTCGAACATATCGGGCGATAATGGCCAAGCCAGAGTCTTTCCCCTTCTTTGTCCCGTTCGAGGTGAGAGTGGCATCATCTGTGGCGAAAAGCCAGTCGTCGCCATCTTGAGCTTGCTCAAATTCCTGGAAGGTATCCTAGACTGCGTAAGTAGGTGCCAAAGGAATATACCAGTGATTGACATACATCCAGTTCTGTCTCTGACATTCCAGGGCCTGCATCCTGTACAGTAATGCTGACAATCGAAATAGTATCTTTTGTGCGTATAGTGTTGATCTCAACCACAGCACTCGTAGATTGTCTGAAGGCGTTACTGGTGAGATAGGCAAGCACTTGTTTAAACCGGTCTCCATCTCCTTTGACCATCGTTGGCAATTGGTCTTGGATAGCTATGCCCAATTCCAAAGATTTCCGTTGAGCCTCCTTCTGTAGAGCTTTCATGACCCTTGACACTAATAATTATGTTAGTAGTGAGGTCTAATTCGCGGTGTGTAACAAACCTGTTAGGTTGAGATTGAACGTCTTGTCGCCAACTTTTTGAGCTGAAGTGTCATCAACTTTTGTAAGTCTCAATAGATCCTCCATAACGTGTACCAAAGAGTTTGAAGCTTCTTGAGCTCTTCCCAGAATCTGGCGCGTTCTGTTGTCGGTAGTATTCTCTATTGCTAATTCTATGTAGTTGTTGACAGCATTGATCGGAGTACGGACTATCACTTGTCAGAACAAACCTTTCCTGTAAAATAATCCCTATACGCAGCGTAAATGGAAGGAAGTTAAACTCACGTTCTCGAGATGAGTTGCGAATCGATGAGATTTTCTCGCCCTGATTTGACACTCCCTTTTGCCGCCAAATTTCGATGAGCCTGCTGTACAACAAGCTCAGGACCCAGCCAATATCGACTGCAGTGATCTTGTGAGTTTCCATATTCGTAGAGAGACAGCAGTCACTTACGTTGATCATCTGTCCATTCTTTGCTCGAACCCTCGATAGTTTCGACCCAACGTTTGAAGCTGGTCCGAGGTTCAAGATACTCGCCAACTGCCTTCTTATCGTTTGCATGAGGATTCCTACCAACTCTTAGCTTTTCGGTGTTCATTGGAATTGACTGCATGCTTTCACGAGTCTTACAACTTACCCTGCCCATTTGACATGTTTGAGTTGACTTTTTCGGAAGAATACAAGGAAATCATTAGCCCCTCCACTATTCAATGGGATCAACAGAAATCCAGCAATGGTACTGATCCCAGCAGAGAGACCGACCCCTGGAAAGTCGGCGTTGATGTTTTGCGAAGCGCGGATCTCGGTGAATTGTTGGGATTGAAGATAGGACATTATTGCTATGGCCTCAGGATATGGGTCCAATCGTCCAATTGCTCTTGCTTCATCATCAATGCTCAACAGAGCAAAGTCTGCATCGACAAGTTTGAGCAAGTCTGCCGAGGATGTTGCAAGTAAGCCAGCAGGGTTCTTAGCGGTAGGAATTGCGGAAGGAGGAGGTCTGCGAGCTTCTATGCGCTGTTGCATAGAAAGCTGTTGAATATTGACTGCAGCGCAGTCTCCCTGTGGAAATGAGATATCAGCACTATTGAATCAAACGCATGAAGATCAATCAGTCTACGCGACGTAGAAAGAAGTACTGCAATACAAGATTTCGTTTTCGTTTCTTATGCTGTAACTAACTTACAATATTTCGGCAAAGCTCTCTGATCGGAAGCGACACACGTATCCCATCTTCACCATAGCCACTATTGGTAAGTTAGAATAGCTTTCAATAATCGCATTGAGAGCCGAGAAGGAATTGTATCAGCCGAAACCCACCCCCCCCTCTCTCTCTCTCTCTCTCGCAGGCTGGGCTCTGCTTCTCTTGAGTGAATCACGAGAAGTGCGGCACATATGATGGAAAAGAAGTAAAGACTCACTGGCAGGCAATAAGTCCCCACAAGTCGCCCCCGATGACAATGGATATTGACTATCGAGATATCACAGTCAGTTTTACTATAAAATCGAAGAGTGCCTGAGAGTTTCACTCCCAAACAGCCTCAAATCTAGGAACGGTTTGACTTGCCATTGTAGATCTAACACCTATGAGAATCTCGGAGTCAGTGAACCTCTTCTGTATTTTTCAGGAGAAGATGCATATGTCTTAAAGGAGCATGTAAAGTACCAATTCCGGAGTATGACTCGCAGAACAACAAGAAATGCGAAGTTATCATGCGAAAATTCGAGACTTACCCATGTTGGCAAGGTATTTGTTATGAATTGGAGACATCGCACGCAAATACGCATGGGTCAAATCAAGAGGACGCTCAAAATCAGACTCGTGTCGGCACACCTACGGCCAGTGTCAGTCAGTATGCCACCGGGACCAACGCTGGATGAGCCGTACCAGTCGAGCTGTATCTGCGTCCCTGTCATGAAGGATACGGATACGATTGATCTTGTATAATTCTCGTGCCTGCTTGGGAATATCTGAAGCTGGATAGTGTAGCCCTTTGCAAAGTTAGTTCGATCCATATCATAGAGTTTCTTTGACTTGCCTCGAAAAATGTCCGTACTCGCTTGAGGGTTGAGAAGCTCAGCGTCAACACATCCGTTCTTCTGCGAATCAAAACGGTAAAGCATCACTCGATGGAAGCCTGTCAACTCTGAAATTACGCCCACGACAACCTCCTCGACCGCTAGCACGGTGTTACAGTCGGTGATTTGTTTCTGAGCCTGAGCGAGAGCGTTGAACAGATCGAGTGATGAGAACTCTTTGTGCTTCCTCTGCCGTGCTATTTGGAGGACGGGCAGAGGTTTGCTTGCGCTGGTGGTGCTTGTTTTCAGATCCTCTGCAGAGGTCGCACCGAGTGATTGTACAGGAAGATCAGGAAGATTCTTGGCTGCTCTGAGATCCTTCAAGTAGAAGGCGTCGACATACTCCTCGAACTCACAGACCACCATTTTCTCAGGTTGTGGTGCCACGTGTAGAGCACACCAGAGGCGAGTTTCAGGCTCGTATGGGAAGGTGAGAGATATCTGAAAGACATCTAATCGAGTCTCTTTCTTGTTTGCATCTGCATATGTGAGGGCTTGTTCGATGCGCGCAACCATTTCATCGCGGACATCGTCCTTCAGGACATCCAGAAAAGAGCCCAATGCGAAGAGCTGTTCTGGACCATAACCAATAATCTTCCGCGTGTTCTCACTTGCGATTCTTACTTCGAGCTTTCCCTCGTTATTGTATTTCATACCCAGCAGTGCACCAAAGTTTTGGATCGCTCCTGGTATCTGCATTGATAATCTCGGAGTTAGTGAATCTCTTTTGCATATTTTGGGTGTAAATGCATGATTGCCTTTAGGGCACCGATTCCTAGAGTAGGACTCCCGAGACATCAAGAAATATGACTTTCAGACTTACGTGGATAGGCTCGTCTTCGCATACTCGGTACGACGCCTTTTCTTTGTTGTTGTCAAGAAGTACTTGAGGAGGACCTGATCTTGGAGCAAAGTATTGAGCCCTTTGCGAGACCTTTCGGTGCTCTCCCCCATCATTAGTATTGGTTATACTCTTGGACATTCGAGAGCTCTCGTTATCGCCCCCCTTGCTGGACACTTGTGGATCTGAGGCGCGTGTATGCGCAGACTCTTTTGAGGTGCGTGTATGTATAGACTCTGCGTCGTCATGCTTCTGGGGGCACTTTTTAGTGTTTGTCTTCCTTCGTACTGAGCGTCAACTTACAGCGCCATGCTGTCCATTTGTGGCAAGCCAAGGGATTTGCTCTGTATTGCCGCGCACATTACGGATTGGAAACACTCGCTCGCCTATGTGATCAAGGGGAGGCAAGAGTGAGCTCGGCAGCGAAGTCGGAAGTACTCGTTCTTGGTCTTGATCAGATGCTTTCTGAGAGTGATTCTTCCGACTTAAAAGCGATCGCATGGCTACGCGCATTTGAGTTGTCTTTGAAATTGGGAAGGTGTTAGTTATTGGGCATTCTGATTCCGAAAGTAAAATTGAAGAGTAAACTCGTGGTGAACGGAGATGAGAAGCAGAAGATAATAAAAGACCAAGTGATGGAGTGGTCCCTAAAGTCTCGATGATCTCTTACCATCCAGCAATGTCATGCCTTGTCAACGAGCACAAGCTGGAGAGGGGCCAGACGAAGAGGTTCCATCAAGTCTGGCTGTCTCTCACAAGCCCAGCCAGTCGGCTCTTGGCCTCGAGCCGGCTCTACTTCGTATGCAGTGAGATGGGGTCACAATGGTCGCGGTCGATCAGTGATCAATCGACGGCTTGTGGATTGTCAGACGAGTTGGTGGACTGCAACGACTCGCGGTTTGATAAAAAATACAGCGAGTTTTCGATATTGTTCTACCATCGAGTACTGGATGGTGTTGGCGTCTCGAAGGGCATAGCTAGACATTACTGTTGTTAGTCAATAGACTACCCTAGGGAAAGCAGCCGGGGGGTTGTATGATGGGATGAACGGGTCAGGTTCGGGAGGGGAGGATGGCGCAGAATAAGGTTGAGGCTAGAACCGCCACGGCCAGCTTGCATGTGCTGTCCCTTACTGGTGCCCTTACTGCAGGTACAGTATCGCTCCACAATCTGGGCAGACGAAGCACAGACCTGACAAAGTGTGAAGAATGAATGCTTAGGAGCACAGCACGCAATTTGGTTCTCTGTCGTGCACAAACACAGTTTCCCCATTCGGAGTATGCGACTTCCACAGGACGATCTGCGACGTCAGAATAAACTTCGTGGCTGCATAAATAATGAACATCCGAACGATAATGCATGCGCATTTGGACTTCGAAGCTGCTAACGAAAAAAAAAGAAAGGGTTAGCTCGACTGAACAAAATAGAAACGTTGTGATGTCACAGCGATGACAATTATTAACTTGTAGTTATCTCTCCCGGCACTCGGGTAAGGATCCGCTTGTACACCATCATCAGCGTTCCGTTTGACCACTACCTTCGTACTATTTTCTCGGCTCAACTATGTACCACCAATTCTCACTGGGGTTCGGGAGGTGATCTAGCGTATTAGCTTCATACAGGAGAGGTAAGGGATCGACGAGTGTGAGCATCTTTTCGTCAGCTAATACTCGTAATTGTGTTTAGGTTACTATCAGCAGCGGTTTTGGAGTGCTTCTTCAATTTCCGCATTGTACGCGACTGATGATCAACTGTGCTACCGAAAAGTTTGGAAGATTTTTTTTACTCTCTCTTGCCGTTAAACATCGTTTGGATAGGTGTTGTGAATCTCAGGCTCGGGTTGTGGTAGAGAAAGCTTCAGGCTGTTGAGCTCTCGCTTAAACCCCTATCAAGGAAGACTACTGTACAGTGCCTAAACCCCGCAATCATATTGTAACGGTCAACTAAAGTCAACAATCTGCAGGTCATACCAACGGCCATGGGGGACCTATCTCACTTACAGCACCCATCAAACGAGAGGAGGTTTTGCAAGAACATGATAGGGGAAGTTTGTCACCGGATGTCGCAAACGGTTCCGCACTGGCGTGCTAACCAACCCATCTGAAAAGTGTCGATTCAATATTGATCTTGTACCGAAACCTTGTGCTCGGTCTGTATTTTGAGTTCGATATCTCGAGATGATCCCCGAATCTCGATCGAGACTGGATAAACATACTTTTTGGTATGCAGAAGCGTCTGCATAGATCCAAGAGTAATCATGGTCGTAAATAGTGTGCATGCTAGCTGAATCTGCATAACAGCCCAATCTCGCTCGGACTGCCAGTGGATAGTGTCAAATATATCAAAAGTTCCTTCTCTTCTTCTCAATGGCCCAATGATCAGCTTCTATATCCTTGGGACTCGGGACAACAATCATGTGTCCACACGGTTTCGCTTATCTTGAATCTGTGAAAGGGATCATCGTTTCAAGCTGCAGGCTTGTTCTCGCTAAATTCTCAGGGGGAAAGCTCTCATTTGGCCGCGCACAAGAACAAAAATTTAGAGGCACGGGAGTAGGAATATGAGAACGAATCTTCGCCTTGTATCCCATTCAGAAATCAAGTTGAGATGTCGAGATACCCTTCGAATCGATGTCTGAAAGTCACTCTCTATGACTATCCACGTGTACCTAGGCAATCTTTGAGTTTTGGGGTCATTTCAGCATGAGCCCTGTGAAAGTGTAGACAGTGTCTCTCGCGATGCTCTGAATGCTGACAAAAGAGGCTTGTGGCCAGCAGAGGACGTGAGACGATCGTGATACTTCACACGTCCTGCTTCTCTCCTTGTCAATCGCGACGACACCTAAGCTTGCACTTGCGAGAAGGCCACGAGTAAAGCTGCTCAACTTCGGGAAAAACCACAAGCGATTGAGATCAAAGAGCTGTGGGTAAAGTGGGTGAGGAAATTTCAAGCTCGCAGATAAGGGAAAAGTAGTTCTGTCCTCAGAATCTGATCACAGTGATACCACGATGATGGAATCACCCAAATCATTGTTCAGCCGTTTTTCGGTATAGATGAGGACGCTAGACACCAAAAACTTTTGTACAGCAACAATAAGGACAGGGGGCTAGTCTTGGCAAATTCCTAAGATTGTTCGAAATAATTCGAGGAGACAGCAGAATGTTAACTACTTTCCCAGCTGGATACATACAGTGCCTAGGTACTTTGCGTTTGATAAAGGGTGCGTTTTGATTTCTCAACACCCATCCGAAAACCGAGATGTTACCGGCACGGCACTCTCACGAAAACAAGCATTGTGGCGTTTCGTGGATTGCAGCCAAGATACTTGGCAATGGAGATCGTATGGGGTAGAATGGGACAGTGCCGACGACATCTGATGGCAGTTTTCATCTTGGCTTCAAAACTTCTTCTATTGCAGTCAAAATTCTACAATTTTAAATCTTCGAGGACAGCTCGCTTGAAGGGTACGTCCGGTATCGTATCATTTATAAGATAGAGCTCGTAAGACGGGCTGATTTTCCCTCCATGAGGATGGTCCTGGTGCTCGACTATCGCGTTGAAAATCCACACCCGCAAGCTCATTATAAACACGACCAGAGCAGTCGGAATGCCATATTTCAGTCGGGTTCCGGATTCCAGCACTCATGCGCGCCCTGCATGTCGCATGGTCGATCTCTATCTTTCCGGGCATTCCGAGCTCTGCTTAGAATCCACAAAAACTGACAGATCTAACAATTTCCAGAAGCTGAACAGTTCCATTGCTCTTCTGGAAGCTATCGTATTATTCAACCAGTTCTTGGGAAGGACCGATATCTTGGTCTGTCAGCATTGAAAGAGGAAGGAGCTTGAAAAGCTTCCAAATCTTATTACCTTCGGATGACATGTAGAATCCTTGGATTGGCCCAGGCAAGGGCCGCTTATCCTCGGGGGTACTCGAGCAACTTTCGAGGTACAGTAATACAATAATCCTTTCCAATCAAAAGGCCTGCTGCCTCGAGCTGCCCTTGAGGCAACTTGAAGATAGAGACTCCACACGCACAACAATTGCCTCATATAGCGTCGGCGTTGAGCTCCGCGTCAGAGCGGCAACCGTGAAACGACCAGGGATTGGTGTGCTCTGCGGGGTATAACTCTATATTGTGCCACACGGGAAAGCTGTTTGCGCTGCTGCACGATGAGCTTAGATTGTGGGAGGTGCCAATCACCAGCTGCGATAGCTTCACTCCATGCTCACGCCGCATGGGCCTGATCAGATACGCTGCGCAGAGATAGGAAGGTCCTTTGCGCGGAGATAACCTGAAATGGTATGATCGCACCCAGTGGAGTGGCATGCTAGAAGTCATACAAGGGTCTTCGCCGGGTGAGTCGGTCCAATTTAATCCCTTCTCTTCGCTGCATCTTCTGATCTTTTGTTTTCATTTTCTCGTTCTTTGAATTCATTGCGTTGTACGGCGTTGTAAGATACATCTCGATTTCGCTGCAAACCTCATCATGGACGAGAAGAAGAGCACCGGGGACGACTCTCCGACCACACCACCCGTTGCCGCTGGACCAGTCAGCACTTACATCAAACCGCAAGCGCGATCACCCCACGACGCTGCTGTGACATTCGAAGAATACCATTGGTATGCGCTGAGGACGAGAGAGGAAGAGAAGACCCTCGAGTCTCCCAGGCTCAACTGGCGCGAATTTCTGGTTAAAAAGAAGGCCGGACATGATGAGAAAGCTCAGGGCGAGACTCATCTCACAGCAGAAAACTTTGCGAATGCGGAGAACAGACTCGAGATCTCCGACGAAGAATGGACAAATGCGAGTCGCGCATTTAGGACGGCGTCGTGGGGAGCTTGTTTCTACCTGATTACGACCGATATCCTGGGACCATATGGAGTCGGTTTCTCCTTGGGAACTTTGGGATGGGGCCCTGGTGAGCACGATAGTCGTGGAGATCTCTCGCAGTCTGCTAATCAGATATAGGAATTGCGCTGTACACGGTTTTTGGTTTCATGGCAGGCTATTCCGGATATCTCATCTGGCATGTGTTTTTGGGAATTGACAGCTATGAATTTCCGGCCAGAAACTATGGTGATCTTGGATTCAGAACGTGGGGCACAGCAGCTCGCTATGTGACAAACATAATCCAAGCTTTGGGCCTTTTGTTACTTTTGGGCCAAGTGACGATCCAGTACGGGGAAAACATTTCGCAAGTCTCCAAATTCAAGCTCTGCTATATTGTCTGCCCGGTATGTACCAAGTGCTCGAGAAAATCATTCAGGAGAGCCTCGGCTCCTCGATATTTTCCAGAAACACATACTAACTTGTCAAAAGGTCCTCTTCGTCTGTGTGGGTTTCTTCCTCACCCAGATCCGAACCCTAAAGGCGTACGGTTGGGTTGCAAACTTAGCTGTGTGGCTAAACTTGCTCGTCATCTTCATTACAATGGGTGTCATGGCACACTCACCGCCGAACTACTTGATCTCTACTCTGGGCTCAGCTGGTAGTGCCGTAGACCCAACGACAATCACACCTGATGATGCCGGCAATTATCCCCCAATTGTACATTACGGTGGACTACCAACAAACAATTTGGTTGGATCCATCAACGGGTTGTTGTCTGGTGTGCTCGCCTACGCCGGAGCCCAACTTTTCGTGGAGTTTTTGGCTGAGATGAAACGGCCCCGCGACTTCTTGAAGGCTATGTGGGGAGCACAGTTCTTTATATACACCGTCTACCTGATCTATGGATCCTATGTGTATCATTTCCAGGGACAGTACAGCTTCCAGCCTTCGTATCAAGGTGTTAGTATCTACGGATGGCAGACAGCAGGTAAGCCTCCATTCTCGAGTATTCATGACAGAATGCATACGAATGAAGACTTTTACGGCACTGCCTGAGCGATCGACGCTTGTCTCTCATTTCTGGAGCTTTGCCTCCTCCATATCTATTAGTAATGCCTGCTAACATATCTCTCCTCCTTCAGGCAACATGATTTCCCTTATTGCAGCACTTATCGCCGCTGGTCTTTACGGAAACATTGGCATCAAAGTGATGTACAACAACATCCTAATGGACATTTTCAACGCACCTCCCCTTGTTACCCGCCGCGGTAAAATCTTTTACGCCTCCATTGTTCCAATTTGGTGGTCTATCGCCTTCGTCATCGCGGCTGCAATCCCCGATTACTTTGGCTTTGTGTCTATCATATCTGCGTCTTGTCTGCTCAACTTGACATATACTCTGCCTCCATTCTTTGCTCTCGGCTACGATTGCCAGAGGAACGCCATCAGGCTGGAGAACGGAGAAGGCTTTGACCCGGTTACTGGTCAGACCTTCAGAAACGAGACGACTGTGCAGAGATACATGAGGGGTTTCATGAGCGGTGGCCCGAAGCAGGTCGCGATTAACGTTTGGCATGTAATCTATTTCTTGGCATCGTTGAGTATGTGTGGTTTGGGCATGTATGCCGCTGTTGAGGGTAGGCATCAATTCTTTGATATTTGATATTAATTGACATTTTGCAGGTATGATCATCGCGTTCAGGAACCCACAACTGAACTCGTTCTCTTGTCGATCACCTTTGAACTTGAATGCATAGAATGGCGAGCGGGAGGAATGGAGGGGACGAGGTGGCAGCAGATATTGGATGATGTGAATAGGAGGCAATTAATGCATAATGAAGTTGTGAGATGGGCTTTTGATGTGTATCTAATGGTCATGACTACTCCCTCAAGATCTCTTGTGCAACCAGAACCCAAATTTCTTACGTCAAATGTGACAAATTTTACTTGCCAGGGTAAGGGATCAGACGGGACTGCGACCAGCAGCAATGCCCAGTCGAAGAACTCTCGTCGTTGCCAGAAATATCTGGAAGAACAAGAAATCGGATGAAGGGTACTGAGACACACAGCCCACAGGGTCAAGGCCAATACTCTAGTAGCTTTGTACAGCACCAAAGAAGCACATTGAGTCACAGACAGAAAAAAAATTCTCTCGGAGTCATCCACGGTCTTTGCAACCCCCCCCCCCCCCCCACAGCGAATTCCCAATCCAGACTACCTCTGTAACCAGAACATATAACTGAAAGTCCTAGCGCTATTGAGCCCAGCCCGAAACTTGAGCATCGGAATAAGATTGGTAGGAGGAAAGCGTGAAGCTTAATGCCACATGCGAAACGGGAACCAAGCAAGCGTAACAAGCCCATAAGTCGGAGAAGAAACAGATTTCCACCATGTAACTTGCTGCCATTGTAACACTTGCCTTGACGGCTTCTGTGACTCTCGCCATCAGTCCTCGGCATTTTCTCTGCCGTGCCTACCTTAGTCTCCTGTTATGTCCTGAGATGTAGTAATTCTCTCTCCCTATTGTTCGCCTGCTCAAGATTGTTCGCCGGACTGATCGTTAAGGATGTAGGAGCGAGATTGTGAGGACCGAGCCCAAACTGCATTCTCAGCTGCTGTGGTCAATTTGGCATCTCTTGCGTATGTATTTATATCCAGGCATGAATCTGCGGGTTATGCTTTGGTGTGCTGGAGCAGGATGCCGACATCCAGGCACAGGGACCGATTGCGGTGCTAATTCGACTGGATGGAGTCGCATTCGTCATAAGTGAGGGAATACACGAGAGGGGTATTCGAGCCTCTGTCGTTCATGAGGATTTTGGGTCAATTGTGTGCTGGTGGGACTCACTAGGAGTGGTATTGCGATGTGCTGAATGTTCCAGGCAATTGAAGGATGGGCTTCATTCTTAGTAATCGACACGCTTCAGCCACCGCTATTTCTAGCTCCCTGTGGCGGTACTGATGCCCTAAAACTCAGCGCCGAGCAAGCCCAATTTCACTGACAATCAGGAAATCAATCATTACTACAATTTGTACTTTCTGGAGGACAAGAAAGAAAGACCCGCAGCATCACGCCCCTTCTTCATTGGATACAACTATTACCTTCTTAAAACCAAAGATTGGCACACCTATTGTACACAAAATCAGCTGGCTCCAGTACTTGTTAGCCGCACTGGTCCTTCCTTGACGTGCCCCCCCATCTGCCCCGCCATCGTCGCCAAGCTCACAACGTTTGAACTTTTCTTCCAATGAATTTACCATCTCACACCATTCTTATGCTCAAAACTGGCTAATCTATTCCGTCATGATGAAGTCAGGGTTCCCTCGCAAGCGGGCCGTTCAGGCTTGTCGCATGTGTCGGCACCGGAGGACAAAATGTGACAATGCCCGGCCGTCTTGCTCGATGTGTCTTACTCTGGAGGTAGAGTGTGTCTATGGTGATAAGAATGACAGGTTCTGTACACCTCTTATCGGTAAATGTCAAGATATCACTGACACCAACTCAGCCTGGATCCTGGTAGTCTAGCAATTTTGAAACGCCTTGATGGTTTAGAGCAGCTCATTCGTGCTAGCAAGACTGAAGATTTATCTATCACCCCAGGCGGTGGAGGGCCATCATCTCGAGAGTCTTCTTCCAAGTTCGGCAACTCACCATCGAACCTAAATTATCCAGCCCCAAGACATCTTGCTGATACTGCCGAGTATCGCTACCATGTCAATGTCGAATCGATGCTTCAGTGGCCAGTATTTGAAAATCAGAATATTGATCAACGCGCCAATTTGAAATGCCTTTTTCATCCGATGGGCGAGATAAATAGAGAGCTACAGTGGTCTCCATCTGATCCGGATCTCCAAACCGAAGAAGTTGACAACGCGTTGCATAGCTTTTTCGATCATGTGCATATTTTCAATCCGATCTTTGAGGAGATGAAACTCACTGAGCAGTTGCAAAATGTACGATTGAATGGCTTGGGATGGAACCCCGAGTCATGCTTAATTGTACGTACTGCTCTCGTTCTTCTCCTTAATCGTCACTAAAGCTGGTAGCTCCTGACTTGTGCTGTGGGACTTGTTTCTTGCTCTCAAGAAATGGATCCGGCCGACTCTTCGATGATGTTCCGCCGCTCGGAGACCTTCCAACTTGCAGAGTCATTCTTTTTCTCGGCACAGAAAAGAATGGGACCTCTTCTGACTGAGAGGACCGCTATAGGAGCCCAATGTTTCTATATGGCGGGATATTACTTGGCAACGACGATGAGGCCATTAGAAGCCTGGAAATTGCTGAACCAGTCTCTCTCCTGCTGTCAAACGCACCGTCGTTGGGATAGCACTGCTACCGAAGATGAGCAACGTAGAAGTCGGCTACAACAGAGGACATATTGGGCTACTTTCAAGTCTGAACTGTAAGTAGCCTCAAGCATGATGTTGATAGTGCTAATAAGTTTGATATTTATAGGGAGATCTGCCTTGAACTGGACCTTGCACAAGACAGCATCAACAATCTTGCTTATCCAACTTTCTTCCCGTCACCGCCAGAGTGCCTAGAAACTGAACTAAGAGTCGGTTGGTACTTCTACCTTTCGGATATTGCCATTCGTAGGCTCAAGAACCGATGCTTGAACGTACGTCAAATTTTGAAATTGTTTTGTGTTTGGCCTAGGAGCCCAGGACCTTGGCACTCTTCGGCTCCTAGATCTCCATCGGCAGTGTGTACTGATTGATTTATAGTACATTTATCAATGCGAACGATCACAAACATCTACAGCAGATATGGTGGAAGAGATCATAAACTTGGAAAAGGAAGCGGAAGAACTGTAGGACTTAATTTAATAAATGACCGAGCAAGCTAACATATGCCTCTAGATCTACCATGCTGCCTGCTGAATTGAGAGGTGGTACCCAAGATATCGAAGATCAGTTTCACTATCCTAGATCTACTATCGCGAAGATGCGAGTTGAGCTTCAGATGCACCTACTTGACTGCTACGAGATTATGTATTGGCCATTTGCAGTCAACATCATTTCTCGACACGTAAAGGACGACTCAACATGTCTCAGCTTCGCCAGTAAAGCCCTCGCTATCTGCACCGATCGAATAACCAAAAGCCAAACAAGGTACAGGCAACGACAGTACGGGAGTTGGCTGATATTGAGACGGAGCACACGAAGTGCATTGCTTCTTCTTGCTGCCAATCTCACCCCTGGATTGAGACAGATCCTACCTCCTCAATGGAAAGGCTCCGTTTTCATCGTCATTGAGATGCTTCGGTATTGGGCAGAAGAGTTGAACGATGCTTCACACAGGTTGACGATATTGGAGACGCTATTGAGGAACATCGAAACAAGCAGGACGACGAGTGCGATGGAAATATGAAATTCCTTTATCCGCCAACCAAATATGTTGCGCCAACGCAAAGATTTCCAGAGAACAGACGAGTCAGCTGCCTAAGCCTGAGAAAAGCCGAGACTATGAACTGGGTGATCCAATCGAAGTAATCTACCATAAAAGTAGAAGAGGGAGGGGTAGGCGAGTGGTATATAAGTTGAGGTTGAGGCAGAGGTTGGAATGTCCAGGCAAATGATGGGACACTTGAGCAGCTAAACGCTGTCCTCAAGGCTGCCATACCTATTTTCCTCCTCCAATACCTCCAACACTCAACACTCCTGCAGTGCCTAGCAAGTCAGCTACAGTTATTTACTACGGTACAGAACATGGCTCACCCAGAATGTGTTTCTTGGCCAGCAAACCGCCTTCAAATCCGACGAAGAAGACTGGCAGTATCCAAAGAATAGTCTCCACTATTACTTTGGGAACATACCACCAGGCTTCCCGTCGCCCTCGGAAGTAAGCTACTAAGCGGATCACCAAATATGCTGTCCCAAAGCAATTCCAGATCGCAAGCAACTTGTACAAGTCGTCGTAGAATTGGACAGAGGAGAACTTCATGTCCGGTTGCAAAGTGGAGAGTACGGCGCTGCAAAACATTCCTACAAGCAGATGTGATTGAATACTCTCAATTTGTTCGGCGTCCATTTTGTACTCTTGGAAAGGGCCAGGAGTCTTCATGGATAGATTTGAGAAGAGAAGCTGGGTGATGCATAATGAAGAGTGAATCAAGCGGTCTGATATATGATACCAATATCATTCAGAGTTGTTCATCAGGCAAGTACGGCTCTAATCCATTCTCTTTGAGTATTAATCCTCACTACACCACATCGACTGTGTTGGTTTCTCAGAGACGTCCCGAGTATACGCTGGATGCTTTGCCAAGACTCTTGCTCTCCTTGGTTTAGCGCAACTCCGAGCTTCCGCGGCCCAATTAGCATTGGCACCAGAACCATCGGAACAGTTGCTTCAATTTATTCAACTGCTCCGCTCCGTTCAATGCAGTCCTCTCATCGGCAAAGTTTCCTGCCACTCGTCACAGACTTACCAATCATACATTCATTTGTCTCGGCATCCAAACTGGTATGCATAGTGCTACCCTCGGACGAAATCTCAGGCCAATAAATCAGGAATCACTCGCATTCCAAAAGAGATTCCAGTTTTAGCAGGATATGCGAATACCACTCTGCTGCTCATTTCTCTGTTCGTTCTCGTTGAGATGTGAGTAATGACTTAGTTAATCGGTCCGACATAATCTTACGACATTCAAGTTGGGGATGTTCACATGGAGCTACGCAGATCTTTGAATCATCCGGTCAAACGAGAATATTGAATCCAGTTTTACACTCAATTACTCTTCTGCCCGGATCAACATTCAATGACCTACCCCTCGACGCAAGATTCATCAGTGCTGTCCGCCACGCCTGAAGCAACAGCATCCTCGATTGGCATGCTACCATTGAGCATCCAAAACTTAGTTGGTGCTCTCACAAGTACCTCAGCAGTCTTTTGACGAAGCATCGAGTCGAAGACACCATCTAGCTCCAACATCGGCGAGATGAAGTCGTATAGCCCATGCAAGAAGTCCGGAGGTCCCAGCTGACCTGATGAGCGTTTGGCTATTTGTGGATTGCAGAGAAGAGTGTCTGCCAGCGTGTTCGCGACTTCGAATAGCTTTACCAACTGTGCAGTAAAGTCAGTTATTTCCCATGTTTCACATTCGAATTTCAAACCTGATCACGACCTAGTGGTACCAGGTCTTGCGTTGAAAACAGACGTATTCGTCTCAGGACTTCTTGGCACACCTGAGCAGGATACACGAAGGTCATGAAACCGCAACTCGAAGATGATGACAAGAATCCACGCGACATTGCCTGCTGCCAAAGAAGGATCTTCATCCAATTTGTTGTTGCCAGGATATCTGCCTGCTGGCTTATAGAGAAGTGCTTCGGAGGAGGTGAAGTGTTGGCGAAGATTCCTTCAAGTTCGATGAGTCGATACTTTGAGACTGGAAACTCTTTATACCTCGAGAATTGCGGGACGGATGAGGAGTCAAAGGCTACAAAAAGACTTGCTAAGTTGGTTAGTCCTTGAACGCAGACATCGCCTGCAGACTTCTGGATGGAAGAGAGTGACACTGTCTCATGAAGTGAGATCGGTAGACCGTATTGGATGGCGTAGCCCCTATCCAGTCAGTCAAATTCAAAATCCAGATCCGGAAAGGTCATTGGTACCTTTCTGTTACCCACAATAGAAGATATATGATCCTCCCGTTCGCAACGTCCTCAGACGGACTTTCCTCACAAGTGCCCTCGTTGCCATCCAGATGCAACAATCGCGCTAGGGAGATGGCCTCCTGGATATACAGCAAAGCACTATTCTGATTGTCCATCTTGGCATGGTACACATGCAGGAAGAACGAAGTCAGAACATCCTTGAGATCAGGCTGTTCTCGGAATTGAGATGCAACTCGCACACGTCTGCATTCGCGCTCCATATCCTCGCTTAAGAATGTCCGAGCTTCGTATTGGAGGGGTGATATGTGCAATTGAGCCATGGTGGCAGCACACAAAGCCGTTGCAACAATATAAGTATCTGTATCATTGGCGTGCAGATTCCTTAGCAGACTTTGCGAGCCGATAACAGGCCAAGTAGGGAACATTCGAGCTTCGTATGCCTCGATGATGGTCTCCAAAACGGCAAGAGGTATGAGTGAGTTCTCTTCGCTTGGTTCAAGTGATGAAGTGGGAGGAATTTCGGTAACAGAATTAACATCCTGACAAATTTCAAGATTTGTTTGCTCAAGTTTTTCATCACGTTGTACCAAAGGTCGCTGCCTGAGCTCTGCTCCCACTCTGCATCGCCTCTTTGAGAACTTTGGACCTCGCTTTCGAACGGGCGTAAGATATGTGCAAGAAAGTCCTGGTCGGGCTGAACATTTCTGGCATGGGACGCTCCCATCACCTTCACAACGAGTTTTGCGTATGATGCAAGGATCGCATGATCTTTTCATGGCCGAAGGCATGAGATTGAATCAGCGTGTCTCTCCAAAGTTTGTAAAGCTCGTAAACCTCGAACGTAAGTTTTGATGTAGTCTGGACATTAAACTCCGCGTGGGTTCTGAACGTGGGGGTACTGAAGCGAGAGCGGTCTACTAAAGTAGACAATATGCATCGGTAATTCCATGCACCAAGCGGAAGTCCTCCACTTGCGGGGAAATTTACTTAGCTCCGGAGAATCATGACCAATGGCAGTTGAATGTGAGAGCCTCATGTTTCTCTTTCCCCTTGTGATCCTGCTTACTTATGTTTGACGTGTCCAATGAATAGATCTCAACGACAACAAATGACAATGGAGTATACATTTCGTATCGAAGGAAAGACTTGAAGAGTGTGAATATCTATTTGCAAAAAGTTACATACAGAATAAAATGCATAATGACTCCTGCCAATTTACCAACCGCACCCGAGCTAAGGTACCAAGTAAGACGTTCCTTTCAAATTCGCCATTCTGATGTTCGAGTCGGATTGTACGCTTTCATTCAATGAAGCTCAGACTAAAGTCCATGTCTGCCATTAGAGATTAGATGAATCCAGAAACGAATGAAAATCGGCAAGATATCCAGAGCAGAAACAGAGTCGAAAGTGACCAAGATCAACCTAACTCCATCTCTTCGTCCTAGCGTACAACAATTCTTTGCAATGAAAACCCTCCAGGGCCCGATAGACCAACGGATTACGTAAAAGCAGAGCATACAGAGCTTCAATCATTTTTATCAAGTCTCTGTTATATAGTAAGATTAAATTCTGCAAAATGGAACACAATTGTGTTGGGTTTGTTTGCGTCTAAATTTCGACACTGGTGGGGCTTATCTACAACAAAAGTTAAAATAAATTGAAGAGATTAGGGCGAGCCTCCGAATGTATCTAAATAGCAAGGAAGTGGATCAAAAAAAGTATTCTTGGACACGCTGGGAATCGAACCCTGTTGACTGTTAGTTGAGTGTTTATGACATTGATCTGTTCTGTGTGACTTACCAGGACCTTTCCCAGGTATAATGAGATGCTAAGGGAAAATTATACCACTAAACCACGCGCCCCTTATGATTGAATGGAAAGAATATGCATACTTGAATCCATGAGGAGATTGGGGGAGAAAGCAAAGCTCCACAAAATGGTGGGCGAGTGATTCACGTGATGCTCGGTGGCTAACTACCTACTTACCTAGGTAAGTTCTGTGTTTTGTAGATAGAAGGATCATATTGAGTAATCATATAAGTACAACAATCTCTAGATCTATGACTATCAAGCTGATAATTATCTCTATCTATCAGATTTCAGGATATTGGGAATCAATTTGCGCTGTTTGAAAACGGATTGTTATGAAAACATTACACGAGTATGCTACAAACGCATCTTCCTGTCTTCGAAATCCTTTACATAAAGTCAGAGGTTCAACTCCTCCTCTCCCTTTCGTTCCTTGCCACCTTCAATTCCACACTTAAGTAACCCCAAACCCAACAACAACCTCTCCATTAGAAATTGTTCACCCCAAATTCCCAAACACTGCTCAACCCTTCAACATGGCGAAAACATCCTCATCCTGGTCAACACGGAACGATTTCGATGGCGTGAGGAGAGGCATGTCTTCGAGATCTGGGACGTCAATCACAACGTTGATGGCTGAAAGCAGTCGTTAGCGTGATGAGATTAGGACGGAGCGGATTGGAGAAGCTGACCATGATGTGCAAGCATAGTTGCTGGTAATGCAGTCGCGAACTTTAGAGAGAGGAGGAGTGCGAATATTTTCATTGCGAGTGTGGGTCCTGGATTGCTAGATTGTTGGATGAATTGGGAATATGAGCTGCCCATCAATGAATGCACAGTAGGATGTAAAGAATTCGAAAGAACTCTTTGTATCTTTCACATGTCTATCATCGACAAAGATACTGTACTACCACTCGAAGCACAGCAGTCCGCTTTGGACACAAATTGAACGTAACATGCTGCTTGCCGAGACTTGCTATTTGGTGAGTACTGGATGAACATCGCGAATCTCCGAACCTGTCACTGAGTGTAACCAGATGAATTCACTGGAACACCAATAGTTACACCCCCATTTCAAAGTAAAGCAACATCACCATGCCGAGAATTCTGGGCGATAAGGAGACATACGAGTATAACGAACGCTGGGTATGTTTATTTCTACACTGTACAGAATGCTGCTTTTGGAATTCATATACACTTTTTGCCCCCTTGTAGACACTTCACTTGACCTCCTTACTCTTAGAGCTTCCTGACTCCTCCTCGGAGATAGTAGGCTCCATACCCATAACTTCGCCATTGGCCAGTTGTTCAATGTTGACTCTCGGTCCACTGAAGTTCTTCTTTCCGTCGACGAACCATTGGACTATTGAAATGACTAATATGATGAAGAATACGACGACGCAATAATCTGAATCATGTTAGCTTCTGTAGCAGCTCTGTTAAGAATGAAGGAGACTCACTCATGTTTGAGCCCGTTACTGGTAAGTCGGGTGGGAAGAGGAACAGAACTGTGGTCACGATGACGTATGAGAGGCCAATCTATTGTTGGTCAGCATCAATGATTCTTGTTTCACCGAGTGCATCAGCGGCATACCAAGTTAGCGGTCCATCCGAGAAGTCCACCAAGCTTAAAAGCCCTTGAAGCAGGCAGCATCTTCCTTCCTCGGATACAATTGATGGCGATGGGAATACCGTAAGAGACGCCGAGAGCGACGACGGATGCTGAGATGATGGCATTGAATGCACTGTTGGTGTTAGCTTTCCGCCCGAAGGATTTGTAGGAGAGTGTTGGAAGAAATACCTGCTAGATCCCAAGAAAATGCAACCAAAAATAATAACAAGAACAACGGTGAGGTACAGAGCATTCAGTGGAAGTTCAAGCTTAGGATGGACCTTGGCGAAAACTCGAGAAAACGGAAGTCCTCCATCTCGGGCAAAAGCGTAAGTCATGCGACTTGATGTTGTCATAATGGAGATGGTTGCGAAAAGCAGACAGACGAGTGGGAAGCTGTTTTTGTCAATGTCCGTCCGTTCTAGGAGATCGATTGAAACTCACATCAAGAGACAAATTGATCCAGCTTTGCTGCCGGTAGCATTGTAGAATATTTGAAGTAAGGGCCCAGCTGCTGAAGAGATGACACCATCCGGACCATCGAGTGGTCCTGAAACAAAGAGCAAGACCATCAAAAATATGAAGCCAGTGAAGATACCAATTCCGACACAAGCAATCATTATTTTCGGGCCCTCGACTGCGGGATTGGGAATTTCTTCAATCACTAACGTTCCTGTCAGCACCATTCGTACCAATTAGAAAATGCCAATAACGTACTGTGTGCAACAGCGTCGTAACCAGTCAGTCCAAGTCCAGCCTGCAAAAGTCCCAGTAACCATGCAATTCCATCCGGCCATCCTGTCTCGTTCAAGAATTCCGTAAACACAAATTCAGCGCTCGAATAGTTTGGGCTGGAGCAAGATAACACCGTGATGGAGATGACCACGAATCCCAAGATCGACCAAATGAATGCACCTCTGGTGACCAACGGCAGGACGCCAGTCATGAAAGCATTGATTAGAAAGGCAGCAAGATTATAACCGATATAAATTAGGAATTGATGCCAGCGCTGGGGAGAATAAGTAGGGCTCATGAGAGAGATGATTCCAACGATAAGTTGGGAACCTAGAAGTCCACCGGAAGCGACGAGGGCGATCCAACCTGAGGTGTTGATCCACCCAGTAATCCAAGAGAGGAGAGGAACCCATCTCTTCCAACTGATGACGGCAACCCAGTGATACTGTCCGCCTGCAGTTGGATACGCTGACAGAAACTCGGCAAGAGAGACAGCCAAGGATAAATTACAAACACCAGCAGCTGCAATTCATGTGAGCATCTCCTCGAGTAACTTGGAATGAGGGAAACATACTGATCAAACCCCAAAGCACACTTGTAGGACCACCACTTGGCAAAGCTAAGCTAAGAGAAGCCGCCAGCGCCGTCCAGGAATTCAAGATTGCGAATGCCAGACCCAACATTGCCAGCGGCGAGAAATTCCTATTCAATTCACTCTTATGACCCAATGCAGCCAGCTGAGCCGCATCTGCGTCGTTCTCCGGATGGTGAGGCATAATGAAGAATGTCCAGAAGCCACTCCTTCTTGAATATCCAAAAAGAAAAGAAAGAAGAAAATATTTAAAGACAAATCTCGAGAACCAGAAACGCCGGACGTCCCTGAAAGCTTAGTCTCGACAGCAGACTATCCCACGCCGTCCCCGCCAGGCTAGAAAAAGACACCGACCCGCAGATAGAACATTCGAATCCTTCTGATAAGAACAGTGACAAGATGCAACTGGTCACGTCAGGGCCAGGGAGAAATAAAGTGCTTAGGAGAGCATCAGGGAAGTGAAGAAAATTGCAAACTTGTACGTAAAAAAGTGGTACTTCGTCATCGTGCACGATCCCTGCCTCCGGAAGCTTAAGTGCGGTCATGGTTCGAGAAGACTCGTACATACCCCGCATTTTTGGATGGACATCAAAAGCAGGAAACGATGAATATTAGATAAGCTTGGACTGCCGTGTGAGGTTTTAGAGAGAGAAGATACTGTATATCTGGAGGCAAATACATGTTGCGGAAAAGTGTTGTTCTGGTGGCACAGAAAGATCTCCACTTCTGAAGTCTCAAGTCTCGGCGGATTTTTGTTCGCTAACTTAATCTGGTGTAGCGAGAAGAAAGGGGTAACAGATGGAGGAAAAGATGATCCCAGGTGTCGTCGTTCTTTCACCTCATATAAATCACAATTAATCGAACCACATTGACTGCATATGCTGTTACTTCCCCACGGAGCACTGCAACTCGGACGAGATACCCAATCACGTGACCATCAAATCAGGACCAGGCCTGTATATATCTCAGGCACCGTAAGATGAGGAGAGAGAAATGGGCTGATATTCTAGTTGCTAGCTAGGCAAATTGAGAGTCATGATCAAGTATTGACACATATGTGTATGTGATAGAAAGAAGAAAAGCTTCTGTCGTAGTCATAAGTTACATTTATCATTACAAATTATTTCTTTGACCAGTTTTCGTATACAATCTGGCACATGAGAATATACAAGAGAAGTGCCGGGATGTATCGGAATAGATCAATAAGACAGGGACCATCTCGTGAAGGTTCCCCCAAAAGCTGACATGAGGTTGCGGAAGAAAAGATGAACCGATGACAGCGAGACTAATTATTTATGTAATAGTCAGGTTGAATGTTGGGGAACTTGGGGTGACCTCAAGGATAGCAGGTCCTGTGGAGTATTAGCATGAGAAGAAAGTATTGGAATGGGTCCACTCACCAGCCAAAATGTTGGAGTCGGTCAAATTTCCAGAGTTGTCCTTTGTAAGGAACACATACCCTTGGCCTGAAACCATAGCGGGAACGGGCACCATGATCATACCATTGCTACTGCTTTGTGGTGCAACAGCAACGATGTCCAGACCGCTGACGAATGTAGCATAGTAGGTGCCTGATGGCATGGTCTTGGGCTCAAGGTCGATCAAAGCACTTGGAGCTGTGGGAGAACCGCTGACCAGGGTGAGGGCAGGGTAAGCTGCTACCGGAAGCGCCATGTTTGTCGACGGGCAGGAAGTGATGAAAGCGCTGGCGATTGAGTAGGTCGCATTGATGCCCATTGGGGTGCCAAAAACGTTGGCCATTGGAATCTCGCCGATTGCACCACGAGTAGTAGACTGATGAAGAGCCTCAGTAACTAGAATGGCACCTGCAGCGCTGAGGTAGGCCTTGCTTGTAACGAGAGGTGCAGCTCCAAGATATGCTGAAACTCCGACGCCTTCGATGACTGATGCGAGAGCGATGAACTCCTTGGGTGTAGTCATTGGGAAGTCGTAGGTGCAAGCTGCAACTGGCATGGCTCCAGCTGCTGTGAGACCGGCCTCCAAGTAGACGACATGTCCCTCCTCATCGTGTGCAATGTACTTGAGGTCGTTGTATATCGAGGCATTAAATCCAGCTTCGACGAATGAAGCTTGGTCCCACATGGAGAGTGCTTTCTTGTAGAAAGCATTCTCCAGATGCTCGAGCGTCAAGGCATATTGGAGGATTATTGCGTCGATATCGGTACTGGCAGATTGTCTCTTGGTGGGTGCAGCAGAAGCAATGGAAAGTAGGCCAGTGACGGCTGCAGCAATGGCTGAGAAACGCATCTTTAAGTGTGGAGATTGATTGAGGATGAAGCAAGAGGCAGTAGATGCAGTAGATGAGAAGATGCGAATGTTGAGATGAGGATAGAAGAGAACACAGTCAAGACGAAAGCACTATATATGTTATTTTTACCAATTTGGAAAAGGATGGCCTTGCCATTCTTTTTTTCGCGAACCGTGACAAAGATTTGAATATTCATCACGACCGGAAGTAGAAAACATCCGTCGATGAGCATACTAAGGAAGAAAACAATTCTGATCACTCTTTCCATTGGACAAGGTTGTAGAGTATGGGGCCTCTCTGGTTGGTTGGTGGAGGCGATGTTCAGATTTCTTTGTTGTTCGTGATAGACATGATGATGCACCAGATGCTCGGGTCGTGGGAGGCCGGGTCTAGAGGAAGTTGCCGTCCGGATAGGGTGTCGAAAATTCTATTCTTCTGCTTTGGGACGACTTAAAATTCTTAGTGGCCCAAATCCTTTATCCCACCAGATCCAGAATGTGGGGTAGACATAGAAGCACCCATCACTACAACCTCGGAGATAGGTAATTAATATACAGCGGCAGGAGCACACTATGCTCTCTCAGCCCATAAATGCCATGGTTTTTTTCGTGTGGAGGAGGGGTGCGAATTATGATTTGCATGCGATGCCGTGGATCGAACTATTGTCAAATGTATCAATCAATCAATCAATCAATCAATCAATCAATCAATCAATCAATCAATCAATGTCTTTGGGGTTTTCGAGATATCGAGAGTACCTACCGCTGTTGCGCTGTCGATGGTCTGCTCGGCACGTCGTCATCCTGTCATCTCGAAGAATCATGGTCTCTGGCGGTGGCAATTAGACCATTGAAGGGCTTTCCCATGATCAGATGAACGATTCTTTCATCTTTCTCGAAGCCATCAATGGGAAGATCTGCAACGGAAGACAGCTCTCCCGAGAGCGACTTTAAGCTCGTGCGCTAAGACCGCATCGGGAGCTATAAGCGAACGGTTGATCGGCATCCACCTGCAGAGTTGAACCCTCGATTTGTGTTTTGTTTGCAAGGCTTCAACGTCCTCGGGAAACGCCCCTCTTTGTACGAGATCTTTGGACCAGATGAGGTCGACCATCAATCGCAGAGCTTCTTATGCGACGTATTCTGTCTTTAATAATTGGCTAAAACCATGCTATGCTAAGCTCCCCCCATTTCACCACCGTCAATATGCTAGCTGATAAGGTTGTGTACATAGTGATAATCTCCTTCCTTACGTCGACCACTCTGGTTCCTTGCCCTTTCCTTCCGACTCACTTCGCCGCTCTCTTCGACGACGTGATATCCGTGTATCCCAGTCGAGTCAACTTCTTTCTTCATCAGCTCTTCTTCGAAGATATCATGTCGAAGCTCCCACGGAAAAACATCCTGGACGCCGCTTTCAAACGAGCTTGATACGCAGAAATCGATGATATATCTGCGTAGGGCATCGCCTGGGACTGTATTGTTATAGACGAACCCGAAATATTTCGTCTCAATCTGCATGTCATCTAAGCGGATCCTCATCTCGAGCATATCGATCGCCTGATCCTGAAGCCGAGCCATTCGCAGTCTACTTGCCAAGACCCAGAGCTTCATCAGTCGTCATTGATAGGCTGGTTTGCCTCGTGAATTCACAAGCAAGGTAGTGCCAGGCAGACAATATACTTGACCGTACTCCACTGTACGAGAAGGCCAACGACATCCACATCCATATCTTCCAATACGCGTTTCAATCTTTCTCCGTCTTCACGGCAGATACCAGCCAGTACTGGACAATGGCTGCTAAGGATTTCTTGATGAATAGAGAAGACGTGATGACCAAGCGATATTTGCACTATATCTGGAAGAGGCTTGAGAAAAGTAGGCGGTTCCTGGTCTTGGTTGCTTCGCACAGACGGAGACGAAGAGAATGAGGTCGAAGTCATTGCTGAAGGCATAAATGACTCTTGAAACGAGACCAACGGCCGAGAAAAGGATGCCCAAGCAGAGTTCTGAGAGGTTTGCTGGTTGCCATCGTTTCCGATGTCTGCGGACCCGAGTTGGGCGCCAGAGGTCATGTTTTTGTGTTCGAATTCGTCATAAACACTCTGAGATCTCGCTCTACCTGTTAAAGTTCTCGGCTCTTCAAGCGGTGTCTTCGCTTTTCTCTCCCTCTTTAGTGCAGGCTTAGGAGAAACCTTCTCACTTCGTACTGCATAATTCCGTACTGGACTTTCAAGTCGTGCCTTAAAGTCTTTCATGACTTGCGGATCTGGCATTTTCAGTTTGCGAGAACGCTCAAGGGTAACTGGCTGCTCCATCAAAGTCTCCTGAAGTGATTGATCCACAGGGTTGAGTGATTGCAGCCCGGAAGAGATTTTGGGACCAAAAAGAGCTCCAATAGTCGTCGCCAGTTGTGAGTCCGAAGCGTCCGGAGCTCTGAGCTGTAATTTCGGGGTTTGTATTCGAGAACGCTCAGCGCTTGAAGGTACTTCCTGAGTTCTGCGACCCTTTGGCGTATCTGGCGTCTGCGGCGTGGTCGTCTCATCTTGCCTGTTCTTTGGGTACTTGATACCTGTGACTTTGAGTCGCTTGGGATATTGACCGCTGAGGCCCTTGATTTCCTTGAAGGACTCGAGTCGTGGATTTCATTAAGTAATGAATTGTAGTATCTGATATTATCCAAGTCACATATGCTCAAAGAAGCAGATGCTCGACTGAGGGCATTATCGATGATTGGATTTTCAGTCACAGTTGGCTCTGGGGTTGTAGATGATGTTTCGGACGGTCTTGCAAGAGCGGTGGATTGTAGTGTCGAGTTCGCTTGCGTTGAAGCATCCGGATTTTGTTGTGGTGTTGGTGATAATAATGTTTGTACCAAATTTGACTTCTCTTTTCCCCTCAATGACTCTCCGAGGTCGAGTTCCTCATCTGGAGTCGGTGATATTAATGTGCGTGCAATATCACCACCTTTTGGTGTCCTCGAACCTACTCCTAGACGTGGAATTTCAACCGCAGGTTTCGACTTCTGCAATGCCCCTCTCGACTCATTCTCTGCATCCCCCACCCGACTTCCTACACGCCCCGATGCCTCTCTACGCTTCACCTCCTCATCTCTCCTCAACCGCTCACTCGACTTCGAACCCCCACCGACCTTCTTAGGCGAAGCCACCGACTCTGTTCGCTCCAAACACACCTTCTTCATAGGATTCTGCACCACCTCATCATCAGAATCAGAAACCAAGTCAATAATCTCAACAGTCTGCATCCTCTTCTCATTTTCTCGACCCCCTGGCTCTTTCAAGGCGCTGACGGTTTGCTTCCAGTAAGGAATGGGTGTTTGTGATCGTTTTCGTTTCAGTGGAGGTGGGGCGGAAGAGGCTCGTTTTGGCTTGGTTGGTGATATTGAGTGTTGTGGGCGTAGTGATGAAGTCGAGGGTTGTACTTGCGTTGGTATTTTCGAATCTGACATTTTGGCTGGTTCTCGTGTTCGACTTTTGTTGAATGGCACTTTTTGGGGGGAATTTGAATGAAGTGGCTTGGATATTTGAGAACATGTTACACTTGATGTTGGAACAGTCTCCGGAATCGGATTATGCTTTTCCGCATCCATAGCCATACTTTCAAGCTTCTGGGTACCCGCCTTTTCAAGTTCAGGAGTTCGAAGTTTCAATAATAGTCTTGGTGAATTCATGTCTCTCTTTTCCTCAATAGTTGAGTGACGGCTAGGGGATACATCTCTCTCTTCGGGCAAAGGTGAGAGGACGGTGGGTGGCGAGCCCCATGTTGAACCTTGCATGATGGATTGAGGTAGTGAAGATTTGAGGAAATTGAAAATAGGTGAAGGTTGCTGAGGTGAAGAGGGGTCCATTGTGGTGAGGGTTGCGGTTGAGAGTTGGTGAAGATTCAGAACTGAATCTCGATTTAAGGAAACGTGAATTCGGATTGGTAGTTCGACTTTACTTGCTTGGGCGGGATGTGGTTGGCACCAGACGTAGCGCGGAGAATTGAATGTAAGAGCAAGGTTGGGACACTTTCTATTTGCGGTTTTGTTGGTGAAGTTAAATCCAGACTTGGAAAATTTGAAGTCCAGACTGGTCGTGGCACTTTGCCTATCCAACCAAGGTGTAAACGTGCGACAGGATATAGAAAGTACTTATCTTCCGGGTGAGGCGCTAAACCTGTCGGCATATCTTAATGTTGCTTCAAGGAAACCGTTTGCCTTTTTTGCTTTGTAGTACAAGTATGCAGCGGATGATGTGTATGTGTCTAGCTCTTGTTGTAGCAGACTTCTCAAGTCACGGTTAAAGTATTTGTTCGGTTTTTCGTCGAGAACTAATCTTACTATGCTTGTAAGTAGAATTTCCTACCTCGTGTCGTAGTTGTGGCCCGTGGGTGGTGTGTGTGGCGGGCTTAATAGTACACTTTATGGCTCCGTCATATTCTATCTGCTCATATCAGCATCTTTTGAGAAGGCCAAAGCCGACAAGCTTTTAGGATTCGATCCTCTTCTCCCAATCAAGAACTTGGTACGGCAAACGACGATCTTGTAACCCAGGCCTTCTCTTCACCAATATCGGTATTCGACTTTCATTAACCCCATTAATTACTCTTGTAACGTTACAATTTGGTCGAATAAATATTTCCACAGATACAGCTATAGTCGACAGGCTACTAGCAGACCCTTCCTCTCAATACTACAAGCAAGGAACGGGCATCGTTGGATTCCTAGTTTAGACATATTTCTCACCTCGTCGGTACTCGATCTCTAAGGAATTACCTTTCCACAACATCGATCCACGGCCGAGCTACGCACGATGGTGGTGAGTTATTATCTAGAGTCCCTTAGCATTCTGGGTCAGTGATGTCTAATCATTGAGAGAGATTTAAAAACGAATGGGACGGACATGGTGGTTCATGCAATATTGAAAGACGAGTATTCCATTACTTTTGTATTACAGAATCACAGACCAGGAAGGGTGAAGACGGAACTAGGGATATAATTTAAAACAACATCTCTTGGGATCTTTGGACAACCAGCGACTTGACAGAAATATCTATTGCCAATTACTTCACATCTCACAATCATATAGTAATAGAACAGTGTTTGATATGCAAATTTTAAACAATCAATATGATGCTGACCGAGATACTGACTATCTATACAGCTTGAGCCACCCATCTTCTCCTGCCCATATCAATTTCAATCACCACTCCCATCTCACAACCACATTCATTTTCTTCAGCTCCATCTTTAATCTCTCAACCACATCATTCATCTTGTCTTATTTCCTCCACATGCATACGCATATACATAAATACAAGAAAAACCCAACAACAATATCCCACATTGACATGTGCAACCACGACTGCGTCCCAGCAAGAACTCGCGCGCGCAAAAGAGCAGCAAGTACTAAACAAACTAAAAGCAGAAGCAAGTTGTATATCGAACAAGGTATCTGATGATCTGATGAGGAGTAGGAGAGGAGTACAAGAGTTATTAAAAGGTAGGTAATATGCCCCGAACCAAGGTCCACCAAACAATAAAAACGAAAAGCAACTAGTAATAGGACAGGGCAGAAACAACACAATGGGTCCAGCCAGAGATGTGTGCGTGCGGTATTAAGTAGTAGTGTGTGTGTAAGAGAGAGCGACGCAGAACAGTGCGCCGAAGAGATGGTATAAAGAGGAAAGAGATGATCCCGATGTATGCCCAGCCAAGCCAAGCCAACCAGACCAGCCCCGTATTGTTGCCCGTGACCTTATTCTGTGCCGAAATCCAGCCTGTAATGAAACGCTATATGCAAGTTGACAAAGGAGATATTCGAGTAACAAGACGCAATAGGAGACAGAGATGAGATGGATATCAGAGTCTAAAGTCAAGGAAAGACAAAGGAAATCATGGAGATCGTTAAAAGCAAAGTAGTAACTTTTCAATCTTAGTACACGCTGTCTTCGTTGTCGTCGGCGCCTTGAGAGATCATGGAGGGTGTTGAGACGTCGGAGACTTCGATATCATCCTCATAGCCGACAAGGGCTTGAGCATGAAGGCGGAAGGACTCGCCCATGAGCTTGGTGATGCTGTGAAGTTGTTAGCAGTTGAATCAATATACAGCTGGGATGTGACTTACCCCCAAACGACAACCTCGTCCAGCATTCCACCCCAGAGACGAGCAACGGTCGAGCTGAGCTTGTTCCCATAGATCTCAACAGAATCATCATCAAACAAGTTGCGGATCTTGTTGTACATGGTCATTTCCTCCTCAGTTGCAGGCTCCTCGTCATGTTCCAGGCGATAGAGCCACAAGCTCAGGATGACCATCAAATCAAGACCACAAAGTGGATGTTCGATGCTCCAGTTGGTGGCAGAAGTGCGTGCCACCCAGCGGATGCCTTGCAAAGCGGCAGTCTCAATGCAGTTGAAGCATTCTTGGATGACCTTGATCATTTCGCTGGATCTCTTGACCTTATCCCGAGCATTGGACATTGCTGCGGCAACCTCATACGGATCATGGTATCGAAGAGCCTCTTGAATGGACTTGAGATCAACCTCAAGACGAGCCCAGGCATTGCGGAACATGGCCATGGCATTAAAGATCAAAGGATGACCCTTGTGGGGAGCGCTAAGAGGTACAGCTACCTGCTCAGGCTCACACAAGCTGAGAGATTTCTCCCAAGTCTCCAAAGCTAAGCGAAGCTTGTATTCCGTGACTACATCCTGAAGAGCTTCTGGGCTGCGCTTGTGATACCACACTTCAAGGAAGAGTGCATTGATCATAACGCGAGTGGCGAATGCGCTGTACCGTAATGATTCTCCTTGGAAGAGATTGTCATGAGCTTCCATGAAGGACGGGGCTTCAGAAGACTTGAGGTGTTCTGGCCAAGTACTCTCATCAACAACATTGAGATTCCACATTGCTTCAGTAGATGGCAACTGTAGGTCTTCGAACTCGTTGAAGCTGATCGCAGGAGTGTGATTGTAGGTCAAGGTAAGGAGACCAAAGAAGATGTAGACAGCATAGTAAGTGCGTCTGCAGCCTTCATCCTCGACCCATTCAGCACGAGTAGGTTGAGCACCTTCACGAGCCTCGGTGCGAAGCTTGAGCTCATAACGATTGCCAGCGACCATGTTGGCCAGAAGACTCTTGATGGAGCAAGCCCATTCGAGACCCTTTGGATCACCACTCCAGCTTGCAAAGATCATGTTCAAGAGAGAGCTTTGCATGGTCCAGAGAGGACATTTGCGTGAGCTAAAGTTCTCCTTATTCTGCAAGAACTGGTTGACAAGCACCTTGGATCCGATGTGCAACACATAAGCTTGATCTTGGTCGAAAGCATACAATGCACCAATTGACAGAACAGCCAGCAACAGGGGAGGTGACACCTCAGTTGGCTTGAATGATGCCGGATGCAAGAAAGGTAGGTGATGATGGAAGAGACCGAAGTAAGTCGCCAGATACCTGTTCAATGATGCCAGACCAGGTAGTCGGAAGCTCTCAGGAATAGCACGTTCGCCATCATTGTTGCGAATATTGTCGAGGATGATATTGCGCTCATCGTCGCTCAATACTTGTGGAGCTTTGGGTGACTGTTCGCCACTGCGGGGTTGCGACGGAGACTGTTGACTTGGCGTGGCGGTACCCGATGGAGGCAATGAGTCAATCATCGATTGCAAGGCAGGCACAAGACCGTTGTAACCGGAAGCTGCTGCTTTGTTGATGGGTGGCAGCTGATTGGGATGCGGTTGCATCGTGCTTCCACTCGTGAACGAAGTCTGCGAGTCTTGGTATCCCGAGGCGGTCGAAGTGATGGAGTGAGACTTGGGCTCCGTGACAGACTGTGGCATGAACGAATCCCACTGCACCTGCGGGAGCGAGATGGCTCCGGTCAATGGCTCCATGAGCGCGGCACCATGGTGAGGGAAAGCCATTCCAGGTCTATTCTCATATGGGCCAACGCCTGCGGTGCGCATCGCTGCAGTTGCTTTGTGGTGAAGGTCGGTCATCAACATTGCGGCCGTCTCGAGATCAACCAACCCATCGCTGCTCGCCTCAATCTGCTCGAGGGCCGATGTATCGATGGAGATGGCGGTCTTGGAAGGGCCGGCCATGGGGCTGGGCTTGGGACCCGCTCGTCGCTTTACGTCGCTGTGAAGAGGGATGCCTCCATCTTTGGCGTGCACCGTTCGGTCATGTCGAAGCAATAAATCGCGTCGCACGAAGGTACTTCTACACTTCATGCACTTGAAAGGGCGCTCCTTGGTATCTGCGACGACAGGTTAGCATGCATATCGAGAGATGCGATGATAGTAAAGGGCGTTGCGATGAAAATTAATTATTGTTGATGCAGGTGCCAGGTTTGGCTGCACGCGACCCGTGGGAAAAAAGGAGGGGAAGGGGAAGTGCGATGCATCAGATGCATCAAGGAACAACAAATAGTGGTGACAACTTACGTGATCTCTCGTGTCTGCTGCGGTGTTCACTCCTGCTGAAAGCTCGATTACAGAACTGACATTTGTACTTCTTCTCCGGGGCCAGCGACGATTTCCTCATGGAGGACGATGCTGCAGCCGTGGGCAGGACGGTCATGCTTGCGACAGGCATTTTGGGTGAAGGTTGTCGTGGCGGTTGATGCTTGTCTTGTTATTCTCCTTCCTCTGCGTCTCCTTTTCCTTCCTTCGAGCGATGGTTGAAATCGTCCGACTCGCGCGCGCGTGGGCGTAGGGTTTAAAGTGTGACTTGAGTGCTTGACGATGTAGTGTTCATTTGTTTTCGTTCTATTGTCATCGATTGTATGGTGGTGGGTATAATGGTGGCAGCGGCCAGTATGCGCGACGGGGAGATCTCGCCTGGGGTGGGCAAGAACTGCGCAGTCGCGTTCGACGGAAGATGGATGGGGGGTTGGATTAGGGTGGCGGAATGTGCGTCGCCAGCAGATGATGTTGTTAATGGTGTTGATGAGTATTAGGTATCGTCGTCGTCGTCGTCGTCGATGGACAGAGAGGGATCTCGTCGTTGATGAGAGTGAGGGGTGAAGTAGTTTATGAGAGAGGGGAACGAAAGAATGAAGGGGGGAACGAGGGAGGGAAATGGAGGAGGGACGAGAAAATGAGCAGAAGGGAAGGGTGGCAGAGAGCGAGCGACTGGACTGCACTGGACTGACGGGGGCCTCAAGAGTGGCCGCAGAGTGTGTGGCTTTACTTTTAGTGGGATGGGCCGAGAAGGGATTAGTTCCATCGACATGGGGGGTTGCAGAGGGGTGAGCGACGAGGGACACGAGCTGGCCAAGATGTGGATGGTGGATGGTGGATGGTGGATGCTTGGATGTGGTGTGGATTTCTGGAAAAGGAGATGGCGGGGGCTGGGAAATCATCATCTGCTGCTGCTGCTTCTTCTTCCCCGAGGTAAAAGCAGCACTCCAATATTGTCCCCTGTCACTGCTTCTTCCCAGATCCCATCCCATTCCATCCCATATCATCCATCCCACAATTTCACATCACAATCAGACCTCGACGGGAGAGGAACATTGTACGATATTTTGGTATATTCCGACACACTGTGCCTACACCACCCACTCACTTACTGGCACATACTTTGGACGCTGGTGCAGACAGTACTTACTTGCTTCAGTTGCGAGAGGAATGACGGAGTGGATATATTCCTGTATCACTCACTCTCATTCTCATTCTCATTCTCCAGATGAAAGACTGACTCGATTTGCCTGCACTTGCTTCCTGTCATCCATTGTAGGAGTACCCTATTCTCATTCTAGGCATCAGTGGCCGATTCGTGAATCACTTCCTCGAATGGTCGACGATAGACGTGGGTTATTGGGCATTATTGGCAGTATTAGCATTATTGTGCACCCGTTAGCCTCGAGCACGACCTTTTTCCCTTCCCACTTCCCAAGCAAGCTGAACTGAGATGAGAATGATTCAACGCTGAGAACCGCACTGCGCTGCATCACCCACGACCGGCCCATCCGTTAGGCCACTCTTCGCCTGTGCTTGGGCCCGGCTTCAGCGTGTCGACCACCACTAATCGTGCAGCCAGGGGTGTTCCGTAGGTGCCCCGCCCACTGAAGCAGAGGTGACGATGGCCACTCGATGCCCTAAATTGACATCACATCTATGTCATGTCACTGCGTATCTGGTAGGACAGCAAAGTCCCTCTGGATTCCTGCCCTGCTTTCGTCTAGCCTGGAGGCGGCCCGTCCAGAGCGGAAGCGTCAATATAATTCTCGGGGACGCGCACGCTGCTACTTAGTACTACCGTACTACGATATTAACATGTACTCAAGTACCGCCGGCTGGATACACAGGATTGAGGAATGATGGATGAATATCAAAGAGCCCCTTTCCTCTCCTTCCTCACCTTCCCTTTCATTCCACCCTCGCCATCAACCCACGTTGCGCACAGCAAACAAATAAGAGAAAACCCGCCGAATCAAAATCATATATAAGGCACAGTCCGATTGCGACTGAGTGAGGTTATAATTACTTCCCGATCGCTGCTGACTGCAGACCGATGGGTGTAGTGGGGCCCACGAATACGTGAAAGGATCCCTCCCATTCATCTGAAAATAGTGGTCGTCTGGATGAAAGGACACACCCCGAACCACTGGAGCGCAGTGAGGCTGTGGGTTGACAACGCAGCATCGACAGCAGCAAGACTCAGCACTGCTGCCGGTGGCTAGTGACTGCTGCTGCCCCTCCGAGGCGAGGCGTTAAAAGAGGGTGAGATTCAGAGTGAGTGGCCCAGGAGGCCAGGAACGGAGTTGTTTTCGACCCCACGAAGCAGCAGAATCTCACATCTCATCCATCCATCCATCCCATCCCATCCCACCACCTCCCACCAATTCATCCCGAGGATCTGATGACCTTTCAGACGGCAAGAGGTTTTCTTGTGAGGAGGGGCAAAAAAAAAGGAGGGGTGTGCGCGGTACCTGGAAGCCTAAGAACCTCGAACCTAACCTCACTCCAATCTCGACGATTTTCGAGGCAAAGACAGACATAGCTGCAAGGGCACGACGGTGCTTTTCTAGGATCGATCTCGACCACCGAGAAAACAAAAGGGTAGAGATGCGGCGTCAAAGAAGCAAGCCTCTTGCGTATCGTACCCAATCCGCCGTGATATGGCGAACACCCCAAAAGGAAGCAGGATAATGGAATGGAAGATGATGGTTGTTGCTGCTCTAACTGTACCCTCCGTCCTCCTAGCATGTTTCGAACGGTAGGTGGTATATTTGCTTTTCGGTCCCAAAAACATGCGCCTCTCGCCATCGCCATTATTAGCTTTACGGACATCTACCCCTCGGCGGCGAACCCGTGCTCCTCAGCGGGTGTAGCCTTCATTGTACTTGCTGGCGTTGACCGAGGATCTTCTGGACTTTCTCCTCACCAGCAACTCCTAGCCAAGTCCTCACATCCGGAGCATCATGTGAAGAAGCGGGGTGTCGCGAGCCGAATGTACCGTACTGTAATGCGATATTGACCTCATGATATGATCGAAGCAACAATAACACATCGTGACAACGCAGAACAGCGGTCACGACCCCTCCGAGAAGTCGCGAGAAAGGCCCCTCCCTCTCCCTCGTCTTCCGGGCCGCCTCGAGAATTTCTACTTCACTTTGAGTCAAAGGATCCAGATTCCGAGATCTCACCGCTCAGATCACTGCATGAACAATGAAGCCCGCCCGCACAAACGGCACCGGTAACACACAGCAGACGTTGCTGCTTTTGCCTTGTTGTCATACTCACGGTACCTGGATCTTGCTTACTGGGCAAACGCATCCTCGCGACTCCTCACATCACGAAATTCGTCGCGACTTCATTGGACACCAACACGCCTGAGACGCGCACACGTACCTACTTTCTGACTTCAACAACAGATATGCAATGCAGCTCATGCAGAAGCGAGGACGAAAATGCGCACACAAAATAGCAGAAAACAATCATCCAATCGATAATGCGCGAAACTATCAAACTCAATAATAAGAATAGCATCATCATCATTTCATCGCTGCTTTTCTCTCCCCTTTCTTCTCCCTAGCTTAATAGGCAAGCAAGTAAAGATCACCACCACCCCACCAAGCTCTTGGGACTCAAAATCGACGATTCACCAAATCCAACGCCGCTAAAGCCCGACACGAATGCCAGGCACAACTCTGTTGCCCCACCAAGCCTTTCTCAAAGCAGGTGAGAGATCCAGGAGGGAAGGGGCTAGGAAGTGCTTCCCCGGAGGGCCGTTATGGGTCGTCGCTAGCAGGGCAGGGGAAGGAGATTTTGTGAGACGAGGGAAGGTTTTTTTCCTGGATCCCGGTGCTGGTGCTGCTCATTGTTCAGTTGGAGGGAGAGGAAAAGGGGTACAAACGAAAGGATGGATGGATGAATGACGATGCCGCATATCGAGGAGTGAGTGACGTCTGAGTTGTTACACAGAAAGGTATTGTGGCCCTGCATACTTCTCAGGGGAAATAGTCGACAGACACCGCCAGAGAAGTGTTGTGCTGCGCCGGCATATGCACAGCGATTTCCAAATTCTGCCCCTCATCTCTCCTCCCTCGTGGAAGCATGCACTATGCTTCTATCGGGATTCCTTGTACCCCTCCCTGTTCTTAATACAGGTATACTTTCATACGAACCAATTCCAGCATCTTTCTCCGTTCGTTCGTTTGTTTGTTCGTTCCCGAAATCTTCCTTCCTTCCTTTCATCGTCCCATCTCGATGAGTAAGTGAATTCAATAAAAACTTTGAGCTTCACATCCCATCCCACCTTACTCGTTTGCCGTTTGCAAACAAGGAATCCCACCACGCTGCCCGAGACAACGGATCCCTCGTGCTTTAGATTCGTGATCTCCCCTAGCCTGAACCCACCACCGGTCAAGAGTTGAAACAACCCCTGACCTCCCCCCAGTACAGTAGTTAGGGCTTCGACTCAACTCAGTTAGTGAGCAAGTGAGTGAGACATTGCCCCCACCCGGGACCGTTCCGTCCGTCGATGGCCAATGGGACTATGGGCGGGAGTACCGGGAGCTGGGAGACGGTGGGGATTCGGATGGTGGTTCCGCGAGCAGAGGACGGAGGGAGAGAGATTGCAAATTTGGTTGATTGATGGTGGAGGGGTTCAAACGTAGAGTGGGATGCATTGGAACAGATGATTGGGGGAGAGGAGCTGGAGGGGCGTATTGTTTGGTAAGGTAGAGTGAGGCTATACCGCGTGGAATTGATAGGTTGCGGCCGGCAGTTCGTGGGCTTGGGATGGATGGGATGGAACGTGGAAGGGTGATGGAAGGCCCGCTTTGAGGGTTGGGTTGGCTGACAGGTGCCGGTTTCTGGAAGAGGAGAGGTTTGTTGGTTGCGGTGAGATGAGTGAGACGGTGAAGAAAAAGATGGATGGACAAGAGAATTGCTTCATTCTTACCCTGTTAATTGCAATTGTTGAGAATAAGAGAAAACGTGCTTTGTTGAAGATAGCTTAAATCATAAATAAGTGATATAAAAATATGCACACACGCGACATCCATAGGACCAGAGTGCTGGAACTCCATACGGGACATTTCTACGCCCCAAAACCCACCACATCCACAGGAACATTCACGTTTCCTCCAATCCCACCATCCAGCACGCCAAACTATTCGCCTCAGACCCAGCAACCGGTTCTCTCTTCGCCTTCAAAAGTTGACGACTCACAAAAAGGACATCCCACGTCCCCGTCCCAAAGCGGGAATTTCCAAAGCCCAAGATCGCCTGCCTCATCCCACGTCCCAAACTACCGGGATACCTCTCAATCTCTCAACTTCCTATTCGAGAGAACTACCTTGCTCGCTTCACTAATTGCTGCTGCTGTTCTCTCTTGGAGGTTCTGTCAAACGCGAGGGGCTATCTGTCTGTCCTGTCGTAACGGGTATCGAGGTCGAATGAGGAAGGTTGCTCTCCCTTCCACCACACACACCGGACGCTTGGATTTCAAAACTCGAGGGGCACGGCGAAATGTATGTGCGCGCGGTCGGGATATGCGAAACATTACGTTACACGAATCGATTCCTATCTCTATCTGTATCTCTTATTTCTCATGTTTAGTTTTGAGTTCTTATCGAGCTGCAGCCTTTCTCCGGCCCGTCGAGAAGGAAGAAGGAGGAGGGGAAACGTTGCTTTATCTGCCGGTACCGTATCTGGGTATCTTTGCCTTACCCCTATTCTATTTTTCACGTTGTGGCGGCTCGAATTCTTGAGTGTGAGTGAGACATTGTCTGCGCGGGATGTCAGATTACACGTGCTAGGGCTGGAGCTTCAGCTTTGCTGCCGTTATCCGCCGTCTCCCGTGGACATTCCCTTGGATAGAGAGGGGCACGAGTGTTTATTTCTTTTATGGGATTTTGTTTTGTTTGTCGATGAGGGGCGAGAACTTGATAAGGATTTTTTTTTCTTGGAGGTGGGCTGAGAAAGAGGGGTGGTACTTTTTTGAGGCCAGAACTTGGACCCTTCTTTTTGACGTGAAAAGGAGGGAGAGAGTGTGGTAGACGTCCGAGATATGTATGTATCTACCTACACCCACATCGAGAGCTTGACCCGAGACTGGTTCGGCTTTATGTGTGTGGCCATCCGCTCTGCTCGGTCCGAGACGCAATGCAAGAGAAGAACGGCATCAAACGCAGTCAGGTGGCACTGTTCGGGAGGGAGGACGGTTCAACCCGTGGAGGCAAATGCCTGCCCGCTCGCATTGCGACATTTGACATGTCTCTTCCCTTGCCTTGCTTTAAAGTTTTAGATTAGGTTGAGGGGTATGGGAAAGAAACCTAAGTATATATCTCACCTATCACATGGAGGATACCTACCGTCGCCCTCGAAGGTTTTCCCAGGTATCAAAGTCTGGGATAGCCCTCCACATGGCACACGAGGGGTCGAATGGTAATGGTAATGATTTCATGCACAGTCATCTCTAACAGAGCGTGCGGTCCTTGACCACGGCTCGCAATAGAGCCTGTGAGTATGGAATCTTGGTCAGCATCTGAAAAAAGATTGCGGAGAAGGTATTCCCGTCTGCACATACCCTTCTCCACGGCGTGCAACGAGGATATCCTTCCTCTTCCAGTGCTATACATGATCTCCTCGGGACGCACGCTTGTCGATTGGCGCCCTCGATCATTCTTGAGGTGGACATCGGTCGGCAATATAGGCAAATTCAGGTCCTGCATGCAACAGACTTCAGAGGCGTCTGATGCTTGCTCCGGAGTCAGGTAGTGAGGGGTCAAGTTACCCGTCCTCCACACGACGACCTGGTAGAAGAACATTCTTGGAACCTTGAGGCCGCAGATTCGTGGCCTTCTTCCTATCTCTCTGCTTAAGATAGCATGTCCTGGAATGCAGATTATCTCCTAATGTATCCCTCTGATGGCACATGGCAGATCATCAACCTCGTCTGCCATGCGTCGCTACACATTTGGTGGCTTGAACTCCAAACGTTGCGGCATGGCCATGGACAAATTGGCTTTTGCGCTGAAGAATTACATCCCGAACGCGATATACCTAGAATACGGCCCATGCAGGACCCCTCATAACGGATGCTGTGACCACGAAGGTGCCAGATTGATTGCTTGGTTTCTCCTTACGTATCTTCAAGGAGGCTCCTTGAGCGTTGAACAGCGTCATCTTTTAACGCAGTCCTGTGAGTGGCTTCTCCACGATCGTCGATTGAAGGTCGCATGGGATATACTTTGGGATTGACATATGATTGACTTGAATGCTGCGCTGGCCTGCAAGACATCCATGAGCCTGGAGAGCTGGAGTGGACGCTGGCTGAGGGGCAAACTCAGCATTATCAAGCACCACCCAAGGTGTTGGATGAGGTGTGAGGTCTGGCTCGGGGCACCTCAGCTGGATGTCCAGCTGTAAGGTAGCTGTACTTCGTAAGGCACATCACTGACAGCACTGTATTCGAGGGTATATATCATTCTTTGTCAAGCCTTACATACATTGCAAGACCAATCATCAGATAACCCAGTTTCCTACGAGTTTGTACCGACTGCTAGCTAGTGTACCAACAATATCAGATATCAGATACCAGCTACCACTGCGACTACCATGATCGTCTCTTTTATCTGATCTATTAATTGCAATTACTCGACGTCCAAGAGTTCGGGTCCACATTCACTCGGTACATGCTGGATACCTCAGGGTATGGTACCAGAGGTGATCGAGGTATTTTCTGTACCAACACGAACCCCCCCGCAAGCAGGCCAGTGCAGTGGAGTACAGGCGACCATCGAGAGACGCCAAACCTCTTCCATCATAGTTCTCCTGACCCTGGACTCTCCACCAGAAACTGATACCAATCTCCTGCTCCCCCAACCGTCCTCGAGTAACCGACCGCCGACAGACCATCTCAGTACCTTCCCGGTATCAATACATAGAGTGTGGTACTCCAACCCTAGCACCAACTCGCTGTGGACTGATACTCCTCTCTCTGCCTTTTGTCTCTCGGATCACCACCATCACCAAGAACAACAGCAGCAACAATAGCAATATCAACATCGAGATCTGCCAGACTGCAAGCAATCGTCCGTGCCGGCACGAGGTCAATCAAATCCCCCCTCTCTCCTCGCAGGCAGGCAATCCTCGTTCCCTCCTCCCTCTTCCTCTGCCCTCGCCGCCGCCTCCCACATCCACTCCCACCACGCTGCTTGGCGAGTCAGACTGTCTGTATTCTCGATTGAAACGCCAAAACCAACGACTTACTCCACCACCCCTCCAAAAAGCCTCCTGAGCGCGATATTGCGATATCATCATACAGTACATCCTCACGAACCACAGCCCCTTCGTGCGATAGCCGTGCTTTTCTCATCGTTGCCATCCCCACCCTGTCAGCAAATTCCATGATCAGCCTGGGCTGGACTGTGTGACAGCCGGAACGCAGCGAATTGAAGCCTCCTCTTCGCTCTTTACCCGCCCATCTCGACCACTCATATCGCCAAAGGCCAACAATTCCCATTATAGCTGACCTGCTTTCTAACCTGCCCCTCCATACGATACCATCCCATACGGTTCGGTGCGATTACCGCTGGAGATCACTCGAACTTGACTTTGCGATACCGTAGTCCTCTCCGCACCCGCGACCTTCGCACGACAGCCTTTGGTTTGACGACACAAGAAAAAGAAAAGGAAAAAAAAGGGCTCGACCATGAATTGATCCCGATATCCATAATTGCCGCCCCAATATCACGATGTTAATGACACTCCGAAGTAACGGCATCTTTCCTGATCAGCAGAATACCTCATCGTTCAATAACTACTCGACGAACTCGTCTCAGATCGCCGAGACCGTTGTACAATACACCGAGGAGCCTCCACTCCACAACGCCTCTCCAGGCCGGACCCGCGTCCAATACTCGCCATCGTCCACAGGAACAGGAACATTTGCAGCATCGCAGAGGTCCAAACAAGCGGCAAGGCGCAGATCACCGCCGCAGATGAATGGATTGTTGGGGAACGCGCCGCAGCCGTTGATCTACGTGCGGGCGCTGTACGATTATGAGGCTGACGATCGGACGAGCTTGAGTTTTCACGAGGGAGACGTGATCCAGGTCATTACCCAGTTAGAAAGCGGTTGGTGGGATGGAGTCATCAACGGCGTGCGAGGCTGGTTCCCGAGCAACTACTGCCAGATCATCAGTGCAGATGAGGTAGAGAATAAGCAGAATGGAATGAACGGAGATCAATCCGAGGAGGATGCGGAAGACGAAGATGAATATACCGAAGAAGAGGAAGATCAATATGACGAGGATGAAGCAGATTCCGAACGAGATGACATGACACAACTTCCAATGGAGGGTACGGATAACAGCGAACGGACGAGAGCAGATTTCTGGATACCACAAGCAACGCCGGATGGCAGACTCTTCTATTTCAATACGGACACGGGCGAGAGTAGATCAGAAATGCCACTAGAATCACCATCGTCTGCCACGGAAAACGGACCACGCGATAGGATGAATGTCAACATTCCAGAGAAGACTCGACCCCCACCAGAAATGATGGCTCGAGGCTACATGCAGGATGAAGAAGACGACGAATCCGAAGGCAACTCAGCTTCTGAGCTCGAAGGGGAGTCACTAATGCTTGCTTCTCGCAACTCATATGTAAGATAGATTCTACTACATTAACTTTGCGTGCTAACTTGTGAATAGCCTCGAAAACGACGATCACAGGTTTCGGACGGCGTTTCTCCTGCAACTTCAATGGATTCGATGAATGGCATGTCTCCTATCACACGATCAAGAGCAGACCAATTCACCAACCCGACTTTGTCCATGGTTCCGGCCATGACAATGATGGGACCATCTACGACCTCTTTTACGAACCCCTCACTTGGTCCACCACATGCTGCGACCTTGCCTCGGTCTTTCTTCGATGATGGAACTTCTGCGCCTTTGACTTGGAACAGATTGGTAGCCAATATGAAGAAGGCGGTAGACAGATACAGAGAGGCTATCAATAATCGTGATCGCTCAGAATATGTGCGCAGGGCTGAGGATATATCGGATCATTTAAGGCTACTTCTTGCGGCAGGATCAGGAACAACCGATAACCACTCGGGACAACCATCAATAATATCCTCGAATAAGGCGTTGTACCCGCATTTTCGGGATATGATGTCAAAATTCTCTAAGCTGGTCATTTCTTCACACATTGCAGCAGCAGATTGGCCGAATGCAGAATCGTTTCAGAAATGTTTACAAGAGGCAGATGGCGTCTTGCAAGGAGTCTTCAGCTATGTCGAAGTTGCAAGACAACAGCGAGGTGAAGATATTCCACGTCTCTTGCCTGGCTTTGTGATTGGAAGCACTTCGGGAGGAAGTTGGCAAAACAATGGTCTTGGTTCTCGAGATCCTTTGACGTCGAACTTCCTAGATGAGGACGAAGCACTTGTCGAGCCATCAGCCATCCTAGACGCCAACTTGATGGAGCGACTTGATGATCTCAAACGGATGTTGATTTCCAGCATAAGAAAACTGGAAGAGCATTTGGTTGTCACTGAGAAGATCATCACACCTTATAGACACGAAATAATAGGTAACAATGTCTGTACAGCAGCCAAAAAGGTGCTGGAGATGTTTAAGCCTTGGGTCTCTACTGTCGAATCGATAAACCTATCATCTCTTGGAAACAGCTTCCAGAATCCGCAATTGGTCGATTTTGCAGCGTACAAGCAAAGCTTGTATGACAATATTTCGGACCTAATTCTTGGCTGCCAGACTGTGGCAGGTCCCCTAGGAGATGAATGGGCAGAAGTGAGAGGTGAATCTCTGGATGGACGTCTGAATTATGTTCGACAATGTGCGAAACAGCTGGAGACAAATGCTTCGCATATTGGCTTCTCACTGCAACTTCTCGGCGAACAAGTACAGATGGCTACTCAACAAGAGACTCAATCTCCACCTCCTCGAGATGATGCTAGGCCAAGGAGAGCTGACAGCACACCTTATGAGCGCTCCCATGCACGAACAGATTCTCGCCTCAATACAGTCTTGAGACCAGGTCTAGCAGGGATCGCCCAATCACAGTCATACTCCGAAGGCGATCCAGCTGCAAATTACCGTAAGGGTGAGAACTCCAAAGTCAGGAAGTTCTTTGGAGAAGAACCAACTCGCAGAGATCAAGTTAGAGACGCACAGCCACAGGATGAGACGCCTGATTGCTTGAAACTGGATCACGAAGACGATATTTCGTATGACTTCAAAGTTCAACCTCCTCAGTTGAAGGGTGGAACGTTGGTTGCACTCGTGGAGCAATTGACCCGACATGATAAGCTGGAGTCGAGCTTCAACAATACTTTCCTCCTAACATACAGATCTTTCACCACAGCACGAGAATTGTTCGAGTTACTGGTTGTAAGATTCCAAATTCAACCTCCTGAGGGCATGGCACAATCAGACTACGAGATCTGGAGGGATCGCAAGCAAAAGCCGATTCGATTCAGAGTTGTGAACATTCTCAAGAGTTGGTTCGACAATTTCTGGATGGAAGACCAAAGCGATGAGACGAAAGCTCTCATCCGAGATGTCTACACATTCGCTAGAGATACCGTCAAGACAACAGAGACTCCCGGTTCAGGACCTCTGATGACCGTGCTCGAGCAGCGACTACGTGGCCAGGACACCACTGCCAAGAGACTGGTATTGACTCTGAATCAATCAACACCGCAACCAATCATGCCCAAGAACATGAAGAAACTCAAATTCCTTGATATTGATGTTACCGAGTTCGCACGACAGTTGACGATCGTTGAGTCTAAGCTTTACGGCAAGATTAAGCCTACAGAATGTCTGAACAAGACTTGGCAAAAGAAGGTTGGAGAAGGCGATCCAGAGCCAGCTCCGAATGTCAAGGCCCTGATCCTTCATTCCAACCAGTTGACCAACTGGGTAGCCGAGATGATCTTGACTCAATTGGATGTCAAGAAGCGTGTGGTTGTGATCAAGCACTTTGTTCTAGTTGCTGATGTATGTTGCTTTCACCTTTCTAATCTGTCTAAACTAACTTGCAATAGAAATGTCGACAACTTAATAACTACTCGACACTTACCTCGATCATTTCTGCTCTCGGGACAGCTCCAATCCATCGTCTGAAACGGACTTGGGACCAAGTACCAGCGAAGACGACAGCTGTTTTAGAGTCTATGCGCAGACTTATGGGAAGCACCAAGAACTTTGGCGAGTACAGAGAAAGTCTGCATCTCGCTAACCCGCCATGTATTCCCTTCTTCGGTATGTTGCTTTCCTCCCAACTCTTTGCGCCACACTCACATTTTTAGGTGTTTACCTCACTGATCTAACCTTCATTGAGGATGGTATTCCATCAATCATCAAGAAGTCTGCTCTAATCAACTTCGCCAAACGTGCTAAAACGGCAGAAGTTATTCGTGATATCCAACAGTACCAAAATGTGCCTTACCCCTTGCAGCCAGTCCCAGAGCTGCAGGAGTATATATTGAGCAACATGCAAGCAGCCGGGGATGTACACGAGATGTATGAGAAGAGTTTGGCGGTAGAGCCACGTGAGAGAGAAGATGAAAAGATTGTGAGGTATGTTAGACTACTTGACCTTCCCACCACTGGAGCCTACTCTGTAGTATGAAGCCACAAGGAGAAATCAAAAATCCCTGCAAGCCTAGACAACTCATGCACCATGGGGAAGAAATGTGCTTACCATGTTGGTGGAAATATAGGGTTCTAGCTGAGTCCGGCTTCCTTTGAGCCAATACGCAAGCTCTCCGATTCTCTTAACCCGATTTCACGCATGAAGCTAAGGAGATACGACGTGGGCGTTGCCCATACGAAAGACGACGATATGACGATCGATGTACGCCACGATATTCCCAACGGTCCGGTCCATACACTACACAACATATAATATTTTCGGCGTACGACCACACCATCATCGTTTCTGATACCGAATCGGGAAACAAACGTTCTCTCGTCACACGCACATTTTCGACATTCTTCCACCTATACACAACTTATATCAGCTTTAACTATTTATTTCGGAATATTTGTGTGCCAGTGAGGGAACGGAACCGAAGGGAATTCGGCGCGATGATGTGGAGTTGGATTATGAAAATCTACCAAAGTCCGAAATATAGTCCAGGGGTTAGGTGTAAAGGGAATGTGTGGGTGGGATCCGGAATGGAATATGAATGGTGCGGCTGCAAGCCAACAAGCAGAATCGCCGCACCACCTCACATGCAAGGGCGTTTTAATATGGATGGAAGGAAGATGGGTTTTGTAGCCTTGTGCTTATACCAGATAGAGAATGAGATTTACGGATGCAACGGCGTACTGTATGCCTGCTGGTTCGAAAGGTACTAACTAACTTTGCCATTTTCAACTTTCCTTCCGCCTTCTCTCAAACGCAGCCTGTACGGTTCTCGATGCACAATTCCGTTCGTGCCAGTACACGATCCAACAACCCAATAGTTGGATTTTACCATGACAGCGAATCCACATTTGAAATCCTCCCTCACTCAGTCTTTTACCCATGAAGCAAACTGTCAGCTCCCGCATCGGGCCTACTACCTTCGACTGCTTCCCCTGCCATGCACCTACCTACCTCACATTCAGCCGGGAAGAGGGCAGGCCCGTTCCATTTATCCATCCAACGCTCTGACTTTCCCCAGTGAATCCCTCTGTCTTTCTTTCTGTCTGGGTTTCTGGGGTAATGACACATGTTACTTCTAGCTCGCATGTCTTTTCTTCCTTGCTACCTAGGTAGAGGAAATTCTAGAAAGGAAGAGGTTGGTGCCCTAATCTCGGCATCGTGTCCCGAAATAGGCAGGCTTCTTTCTAGAAAGGAATTTGGAATGTTATTGCATGACAAATATATCCATCCATCCCTCGGCCTTTCTTTTTGGCTCCGAATGAACGAACGGGTTGGTTGGGTGGGTGGGTGTGGAAAAGGGGTGTGTGTGAAGGATGGATGGATTTTCTTGATTGGTGGGTTGGGGGTTTTTATGCGTTCGATGCATAGGCGGCGGGGTGCATGGCTCCGTTCGGGGGTGGAGGACGGGGGCTGTCACGTGTGAGGATCTGATGAGGATTGGAAAGAAGGGAATGGGATGGAGCTGGTGGGGTGATGGGGAGGATGGGGAAAATGGCTTGCTTTCGAGATCTGGAAGGGGAGGGAAGAGGGAGGTGAGATTGGAGGATCTTACACTGGAACGGCACGGAGCGAGGAGTCTCTTGATTGAGGATGAGATGAGACGATCCTTTGCTTCTTGTAGGATGAAGGGAACAAGGATTTGATGGGATCCTTTTTGGACTGCTATTTTCGGATTTGTGCTGTGTTATGTGCTTGCTTGCCAAGAGACAGTTCGCTCTTCCAATGTGATAATTGTAATAAATACTCAAAGAAACCGGAAGTAGTCTTTGCAGTACTGGAGAAGAAACCATGGTCTTTTTTGGGACCTGCTGAACATCTTTGACTTTGCTCTTGTACTCAAAATATCGAAGACTCTTTTGCTTCTGACCAGAATGAGTTGAAAGGCTGACTTCTTAGTTCTCTTCTATTTGAAATAATGAAGTTAGTTCCTCTGTATCGTTAATCGTTTCTAGCTCCTTCCGGAAGAACCATATTCCGTTCCGAGATTTCGATCTCAAACATGAAGATCGTCACCAAGCCGGATCACGATTCGACACAACAACCTCGATATTGTAACGCCAACGTCCTCCTTCGATCTTGTCGCGGTCGAAAATGGCGACATTGAAGTATGCGATGAGGATTCAGGGGTGGACAAACCGGTGGACGACAATGCGGGACGTCTGTTGACTGGATACCGGATGAAGACGAGCTGTCTCTGGAGTCTGCACACCCCTCTACCTCCCTCTGCCTCCTTACCAACTCGGATTGAAGCAAGGGCTCCATATATTCTTTGAAGTACACCATTAGTCTTGAGTAGTCTGGCTCAGGAGGACCGATGGTGACGCCGTCGGTCTTGGGTGGGACTGGAAGAGAGAGGTACGGTGTGTAGTGCTGCATGTCCATCCTTTTTGACTGGCTATGTCTGCTGGATGTTCTTTCGAGAGACTGCATCAATAGTTGCTGCAAAGCCGGTGGCAGGTCTTATGTTGTTTGCTCTTTTGCCCCCACTTTCCTGCAGTATATATAGAATGTCTTTGGCTTTTGTTCTGAGATATACATCTAGCTTGCTTTCTCTCAAAATATTTCTGCTTTCATTGATTGATTTTGTGTGCATTTGTGTGTGCATCATCGTTGTTGCGCTAGCTTTGTCTTGCTTTTTGTTTCGGCCATCGAATTCTTTCGTCGAGGTCATTCAGGGGTTTGGAAGCGGTCATAGGGGAAAGGATGTGTGCCTCGCAGAAGTTGTCAGCATACTTTCTCTCTTCGAAAGATTAGACCGTACCTCAGATGACTGGCTTGAAACATGCATTCCTGTTCTTGAATATGGTCAAAACTTTGGTCGAAGTGTTCCCATGGAGTTGAATTCGAAGTCCCGATCCTAGATTGGGGTTGAATCACTTCGAATTTTGCATGTAGAACTTGATACTCAAGTATGAATTATTATTACAAGTCTGAAGAGCAGTCAGTCTGGGGTCCTAAAACTTAAAGAGGTGTTGTGGTGTCTTGCCTATGGACAGGAGAAATACTTTCACCAGCGTTCCCTCCATCGGCAGCCCGAGGAATCACCAAATCTTGGCGCAGAGCCTTGATAACGGAGGGCAAATCGACCATCTTGCTCTCCGTTCCATGAGCGTCTCCAGCTAGAAGAACCTTCACTTGACTTGCAACCCGCACGGAGATTTCGACCACATAGCACTTTGCAACGGTGTCCCCACTACATCGTTTTTCAGTGCAGTGAGGACACCCTTGCAAAGTGCGTTGAAATTTGTTCGATCATCTGTGGATCCTTGCATACTTGTGATTGACATCATGCTGCTCTGACGTCTCACAACTGGGACTTCTTGCTCCTCAGCCACCTCGTGGCTCACTCGGAGCTGGCTTCTCATCTCTGCTCCAGGAGCTAGAGCAGCATTTGCTGAGAGGTTGCATCGTAGTGGGCACGTTGGAAGGTTACAGATGCGACATCGCCAAGTCTCGATAGTTGTGCTGCCAAAAACTCTATGGTCCTGCACGAGCAGTTAAGTGCTTTGGTTTGCCAAGGCGGGACTGAATGGCGATGTGTATATTTCACTCGGAAGCCTTGGAAGAACTTACATTCTCCCATGGTACTTCGATAGCAGCTCATCGATGAGGCCAACTGCCCTCCAACCAAAGTTTGAGACAGATCCGCAGCCTCTCGATCCAGTACCACCAGCTTTGATCCCGGCTTCAGCAGAACGGAGCGGTTTGAACATTTTGTTGGATAGGTCATCGATTTTGGTGTAGTGCTAGAGTCTAGTTAGTCAAAGACTCTTGAGGAGAATCGAAGCCTTAGCTCTCGTCATCGTACCTGCCCTCCGAAGCCACTTCCCCTGTCTGCCCTCCACGTTGATCTGCGTGATTAAGCTGTGTTGCTGGGCTTGTCAATCTGCTGAAAACCTTTGTGTTTGGACGTGATCGAGACGGGCGGCTATGGTTTAGTCAGCAAATTGAAACCAGAAGATGCTTGACACGCTTGTAAGATCAGAGTCAGCACTCACAACTTTGTGCGGGCAATGCGCGGATTCTAGATTAGCGTGTAGCTCTTTGTAACAAGTGGTGCAATGCTTGTACGTGTGGAGGGTCCTCGAAATTGATAGTCATCCAGAAAGTTGGCTGCTTCAAGATCTGGATACAGACACCAAACACGTCAGTGACAGCACCACAACGCGACAAGGAGTTTCAATCAGTGCATACCTTTGGGGCCATTGCTCAATTTTTGCTTTGCTCTCGAGGTCTTGGTGTAGGTAGTTGTGGTGATGGGCGCCAATTGATGAATGGAAGAGGGGCAGGTGTGGAGGTGGGAAAAAAGACCGCAGAAATATCCTCGAGAAACTTCGGCAAACCTTTACCTCGGAACCGCCTTCGGACCGCCGATTCCTAGCTACTGAGGTCTGAAGGCGACTTTTCAGCACTGTCTTGATGCATCATCCAGTTTGTGAGGAGTTTCAGGCACACTTGGTAATATGTTCGATATTTCAATATATCTCTCTGTTGATTCTAGCAGTCCCAAGAACCTTTCTTCTGGTTCTCGAGGCCCGTTGGTGCATATGCTCAGTCTCCAGTACCACAATCCAAAACTCAATGCTTGAGAATTGCCAGAAATATGCCTGCATTTGTAACTTCGAACCAATTCGATGATCAAGAAGTACTCCATGACCTCAAATTCGTGACTTCAATCAGCACCATCCAACTTCCACATACCATCTATGAAGCCTGTTCATCTTAAGGATCTAAGACGAGGGACAATGATACATGATACGCTTCTTTCTGCCATGAAGCCTATCTAATATCTTCCAGTCCTACATTTGAGTAAAAGCAGAAGTATCTCTACAGTCCCGACGTCTGATTGGCGTCTACCTAGGTAGCTGGCCTGTTTATAATCACCTTACATTCTCAGATGTGATGTTGCACTACCAACTTTTCAGAGCTGCTATCCTTTGCTTGCCAATGAAAGTTACTCGCAATATCTTCCTTTCGCCTTCCAATCTATCATCCTTGTGGAGTTCGTGTTGTCCTGACTCACGAGGTACTTCCTGAATCATAGCATTTAGCATCTCAGCCTTTGCACAAGGAGACTGGTTTCGTTCATATCGTGGGCGGAAGCGGCTGTCGATGAGATCGAAGAGATTCAAGATTTTGAATTCTTCTACCCTTCTTTGACTTAGATTCGTGCTGTGGAGCGACCGGCTCGCCATTCTGTTTTGGTTATTGTAAATCGTCTCTGAGTCTGCGTATGTACAGACCATCTAAGAGAAAAGATCCGTAGGTAGCCAACAGCAACAGCCTTTCAGGTCCCTCAACGGACTCTCAAGAAGACTTGCAGCTTTTGGCTCAAGTACCAAGTGGGGGTCTCGATCGCCTTGAAGGACTTGAGAGGACTTGAGTAAGAGATGTTTCAATCCTTGGACCGATATCTGGAAGCCAAAGTAGGGCTTTTTGCCAATGGCCTTGAATTAAAGCCACAAATCATACGGTGCACGAAGCAAGACAACCAATCTCTACAACGCTCAAGACAATAGAAGTCCAGATAGCTCATAATTCCTTAACGGACATTGAATTCCCCACAAAAGCCTTTACTTTATGTATTATAGCCTGGTATGGGGGAAAGCGGGCAAAGAGAGCAGGGCGGAGGCAATACTACGAGATGGAAACGTGTATTGTGTGAATGAGCTTTGATGCAGTATTGAGAGGATATTTGCAGATTTCAACTTGGGCTTTCAAGAGGAGTGGTTGTAGACCAACCTAGGGCTGAAGGAATTATCCACATGGCTGGTTTCTACAGTCGAGTCCCAGGTTCCTTGAGACAGCCAGAGACAATAAGATGAGGACAGCCTGCTACTTCTGGTCAGATTCTCAAAGGCAGACGATGGAGGGGGCCTGACTGGACTTACTGAACTGTTATCGTGATTGTTCCGAGCTGAATGGGAGGTTCTGGAGAGCAGAGTTATATTCAGGTACTCGAACTTTGATCGGAATTTGTTAAGAAGCTGGAGTCGATACAATGGCTTTGCAGCTTCCGCAGTTGTTCCAAGATTTCTAGATGGATATAGAGAGCAGAGTCTGGGACCTTACCCTTAGCTTTCGAGGAAGTAAGAAGTCGTCTTAGACTCTAGAAGAAGAAGTAGTATAGCCATGCTTTTGCTATTGTGGTTGGCTCAAGAGCTTGAGGACAATGGCGATAGGGGAGCTTCGCCTCTTAGGTCCGACTATTGAGACAAATCAGTGAAGGTTCGGTCGAGACAGGGCGCATGAACTAGGCGAGAATTGAGGAGGACTACCACCTGGTCCTCGAGAAGGAGTTTCTCGATCTCTTCAACAACAAGCTACAATCAAAGCTGTGAGTTGTCCCAATCCCAATCCCACTACTATTCCTTTCCTCCGCTTCTGCTCTGTCTTCAAGCTGACGCTTCTTCTCAAGCAGACAATGCCAATCACCTGGAGAGGAAAAGAACTCATCAGAGCAAAAAGATTCCAGATCAATCTTCGGACAGGCCCATTGCTTGTCATCACCAAGCATATTGGGAGTAGAGGAGTGGTGCAATTGTACCCACGCAGTTGCACCTGCAATTTTGGGCGACCTCACATTTTCACGCTAGACAGCCCGGAGATTTGCACCTGCTGTTCCACGCCATCCCGCCAGACGTGCATCCAAAGCGAAGAGGCCCTCAATTCTCCTTCTGCATACCCACAAGGAACGTCGCAACATGTCTGTCACCAACATGCTCCTCTTCACGATCGCCTGCTTGGCCGTGCGAAGCGCCCTGGCGTTCTGTGAATGTGGCTATGCCACATCAATCTCGGTCAACGGAACCCTCACGAGCTACGTCTTCACTGATCTAATCGAGTCGGACTTCGTTCATATTCAGGACGTTGCCTCTGATACGGACTGGTCTCGTCAGAACTACTCAGTGACTGCTCTCGCCGCTCGTGGACCGTATGGGTAAGTTCTTTGATCTCTTCAGTCCTTTCCTCCTCTTTGTATTTTCCTCCCTGCACAAATCCTCCTAGTTTCCGCCCCAAAATCATCACCTCCCTCGTTATCCCGTGGCTTGCGATCAGATAGATATCGCGTTGGGATGACAGCCTCAATTTAGCTCTGACTGCGTCTTTCAATTATCTAACACTTCACAGAATGCAGTTCTCGCTCGATAACATCGTCTCTAACCCTCTTCCTAATGCTTCTACGTGGTCTGGTCCCGGTACAAAAGGCGCAGATCCAGGTGTACAACTTCAAGTCAGCGGTGGTGTTCCCAAGGACGGCTACATTGTCGGCGCGCAGATGAACTCTAACCGTCAGGATCTACGCTACGGCACGTTCCGCGCTTTAATGAAGTTGCCGTCTGTCAATGGAACATGTAGCTCATTCTTCTGGGTAAGCTTGATTCTTGGCATTTCCGTTACCTATGATGCCTACTAACACTCCCAGTATTTCAACAACTCGCAGGAAATTGACATGGAACTGCTGTCCTCTGAATTCCAGCCAAATCCCAACAACACGTACTTGATCAACCTCGTCGACCAATCTCTTGCTTCTGTCCAGCGAGGCTACGCGATTCCTGGCACCGAGTACATGGTTGCTGATCTTCCCTTCGATCCTGCTGATGGCTATCACGAATACCGCATTGACTTCATTCCTGGCCTCATCATCTACTACGCTGACGAGCAAGTTATCGGCACACTCAACGGCTCAATTCCTAGCATGCCGGGTCATATGATTCTCACGCATTGGTCAAACGGCGATCCAACTTGGTCAGGTGGTCCTCCAGCTACAGAGGCAGTCTTAGCAATCGCAGGAGTTCGCGCATACTTCAATTCTTCTGATCCCGAGCGTCAAGCTCAAGCTACCAAGCGTTGTACCGATCCGACTGCCAGCGATTCAATCTGCTACGTTCCAGACTACTACCCGAATAACTCTTTATTCACCGAATACTTCTCCAACGAGCCAAACAAGACAAATAATCAGACAATTTATGGCAAGAAGTCTGCGGCTGATCATAACGACACTCCACCCATCCTCCAGATCGTCATCTTCATTGTCTTAACAATGATCCTCTTTGCTATGATTCTCTGAAGTGAAGGTGGCTGTGGTTGGAAAGTCGAAGTTGACATCTTAGAGGAGGAATGCACTTACCTTGTGTCTCAAACATCATCGGCGTCTGTACTTACGGTTTCCTGATACCCAGATTTGTATTGTACTCAATTTCTCCTTTGTTTCTTCATCACTAGTTGTGGATGAATAATTTGCTACCATAATGGATTATGGGAATGCTGATACCGAAGGCTACTTCCAAAGTTGCACTTCTATGAATGAAAATGTTCTCTGAATCACTCTCTGCCGTGATACAAACAACCTTTATGCCATGGTTCCATCTCTGTGAAATTTTTGTAGCCTGAAGTTGTTAACAATTTTATTACTGTCAAGATTTACAAGTAGTCCACTGTCAGGATGTTCAATCGCAGAGGACTTTCAATTATGTCCTGTCACAAAGAGTAGAGGATGTGAAAGCCAAATATGCTTTTCCTAGTAGTACAGGAAATCTTCACCATCCTCGACCCTTCTTTCGGCCATATTCCTTACGTGTCACTACCTCTGGTGCCATCCAATATGGGCTTCCGACCATCGTGTCTTCGCTTGGACTGGTGCTCCTGGATTTGTGCGCAGAATCTGAAATCAGCAGCTACTGCGCCAGGGACCAGGACTCCTCCATCAAATCGTAGGCCAAGGCTAAGGATCTGCGAAGGTTGACGGTTCCGTACCGCCGGACTCCGTCTCGTAATGATCATCCGTGGTTTTCCTCTCGCTGGTAGCCTTTTGCTCGTTCTTGGCTTTAGCTTCGAGGTACTTTGCAATCGTAAAGTAAGATTTGAGAGATGAAGTGGCGTAAGAACGACTTAGTAATTGAAGTTGGCGCCGATCGAGTGTCGTGCTGATCACGCTTGGCAGTGTCCTTCAAGGTTTCGTAGGCCATGACAGTCGATCTTCCTCCTCCCTTTCGTCAGAAGGATATACTTTTCCACTTATATTGTCTCACAAGCTCTGGAACAATATTTTCTTATATCCCAAATTTTACGGTACTTGGTTTGTCCTCATCATTTAGTTCAACGTCCATCGTAGCAGTGGCATGAAGGAAGAGCTTGCGAGCATACCCTCCGACTGTTGACCTGCGGGAAAGAGCCATGCTTGAATAGTAGAGCAATTCTTGTGGTCGATATCGTAAGGGACTGCCGAGCAGCCTTAGCTTTTGATGGAATATCTCCCGGGCAGAGAGAACGTCCTTCAAGTCTGTTCTTTTGCACAGAGAACGCCTCAAACAAGGCAATTCTACAATCATATGGCAACGACCTGGTCTGAGTCAGTGAAGTGTTTAGACTTGAACATGCGTTATGAGAAACTCACCTTAGCAAGCCTTCTATTTGTCTCGCTCCTCTGGAATATATGATAACAGTGTCTCTTTTGTCTATCGCCGTAAATTTGCCAGTGTACGGTGGTGTCGAGATTGACAGTTGTGGTGTTGTCACCTTAATGTAACAACAAAGGGCCGGGAAAGTCGTATGAGAAAATAGTCGTTGAGTGGGCAGGATCGAAGAAGGTACTACCCTCCCAGGACACAGTGCCTAAACGGGGTGAGGGCGCACCTAGGAGTAAATGCTTAGGCGAGGCTCAGTATAACATGAATAGGGAACGTGAGCTGGTGTAGAATAGAGTTTCTCAAAAGAAACACTAAACCAAACAAATCGAGGAGTATCGCGCTTCCAATGACTAGAAAGGAGAACAGTCCTCGTGTCACTACTAGCACCGAACTGTGCAATGGCTTGTTCGGTGAGGAGCATCTCCATATTTGGGGTTTGTTCTCTTTCGGCATCCGAAGACTGTGATTTCTTATGCAACGCAGGATGCTGATTTGACAGCTGTTAAACCATAACGCAAGTGTTCTAAGGCGGAGGGATGCCCTCTTATCTTGCAGTTAGCCTGGGCTTAATTATCCCAAGTCCGAAACTACTTACAGGTCTTGATCTTGCTCGTCTTGTCCCTTCTTAGTGAGGCCAGCTTGCTCCAACATGCGAGCTTATTCTTGTGGGAGTCTCTCAATCAATCAGTAAACGTGTCCTGGTCCAATCAGTCGCGAGACTCACAGCGAATTCGCCGTTCTCATCATCATATCCGACATGCGTTACATGGACTGGATTCTCTGGGGCAGATATCTTTGGTGTACGAGGCGCTGCCATTACGGCTTCACGGACTGCGACCAATCATGTTATTATGTTTTCGCGCCAGTTACCTTAATCCACAGTACTCACCTCGCAGTCCTTATGAAAACCGTTGCCATGCATGATCAGAAGATCACCATGGTTCGGAGCCATCTTCAAAGAGTCGCCTTGTTGCCTTGTGTGCCCTTACTCTCACCAATACCGTAGAAATTGGAATATAAGATAATATTGTTCCAGAGCTTGTGGGATAACGTAAAGAGGAACTCTTGTTTGCGCGTTTGGTGGAGATTTGGAGGATTGTTGTGGGGAGCGTGGTAGAGAAGTGGGCGGGCGATGGAATGGAGAGGGGGAAAAGGGAGGTGGAAGGAAGAAATAAGGCGACAGGCAACTAAATTCCAAGAGTGAAATCGAGTACGAGGATACCTGAAGTTCCGTCTCTGGTAGTGTAGAAAGGTCTTGTGTCTGCTTCTGTGAAAGGAAGTATTTGCTAGTTTACATAAAGCGGGTCCTCCCAGCTTAGCTTGGCAGGGGCGACCTTTCAGGACACAGAAACAACAGTTCTCTTTTTGGAAAGGTTCCTAAAAGCTATGAACTCTCTTTTTCTGCTCCCATCGTCCAAGAAAATGAAATGACTTTTGCAGTTTCATCACACCAATTTTGTCCAGTTTCCCCATACAACTATTATCCGCCATTGGCAACTCTTGGAGAAAATGTTCTCTTTCGTTCTTTCACTCCCGAGCCACAAAGCCCTGGCAGGCAGCCCCATTCTATCCTCTGATCAAAATTGCACTCATTCGATATCGCCAACCTCAAGATCTCCCCTTTAATTGTCGCTACGACTTTTTCCGCTCCGTTCCGAGAATGCCCGCCAGGTAGTTGGACGGCTCAGCAATTCAAGAGTGGAACAAAGAAAGGGATCCAAGATTGAGAGGCGCATCAGAGGGATATGGTTAAATGGCTGCAAGGCAATCGTGGTGAATGCCGTCAGCATACTCTTCATGGGACCTTCGAACAGCGTCTACAGCATCAGGCGTCTCTCTTTCATGGAGTCTCAAAAATAATGGTGAGTGATCATCCCCCTCAACATTTGCCTTCATTCTCCAATATCGATCCAAAGCTCGATCTTCCGCTCTTGGGTAGCCTACAGAAGCTGACTTGTTCTTAGGTTGCAACTCTCGAGAATTCTGTGGAGGTCCTCTTTCTTCCTATGTGCAACAAATGATCCAAACCTCTTGCAGACCACCTAACCTTGGCACCTGGATCAATATGATTGTCACTTACATCACTTGCGCCTCCTTCCAGACTAAAACCGCGACCGTCGAACACGTCAACTATAAAATGCGCATCATGTCCAGGAACAGGGTCGAAGATAGAGGTCATAATCATGGATATACTGTTTACGCTGCTAAGATCGACGACCTCAAAGGCAACTCCAAAGCTGGCAAAGAAAGGAAGAACACCAAGCGTGTGAAGATAACCAAGTCCTCTAAAGTCAAGCCTACACGCTCACGGTGGGGTCAACGCTGGGTCAACCGGTCTAATCTTCAAATATTCCCATTGATGGAGAGTGGTGGTACTTCTTTTGATTCGATCTTTCCTCAACCCGATCTACAACCCCATTGTCAAAAAACGAACCTTTGAATTTGTGACACAGACAACCATCTTTGGCTTGGCCACAATGACCCGATGCTGCATGGCTCTGCTCGGTATTGCCAAATGCTCCATAGCACGTAGCCTTACCCGTAACCAGGTGTTCGCCGTTATCGCGACCAGTGTACAGACCAATCCAGGTGGCCACAAGGCATACTTTCACCCCAAGCTGGATACCTTGATGACCGACAGCGAACTGCACCGCAACCTCCGTGACCCATAGTGTACCATCCCTATCATCTGTTAGTCTCCTGCCTCTCCGTATTTTCCCAGTGGCATGAAGAGGGGGCCTTATCCCGCTTTGAAGTATCCATTTGCTGACAGAATTTAGATTTCCGAAAAGATTCTGTCTATGCACTCAGCGCTAGAAATATTTTCCATGCAGCTGGTTGTTCACCACTTGACAATTTCCAACGCGAGACCAATGACCCCGTAGTTCGCCGAGCACTGAAGCATCAACGCCAGAGCATCACGCAGTCAAGCATGCTGCATCCGATGAACAAACCAACACCCTCTTGAATTGTAGCAGCATGCTACCATGTTTCTGGCAAACTAACATATGATCAGGGGGGTACACTGTTCTTGCTCTCCCAGAAAGGCTTTCCCAGCTGCCTTGTCGCTGAAGTGCCTCATCAAAATCGTCTTCATGCAACCTCAACAGATCGACGTCAAGCAGAGTGGCTTTCCTATGTTCCATGATGGGGATGTATTAATCGTCTCTCCAAGCAGCAAGCAACGGAAGCTCCTTAGCTTGATCCTCGCGCAACCTTCTCCTATCCTTAACAGAATTCGAGCTGCCGCCGGACCTTCCCACTTGACCAAGAGCTTGCCCCCTTGACCAGGGAGCCATACGAGGTCGGCAGTACCATCGCTTGATTGTGGAACGAGTGTCAAGACAACTTCGAGCGATTGGGAGAGTATCAGTTGAATGATATTTTGTACGATATTGTATTTGTATTGAGATAGAGGAGAAGATTGTCTCCCCGAAGCCATAGAGCCCCCAACAGATGACCAAAAAGCTGAGTATCATGTGTGGTGGTGTGTAAGATATTGTAGTTGTGTAGAGAGCGTGGTCGAGTCGCTCGACGGCTTGAGGTCGAATGTTGAGAAGAGTACTTTGTACGATTGTTGTAAAGTGTATGTGCGCAAGCTAGGGGTATGCCTCCTTGAGGCCGTGGAGTCACTTGAACTACCTTTCTGGAGCCCTGTATTATTACTGTATTTGTATCTCGAAGAAGAGTCTGTATGAGTACTTGTAAGAATAAGATAGCTTTCGAACTTGTTCTTAGCTCCAATAGTTTCCCTTCCTAAACCATTGACGATGTTCATGTCGTCGTCGTGAGAAGCTTCCGAACTGAGGTATAGCTCTAAGTCTGCGAGCACTGACTACACAGAGCCAATGAAGGCTGAGTAGTGTGTGGAGATAGGTGACAGGAAGTTGGAGAGAAAAATGGTGAGCCGAGAACATCTTTCGAAAGTTTCATAGCACATAGGGTTGCTGACATGTTGGATGCTCCATTTCGAGATTATTGGCGTCCAATGGAATGACGAGCACATTCTGTGGTGTGGAGGGCAGTGAAAACTTTGAAGTGACTCGTGACCGCGATGAAAGACGCTAGCAAAAGAGCATAACGATAGTTGAAAGCAAGAATTAGATAAATTTGCTCAAGGAAAGGTAATAAAGCATTTTTATTTGTAGTATTCCGCAGTCATGCAATGAAATAATTAGATTAATAAAGCACGTTTACGTGAACTATTCCAAGTAGATATTTTAAGTGCATACTTCAGGTAAAAGTAGTCCGTAGATACGCAACGACAAAAACAAAAACAACAGATACTTTCACCCCAAGAGGGTATTTCAGGTTAAAGGGCATCATAGATATGCAACGAAAGATATTCAATTAACAAAGCACTTTTATCTGAACAATTCTAGGTAAATATTTCAAGTGCATACTTTAGATGAAATTGCTCTGTAGATACGCAACGAAAGACATCAGATTAACAAAGCATTTTTACCTGAACTATTCTAGGTACATCTTTCAAGTGTATACTCCAGATGAAACAGTTCCGTAGATATGCAACGAAAAACATCAGATTAACAAAACACTTTCACCTGAAAGATTCACTTCCCTTTCACTTGAAGTATTTCAGGGCATACTTCAGATGAAAGTCCTCCGTAGATATGCAACGAAAAATAATTAAACGTTAAAAATTCTTTTACTTGAACTATTCTAGGTAGATATTTCAAGTGGCTCCTCTAGCCATAGTCGCGGAGTGTGTGCAAGGTCAGTCTTATCAGCTCATCCAACATCTTATGCCAAGGCAGACTGTAGAGAGCATCTAGACCATAGCTTTCTCCATAATGTCCCATATTTGAAGAGAATTTACTAAGTCAGCAAAGCGCTGAAAGGGGAAAGAGATCAAGCGCATAACGCAAAAGTCGGCTGGCTGTACAATGACCCTGGGCTGCCAACCTGGAATCACTGAGCGAGGCTTTCCAAATTCTTCACAGATTCAATGAGAAAACAGCGGCAAATAATGAATGCCGTATAACAAAGAACTCTGTCTTTAGGGGCTTCCTGGCTGTGCTTCAAAGTCATTTCACATCCCAAGATGTCCACAAAGTCCATCTTATCAAAGAACAACTAAAAGTACTTGACAAGTACTATGTGACCAAGCTCCTACCAGATTCTTCGCTGCTTAACATTGATGGCATTGATAGAATTAGTGAAATTAAAATACAACGGAAGCACAACCGAATTCAGCAACAGGAAGGAGCAGTCCTCCACTCGGTAAAGAGTCGTATAGCGTTCAATACGCCGGATTTTGGCAGCAATCCCTGTGTGGCTCTGGTGGTTTTAGAAGTCTCCAAGTTTTAACCACAACTAACGTGTTCAGACTCCACACAGAGACATCAATCACCCAACTTTCACGGCGTGGCTTGCATGTGCATTCCAAAATGTTTACCCCAGCATGACACTAACTTTAGTCCTTCCTGATTCCGCATCCTCTAGATTCAGGAGACGTCAGCTAGTGAGTAGGCTGGCTGGTTGGCGCTACTGTCGACAAAGTTTGGAATCTGAAGTTCCTCCATGCTAAATTTCACTACATGTGAGTATTGCCAACTTGCTCCTAAATTCCAAGACCACTAGAGCTTCAAACAATTCTTTTGGCTCTGCTCTTAATTCGGAGGACTTCTACCCCAAGTGAGCGTGAGCCGCGTTGCAAATTCGAGGTTGGATTGGGCAAGGGCCTAGAGTTGTGGCTATCAGATTGGGTGAATTCTGTAGTGAGATGACTCTGAAGAAGTGAACCCCTTGCGGTATCTCGTTTGCTTCTCGATTTGGTAACTACCTGATATCATGTACTTCTAGGATAGGCAGACAGGAGGCCTCGTTAATGTCCGACACGACAACGTACAATATATAATGCTTCGAGTCCAACATGACTACAAGGCCCTAAGCGTAGCTGCACTCTAACTCGGTCACATAGATGCTAGCTAGCCATGATATTGAAAAAAAGTTATGCCCACTGAGCGGATTTGAGGTTCAGAAGAAGGTTCTCAGCAAAGCCTATTGAAAAAGCACTGGAGATGCTTTGCAAGTTCGAAAATTGGGAAAGAAGGACACAATGCACGAAAACACACAGAACGAGAAAGCATACAATATTGCGCAGACACGATTTCAATTAAGATTTTGTCTAAACAAATGCAGTGTTGTGACCGTGTATCATAATCCGACCAGTACCATACTCCAGCCCCTAACTCAATGCATGCACACATAAACGACCTAAGCAACGTACGTATACAATCCTCCCTCCTCGCGGTCGATGTATTCCTTTTCAATGAGTTCTGCCTACTGTTAGCACTATGCCGGTCACATGGAGGTGGGCTGGGATTAAACTCACTCTCAATGTTCTTCTTAATCTCACTCAACTCCACCGCACCCCTCTTCTTCGTTTGCTCAATGACTTCACTTACAAGATTCGCATGGGTTATGGTCTTCCTCGACTTCATAATTCTTACGATCGCCGCTTGAGTCTCATACTGCCTATCTTGTTGAACTCTCTCATGCGTCTCCTTGTTCTCTTCCTTCGTCTCCTTTAGCTGGATCTGGTTGATCTTGATCCTGTACTTCTGTTCCCAAAAGCTTTGATTGAATGTAAAGTTGTCATCAGGGTTCACGTCCCGCCCTTTAGGGCTTTTGGTAAGAATACGAAATTTGCCGCATGCGAGAGATTGAAGAGTTCGTTGAAGCTCGTTATCGACAAGGCCAGTTGATGATTGAATGGTTTTGTAAGATAGACCAGTCTGAGGATCGGCATCATTGAACAGTACGAGTACAATAGCCTGAAATGCCGAGACAAGTAGTTCTCTAGGGCCTTTCTTGAAGGTAGCCTTCACAACAGAGTGTGCCAATGCATGCTTCCATGTAAGGCGTCGACCAGTATGCTTGTGCTTATAATGCCGATCGTATCTAGCAATGATGTCTGCGACATCGCGTGGCAGATTGACTTCAACATCAGGATACGTAGGCCACGCAGCCGCAGACAATACATTGACACTCAGATCTATGTTTGGCTTGCCCTCAAGCGTCTCTTTGTACGAAGCCATTTCTTCGCGAGCTAGCTCTTGGTCTTTGAACATTTGCTCGAGGTTGTGGGTGAAGGTGAACCCGCATTCCGTCTTGAGTTTGGCCAACATAGTTCGTTCAGCATCTTGACTTGCACTTCTGCTCATCAATAACCGTCGTGCAAGGTCCTTCTTGTAAAAGGCTTCAAAGACATCCTTGCCTTCGATGAACCGGAAGAGCTCCAGAGCTTGCTCTAACTGGCGGTCGAGTTCAGCGTCCTCATCACCTGTGCTTGCTTGGCCTTGTTTCTCAGCAGCATCCCGATCTTTGGCATCCGATGCCAATGATGGAGGTACAGCTTTCAGACCTCCACGAAGTAACGTATCCATGTACTTGGCAATCATTTCTCCAACCTTGGAATTGCCGGTACCCCACGCTGTTGTGTTTTTACTATCATTGATGAAATTACCAAAGGCTTCTCTTAAGCTGTAAGAAAAGGTCTCATCTTTCTCGAAAGCATCGCGGATTATGAGATCCAGGGACCGCTTCAATTCCAGTAGCCGAACAACCATTTCGTCTACTTTGTCCGGGTTCCTGACAATCATTGCTCCTGTTTCTTTGATGTACGTTTCGAAAGGTTGTTTTAAGTCTTGCTGCAGATTGGATAAGCAGAGCAACTTGTACAGAGCTCTTAAAGAAGACATCAGAGATGCATCGAGGAGGCCTGCCAGTCCGGCTGCATCGAGTAGGATGTTTGTGCGTTGTTCGATGAGGATATGGTGTGCAGATTCAAGCAGGCCTCTCTTCGTGCGGCTGTCGAAATTGTAGGTGTCGCAGCGAAGGGCTTCCCGATATAACAGGTTATCGCACGCAGAAACATAGTCCTTCATGCTCGAACTGCTCCTATCTTCTGAAAATTTCTCGAAAAAGAGCTGGCTGCGTCTGAGAAATCCCCCCTCGAAAGACTTGGTATAAATCCCAAAGATGTGCAGCATCACCACCGAGTCTTTGAGCAGTGCTGCATCGAAAATATCGTCCTGTCTAGCTCGATCAAATTCTACCAAATCACACATGCCGGCAATCACTTTCCCACCAAGCTTCCGACCATCCCTCTCCTTGCTCTTCGAGAAAATTGCGTGCCGAAACTGCTGTATGCCCATATCCTCTAATTGTAGTAAATTCTTCTGATTCAGGAGATACGAACGGTCGAGATAGCTGAATATGGATCGAATGAGAGTCTGGAATATTTAGGATTAGCTCTGGTAGCCAAAAAGGATATGAATGCAACCCACTGCTTGCTTATTCCACTCTGTCCAATACTTGTGGACAGTCGACAAAGCTTCAACATTGGCAGAACCAGGTTCACGCTCGATCTTCGGTAGAAGCTCCTTCTCTAGATAGGCTTTGCAACGATCTCTGAGATGTACGGCTAGTTTGTCCGCTTCGCCTCTCCTACACGTTGCTTCAACTCCACGACACAGAACCTCCAGAGGCGCTTTCGGTGTCTGCCGCCGGAAGATTGAAGTCAAAGTATCATCCAACTCGTTCCACGTCCGCTGATAGTATTCGCCCACATCCTGCCGTGACTTTGTCCTCAGATTCTTGATCACTAACTTCTTTGCCCCAGTTGTTGGCTGGATACTCGTAGTCAGATCAATGACTTTCGGCCTTGAACTCAGTGACTGTGTTCTGCTCATATCCGTTGGTGGTCCAATGTTAACGGCAGAATGTGAGGTTTTCAGTCGTTTTGTAAATGGAAGTGTGGATTGTGTAGAAGATGTCCCGCGTTCAGCTTCGGGTGAGCTTGTACCTTGTGACGCGGCAGATTTCTTCTGCTCCTGCAGCTTTCTTTTGGAAGAAGATAGAGGCGAGCTGTGGGTCTTACTGAGTAACTTCTCAGGAGACGGCATGGGATGTTCTTGGTCCTCTCACGGACATGAAGCCGTTTCGAGGAATTTCGTGAACGGATATCGAAATGATGCTGGAATGTCAACTCAGGTGGGGTAATGCGCGGGAAGAGTCCGAATTCGATTCGTAAGAGCTCCTTGCGCCTACCTACGCGACAATTATCAAGAGTGGGTGCGGGATTTGATCTGTAGATGTTAAAGTAAAGTGTAATGACGCGAACATAGCTCGTTGATCTGAAATGGAAATGGCGATACGATTCGTTATCGCCGACACTAAAATGGGGTGAATCCTGAACCACGTGACCATGCTCTCAATCATACCTAGGGTACCTAGGTAGTTATACCTAGATAATCTACGTAGGTGGTAGGGAAAATAAGTGTTTTCTGATCTTATTTCTCTAAAAGGCTTCGAGAAAAGCGGCTAGCTTGCGGTCTGAAGTAGGGTGAACTAGACGTTATTCCAGGTTTCGGATGAAAGCTCGGACAGCCAATAAATATACGAGTGCACTTTAATCTGCGGAAATAGTTTTATTGGTATCTGGATCTCAAGGTCTCAATACATTTGATAGTCCCAGCTCCTATCATTCTCGTCCCATGTCATAACTATCCATCATGGATTTTTGCCGAAAAGCTATCCCTGATTTGTCTTTCTACTGTACACGATATCCAAACATGTGCCTACACTTCAAGTGAACACGGTAAAGCCTTTAGATGCCTGTTTCTGTTGATTTGACTGGTCCTCAAACTGGATAGTCAATTAGCTTGGAGTAAAGCGGGCAGGATGGATCTCGGTATACTCACTTCAACAAAACCAGTCACCGACATAAGAAGCATATACACGTCAGCTAGCTCTTGAATGCTTTCGTCTGGCTGATGATGGACACCACCAAGCCCCGCAGACTTTTTGAGCACTGCCAGGATAGATAACCGGTTTTCTGAGAGAAATCTACGGCCTTGCTCAAGAGTTTGCTGGTTCTGTGCGCCTCGGCTCATTACTGCAGCACAGATGATCCTCATGATCGCTGTAAGAAGATTATAATGCTTGATCATAGCATTGGGCCCCTCGATATCTAGGTATGTTAGTCTGAACCCAGAATCAGTATTGGGATACTCACCAACTCCCAGGTCAGGATCCGTAGCAAATAAGCCAGAAAGCTTGGTCGTGTGAAAGAGGCCTGCGTTGAGAACAGCGGCGGCCCCAGGGCGGGTCTGTGACAGACCGAGAAGAAGGCCGAGTCGTGCATGGCAATATGACAATTGCAAGTCTACATCTTTTTCAAGTTAGCGCTAAGGAAACAGTGGTGAAGGACAGAAGCTTACCCTCCGCTCGCGTCACGCGGAGATCGCTAGACATTTCCTGGATTGATTCCGTGAGAAGCGAGACGATATTCAATCGAACCAGTGACTCGATGATGTACTTGGAATTTTCGCTGTGCCCTAGCTTAACAAGAGCGCCTAGGACGAGTAAAGCTGCGATCCTGCATGTTGGCTCACCACCTTGGACATCCGTACAGACCAAATCAATGAATCGTTCCCCAGCAGACTTGATAGTCTGGATACTATGCCTTCGGTGTAAGCCCGAAAGACTGGCTACATCGGACATACTGGACAAATAGCGGTAGTTGATGTTATAAAACATCTCCTTCAGTGATGCATGAGCACCCAGAGTGGTTATCGCCTTCAGAGAAACCTGGAAGAGATGGAACAATTTGTCTCCTACCAAGTCCCCTAAATTATCCTTTTTGAACGCATCTGATCCAAAATCTAGAGTGAATACAAGGGCTTGGGCAAGCTGTGCAAGCTCTACTGCTTCGGCAATAGCTTCCAGATTGTTTTCCAGTCTTGGCAGGATGGTTTGCAGTGCCTTGAGGACAAAGGAAGCTTTGTCAGAACTATCAAAGTGGCCACATTTGATTATAACGAGCATGAGTTGAACCCAAGCTTTCAATACCTTCAGACGCGCTGACTTCAAGATCACCAGTTGATTGTCCTGAGCGAAAAATTCCAGCAACTCCTGGGCTTGGGCATTTACAATGGTAAGATCCTGCAGACTCTCGACTCGCTTTGTCTGAGTCAACTCTTCTCGTCTCAATATGATGACTTCCTCAACTTTTGATAAGTTGTAGGTAGAAACGCCGTCTTGATCGTCTGTACACACAGAAAAGTCAATATTTCTAAAGCAGGTGACCTCTGGTTCGTTGAACATGTCGGGATAGTCTGGCTCCATGAAGTCGAACCAGTCGAAGATTGTGGCGTGATCGAGCTTTTGTCCACCATCAACAGTAGTTGAGCCCAATAAAGTTTCAAACATACGCTGCTTGAGTGATGGGGAGTGGCTGAGTGAGACTTGATGAAGCTCCGTAGAAAGATAGTGTAGCATTGAAGCTCGTCGAGACAGGAAGGTTGAAAGACTAGACGATGCTGGCGAGAACAAGAACGCTGGATCGTTGAAGGTTAACCCATCCCAGAGCATATCGGGTCCAATAACTAGCTCTTTTACGAAGAACATGAAGAATGAGTCATGGGTCTGCATTTCCGTCATCGTAATGACAGAAGAAATTGGTGCCTGCCAGAGTTGTCTTAAAGCTTGGAGAGCTTTAGAGCTCAAAGCCACTGACCACTTTGATACCCCAGCATCATCAGCAACAGGAGAATTGAGGGCAAGGTCGAGGATGGTATGGAAAAGCGATACACCGCGACTGAACGCGCCGGCCCCGTCTATACTCAAACCTCGCGTACCACATTGGAAGCCGAGCAGAAGGTGGGCTATTGTTGGCTGACCAGGATTACTTTGGAGGCAGGCAATTAGAAAGTCCAAAATGTGAATCTTGATTATGAAAGCAGGAGATTCCGGTCCTTGATTAGCATCAATATCCGATTCCATTTCTCGCAGGAGAATTTTGGATATGGTTTCAGCGTCATCGTCAAGGGCAGCCAGAACTTTGTTTCGATCCGATCGCCGACCTCGAACAGTAGCAGCAGAGGACAATCTTGGTGAAGCAGAGAGTTTCTCGAGGAGTGTCAACGAAGCCACCACGAGATCAGGGTGACCAGTGCCACAGTATCGGCCAAGGTCGGGGATCAGAACGAGATGATTAAGAATGCCATCCTCGAATGAACCAAATGCGGCATTGGAGACTGGCACACGGCGGTAGTTAGGTTGATCTCGAATCACTTGTCGAATGATATCTAGATAGGTAGGTTGTACTTCCAGGATCTTGGTGATAACATGTAAACCCCGTAAGAGACATAGGATCTGTGGTGAATCTGGTGGTGCACGGGCTACCTCCCCGGGGTCTTGATGAACGGCGGTGAACAATGCTGCCATGACTTTCTCATTGAACATCCACTCCATGACCCGCGAGAATGGATGGAGGAGGACATAATTTTTCAGGCTGGACACCTTAATCGCCAAGTCTACCGCAACTTTTGATCGGTCTGCGAAAATGACAAGATCTTCGTTAAATGTGTCTAAACAAGTCGCAATGAGTTCCAGACAGCTTAACTGAAGCAATCGTGTTTGCATTTCTGGCAATTCCGTCGATTGACCTGCGAAAATTTGCCCCAGAGCAAAGTCGATGTACGGATCAATACCAGGTTGGCGGCTAGACATGCCTAGCGTTTCAGGAAAGGGGAGCCCGTCGTGAAGACCAGAATCGTCTGTATACGGGGCTACAAGAGCATGAAGTAGCTGAACGAAGGCATTGGGCTCCTCAAATCCAGTTGCAAGACCTTGCAGAATTGCCGCAATTGCAGTTCCGGGTGTGGTCGTTGACACAGATGTGGACGACTTTGGCATAGCCGATCCAGGGGTATAGCCACCCATGATCCATACATCTAGTGCTGCCCAGATATATTCTCCTGCCTCTTTCGTCTTATGGCTAAGGAGAGATCTTAGAGCAGTGAACGCACATGCTCTAAGCCGGGGTTGAATAGAACTACTTGCGAGCTGGAATAAGAGTTCACTGAGGTTGAATGTCGGATGTTGGGCAATGAAGGTTCTGGCTGCTTCACTTTCAGAACAAAGACGGGTTATGAGGCGTAGGTAACACTCTAGCATCATGGCTGATTCAGGCTCTGCTTCAGCAAGATCTGCATTTGGGTTTCCTGGCCGATATCCATGAGTCTGCGGCAAAGCTGGACGATCTCGAATCTTGGACGAGAAGAAAGTGAGCTCTTTGAAGATTTGGTTCCATGTCAAAGAATGGGTCCGTCTCATTTTGCCCGAAGACTGCGGTCCTTCGTCAAGCAAGAAAACATGAGCCGCTGTAGCGCATTCATCGTCTCCGGAGATGGCTTGAAGCATTTCACAGAAGGTAGTGACTAGAGGTGTCGAGGCGCGCTTTGAGGCCCAGTGCACGAAGCCCAGGAGAGCACCATCCGGGACGTCCCAAAAGCCTTCCAGCGCAGCCTTTGGCCTACCTTCAAATACGTAGGCTATGATGACAAGGAATCTTTCTAGATCAAGGTCATGTTCGTGGTCTTTGCTGACTTGTCTTTGCTCGTCTTCATCAACTCTGAGTCTCCTTAGGACATCTGGCAGATTAGTAATGAATGCTTCGATGAATGTCTCCAATTGCTCCATCAGAAGATTTTGGAAGAAGTCAGAAAATGGGATTGGATCCGGAATAATTGCTGGAACCGGGTTTCTTTGCAGCCATTGACGAAGGCCTTGTCGCGCAGGGTCGAGCCAATCAACAGCTCTGACATCTGCAGAAATAGCCAGCAAGAAATCAAAAGCTTGGTCCTTCAGAGCCTCCGAGTATTGTTGTGATCGTTGTCTGGCCTCGTCTTCGAGCTGGTTCTCTGGAATAGTGCCGTCGTAGTTTTCTCCGTACCATCCACCATATTCGGCCAGCCACCAGGCTCTAAAGGCCGCATGAGCATAAGGTAGTGTCCAAGGGTTTTCCTCATAAGGCCTGAAGACTTGCTCGTGCAAAGTCCTTGCCTCCGTAATTGTCGCTCCTCCTTCTGGGCCACCGAAACGCGAGATGAAGCTTCCTAACGCTGGGAAATAGTGTAACAGTAGATTGTCGTATTTATCTGCTTTCTTCAAGACGTCTAGAACAGCTTCGAATTCTGATGAATGAGCACGATTTTCCTTGACGAGATAGTGTATCGTGACACCGAGAGACTCGTGTTGCTTCACAAGGCTGACTCTCTGATATTCTATTGCCTCCAAAAACTCCTCTTGATGTCCTTGACCTAGAACTGACGCTCCGCTCAACTTTTCTGCAAGTGTTTGTAGCCATGTTTTTATATCTTTCATGGCCCCAAGGCATTTCTGGGCGAAGGCATACGCTCCATTCTGAGGCTGAACAATTCGTTGAACGACGTCCTGGAACCCCGCTCGATGGCCCTCATTGATATTCACGTCCGCGGACAGCTGAACGAGTAAACGAAGACAATCCAGGAGATGTTTCCGCCGTTGATGAAACCGTACTATCGAATTTGTGAGGAGCGACCGCCCGGAAGAATCTGTTTCCTCTTGAACCTCTAGGCAGATGCGTGCAGCATCGAGTTCGTCGATATTTAGCTCATCTGCAACCTTCAATGCGCCCTGTTTGAATTCCTCATTCACAGAATATTGATCGCCTTCGAAATCTAGCTTCCCTGTATTCTGAAATCAGTAACCGTTTTTGTGTTCCACTAGTAATTCATACCAGTTGCCAAGGTCTGGCGGCTCTGCTCATTGCGAGCCTTCTTGTCGAGCAGATTCTGAAAGTCTTTCACATGAGCATCTAGCTGTGTCTCTAGGCGCTCAAGGCTCGTGAGGCGGGCTTCGGAGAGCGCAAGAAGGTCGGCATACAAAGCTTGCAAGCTCTCCAAGTTCGTCGGATCCGACATTATTTACCTCGATGCGCCGAAGGACGCAGGCAACCGATTCAGGGTGGTAAAGCGAGCATAGGACCATTAGTGATCTAGGTCAACGAAATATATCTTTGGTGGCAGTAATACACAACGTGCAGATATCGTAACAACCTGGAAGCGCATTCAAAGGTTGATATTCAATCTAGCGATGTTGATTTTTTGAGGTCGCGTCTTTTTGTCAGCCTCGTTTTTAGCGCGTTTGGGGAGCCTTTTCTATGAGCTCTCCTCATCTGTATTTCAAACCCATTGTACCTCGACAACCATATGGGAACGGATCAATAGCTCACAACTGACTATAATAACTGTACTACAGCTCGCCGTATAGACAGATTGTACATGCGCCTGACATCTTTGGGGCCTTGACTGCCACAATCTTCAGCCTTCTCAAGCTGGATCATCCCATACTATCCTCTGCCCTTTAACGCATCTGGAGCAGCAATGCTCATGGGACCCTGGTACGAGCCGGTCTCATCATGGGCGAGTCGCACGAAGAAAGAAAACTTGATCAAATCATAGGTAATCCGGAGTTTCCTGCTTGATGTCAACTGCTAATAAGTTACGCTAGAGTCGATACAGAGCGGAAATGTGAGGCAACGGGACGAAGCAGTCACAGGTATCCTTCAGAATATGCTCTTGGTGCAGCTTTAGCTAATCTCATATAGATCTTAAGGCTGCCTTCAATAGATTCCCTAGGTCAAATGTGTAGGTTATCATCATATGCCAGGCTGCTTTGCGTGCTAACTTTTGGCCTTCAGAGACGTCCTCACCGATAAATCATACCACAAAATCTACGAAGTTCTATTTAAGACTGCCCTTAACGAGAAGAAAGCGGTTCTGACAGCAAAGAAAGCCACGAAAACTGCTGCCACCAAACGCCTCACCGATTGCGGCGATGCCATTCGAGTGGTAGTCAAAGCTGGAGCTTCTAAGCTCAAGAGCAAGACAGTGGACGCGGTTGCGGATCATATATTACAGGTTCTACCGACAGGCGATGGAGGATACGACGAGCTGTTGGCTGATAGTTATTTCAAGGCTCTCAATGCTCTTTTTGAAAGTCCTGTGAATGCGGAGCGGCTGAAGTCGGAAGTGTGGCTCGAAATAGTCGACTTTTGCCTCCGTGGCATCAACGATTTTCTCGGAGATCCAGAGGATGAACCTTCTGGATTACCGCACACGTTCTCAGGTCTTGGGACAGGTCAGAGTTCTGGTTCTATTGCTAGAACTTCCAGTCGAGGACAAAGCAGACCCAACGCCAGGATCAACCAAAATCTCTCCGATCTCTTTCAGACTATACTTCAGCTTGTTTCTGCACCCAACGCTCCGCTGTTCGAGAGGTATGAGATGATCGCAGATAGCACCATGCTGTTGTTGACATCGCATGGCTCAAGTGTTGGCCAAGTGCATCAAACTGCATTCTCTATACTAAATACTATCCTTCGCTTCACACGCATGGATCGGACCTTGTTCTCGAGGGCTGTTGCTTACAAAACAATTCCTGTTGTGTCCCGCATTTGGCAAGGCAAAAGTCTTGCCAAGGATGAGATGCTCAATAATGTTCGAGACGAAATGTTTATCTTCATGTTCTCCATATTCCTTCACTTGGAGCGAGAGGTAAGAGATGGAAAGAACGAAGAAATCTTGTCGAACCTGGAAGAACTTTTAGATGCCCTGAGAACAGATTACTCCGCACGCTCAGAACGAGACCAGCTTCAACTGGATGATTTGGAGTTGCTAGGACAAGACAAGACCCTCTACCCATCTCCATTCCATCTCGACTTTTTCCAATTGAGACCGTACAACTCGAAGGCCGAACGCAATTGGGCGCTTTTGCTGATCATCGGGATACTTGAGCGACTTGTAAGTTTAGGCCAGGATTTAAAGAGGACTGCTATGAATGATGATTTGAATACTGATGATGTGCATCCTATCAAACGGCAGCGCACTACTCAGGTTCTAGATCGACTACTGAGCCCTCTGCGAGCAATTAACGAGAAATCTAGGACTGCTGGATTGCAGATCATTCCTTTTGTTCTCCAAGAGTGTCAGCTCTCCGCCTCAGAGCTTGCAGGCTTGATAGGTCAACTTCATCAGTGTGCAGGAGACAAGAGAGGGAACGTTGGATCTTGGGCCTTGATCGCCATGTCTAGGTGAGCACCATCTTGTGCCTATGTGCGTTTCTAACAAGTTCAGTTGTAATTACCAAAATGCTGCCAAGGAGCTAGATCCCTGTGAATGGATGCAACTCTGGCACATCGGAGTGCGCTCGTTGACCTTTTCAACTACATGCCGTGCTGCTTCACTTCAACTCCATACACTACTTGCGAAGGAGCGGGTGAAGTATCACGATATTGGTGAGGATGTGAACTCAATCATTACGGCCGCTGATACAAATGGTCCGGCCGTACTTTGCGAATCCAGCATCCTCTTCGTAATTCATCTCCTCCACGCTAAAGTTACAGAGACACCAGGATCAAGTTTAGCCATCTCACAGCATGTTATCAGATGGCTTTTTGCTCGTTGGGACCCGGGTAAGCACAATTTACTGTATGAGAAATTTAGGCTAGAATTGTGCTCATGTAGTCGTTAGTTGACAGAGCATTTGCAATGCGCTTTGCAATGCATGCCCAGCCAATCCATATTGCGAATCTTGTTCGAACATGCTTAGGGTTGCCTCTTCTAGCTCTCGACAAGATTTCAACCATGCCATCTGGGCCCGTTGCGCAAGCTTGGCAGCAACATTTACACACACAGGAGGTTATCAGTTATCTTCTCCTGCTGGATGATCCCCCTCCGACAACTGTGCCCTTGTGCTCTTCGTGCCCACCAGAATCCAAAGGTGATCATGTCGCTTTCACCTCCAACACAACTCACTTTATCTCCATGAGAAAGCTTTTGCTGGAACTCCTGCAACCGAAGTGTAACGAGATACTGCAGAGTTGGAGTGAATATCATGGATCTACGCCTGTCATGGCTGACATCATTCGCAGTGTAATTTATGGGAGTATCGGTATGCTGATGCTGATCGGCAACCTGGCAAACACACCTTTGCCTCAAATACAGTCTCTTGAGTCGGACATCTTAGCATTGACCGAAGATGTTGTTAAATGCTTTCGAGAAGCCCAGAATCGTGACCGGAGAGCTGCTGTGTCACTCACAGAAACATTGCTCCAATGCGTATGGCCTTACCTGCCGACTTGTAGGCTTGGAAACTTCTCTAAGCTGTCAGAGTCAAATCCACTCCTCTTGCAATTTTTTGTAACGATTGCTGATGAGATTGAGTCGACCTCAAATCAAAACGAGCAACCGTCTTCCGGGACTATGGACGATCTGATGGACATCGACGATCATTTTACAAGTACTCCAACCAAATCTGGCAGCGATAGTCAGCACACTTTGGTGCCTCGAGATCAACTCTCATTCAATATGTGGCCAGGCTCGTTTTACCGTACTATCATAGGACATCTGAAGCTCATATCTGCTCGTACCGCGGCTCCTGATCTTCAAGGACACGTGCCATCTGTATTTGTGGACTACCTGGTTGCTTTGGAACCCGACGAATTCCTCGCAGGCACCCAAATGCTCAAAGATGTCCTATCCTCGGAGCTGGTACTTGATCTGGAAGATGCAAGCAAGATCATAGCTGCTCTAGGTGATGTAGTCTCTTTGGATCTATATGCGCGCGCCGAGGTGTCGTGGGTAATGTGTTTAGACGCCCTGGTATCAATAGGGCCCCTCTGGTCGTCCCCTGACGGCAGCTTGGTCGCCGACTTGGCTGACCAGATGTATCTACATATCATCACGAAGGTACTAGACAAAGGCATAGCATCTCCAGCAGTTCAGAAAAGCATAGCAGAGCTACTGTTCTTCCTCATGCGGGTGAACGAAGAGTACGGCTGCAAGCACAACATCCCATCTCCAAGATCGATTCTGTTCACAATCCTGCAAAATAGCAACGTTTCCGTCAAATTCTACATTGGAAAACGCCTCCCAGAGATATTCAAGCTCTTTCTGCTTTCTAATCACGAGAGTGTGTTCTTGGACATTCTTAACCACCTCCCGAAGGATTCGGAACGAATTGAAGAGATTTATTTCCGTCAATACGTGTTTGCCACGTTAGCTTCATCTTGGCCCACTCTTTTGCGGCGATGTATTTACAATATCTTCGAAGGAGCTGGCAAGATTCCCGAATGCATCAAGCACTCGACAAAGTGTTTGGAAGATATCTCCTCAGCTCTTGGTCTGGGCAGTCCGCAAGAATTGTTCACGCTTTTTGCGCCCCAAATTTTGTACACCTGGCTTGTTGAGGAGAACATAAAAGATATACCTTTCGTTATATTTGGCTTCCCAACACTTCGGGACCTCGTCAGAGAGGCACAAGATGAGGCAACCGCGATTATGGCTATGAGGGGCCAAGAGGACTCCATAAAAGAACTTGCTTCTCTGCTTGATGTCAACGAGTCATCTCTTCTCCAGGATGGCTTTGGTAGGATCATCGCCTATAACACCGCCTATACCATAAGTACACCACCTCCAATAGGTGAGAAGCACATGCCTGTTGAATCTGGATTGAAGCGCCAACTTGGTTCGGAACGATTTTTCGAGTGTCTCAGTGTTTGTTTCACAGACATTATTGCAATTCTGTTCATCACCTTGGATCCCGAGAAGAACATAGAAAAATACTTCTCTAAACACGAGTCTCAGCGATATGCAGCACAGATCATTATAGATATGAAGGAATTTGGGTCTCCTAGGACACCCTTGCCGCAAAGTCAACAACCTGCTTTCAAAGCGCGATTCTTGTGCAAAGAGATTGAACATATCTGCACTCGCACCCGCTACGAACAAGCCAACCTCTTCACTCCGACTTTGGTGACCTATATCGCTCGACTATTGTTCAACACAATCCACCCGGCCTTAGGGTCACTTCATGCTTGCTCAGTTTTACAAAAGATACGAGTTCTGATTTCTCTTGCGGGACCATCTGGAGTAAACGGGTATCCATTAGAAATGCTGATTCAATCTGTAGCGCCCTTCTTGGCAGATCCAGAATGCACCGACGATGCAATCGGCATATTACAATATCTGATTCAGGCTGGCTCCAGACATTTGCTAGAGGCTCCGTCTTTCGTGGCTGGTTTTGCCCTGGCTATATCTGGTTCGCTTGCATCTCTCCTCGACCCTGCTAAGGCGAGTAGTCAATACGTAGCCGTGCGTACGAAAGCTCGGGACTTCCATTCTTGGCTCGGCCAGTATCTCACGGATTACACTTCTCCCGCCTTAAAGACTTATTTAAAGTCGGGCTTTCGGAAACTGGTCCTAGCAGCCTTCAGCGCGAGCTCAAGCGGCAGTTCCGAGTCAAATACCTCAGAGAGCGTCCTCTTGGTACAGCTTCTGAAGGATGAGCGAGTCGGCGGCGAGCTTCTCAGCAGACCCTCCCGTGAATTGGCACTTGGTCGCTTGTCCTCCACCTTTCGCAGTCCCCAAACCTTCCGGTCAGATGCACTTGGGACTGATGAATTGTCCATTGAATATGCTACGCTAGTATGGAAGTCATGTCGTAGTGGACAGGCAAGTCGCCAATATCTGTCCTGGGCTGCTAGAGTCACTGGCAGAGCATTTGCAGCATCCGGACTCATACACGAAGGAGTCCTCCAGGAATCTACTTTGGCTGAGATCAAAACCATAGGCCCATCAAAGGACGGAAACATCGATTCTGAATCCGCTATTCTCTGTCTACTTCGAGACTTTACCCTAGGCCTTGATTCACGCACTGCCGGGCTTGCTGAAGATGCGTTGAGGCTTGTCCTCTCTATGGCAGATGAAGAATTACTAAGATCCTGCGGAGACCACATACCCAACTTTCTTTTCAATGCCTCCATTTGGGATCCGTTTCAAATGCCGCCATCCGCAAGTGGTCACCTTACCCAAGATGCTGTCCCCCTGAAAAACGCTTTAGCCTATGATGCTATATACCAGCAGGATTGGACCCGATCTATACTACTTTCTCTAGCCCAATCAATGCCAAATGAAGTACTGCTGAACGCGATCGTACCCATATTGCAACAAGTAGCTGGATTTCCGGACCGAGTATTCCCGTTCATCATTCATCTGGTCCTCTCAGCTGAATCAAACGAGGCTGTTATCAGACGGAAAGATCTCTCGGCAGCATTTGGTCGATGGTTTAGTGACTGCGTAGCGATCAACCACAACAATCTCAAGATGTTACTGAATTCGATATTGTATCTTCGCACACAAGTTCGGCCGAACGAGAGGTCATCCGCTGATCGAGCACACTGGCTTGATATTGACTATTTGAAGGCAGGCACAGCTGCGGCACATTGCGGTATGTTCAAGACCGCGTTGCTCTTCATCGAAGAGTCTTGCTCTCAGCCAATAAAATCATCTCGACGATCGTCGACTTTGAAAGACAGCCCTCCGACGCCCGATTTGCCTACCGAAACCCTCCTCACAATTTTCGAAAACATCGATGATCCGGATCTGTACTACGGAGTACAACAAACTTCAAATCTGAAGACTATCCTGGCACGGTTCGAATATGAAAAGGACGGGCCCAAAGCTCTTGCTTTCAGAGGCGCTCAATATGACAGTCATATCAGGCGGCATGATGCAGAATCCAATCAAGATGCCCAATCTCTCGTAAAAGCTCTTGATGTTCTCAACCTGAGTGGATTATCGCATTCTTTATTGCAGTCTCAACACACCCTTGGCATGACCGAGACTTCAGCAGCTTCCATGTTCCAAACAGCCCGCAAGCTTGAGCGCTGGGACATCCCTGTCCCAAGTACATATAACAATAGTGCCGTCACAATGTATAGAGCTTTTCAAGGGATCCATACAGCGGTGGATGAGGCCAGTGTCTTGCATGCCTTAAATGAAGGCCTCGAACATTCTATGGCCAAGCTCGCAACAGAGAACCTTAGTGCGAGGTCTCTTCACGAAACCATGCAAACAATGGCCGCTCTGGTTGAAATGGATGAAGTGTTCACCTCTCGTGGATCCGAACAGTTTGAACATGTTTTCAAACGCTTTCAAAATCGTGAGCAGTGGATGAGAACAGGAAGGCGAGCAAAAAGATTCTCCTATCAGGATAAGGTTCATTGCTGACACACACTAGGTTTGACGATATCAGCCACATTCTTTCATGTAGAGGGACCACTCTGAGCACACTAAGCCAAGACCCACGCTTGCAAACAATTGTTGGTGTAGCAGCCATTGACACTCGCTTAGTTGAAGTGAACGGAGCTCTGATGGCTTCGAAGATTTATCGCTCTCATGATGGTCTACAAGAAGCTTTATCTCTTGCAACCTCAATGACAGATCTGATTCACCCCTGCAACCAAGTTGCTATCAAGGCCGAAGTTGCAATTCACATGGAAGCAGCAAATGCTCTGTGGGACCAAGGGGAAATGGGATCGTCTATACGTATGCTGCAAGCCTTAGATGATGTCAAATTGTTGAAGAGTCAAACTATTAGCGTGGGTCGCTCGCACCTGCTCTCCACGCTTGGTCATCGCGTCTCGATCGCACGTCTTGAGAAGGCGGACCAAATCATTGAGAAGTACCTGGCACCCGCGTTGGCCGAGCTCAAAGGGACCAGCCATGGAAGTGAAGCTGGGCAGGTATTCCATCAATTTGCCGTGTTTTGCGATGAGCAACTCCAAGACCCCGATGGACTTGAAGATCTTGCACGACTAGAAAAGCTGAGCAAGAACAAAGAAGAGGAAGTTCAGTACTACGATAGACTGATCAACGAGGCAAGGTCATCACAAGACAAAGCCAAATACAAACAGAATCAAGACAAATCGAAGAAATGGTTGAAGATGGATCTAGAGGAACTTCAGCGGCATATCAAGAATCGAGAACAATTCTTGCAGCGATGTTTGGAGAACTATTTACTCGCCCTTGCAGCTTCCGATGACCACAACAGCAATGCCCTTCGCTTCTCCTCTCTTTGGTTTGAGCATTCTGGGGAGTCGTTAGCCAACGAGGCTGTATCCAAGCACATGAGACAAGTACCTAGTCGCAAATTTGCGCCTCTGATGAATCAGCTCAGTTCGCGACTTCAAAAGTCCTCTGATAAATTCCAGCAGCTTCTCTTCGACCTTGTACTTCGAATTTGTACCGAGCATCCCTACCATAGCATGTATCACGTCTATGCAGGTGTACACACAAAAGCCAACCTTAGTGACCAGTCTGCAGTGTCAAGGAAGGAAGCTGCAAACAAAATTGTTCGGTCTTTGGAACACGTCACTGGAACAAAAGACATCTGGCAGGCCATCCTCGTTTCGAACAAATATTACTGTCAACTTGCTGCTGAGAAGAAGGAGGAATATAGGGCTTCCAAAAAGTTCCCGATCGATAAGTCGCAAGCTGCGAGGAACTTGGTTGCTGTATTCGCTAAATACAGAGTACCTCCTCCAACAATGTCGATTGATTTGTCTCCAGAGGCCGACTATTCAGCAGTTCCTATTATGATTCGGTTGGAACCGCAGCTTTCGATAGCAAGCGGCGTCAGTGCGCCCAAGATTATAACTGCAGTTGGTAGCAATGGCACAAGGTACAAACAACTGGTAAGTTACAACCGTAGAGTAGAAAGTTCTCGCTAATCGTTACAGGTGAAAGGAGGAAATGATGATCTACGGCAAGATGCAATCATGGAGCAAGTCTTCGAACAAGTCAGTGAACTGCTGAAGGCTAATAAATCAACACGGCAACGCAATTTGCACATCAGAACCTACCGTGTGCTCCCCCTCACACCTACGGCTGGTGTGATCGAATTCGTGGCAAATACGATACCTCTTCATGATTACCTACTCCCAGCCCACGAGAAGTATTATCCAAAAGATTGGAAGGGCAGTCAGTGCCGGAAGGAAATTTCAGAAGTCCAGACGAAATCGACCGATACGAGAATGAAGGTGTTCCGTAACGTCACTGAACATTTTCACCCAGTTATGAGATACTTCTTCACGGAGAAATTTCAAAGCCCGGATGAATGGTTTGCCAAACGATTAGCATACACTCGAAGCACGGCTGCGATTTCGATCCTTGGACATGTAGTTGGCCTTGGTGACAGACATGGCCACAATATACTGCTCGACGCTCAAAACGGAGAAGTAGTTCACATCGATCTTGGTATTGCCTTCGAGATGGGTAGAGTGTTACCAATTCCTGAAAATGTTCCATTTCGGTTGACTCGCGATATTGTCGATGGCATGGGAATCACGAAGACTGAGGGTGTATTCCGAAGATGCTGCGAATTTACACTGGAAGCATTGAGGAAAGAGGTGTATAGTATCATGACTATCCTTGATGTCCTGCGTTACGATCCGTTGTACAGCTGGTCGATATCTCCAGTGCGAATCGCAAAACTACAGGAAGGTGTTGGTGTAGCGGCAACTGCTGATGGAGACAACACACCAAAGGAGAGAGTCAACGAGCCGGGTGAGGCTGAACGAGCTCTCGCGGTGGTGAGCAAGAAGTTGTCCAAGACGTTAAGTGTCACCGCTACTGTCAACGATCTCATCAACCAGGCCGGCGACGAGAAGAATTTAGCTACTTTATTTTCAGGTAAGTGTTTCCTATTCTCTAGTTCCTCGATGGGCACTAATGTCCACAGGCTGGGCGGCCTATGTATAAAGCTGGAAGAAGCCATCTGCAGCGTGTAGGTAATTTTGATTTGAAGAGTTGGCATCTTTTTCAGGAGTTCGGCTCTATTGCAATACCCCTCTAGCATTTTTACATATTGCAATCGCGGCTTCACAGCCACATACTATAGTGTAGATCCCAAGAAATAGACAGGTACCATACAACGGGAGATAAGATTCGGTGAAGACACGAGTACGAGATAGCCGAGTTGAAAGTCGCTATTCTTGTTAGGTCTCCCATCCTCGCGTCGCTTTGCGCTAACCCTTCAAAGCGCCTGATCCGAAGGTCCAGCTTATCATCGCTGCACCGAGGCGAATTTGCGGGGAGACCCACCCCCACCTCCGCCACGGGGCCTCGTGGTTCGCACAGACGACCAACAATACCCCAAGCGGGGAATCCTGGTGCTGGGAATATTCGGAGTTGTGAATGCATAACACTGTAGGGGTGATGATAATAACATGACTCGTCCAAGCGAACAAGATTTTTCTGCTTGTTGTGGTGATGAGCAGGTGGGGCATTCTCCAAGGTCTTCTGAGCGACATTTCCAGGCATACCAGACTGCAAGAGCTCTATCTATCTATGGTCTTGCTAAGGTGCGTGTAGATTCGATGCCACCCACCATCTAGAGGGGCAGAATCAAGATCCGACTGTTGGATGCAGCGTCCACATGTAGAAGAAAGTAACTTCTACACTCAATCTCGATAAAGGTTATCGGACCTGGTACCAAGATTGGCACACACCGCGACCCCGCATGCTTAAGAAAGTTTCCTTACTTCTGTTCTTCGGGTCTGTACATAAGTGGAAGTTGCTCCGGTTACTGACAGCTCAGATCTTTCTCAAGAGTAAGCAATACTTCGGCAGTCTTTCCGTCAGAATCCAATCAAGGATACCGGAACTCAGTCTTTCAGGCACACCGCCGCGATGATACTCTGCGAAGACGTTGCCGCTCCAATAGGAATGTCTCGAATCGAGAAGTAGCCTCATCGGCAATAAACTTTTGATGGCTTGTCCTTGGCTCAAGTGGTTGGTGGATTACAGAACAGATACACGCCCCGGAGATGGTACCTGAATTGACAGAAATACTTGATCAGCTGGCCAAGTGACACGAGAATACCGAGGAGGCACATGGGAATAGTTTCTCGTTCGTGACACTTCAGTGAAGCGTACAATCTTTCAATCGCTCTATATGATCTTCACGATGTCGCGCCCAAGAAGAAAGAAGCTCTCCTGGTTAAGTGGGCTGGGAAGCATCACTCGCACATCTTCTTTCCGTTCATCATGAAGCTCCTTCTACTTCTCTTGGCTGTCTTGCCAGTCGCCCTCTCTGCACCTGCTGCACAACCTGTCCGAAGAGCAACAGCACCCACAGTCGCTATTCCTTCTCCATCTGCCACCATTATCGGCTCCGTAGGCACAACTGTAGAGTCCTTCATGGGAATCCCATTTGCCCAACCTCCCGTGTCCTCTCTCCGCCTCAAGCCCCCTCAGTCTTTGACCACAGCTTTGGGTACGGTCTACGCAACAGGTGTGCCGGCAGCATGTCCGCAAATGTTCTTCGATGATGCTTCAACAAGTGTTCCAACCGCTTTATTGGGGACGATCTTGGATCTACCGCTTTTTCAGACAATCACCGATGCGAGTGAGGATTGCTTGACGGTCAATGTCCAAAGACCAATTGAAACAACTGCGGAATCTAATCTCCCTGTCTTGTTTTGGATTTTCGGAGGTGGATTTGAGTTGGGATCTACACTTAGTAAGTTATGCTCCTCTTCTGTTGTCATTCTCGGAATACTGATTCATCGCAGTGTACGATGGCGCGAATTTCGTCCAAGATTCCATAACAGACGGTCAACCCATCGTTTTTGTAGCTGTCAACTACCGTGTTGGCGGTTTTGGATTCATGCCTGGTGCCGAAATCTTGGCTGATGGTTCCTCGAATCTTGGTCTCCTCGACCAGAGATTAGGGTTACAATGGGTTCAAGATAACATCGCTTCTTTCGGAGGAGACCCCACTAAAGTCACCATCTGGGGAGAATCAGCAGGTGCAATCTCAGTCCTGGATCAAATGGCTATGTACGATGGAGACATAACCTACAACGGAGCACCTCTCTTCCGCGGCGCTATTATGGATTCTGGGTCCATTGTTCCAGCTGATCCGGTTGATTGCCCTAAAGGCCAGGTGGTGTTTGATCAAGTTGTTGCTACGGCTGGGTGTACTTCTGCGACGGATAAGCTCGAATGTTTGAGAGCTTTGGATTATACTGATTTCCTTGACGCTACGAACTCAGTTCCGGGTCTACTGAGCTATAACTCCATCGCATTGAGTTACTTGCCAAGACCAGATGGGACCGTCCTGACCGAAAGTCCGGATATTCTAATCTCGAGTGGCAAATACGCTGCTGTACCATTCATCATTGGAGATCAAGAAGACGAAGGCACAATTTTCGCACTCTTCCAAGAAAACATCACGGACACTGCCGAACTAGTAACATACCTCCAAACTTACTTCTTCAACGATGCCACAACCGCCGAAATCGAAGCTCTGGTAGCAACGTACCCCGACGACGCATCAGACGGATCTCCCTTCAACACAAGCATCCTCTACGAACTCTACCCAGAATTCAAACGCCTAGCCGCCATCCTCGGCGACCTCACCTTCACCCTAACCCGCCGCATCTTCCTCTCCGTCCATACCTCCCTTAACCCCTCCGTCCCAGCATGGTCCTACCTCTCTTCGTACGACTACGGCACTCCCTACCTCGGCACCTTCCACGGCTCCGATCTCCTCCAAGTCTTCTATGGTATACTGCCGAATTATGCGTCGGCCGCCGTACATCGGTATTATTTCAACTTTGTGTATAATCTAAACCCGAATGATGATACGGGCGCGACGGAGAGCGTGTCGGTGATGAGCTGGCCGCAGTGGAGTGTGGGAGAGCAGGTCATGCAGATTTGGGCTTCGTATGCGGATTTGTTGGATGATGATTTTAGGGCGACGAGCTATGATTGGTTGGTGGGGAATGCGGGGAGTTTGAGGATTTGATTGATGGTGTGAGATTCTTTGGACTTGAGAGCTGACATGAGGTTATGTAGGGATGGATTTGGGGGTTGGGTTGCATTGGGATACCGGTAGGCAGGACTAGGAATAACATAAAAGTCTTTGATCAACAGTTACTTGGTTCTTTCTCTAAGTGACCGTGGAGCATCTCCGACAGCGAGGGCAACGTAGCTTGTCACTTGTGGTAGCTACGATCGTGAACTACATGATAGAAAGCTAATGCGTATGATTTGTGTCATCACATAATATGAAGCTCAGATTGGTCCGGTCTTGCACGATTTGGAAGCAAGCGAAGTGCTCGCTAGACCTCGCTAGTATTTTTTAAGGGGTAACAAGACGCGAGGTCGAAGATAACAGAACTGAGCTCTCATACAGGCAGCAACCAAGAACCAATCCACTGGCTACGAATATAACATTCTACAAAAAGGTATGCTTTGTCTTAAACTATTTGGGGATCGTAGTCACAAGTACTTGAAGTCTCATCGGATCGGACTAGCCGGATTTGGATTGAGCTCAGCACCTGATGTTTTTGCTCATGATTACCTAGCTGTGGCAATTTAAGCTTACGAGACGGAAGACAGGTTACCTCGATTCACTTGTGGTACTTATTCAATTCGACTACTTCCGGAGACTCAATATGTTGCGTTTACTTTAAACGTCACTAAAATTACGGACGTATTCTAATACACGTGACATTCTGTCGGCGAAATTCATTTGCTTCGATGACTGTCCAGTCTGGTATTCCGGACGTATCGGACAATTGTTCGAGGACTCCAGAATCGAGGATTTCCTGATTGACAATGCAATAGCACTCGTTTGCATCTGATCCCCATCCAAGCGTACCCCTGTTATTAAGCGATTCTGGACATCTAAGACTCGACAGCAACACGCCTTGGAATGAGATGGATTGCAACTCACTAACGACTTTTCAAATGGATTCTGAGCCATCCGTTGTGTTTGCATCACTCGTTTGCAAGAAACGTGTGCAACTATCCCCTCAAGCGCCAGCCGGAAATTTTAGCGTGGAATCAATAGTGCACGGACATTTTGTCGAGAACACCAAAAGTTTGATCGCTGTAAGAGCCTGGAATTTAAGGGTGCCGTCACTGAAGCTTTAGGCTATTGATCGCTAAAGACCGCTGAAGCTCCCTGGAACACGATTTTGCGCTAACATTCCGAAGCGAATTGGCGCTTGAGGGGATAGAGTTTACGGTAAGGTATCAGTCCGTTGGTACTAAAGGATCCCTGACCCTGCCCTTCGATAAGGGGCTTTGATATGCTCCTGCCCCCGACATCAACTTTCTTTCCTTCTTGTCACACCTTCCCTTGCCCGCCTTCAAAAGTCATCTTTGTTTCTTGCAAGCTCAGACTTTATAAATTTCACCCCCTGGAGCTCCCATCTAAATCATTCCGTAGTTCAGATCTCCAACATGTATCACTGCCAACCCTGCGATCGTTGGTTCAATAATGAGCATGCTTACGATCAACACATCGACAACAGCCCAGCGCACAATTTCCGTGGCAGTCGATATGAGTGTAGCGTCTGTGATCGTGGTTTCTCGACTGAGTACTCCCTTCATCAACATTCCTCCACGGCAAGCGGTCATCCGTATTGCATCCCCTGCAAACGCATGTTCATGAACCAGAATAACCTGAACCAAGTAAGTAGCTGCTCAAAGTACAACACTGTCTAGGAGATCTTGACTGACTTGATTGGAACAGCATATGCATTCCAGGACCCATGTTGGTAGCCAAATCCAGTGCCCGTTCTGTAGGACCGGCTATGCTACTGCATCTGGCGTGACGGTGAGTTTCGTCGATTCCAAAACTCTCGGTTCCCCGTTTGACGCTTTCATCTACCACTGCTGCCTTATTCAAATGCCAACACTTGAACCATCTCTTTCCTGAAAGTCATAAGAAAGCTGACTTGCTCTGCCCAAGATCCAGCTCGAATCCGGCAATTGTCCCCAAGCCAACATCGATCGCCATGGAATTAACAGAATGATCCGCCGACTCGACACCAACCACGTCATCACCAGACGTCTCCTCACGTACGGTGACACCGATCCCGTTGAGTACATCGCAACGGAACGTTCCTGGAACGGACATGCCTTCCAATGCGTCCTCTGTACCCGCCAATTCGGTGCTCTTCATAGCCTTAACACACACATGAAGAGTCCTGTACATGAGCAGAATCTGTATCATTGCCCTGGTCGAAATTGTGCTCGCGAGTACAAGTTGTTGAGTGGGTTGGTGCAGCATGTTGAGAGTGAGAGTTGTGGGGTCATGAGATTTGCTGCTGTGCAGCAGCAAGCTAGGAATGGTATTGAGAATATGGTGGGTCGCATGATCCAAGGAGCTTAACTTTGATGGCTTAGCGATCTGCTCCTAACGGCTCTGTTGCTCTGGTTTGTGCTTGGTTTGATGGATTTGTTACACGTTATGATTCGTTGGTCGTTTTTATTTGGAGCTGGAGGAGGCACTGTGGCTTGGCGCCTCTTTTGGAGCAAACCAGAGATCTAGAGGATCTGGCGTCATGAGAGATTTGGCGTATCGTAGACAGTGTCTGGCTTGGATTTCGAATTCTGGAGTTTTCGTATGCGGTGGTTTCTGGTCGGTGTCCGCAATATGGATGTTCTTGAGAAGTCCTTCTGCACCATGACACTAGGAGGACGTCGACTAGTCAGTACCAAGGAATGGATTGAAATTACTTGTATACAGTGCCTTCCCACTCATGAATCTAGCTAGTAAAGTAACCTGGGAGACCTGAGCTCAGGGAAGGTTCTCACGTGACAGAAAGCTGGACTTGTAGGTATAGACATTCTCGAAGGCATCAAGACCATATGAGACAAGAACCGCAAATGGGTGTTAAATAAAGTGAAAATAACAAGACAACTTGAGCCAGAATCGACTGTGGAAGAAGATCTCTCAAGAGTGAAGAGTATCACGTGACCTTCGCTGCTTCAGGAGCCCAGCCATACTGAAAGACAGAAGAGCCTTCTAAATCTCGCGTGGATACAAGTGAAAGTAGAAGAGACTAAGTATGAGATGAGTCAGACTCCAAATCGAAGTATGATAAAGTGATATCGCCGTCTCCAGCTTCGAAACCTGTCAACTTCTTACCTCGAGCTAAGCCTCCGTCCCGCGTATCAACGGCCGAACCACAACTTCAAAACCCCTCTCATCTTTGGACATGTTGATGTCCTTCCTCCTGCTCATAGACTATCGCAGAGAAGAGCTTTTGGTTTTAATATGAACAAACGACACATTGTGGTCTTCTCGGGTGGCAGTGCTGCGAACAATCTTGTGGATGTGTTTGGGAAGGTTGCTGAGGATAAGGGGTGTTCGTTAAGCTAGTGAGTTTTCGCCTCTCTTTTGTGAAGAGCACGGTTTTGGGAGCCAGGGCTGATTAGGATCTTGAAGTGTTATTCCTATCAGTGATAATGGAGGGTCGTCGAGTGAACTTATTCGGGTGTTTGGAGGTCCGGGAATTGGTGATGTCAGGAGTATGTTTTGTTAACCTTGCTTTTTGCTTGTCCCTTCTGTGCCATGTCTTTTTTGAGGAGAGCGTTCTTATCGTCTCAAATAGAGACAGGCATGAAGTCTTGCCAGTTCTTTTCAGCCCTGTTGTCTCTGCGTACTGCTGTCACGTGCCTAACTTCCTCATAGGTCGACTCGTCCGTCTCATTCCTGAGGAGCCCTCAATACCGGAGACTACAGCTATCAAAACCCTCTTCAACCACCGTCTCTCCTCTTCACCTTCTCTAGCACGCATAGAGTGGCTTGACATAGTCGAGGGCCGACACCTCCTTTGGACCAGCATCTCATCCGAGAAGCGGGAACTCATCCGTTCATTCCTCAATACCATCAATCTTGAAATTGTCAAGAGACTCCGTCCTTCCTCATCCTTCAACTTTCAATCTGCATCAGTAGGGAATCTCTTCTTAACAGGAGCAAGACTCTTCACAGGTAGTTTTGAATCAGCTATCTATCTGCTTGGAGCTATCACTGGAGTCCCCAACAACGTAAACGTTATTCCAGCCATCAACAGCAACTTCAGCCACCACATCTCCGCCAGCTTAAAAGACGGCACCATAATCACAGGCCAAAACAGCATCTCCCACCCCTCAGCGCCCTCCGCCCCGGCACCGATCCCAACACCCACCCCTCAACCATCAACCTTCGGCCTCACCTTCTCCGCAGAACCCGAATCCACCTCCCAGCTCGGCGAAGAAACCGACCTCTCACCCACAACCTCCCATCTCCGAACCCTCAGCAAAGAACTCTCAGAACACGAAGCCATCGAAGACGCAAACCTCCCCGGTTCCCTCCCCACGCTCCGGAAACAATACATCACGTTCCACAAATCGCACACCGAGGACCTCCCCTCTCGCATCGAGAGGATATGGTACATCAACCCCTACGGACAAGAGATCCGGCCCGCCGCGAACCCGAAGGTACTCGCTAGCATCGGCGACGCTAGCGCGGTTGTATATTCCATCGGTAGTCTGTACACGAGTATCGTGCCCTGTCTCATCCTCCGCGATGTAGGCAAAGTGATTGCCGGGGGCGTGAAATACAAGATTTTGATCTTGAATGGGAGTTTGGATCGAGAGACGAGGGCAGTGGGCGATGGCGGGTTTACGGCGAGGGATTTCATCGCTGCTGTTGCGGACGCGTGTGTGTCGTCCCGGTCGTCGAGTACGGGGAGGACGAGGGCGAGGGAGGAGGAGTATAGGGAGTTTGTGAGTCATGTTATTCATTTGCAGGGGGAGGGGACGCCGCGGGTGGAGAAGGGGGAGTTGGGGAGGTTGGGGATTGAGTGTGTGAGGATTTATGGGAGGAAGAGGGAGGGTGGTGAGGAGGGGGATGGAGATGGAGGGATGATCTATGATGGTGTTGCGTTGGGGCAGGCGTTGGAGGCTATTATTGGGGGGCCGAAGAGGTTTAGTGATAGGAGTCGGAGGAACACTCTTGGGATTAGTGGGGTTGGTGGATAGGGTGTTTAGGAGCTTTTAGATGTCAGGGCAAAGCGATGTTTAAGCAGCGTTCAAGTCGGGGTTTGAGACGGACAATTGGAAGGGTAGCTGAATGTCTCACTTGGTTAGAGCACTTTTGGTCCCCAAAGTATCTCTCCCCATAAGATTATTCCTCACTAGGTCATCTCGATGGTCACAAAGCCTTGAAATCTTGCAATGTTTTCATAAAGCACTGCATTTATTGCACTGCCAAAGCAACTATTTGACAGTTCGAGAACGCCCGAACTCCACATGTCTGTCTATAAGGTATCCCATGCATGTCCGTCCAGTATGCCCATGCTCCATGCTACCGGTAATGCTTGACAAATGTCAATGAAAAGCCCTCCCATCCTGTGCATATGCCCAAACGCCAAATGTTGTATCAAACAGAGGTATATTCAGGCCCGAATTGGACGCTTTCCCTGCTTCTTCGCCGTCGTTAGCTTCATAGATAGTGGGAAGTAGCCCTTTGCTGATGGCTTCTGTCCAGTTCTGGGGATGACGATCGCTGTTCTGCAAACGGGGCAGCACTTTCGCTCGCCGGCGTGAAGGGCTTGGTGGAGGCATTCGGAGCAGAAGAGATGACCTAAAGGTAATAAGTCAGCATCTGATCAGAATGAGAGTCTGCAAGCACTCTGGGTAGTACATACCACAATGTGTGACCGTCAAGTCTGTGGGGTCGTCCATGCAGATAATACACTTGAATTCCGCCAGCTTCATCGGCTTCGTAGCTTCCGCCTGGTATTGCGCCTTGATGGCCTCTGCTTGCTCTCGAGCTTTTAGCTCCTCATATGCTTTTTGACCCTCCACGTCGATCAAGTCCACACATTCAACATCATCAGTAGCAACCGTGGTTCTGCCTGATTTGCCTGGTCGCCCCTCGCCCGGTGTCTCTGCCTTTCGTTTTCTGCTCGGAGTGGGTGCGGGACGAGGTTGAGGAGGAGAGGATGCGGTCAGATCAACAAAGGAGGAAGATCGTGTGTGATTAGAGGGCGCCATGTTAGGTGTAGGTGGCGAAGGCGTGAGGTTTGAGAATTCTCCGAAAGGGTCTGGGGAGTCGTCCACGAGGAAGTGCTCAAATACTGATGAGGCTCGGGGCGGTTCTCGTCGGGCTCGAGCTTCTCGATTCGAAGGCGGAGGTCGTAGGTTTCGTGCGTCCAGCGAAGTTTCGGATATGAAAGGGTCTGAAGAGGAAGTTGAAAGACGAGAGCGAGAAGGTGCATCCAGCAATCCTGGCGCAAGAGGTGGAAGTTCGCCGAATGTGTTCTCCGGATTTATTGGCGCCAGTGTCAAATTCCCATCATCAAAGTCCTCAAAATCGGCAGCATTCACAGCCCAATCTAAGTCGTTGTCGTCTTCGAACCATGGGACGCCTGGATATGGACTTTGAGGGAGGTGGTTGTTGTTGTTGCGCGGCGAATCGAAGGTACTGGGATCTGCTGGTTGCCGGCCTGGAGAATCCCAGTTCCAAGTGCCTGGTGAATTGGACATTGATTCAAAGACGCACGAAAATGTTGATTAAATATGGAATTGATAATTATATACCGCGAGCAGAAGAATAATAGAAAGCATGGAGAGACTGGGTGTATGAAAGAATGAGCATTTCCCCTCGAAGGCGAGATTAGTGAGTGATGTTGTAACCCAGACGAAGGCCGGTGGCGGCACATATCAGGCTGGTTCAGGTTCAGGTGAAGTGGAGTGCAGGCGGCCGCACTCATACTTTATCGCCCTTTTATCACGAGCGATAGGGGCTAAATTTCACTCTTCGCGACTTCGAGGACGTCACGAACTTCAGAGCAGGGAGTTTGTATGATACGACCAACAACAAGAACCCGATATCATGACTTAACATCTGTCTGAAAGATAGAATGCTTCTATCAACACGAGCTGGTCGTCCGAGCAGACCATGGGCTAGCTTCGTGAAGCTCGCAAAGCATCGGGCGCATTACCGTCATGAGATTCGAAGGACGGGACTACAATGGAGATACTACGCGACTGAGGCAGCGAGAGATGGAGAGCCTACTGCCGCAGACTCTGGTACCACCTCTAGTAAGCACAAGGAATATTTCGAGACGAGAAGACAACCTCTGACCGCTTTGCAGGACCGTCTCAGGCAAGGTATAATGAAATAGGGGTCCAGCAACTAAGTAGCCATGTCTATTCTCAAATCTTCCCTGATAACGTCCCGCCACCCCCGCAAGAACTCATAGAGCTCTCCAAAGACCATCTGCGACGGCATGACCTACTTGGCAAGAATACGGACAATAGCGCACCCATCTCGTTTGATCTGCCAGAGCTCCAAGGGAGTACATTGGACGAGCACTTCTACAAACTCGGAGTCGATGCTGCTGAACCGTACCTTTCGAAAGCAAAGCAGTTCACGAGGTCAAATGCTCCTCCGAAGCCGAGAAAATGGGTACGCAGATGTGGCTGGACAAAGTACTACCCTGATGGCAGGACGGAGGCAGTTGATGCGCCACAGGAGGATATGCTCTGTTTTGATACAGAAGTAATGTGGAAGGAGAGTTCTTTCGCGGTAATGGCTTGTGCTGTCAGTCCTACGAATTGGTATGCGTGGTTGTCCCCATGGCTACTGGGAGAATCAGAGAATGACAGACATTTGATTCCGCTTGGAGATCCAATTCAGGAACGGATCATTGTGGGGCACAACATTGGATATGATCGTGCCCGAATTGCGGAGGAGTACGACATCAAACAATCGAAGAACAGTTTCCTGGATACAATGTCTCTGCATGTGGCGGTCAATGGGATGTGCTCTCGCCAACGGCCGACTTGGATGAAGCATAGGAAGAATCGAGAACTCAGAGACAAAATAGCTGGAGAAACGGACAATGTTGAATTGGCTACTTTGCTGGGCAACAAAGCTCTGACGGAAGAGGAGGAAGAATTATGGGTTGGTCGAAGTTCTGTTAATTCATTACGGGATGTGGCAAAATTTCATCTCAATGTCTCACTCGACAAAGCTCAACGAGACCAATTTGGCGAACTCGATAGAAGTGGTGTGGTAGCGAAACTGGATGAGCTTCTGGATTATTGTGCTGCGGATGTGGATGTCACTCACCGAGTGTACAAAATTGTGTTCAACAATTTCGTGGAAACATGTCCACATCCTGTGAGCTTTGCAGCTCTCCGGCATCTATCTTCGGTCATCCTCCCAGTCGACAAGTCATGGGAGTCGTACATTGCGAATGCTGAAGCAACCTATCATAAGTTGTCAGATGCCGTGCAGGAGAGGCTTATCAGCTTGACTGAAAGGGCATTGGAGATTAAAGGGGACGAGGAGAGGTGGTGTAATGATCCATGGCTTCGACAACTGGACTGGTCTGGCCAAGAAATTAAGATGGTGAAAGGCAAAAAGAAAAATGATCCTCGAAGACCAGCTGCGAGGCAGAAGATGCCTGGAATGCCTCAATGGTATAAAGATTTGTTTATAAAGAAGGACGGTCCCATCGGCCTTTCGGTCCGAACTCGCATTGCACCCTTATTATTGCGTTTGTCATGGGATGGATATCCTTTGGTTTGGTCTGATAAATATGGTTGGACGTTCCGGGTACCAGTTGGAGACGCTCACAAGTATACGCAGAAGTCCATGCAAGAATGCTCTGCTTTCGAGGAGAAAGACATCACCTTAAGAGACGACAGGAGCGGGGTATATTTTAAGATACCCCACAAAGACGGGCCGACCGCGCGTTGTGCAAATCCAATGGCCAAAAGCTACATGCCATACTTCGAGAAAGGAATTCTTTCGTCTGAATTCGCATATGCTAAGGAAGCATTGGAGATGAATGCTTCCTGCTCGTATTGGATCAGTGCACGGGACAGGATCATGTCCCAGATGGTGGTCTACGAAAGCGATGGTGCAAAAGCTCCAGGGCTAGTACCATCGCCTTCGGAGACAGGATATATTTTACCCCAGGTCATTCCTATGGGCACTGTGACACGCAGAGCTGTTGAGAATACTTGGCTTACTGCAAGCAATGCCAAGAAGAACCGTGTTGGATCAGAGTTGAAATCAATGGTGCGAGCACCACCAGGGTACTGCTTCGTTGGTGCAGATGTAGATTCGGAAGAACTTTGGATTGCAAGTCTCATTGGCGATGCACAATTCAAGTTGCATGGCGGGAATGCAGTTGGCTTCATGACGTTGGAAGGGACTAAAGCAGCTGGAACGGATCTCCATTCACGAACAGCTTCTATCTTGGGTATCACCAGGAACGATGCCAAAGTTTTCAATTATGGTCGCATCTATGGTGCTGGCCTGAAGTTCGCTTCCTCATTGCTTAGGCAGTTCAATCCATCATTATCGGAAGCTGAGACGACAAAGGTTGCATCCAACTTGTACAAAGCTACGAAAGGTAGCAAAACGACCAGAAAAACTCTTCACAAGAAAGCTTTCTGGCGTGGCGGAACCGAGAGTTTTGTTTTCAACAAGCTCGAAGAATTCGCAGAACAAGAACGACCTCGAACACCAGTCCTTGGTGCTGGTATCACAGAAGCACTGATGAGTCGATTCGTGAACCAAAGTGGATTTATGACCTCGAGGATCAATTGGGCGATTCAATCGTCTGGTGTTGACTACCTCCATCTGATCATCATTGCAATGGATTACCTTATTCGACGCTTCAACATTGACGCTCGGTTGGCTATCACCGTGCACGATGAGATCAGATACCTAGTACGAGAAGAAGATAAATACAGAGCTGCAATGGCTCTGCAGATATCGAATGTGTGGACTCGAGCAATGTTTGCTCAACAGGTTGGCATCAACGATCTGCCACAATCCTGCGCCTACTTTTCAGCGGTTGATATTGACCATGTTCTGCGAAAAGAGGTTGACATGGATTGCATCACGCCTTCTCATCCAGAGAAGATCCCTCACGGAGAATCTCTTGACATCACAACTTTACTCGCTAAACCATCTTCTCATCTCGATCCTGCTATCATCCCGACACATCCTATCGACTTCTCCTCCATTCCCTACACTCCACGCACACCGGTCATGGAAACTCTCTCTTCAAACATCAACGTCAACTTCCTAAGAGCCCAAATAACAGCCGACGACAAAGAGTTGCGTGATATTCTCAAAGACCAACGCAAACTTACCGAAGGCGACGCACCACCAAAGAAACGCTCCGCATCCACCAAAAACCGCACAATCCAGCCATACGAAGCTCACGCTCATCTCATGGAAGAACCGGTACTCGTCTCCTCCGACTTCCTCACCCGAGACAGCAAGTACAAGAATGGTTTCCAAAACGGTGGCACCAAAAATTGGGGCTGGGAAAGGCATGCTGCTACGTCAAGAGCTAGGCCGACTACGCGATGGTGATTCTATTTGTGTTTAATAACTTTTGTATATGTGAGACGACGAGACGGCTGGCTCGGGTGTAATCCTCCTATTGTAAATCGTGTATGTATGATTCTTGCAGCCTGCTTTGGTGGTTTTGGCGAAGGAGTGCGGATTCGGTTGATTGTTGGTTGCATAGGTTAGGCGCTGGTGACGGGTGGGATGTATTTGTTGTAAAATCAGGGATTATATATTAGTGTTTATAGTTGAAGGACACAACTTGAAATCTGTTCTTTTGGTTGCACTAAGAGTCGTTTACTCTTGGAGACTTTCTCTTCTAGGATATATTTCTGAAATGCAGAAATTCGAATGGGTAGAAAAGCGAACATCTCCTCCGCTGGCCAATGCGCCTCGAACTCCTCTCCGTTACTGATCTTTATAATGCTGTCATGCTTGGATTATATACAGCAGAGGACATACAAAAATTTGTAGACAGCCAACGCCACTCACTGAAGTGCATCACCGTGGGTATACTCCGTGGCGGCTACTACAGCAATGAAGGGATGTCCGACTTCTCATCCTTCCCATGTCTCGAGGAATTGAGTATGTCAGCATTCAACGTAATGAGATGCGAAACGTTTGTCGATGCAGCAAGGAAGCTTTCAGCACCTAATCTGCGCTTCCTTACGCTTGATTTCGCGCTCTACGGTCAGTACCTTCACCACCGGAATCATTTTGGGGTAGGATCAAGTTACGTGGATTAGGGAATTCGCAAAGGTGAAGATGGAGGAGTATCCGGAGAGTAGGTTGGAGAAACTGGTTATGCTGTTCAAGCCGCACGCATTTAGGCTTCCTCAAGGTGGCTATGGGGATGAGGAGGGAAGCGACGAACCTCTAAGTTGGCTTTGGGAGCCTTTGGAACAAGCGATGATGAGTGTTGCAGCACTTGGGTTGGATGTTGAGTTTGAGCCGAAGTGGACGAGGGAAGATTGGGATAATATTGTTTGTGGACAGGAGACATGAATGTTGGATGTTTTGAAAGATTGACAGCCGAGGTTTGATGGGGCGTTCTCCGGAAATCTCAACTGACTAGAAAAAGGGTAGATGATGACAGGGAGTATCTCGATCACCCATTCTAGGACGATTATTGTGGAAGGGAAGCTTTATAAAGAGCAAGTTTCAGAGTCTTATTGATAAGATATGCTTTCATAACGACCCCAACATGCAACCGCGGACAGAAAACTCTCAACAGTACCTGTAACAGGACCCGAACCTGAAAGGAAGCCTCCGAGATCGAATCGTCGTTGAGCGATGGAGCTATCGCCATGGTCTACGTTGAAGCCCTACAGCAGCGAACATTCTTAGAAGAGACAGGACTCGGCATGGTGTTTTTGAGAACCCAAGCACTTCTATCCTGAAAGATTGTTGTCAAAGTTCAAAGGATCCCAATGGTCTGTGCCTTGCAACCCAGCATCAGGAGCATTGATCATACCCGGCGGAGGCACATCACTGAAAGCGGTCGCAACAGCACCCCCAGCGTAGCTAGTAGCCTCAGAACTGAAGTTAGGATTAAACAGCCCCTGATAGAAACTGTTGGATCCCGGACCAGGTTGGTTATTGCCATAATTAGGATACTGAAAAGACTCCATTGGCAGCCCACCCATCTGATACCCAGCCACAGAAGAAGGCTGGCTTTGCATGGTCCCGTACGATTGCTGAAGTCGCATGTTACTACCGCTATTCGGAGGAGGACCCATGATAGCCCTCTGGGACCTAAGGGATTGACCCTGGCTCTCGGTAGGCGAAGTAGAAATCTGCATATTATCCAAAGAAAACGTCTGACTAGGCGCCGCCGATCTGGCCGCCGAAGCTCTGCGCTGACCACCTGACTGAGGCGTCGAAATGTGAGTGTAGGAACCGCTCAGATACGAATTAGTCTGAAGATGACTTCGGCTGGAACTGGAGTTGGAGGAGGAAGGCAGCGGTTGCACGTGCACGCGGGAGAAAATGGAAAATGCTTCGCGGGCGAGGGCCGAGACGCGGGCTTTCATGTCTTGTTCGAGGCCGTCGGGGAAACGTATTCGTTGGTCGAGGACTTGGCGGTCGAGCATGTGGGAGAAGATGTCCCCGAAGCGTTGGCTCTCTGGAGAGTAGGCAAATGTTTTGCTGACTGCTTTGTCGTCGTACCCTATTTTCGTCAATTCTCATGTTCAATTAGTAGTGTATTGTTGTCTTACAAGGTGTCTTTGGCTTTGGAGTGTTTGGAAAGATAATCTCCCATATCTCCCAGTATTTCTCGACTCTGGAGAGGGACTTGACTTGTTTGACGCTTCTCTTCTTGTCAAGTTGAGCCCATTGTGCGTCACTGATTCCTTCTTTCAAGGTTGCCTCTCTACGCTCACACATGTTGATTTGTTGACGGTGAGCTTCGAGATTGGTGACACAGACGGCTCGATCAGCACCTGGAAAGATCATGTAACAGCGATCGCATTGAACTGGATAGTGCTTGCGCTTCAGATGCTCCCTGGATGCATTAGCTGTTTAGGTCTATGTCAAAAGACCGAGTTCTTACTTGAGACGCTGGATATTGGCAAAGCCAGGTCCAGCACAAATTCGGTACTGAGACTTGCCTGAGTTGTCTGTGACACCATGAATTCCGTATTTGATGGGATCTACTTTGTTGAATGGACAGGCCAGGCGTGGCAGTTCCGTGTTCACACCACCTTCGCCATCTTCACCAGCTCCTTTTGAGTCCTGGTTGTCGTCATCGTCTTCATCGTCGTCAGGGTCTTCATCTTGAGACTCTTTGATTGGACGGTCGGAGCCAAGTCCTCTTCGGCGTTTTTGAGCTCGTCCATTTCCATCAGGGGAGCGAGCGTTAGAGGATGGAGTTTGACCGGCTCCTGTACCTGGAGAGCATTTGTTGATCGCTAAGGCATTATGCCAGGAGTCAACCTTCTGTGTGATGTTGGCAAGCTGGTCTGTGTATTGCATTTTGTGAAAGATGGGTATTAAGTATGCAGCTAACTCCCTATGAAAAATCAGTACCTTGTTGTCACTCAGAAAAGGGGTAAGGTTAGCGAGAGGATTAGAAGTAAGACTACAAGCCTCATCGCAGCGAAATGGCAACCAAAGAAAAGGAATGATTACAGATCGCCGCCAACAGTCTTGAGAACAAGAGCTTCCAGATCATCATTGAAATCAGTCAGCTGGTCACTCAGAACTTCCTCCTCACTGTCGGAAATCTCTTCGTCATCTTCACTTTCTTCTAACCCGTCGCCGTTTTGATTGTGGCTTACGGTTTGCTGATCGTTGTAGAAGACATCAGGGCGCTGATTGGGAACTCTATCTGCTTGATAATTACTTTGTGGTGAAACGTCACTTTTCCATCCTCTGGATCTCGTCAGTAAATTTGCTGTTTTTACTTCTCGGGGTTGCGATCACTTACATAGTTGGAGGTGGCGTCAAGAAGAGTGCTCGGGAAGAAGACTTTACCGTTGGTGTTGCACTTGAAGAAGTTCCGTGTTGAAGCAACGACTTGATTCTCTCGTGCTGTCCAGATTGTGCAAAAACAGTAGGCGAATTTGCTCGCGAGATTATTGACCTATAACGGTTGGCAGCATCAGCAAGGTCATTGCGTCCCAATTTTGGAAAAAGCTGATTGATATCGATGAGCGAAGTAAACAGACTTACGCAAATTCCATCTTAGAATATGGTCGACTCGGTTGCTGCTGACATTGACATCTTTCACTTGAGTTCTCGCAGGTGGGACATATGATAATAGACGAGGAAGCAGATCTAGACGAAGAACCTCTCGTCATAGAAGGGACCTCACTCTGATCATCTAGATCATAGGGGTCTTCGATGTTGTCCTGGAATTGCTCATTTGATTTACAATCCATATAGGCCATAGGAGCATCTTCTCTCCCGTCCTTGAAGAGCGCACACGCATCTTCATGGTAGTGAGAAAAGTCAGAATCATGATGATATGATAAACTACTCATTGTAAAGAAGAAAGTAGGCGTCTACACAGATCTGTAAAGACAGCGTACGATACGCATCCACAGCGGCAGCGAGCTTTGGCTGTTTTGTCCACTCACTCCTCATCCCTTCCGATGTCACGGGTCCTGGTCTGACCTGGCGAACATTGCACCTGTCATTGTTGTCTCATCCGTGAACCTCAATTGCGCATCGACGCAAGTGCGCTTGCCAACTCACGCAATTGCGCGCGGACTGTGCATAGTATTCTCGACTATTGATAGGCCGGATGCGGCGCGGATGCATTAATTGCTGTCTGCGACAGGCATTAGCATATCAGTAAATCAGCCACAATTGCGTCCAGGCCCAATTGAGTTCGGGAAATCAGGGCCAGATAAAGGAAGCGCAATCCTCCAATATGCGCAATTGCGTGGAGATGTCAGGTACAAGTTTGATAACGTGTGCAACCAAGGATGGCCGGAAGTAACGCCAAAAATACGAAACGCGAAATTGAAACGCTTGCTTCAGCGAGGTGCATAGATGTAATCACATGATAGGCCTACTTCCACTGAACAGAAACATTGACGGATCACTACATTCTCATCCAACAAGGCTATCATCTTTGAAGGTTAAAGTGCGAAAAGAAAAATGACATGACATATATTCAATTAAAAGATAACACACCAAGAGGCTCAACTGCGCTTGAAATGAGTAGCCATGACCAAAGAGAGTCATATCGAGGAATTGGCAAGTAATAACGCACTTGCGCAGGTCCCGTAATCCTCTTCAAACGAAGACTCAGGGTATAGATCCCGAGATCACACTGTGTATTGGTCAGCCAACAGCTCATTGTTAGGCAAAACACGACATTTGCTGGATATACGAGATCTCATCATAAGATAACTCTTCCAAGGAAGCTGGATCCAAATAAGTAGACGGAATTAGAAGCTGGACTTGAGCCTTGTCCAATTGACTGTAGCAAGTGCGACCCTCTTCGTTGATTGCGTGCAAACTTCCCATGTGATGATGCGTAGCCCTTCTGTCATCAACAAATGAAGACTCGAATCGAACATTCTGACGGTGGTCGGAGGGCAATAGGCAGCTCACTCGCCCTTTGCCCGTTTGCAATCAGGTTGAGGGAAGAAACAAAGTCTTTCGATGACAACGCAATTGCTGCTGATGTCAAGTCAGACGAGGCTCGTTGCCCTTGCATTGCATGTGAGCCTCCGTGTGACAAACACTAGTTCATCTTACTATAGGTTACATAGTCAGCCATCGCTCCCGGCAAAGAGCTGCCGGCAGCTACCGAGGAAGCCGAGACATGCATGAAGCCTTGTATGAAGATCCGGGCGTGAGGCTTTGAGATTATCCAATGTTTCGTAATAGTCTCCAAAGAAGGCTGTAAGAAGATGTAAATAATGTGAATTGAAAAGTGATAATCCGCGTGCATGTGCAAAAAAGAAGGTGATAAGCCTAAATTGGTTCTTCGATCGCAATGATTGTCGGATGCTTAGAATGCCGTGAGAACGATGAAGCCTCAAACCTAAACACCAGAAAGCGTTCGTACCAATCATTTACTGTCCCTCTTAAAGATATCGACAATCCCAGAAATCCCATTTGCGACTGCAACGTCCAACGAACTCCGGCTTTCCTTGTCCTCCGCCACAGCATCCAATCCCCTCTCCATCAAATACTTGAAAACAGCAATCTCCTTCGATTTTTCACCATGTTCATTGTTCCCCTTCTCGGTGTTCCTTGCAGCAATCATGTGTAGAAGTCCCTGTCCCTTTTTGTTTCGAATATTCAGATCTGCTCCTTTCTGTTCTAGCATCAGAACGTTTTGCAAGCAAATTCCTGGGCCGGAGACAAGTGCGCAGAGAGGCGTTTCCCCAAGGTTGTTGACTGCGTTGATATCTGCGCCTAAGGAGAGGAATTTAGGAAAGAGAGTGTTCGCAGAAGAATTGCTATCTCCGGGGATTGTGAGTTGGGAGGCAAGGTGGTGGAGTGCTGAGTTGCCTTCGGGGTCTGGCTCGAACGGACTGGCTCCCTGGGCGAGTAGTGGGTCTACGGCCCAAAGCTGTTTAGCTCGTAGAGCGTGATGGAGCGGTGTTGCGCCCGAGAGGTCTTTCTGAACTGCAAGTTGAGAGCCAGGATCAAGGGACAAAATGTACTCAAAGTCCTTGGTATCAGAGGCCCGGAGCCAATAGCCATGCTTGCTGCATGTAACAAAATGGTGCAGGACATTTCTTCCATCGTTGTCGATGGCTGTGACGTCTGCTCCCTTTGCCAACAGAATTTGCACAGCACTGGATCCTAGACTAGCGCTATTGCGCTGTCGGTAATAGTCTGGATCTGTTGAGCAGGCTACCAATAGCAGAGTCCTGCCTTCAGAATCGCGAGCTTCGGCATCGAATCTTGGTAACGAGAGGAGGGGTTCTATAATGCCTTCATTTAAGCAAAGTTCATGCAAGATAGAATCTCCTTTGTCATTGTAGGACTGGAACGGATCAGCGCCGCCGCGAAGTAACGAATCGATAATCGGCAAGATCTTGGGCCTCAGATCTGGTGTATTGAATTTGGTGCTGGCAGCGAAGTGGATAGGGTAGGAAGTCTCAGGGAGCTCTTTTGTACCCAGTATATATTGCTGGTAATTTAGCCAGTTCAAATGTTCATTTGGTCCAAATTCCGGTTCTTTCTCTGGCTCTGGTTTCAAGTTTAGGTTCGTCTTCATTTCAACGAGGAGATTGATGGTGGCGAGGTCAAGTGCTTCAATAGCATCGAAGACAAACGGCTTCTTGCCCGCAGAGGCATTGGCACCATACTTTATCAGGTCGCGGACGATTGATGGGTGTTTGCTTGCTTTGTTCAAGCAGGTGTTGCCGTCTTCATCAATGAAATTTGGATCTGCGCCGTGCCGAAGTAAGATCTCAGTAGTAACTTCTCCACGTTTGCTTGCAATGGCCGCATGAATGGCTTCATTCTTGATATCCTGATTGACCCCATGCTGTAAGAGGTACTCCAGCGCACGGGAATACCACCAGTGCTGAGACGTGGCAAGATAGTGAATAGGCGTGCTGTATTGAAAACCTTTCCGGTGATCTTCCTTGGATCTGGCATTGACATTCACACCAAAGTCTTCAACCAGGACTTTGATGACATCCAGATTCGAGATCTTTCTTTCACTAGCGATCAGCAAAGGGTGTTTGAGTCTTCCTATCAGATTCGTCGAAGGATCAGACTCCTCAGTCTCCTCAATCCACTTATCAGTCATCGCGGCCGCATCCTTTCCATATTTCTTCAAAAGTGAAGCATAGCCCCATCTGACTAGCAAAGTGATACATGATTTGCCATCCCATTCAGGCTTGAGAAGATCAGCGCCCAGATCTTTGAATTCCGCAATGCCTCGTTCATTCTCTGCACGAAGCAGTGAATGAAATATCTGCAGATTGTTGTCACCAGGTTTGACAATGTCCTTTAGGAAGCTGGGAGATGATTGACTCCTGAGTAGAACATACTTCTCAACGAAGTGGTTCCAGTCCAAGTAGTAGCGAAACTCGTCTGTGTCGTCCTCTTTTTGGTCTGATAATTCCTTGAGCTTCAGTGACTGTGACAGAACAAGCAATTCATCCGCCATACTCTCGCAGTCTGCGACCAGTGCTAGCTCGAAAGCGTTTGTGGGGCGGCGAGCATATGTATTCCGCAAATCCTTATGCAGCATAAAGGAGATATCAGCACCATGTGAGACCAGAAGTCTCATTATCTCACGAGTACCGATTGTATCAGCTTCAGAAGCAATTTCTCCTTTGTCCGATTTCCTGTTGCTATCACCACCGTACGGTCTATTCTTCTCCGAAAGCTTGACTGGGGGTGCGCGAATGAACGCTACGCGATAATCATGCTTGCTCGTTTGCCAAAGCATATCTTCCTCAGGGACCTCGCTGCACACGTCTAACGGGGTGAGTCCTTTCCCATCCTTGACGTCGGCTCTGGCAGACCCCAGGCTCAGAAGAATCGCTACAGTTTCTGATCGTCCAGATCTGGCAGCATGATGAAGAGCCGTGCGTCCTTCGATGTCCTGCCTTTCAATAACATGATGTTGTCCTCGTTTTATGTATTCGTCAACCAACATCCCGACAATATTGCTTTGCCGCGATCTGGATGCAACGTGGAGTGGGGAGAGACCTTCAAGAGTGAACACTGCGGGGTCGGCACCCTCGTCAAGAAGTCTTCTGACTTGATGTTCATGAAGGCTTGCCGCAAAGTGGATAGGACGAACGCCATGGTCGTCGGCCGTGTTGACATCAAGATTGCATCTAGGGCCAAGAAGATATTTGTAAGGACTCGGTTTGTCGCTGAGCCAGCTCTGGTCGCCTTGATACATGCCTGTAGCGAAATGAAATGGAGTCTGTCCTTCATTGTTCCGAGCCGATGGAGACAACCCAAGCTCTAGCAGAAAATTAAGCAAGCTCTGCTGCTCACTTCCACTGAAAGCCGGTTGTTGCATCGCCACCTGATGGAAAAGAGTGTTGCCGGAGTAGTCTTTGCAGAAAGGGTCGGCACCTCTTTCGATGAGTAAGCGCATCATATCCACAGATTTTTCTTTTACTATTGGCATATTAATTTGCATTCCGAGAGAAGATTGAAGAGTATAAGAGCCGCAATCATTAGAAAGAAAACCAAGAATTCGGTCCCCAAATTGTCTTCTGAACGGAGGGAGAATTTGACTTACCACCGCAGTAATGTAGAACAGTTGCCCCTTCGAAATCACGGGCATTGATGTCTGCTCCAACATCCAGCAAGCTCTCTATACCACGAATGTCTCTACCGTTCTCAATGGCCTCCAACAGCACAGTGCGGCCATTTAGGGTCTTCGCTTCCAGGTCTGCTTTGGCAGCAACCAGCATTCGAACCAACTCGTCTTGACCAAGGCTTGACTTGAGTATGTGAAGAACGGTATTCCCTTTCTTGTTTCTTATGTTCGGATTGGAGCCGTTGTTCAAAAGGGCCTTTAAATTAGGAAGTGGGGGGCTGTAACCCTCTAATGCCACATGCAATGGAGTGTTTCCCTCGTTGTCCTGGGCGTTGCAATCTGCTCCGAATTTTATGAGTGAGATCGGGTCCGCAGCACCAAACAGTGGCGTTCGACCATCTTTCGGCCTGCGTGCATTCACATTTGCTCCATGAGCAACGACGAATTCGACCATTTCTTCCGACATATCGGAACCACAATGCAGGACAGTCGAGCCATCTTTGGTTGCAAGGGAAGGATCGGCTCCGTTGTCCACCAAAAATTCTACTATCTCCACAGGTGTTGGTGCCTTGGTCCAGCGAGTCTTGTAGAGAACCATGTGTAGCACAGTCCGTCCGGTACCGTCATATTCATTGATGTCACATCCCGCATCTAACAGAAGCCGGAAACCTTTCTTTGCAGCATCAGCCGATCTGCCATGGTAGGCTTTCGCATACGCATGGAGTGGAGAATACTTCAACAAATCTTCGGCACTCATGGCACGAACGCCCGTCTTCCTGAAGAGGCTGTTACATTTGATGTTGACGTCTGCGCCAAGTTGAAGCAGTCTGTGCATAGATTTCAAGTCGTGGGAGTGAGAAGCTATGTGAATAGGAGTCTTGCCATCCGTCACTTTGTTGATATCAACGCGCGGATCCTTGAGGATAGCTAGAGCTGTTTCTGTTTTCCCAGAATTAAGAGCCCAGCCTAGCGCTTTACCAAGGCCCTCAGTGTCAAGGTATGGAATAAACTCAACAATGGTCTTCGTGTGACCAAATGAGGAAGCATACTCGACAGCAGTTGTTCCTTTGCTTCGGGGAGCATTCCCGCACCAATTCCCTGGATCTTCTTTTGTCTTGGGCGGCAACGGGTCTACTCCTGATTTAAGTAGTTTTTTGACAACTCCAAAGTGATCGGCTTTGGCAGATAAGTGAAGTGGCGTGAGGCCGGTCCTATCATCAGGATTGTTGGAGGCGCCACATTGCAGGAGACCTTCAACGGCGTCTGTATGGCCATTCGCGGCAGCGTAATGAAGAGGAGTCCTCTGTTCACCATCGAGGCAATTGGCATCCTGTCCAAGCTTGACAAGGTGTTTGGCATAAGCAGCCAGACCTTTTGAGGCGACGATGTGAAGGGATGACGTTTTACCATAAGCAGACAAGGGGCCGGAAAGTGCTAAATACGAAGCTAGCATGCTAGGGCCAGCGGCAAATAGGCCATCTAGTAAGACAATCAGATCCTTGCTCAATTCAGAAATCCTTAGTATATGATAGTCCAAGTTTTGGACCGCGTAATCCAGGAAAGGAAATGCAAGTCGCGCATTATCGGGGGTTAACTTCGGAGATATAATGTCGAAACTCTCTGGGTCTGGCTGGAGACCACTCGACACCATAAGAAGATATTTTATACACAGTTTTGCCATGATAAGGTTTGTTTCTTGAGTGCTGATGACTGGAAATTGCTTTGCATCTCCGTTAGTCTTGCACCTCTGGGGATCGACAAGAAATTCTGTCAGGGAATGGTGAATGATTGAGACTGTCTCATCTTCCAGAATTTCTAGCAACGGCCCACAACCACGCCTGATGATAGATTTGGTGTCTGGGAATTTTGCCTGCTTCAAAGGAATTGTGGGATGATCCGATTCTTGATGAATAAAGTCTGTGATAGCTGCAAGTTCGAGCAGTCGAAGAGGTCGTGAGGAGTGAGTGACAGACTGTAGGATGAGGAGTTGAATTTCTTGGGGGGTCCCAGCTCGAAGAGAATGATCATGGAGCATTCTGGTATACAATTGACTGAGCCCAAATGGTAATTTCTGGAGTGTGTCGTCAACTTCAGAAAAGTCAACCCCAAGCTCCAAAATTTCGTCTAACATAAGGCGAGCATACAAAAATAGCCCCTGAGACCGTTCGCCGAGGACGTTCTCAATCTTGGACTGGAGCTCTACCGGCAACTTCGTGCGGGAAAGTTGGGCTCGGACATAAATCGAGATGTCCGGATCTACGAGATGAGATTGTAGCAAGATCTGAGATATTGATGGCTTGGATAGACTTTTTTCTAGATATGGCAATGGTCGACTCGTAATGAAAACCTTGACTGTGGAAGATTTGGTCTGACCTAGCTCGGTGAGCTTGCGCAGAAAGTTTTCGTTATCCAGGTCCATCTCGTCGACAGCGTCAACAATGCAGTATACTCGTTGACGTTCAGACATAGCTAAGACAAGAATATCCCATAGTTCATCGAATGCCATACTGTCTAAAGTACGGCGATCGTCAAGTAGATTCTTGAGTTTGAGCTGGAGCAAAGGAGAGAATCCTAGCAATTGAGCAAGCCAGTCCCGAAGCAGGGATTCAGGCGTTTTGTTTGTCGATATGATTTGTCGAAAGAAGAATCTCAAAACAGGTACTTTCTCCCTGGACACCAACATTGCCACGTGAGCAGCAATCACGGATTTGCCAGAGCCAGCAACACCTTTCAACCAGAGAGTGTCGCAGTCTGATGAACGGATCCATGCTTTATACTGTTCGTTCAGCAGAATCCATTCAGCAGTACCTGGTACGAATGACGCAAGATGTTTGTTGTACTCGCTGGACTCGGCCTCATAATCTGTTGGCTGAAGCCACTGCCGAATCTTGAGAATATCACTAGGCGACTGTGGAAGCAAACTGGAAGGGTTGTAGTCGACCAGGTCTTGGTCGTTTACAACTACGAAGTCTTGGTCTTCATAGGCCATGATGCAGTTGGCACGAGAAGGAAATAGCTCTTGTGTTTGGAACAGTGCTGTCAACCTCTTCGCTGTTGAGCGTGCTTGAAGTGCACTGGATTTGATTTATCTGATTGTTGTGAGCAACCTGCGCATATCTCACACAAGTAACGCACAGGCAGCAGCCTCGTTGAAGGATTCATGGTAACTTCAGGATATTGATGTTCTATATTCTTGTCTCCCTTTGTGTTGATTGGACGATGTATGCGAAAGGATTTCAGGCGGCAGCAGTTCTAACGGCATTTGCCAGTCACGTGAAAGACTCTTCAAGACCTGTATAATTCCCGGGACTTTAACATTGATACGAACAAAGTCCGTAGAATACATTATTCACCATGAGAAGAGAGTTTGAATTGTCGTGGGAGGAAAAGCTCATGTGACGATTGAATGCGGCTAGTCCAGCCCCTTGGTCAATGCCGATGATATTCCGTGCTCGGGTTCGAACTTTTTCTTCTCTTCAGATGAAACATCAAACACTCCACTCTGCGAAATTGGACAGACCGGACTTGGGCGAGTCCATCCCAGTGGCCAACTTTAATATATTCCAGACTCTTTCGGATGAACGAAGTGGATCTGATGATGCTGACGGTGGGTTGACAGAAAGTCAGAGAGACCGCCAGGACGGAGTCGAAACGTCGATGCAAGGTACCTCCAAGTTACGAGATCTTCTTCTGCACCGAGATAGTAGCGGTAGATCCTTAGGAGAATCTCTGCCGGTACCAGAATCTTTACGAACATGGGGACAAAAGTCCGTGCGTTCAGGCTGTAGAACCTCGAAATTAAAACTCTTCACATTAGGACTAAACTATCAACAACTCCACCATTATGGATCCTTTTACCACTCCACCTATGTCTCCACGTCTCCCAGGTGCAGAGATCAGAACCAAGCACAAAGAGGGCATACGCCGGCTCTTCAAATTCGCTAAAATAGGCCTGCAACAGCTCCAGGGCTACTACCACCTAGGAGACAGCACAGTTAGGAAGATCCTACTATACGATGTGCCTGAAAGAGCGCGCCCTACACGCACAGGGAGACCCAGAGAATCCCTCAATGAACAGGAGGTTAGAGATATTATTGAGTATATTTGCACCGACCATGCAACTAGAGTGCTGAATTGGATCCAAATACACGATGAATTGCAACTCTCTTGCTCTGTCAAGACCCTCAAACGCCGCTGCAAAGAAGCTGGATACTACTCTTGTATCTACTGCCAAAAGCCCTACCTCACTAAGACCCAAGCCAATGCGCGGTGGCTGTGGGGGATAGCACACATGTTTTGGACTATTTGGGAATGGAGTCAGATACTGTACTCAGATGAGGTCACATTTCAAGTTGGAGGGAAGAAATGCAAGCAGAGGTGTATTAGGAATAAGAAGGAACGCTGTCATCCTGACTGCATTCAATTCCAAATGCATAGAGGTGGCACTATTCTTGTACACTTCTTTGGTGCTGTAGGCTACGGATACAAAAGTCCATTGATCAACATTCATGGAACTGGGAAGAGTGGGGCATTTACACAAACTGATTACCTTGCTCAAGTACTCAAGCCTTATATTCAGGATTTTTTAGCTGCTTTTGCGGCTGTTTTGGGGCCTGGGAAGACCCCTCAGTTCATGGAAGACGGCAACTCTGCTCACGGCCACAAGACTACTAGCAATATTTGTGCTACTTGGCGTACTTCTATGGGTATTACTCTATTCCCCCATCCTGCAGTTAGCCCTGATATGAATCCTATTGAGAAGTGCTGGAGGAGAATAAAACAAGCTCTCCATAGGCGCCTAAGGCAGCCAACAACTGAGGTTCAAATGGTTGTAGCAGTATTAGAAGAATGGGACAAAATTCCTCAGGAATGGATCAATGGGCTTATTGAGCAGCAGGACTTCTGGGTACACGACTTAATTAAGCGATGTGGCTGGTCTACAGCTAATTAATTAATAAAATTCATGATTCTGATGCCCTGAACGCACGGACTTTTGTCCCCATGTTCGTTACTTCTGTCAACATCTCCACCCCGCCGGCCCCCACTTGTGTGTGGTGTTGATAAAACTAGACAAATTGGACAGGATCGAGTGGCCATTGCTTACAACGAATCGAAACAAATCATCTGGATGAGGATTGGTCCAGATCAAAACACGACAGCAACGTATTGATGAACAAGTCGTCACGATATGCCTGCCCCGAAGACAAGCGTCATCGGTACTCTTCGGCATGAATAAACTCTATTTCGCATGGAAGAGATATATATCTTTAAGTTTTCCTCGGTGAAATTGTTTCTTTCTGCGTCATCGCAAGACTTCTGTTCTTCTCTTCACTCATTTATTCTTTTTCGCCTTGACGGCATAGCTTGGCCAGGTCCTCGCTTTTCACACTCCCTACAAAAGGCGCTGCGTGTTCAGTTCATACCTACTTTATCAGGCGCGGCATTCTTTCCCGATTGTATATATACAAAATTTCCATCATGCGACCTTTTGTATCTTATCTTGCTCTTGTCGCAGGTGCTTATGCTCAGTCTTCAGGCTACACCGATGCCAACACTGGCATCACATTCCAAGGATATGAAGATACTACTGGCTTCAAGTATGGCATGGCGGTTCCAGTTACCCCAGCCACGGATTTCATTGGACAGATGGTAAGTGTTTGAATTCTTTTCTTTGCAAACGCCTTCAACTAACGCTTCTAGGTCGTTCCCTCAAATGGCTCGGGGTACGGCGGTATTTCGTTGACCGGAGAAATGGTTGGCAGCTTGCTTATTGTGGCATGGCCTAACTCTGGTTCTGTTGTGGCCTCCCTTCGTGAGACCAGGTATGTTGAATGAGAGCAATGCGAAGCAGATCACGCTAACCATTTTCAAGCGGATATACTTCTCCAGAAGCCTACACCAATGCCAGCATTTCTTTAAACCCAATTGCAAATGGTACTTTCGTGAACTCGACACACATGTCTTATACATTCGTTTGCGCGGGTTGTATTACTGGCGACTCTCTCTCGTTTTCAGCAAGCGCAACCGACCTTGTTGTGGGTTGGGCAATGTCCGCAAAATCTGTCACTAATCCTTCATCATCTTCTGGAGCTACTTTTGTTTATCATGAAGCTGGATATGGCGATTTTGGCCTCACCCTCACTGACGCTGAATCATCCTCTTATGATACTTGGGCAAGCATGGCGACTCTTTCCAACACGACGTCCTCCAACACAACGACCTGTTCATCTACCTCAACCAACACGACAGCCACTGTATCGAACTCTACCTATGATTATATCATTGCTGGCGCAGGACCTGCAGGCATTATTGTTGCTGAGCGGCTGGCTGAAACTGGCAAGTCTGTATTGTTGCTCGAGAGAGGTGCGGCTTCTACTTATGCAACCGGTGGTCGAAGTGTGGTGGACTGGAATAGCACCGTCACTCAATACGACGTACCTGCCATGGACTATTACCTCACAACAGCTTCAGATACTAGCGAATACTGTACCGATGTTGCTAATATGGCAGGGTGCATCCTCGGCGGTGGAACCATGGTCAATGCCATGATGTTTGTCAGACCTCAAGAACGTGACTTTGACGATAAATGGCCTACAGGATGGAAATGGTCTGATGTCAGTTCTTCTGCTGATCGTTTGTATGAACGAAACCCTGGAACCACACTTTCTTCACTGGACGGAAAACGATACGACCAGCAAGCTTTTACCACTCTTCAGACTTTTTTCAGCAAAGCAATGGGGTTCTCTCAAGTCGATGCCATTCAGTCACCTAATGCCAAGACAGCTGTCTACAGTTATCCACCTTGGGATGCCCAAGATGGACTTCGAGCTGGACCAGTCAAAACCTATCTGCCATTGGCCAACGCAGTCTCCAACTTCAAGCTTAAGCTCAACACCAAGGTTTTTCGTGCAATCCGAAGCAACTCCACCGTCACTGGTGTCGAAGTCGAGTCGTCCACCGGTGCCCGTCAAATTATCAACCTCAATACTGGCGGATCTGTCATCCTGGCTGGAGGCTCAATGTCGACCCCGAGAATCTTGTACAATAGCGGTATCGGTCCCACCGACCAGATTACCACTGTCCAAAATGGATGCGTCAGCGTCACTCTCCCTGCAGAAGACGAATGGATCAACCTTCCCGTCGGCCAAAATCTCCGGGATCACCCAATCTTCACCTTAACCTTCAATGCTACCTCAATCAACGATACCTTGGTCTCCACAGACTTCACCTCGCCTAGCCAAACAAATATTGACCTATTTGCACAAGGCAGCGGGCCCCTCGCTCAATCTGGACAACGCTTCAACTTTTGGACAAGCCTCAACAGCACCAATGGCACTCGCTTCTTCCAAGGAACGTGTTCGTCAACTGCTGACGGATCCGTTCGTATAAAGCTCTACCTTACTCATGGACTTACCTCCACTGGCGTTCTGGGCATAGATTCCAATGGTGCAACAGAATTCACCACAGATCCATGGATGAACACCGATGCCGATAAAGCAGCTGTGATTTCAATGATCGACACCATTTTCGCCGCTGCTCGCAACTCTTCAATCATCATTCCGTCGGATGCTAGCCAAACTGGAGCCTCAATTGTTAATGCAAATTCGTATACTCAAGGCGATCATTTCGTCGGAACTACGATCATCGGTGAAACAAATGACGGAACTAGCGTGGTGGACACGAACACCAAGGTTTGGGGCATGGACAATTTGTTCGTGGTCGATGCTTCTATTCATCCCGACCTGCCAACAGGAAATACGCAAGCTATTGTTATGGTTGTTGCTGAGCATGCTGCGGCTAAGATCGTTGCGTTGGCAAGCGGTGGTTTGAACTCGACTGGTTCTGTGACCAGTGGCGTGGCTCCATTCGCGAACAATACTACGCCTGCGGTTGGTGGAGATGACGACGATGACGATGCCTGTGAGTGAGAATGAGAGGAGTCTAGGACTGGAATGGAGGAAGATGGTTTGTACGGATTAAATTCTTGTATATATTTGATTGATGAGCCATTATTTTCAGATCACAACCGCCCACATCGCCCGCATTTTACTAACAACCACAATCTACGAAGCATCAGGAAGTGGATAGCTAGAATATAGGCCATGGATAGGGAAGAAGTCCCCGTCCTCGGTAAGTCGTTTGAAAAGCTCAGCATCATCTTCTGACAAACCAGGTCTAGATACGGGCTCCTGACTCGTCGAACCGATTGCCAATGATTGATGATCTTCGCTGCGACTGGGTTGAACGTTGTTGAACACCATGTTTTCAGATGTCGCGAAGGTCGGTTGGTGTGTTTGCAATGTCTGTCTCTGATGAGTAGAATTGACCAGCGTATCAGAAGATGTTTGTGAGTGCACAACAGACTGAGGTGCAAGATAACTCGTTGAACCTTCCGATAGGCCAGGTTGGGCTACTCCAGGGTCTGGAAACAGTCTCGCAGACCACAATTGTGCAATTGTCTGAAGCCCTTCCCCAATGACCGACTCCAACAGAGCAGAAAGATCACGTTCTTCATTTGCCAGCGAGGATATTTGCATACCGCTTGATGTTATAGCTGTAGCGATGATCCTCGGCCCCTCGGCGTGCATTAGATTCTGGAATGCTTCGAGGTCTTCTGTAAGATCCACGTTCATGTAGGCAGATCTTGGCCTTGGGCTGTGACCTGGGAAGAGGATATCGAAAATAGCGAACCATTGTTCAGAAAGTGCCATCTTGGAGGACACTCTCTGCGACAATTGATCCTTTTGAGCTCTGGTGACGCCTTCATAAGGAATGACTTCTTCCACTGGACACGGCATTGACGCTCTGTTATGTTCGTCACGCTCGGATTCGGTAACGAATGTGGACATACACCGAGGACAGTAGATCGGCAACTGGTGGTAGCGAGAAAGATGTGTCTTCACATCTTGGATTCGATTTATCACGTATGCATGACAGCTTCGGTACCGAAGCGGATCTTTCTTGGCGAACGGACAAGCAAAGGAGACTTGGTGTCCAGACACCTTTTTCGACATTCGAGGTCGCTTTTGAGACCCGCCTTGATCGTCCTCGTTCTCCTCATCTCCTTTACCACGACCTCCCGGCTGGTATTGTCTCTTGTTCTGTGAACTCTTATCGGTCTTCCCTCCACTTGATGGTGCCGAAGCGCTACTGGTCGAAGGTGTTGAGCCTTCTTGTGGGCGCTGCTGCCAAGCTTGAAACGAGAGTAAGGCTTCTCGTAAGATGATAGGTTGGATCATCCAAAAAGGGTGATTGTCCTCGAGCACTGGAGCACTTTCAGAGTAATCAGACATCCAAACAGAATCCGAGTCGGTCGACTCCTCCATTGGCGAACTGGAACTGATGTTTTCGAGGCAATCTTCGCCTTCATCGACATTGCTGTGTCTTGGAAGGAAGCAATCGAGCTCCGGCCAGGGTCCAGGTGGGCTGTTTTCTCGGACCCCACCTACACCGGCCAAAACGGTAGCTGTATCATACTCGAACTTTCCACCAAACCTCTCATCGATACCCGGAAGATGTGGCGATATGGGCGACGAATTTTCAGGTTTGTCTTGCACAAAGACCTGGGAGAATCTCGAGACATCAACTCTATTCAAGATTGGTTCAGAAACGGCAACACTGTCGGAATCGCGTGAACAATCCTCGGTGAGAGGTGGAATTGAATCAGACGACCCTGCGATAGACCTAGGAAGGAACCTTGAACTCCACTGGGGAAACTGTGGATGAACCTTATCCTTCATTACGTCTGATCTATTCGTGAAGTTGGTATTTGATGTATCGTAGGACTTTGGCTCGAATGTCAAGTCCACCAGATCTTCGAATTTGACCGGCTCGAGGCGCCATGGCAAAAGCGCTTGTTCGTCCCAGTGGGTCCCACAGTATGCAATCAATTCATAATTCCCGGGCCGAGGGAAATCGTTGAAGTTCGAGGACTTTGATGGTATCGAGAAATCGTCATCGTCGACCGAATCAATGTCCGGTATTGTATTCACATTTCCTTCTAGTGAGCTGGACTCGCTCATGGTTTCCACATTATTTAACGAACTGATGCTGTCGCAAACTGCAAAAGCACCATCTTCGTCCAGCTCGAACGCAAGATTCCCCTTTGTGGATATCGCGTCCGTAGGGCTGAAGTGACTAGTGGGAGCAACCCGGCTGGCTAAATTGTCCTTTGAGCCCGCATGATCAGAGCGGTGACTTGATGGAAGTTCTTGATTGTATTCCATCGTAATTCATTTCAAGTAATGATTAAGATGCTGGAGGAGATGCGTTCTGATTCGATTCTTGCTGGTAAAGGTGCCAAGAGTTGAGAGCACAATTGTGCGCTCGCAAACGCCACAATCGACGCCACAATCTGATCAATGCTCCGATCGCACAATTGTGCTGAGAGTACCACTCACTCCCAATACCTCAATTGCGCTTAATGTGCGAATTTGATTTCGTGGTTTCATGCTCTCAATGACAATGGCGCCATGTTCATCCCAGTATTTGAGCGGCAAAATTGGGATTTCCAACATGCAGAAAAATATTTGAAAGCTCCAGCACTTCAACACTTTCATATCATTTATGATGTAATCACATAAACTGGAATTACTCTACTCTTGAAGAAATACTCAATATCTTCGATGACCCACCGATCCGACCCGTCCGCTACGGTTACGGACGAAGGCCGGTAAGTAGCTCGAGAACAGGAATTGCACATTGCTGAAAACTAACGAACTACAGCTTGATGCAGCAACAGACTCAGCCGCCGACAGCGCTCATCAAATATCTCGACTCGGAAAACGAACCTGCAAATGCAAGACTAGCGGTAACAAAGATTGAAGGAGAGGCCAGAAGACAGCAGAGGATGGCAAAGAAGCTCGTTGCGTGGGACATGCTTTGGAGTGCTGTCAAAGATGGACCCGGGCAAGGAGCGGGCAGGATTGCAGATCCCTTTGTTGATGTCCGACGGTAGTAAATAATAATTCAACTTTCAAAACCTCGACACACTACCCCACTATCTCGCACTCTATCCTATGGAATGACTTTCCCTTGCCGTATAGTTATCGGAGCATATCTGGCACTGTACCACAGGCTTCACTCCAGCTAGCTCAAACTTTCCTGGGCACAAACTTCGCCCATAATTCTCCCACCTTCACGGTATGATAATCCTTGATTCCATACTTCCAGACCTTCTCATCATATTGCTCTCCGAGCACAATATCCCACTCCTTCACTATACTCGCAACCGCAAGCCTCATCTCATTCAAAGCCAACTGTTTCCCCACACAACTGTGAACACCATAACCGAAAGGGATGTACGCTCTCCTGTCTAGCACGCCTGCATTCCATTCTCCAGTCCAGCGCTCAGGTATGAATTCGTCTCCTTTCGGAAAGTACCGTGGATCAGTCATGAGTGCAAGATGTGGAATCATCACTTGGACATTGCCTGGAACAAAAGTCTCGTTCCCCTTTTCTCCAAAAGCCGGGATCGTGAGTCCTGAAGGTGGAGTCGCAGCATAGATACCGCCAGGAACTGGATTAAACAATCGCAGGGACTCCGAAATCACGGCATTGATATACCCAAAGCCTTTCGTACTTTCGACTGAAATGTGTTTTCCCTCGGCACAAAATTCGTCGATCTCGCATTGCATCTTTTTCTGGATCTGCGGGTTTAAGGCTAATGCTCGGAAGAGCTGAGTCATGGTCGAAGAGGTCGTGTCTGTGCCTGCTATGATGATCATGCTGGAGTTACTGTATAGTTGTTCCGAGGTGAAGGTGGCATCTGCGTCCAGGAGGTGTGTGAAGAGGTCTTTGCGCGTCTTGCCTAATTTCAAGCGGCTGGAAAGCAGCGCTAGTCCACGTTGTCGATGAGCTTCTATGTCCGCAGTCTTGGGCAGGTAGGGAAGAAGCGCATGAAGGGGGCGCAGCGCTCCAAGCATCTGAATCGATGGCTACTTAGCATTGTGCTCATTGAAGGGTGAGGTTGAACGCACTACAACGGTTGCCATGTATTTATGGATGAAGCCCATGTAGTCATTTTGACGTGTTCCGTCCTGCATTCCGGCATTATGAGCAAATGCTAGATCTGCCATTCTATTGTAAATTTGTTTAGTGGAGTAGGAACCAGAATCGCCGCGTCAACTCACATGTCGAAGACAAAGTTTTCTACAAGGGTCAGGGCGTTTATTTCTTTTCCCTCTGACTTTCTGATAACCTCGAGCAATTTCGACGTATGATGCTCCACTCGCACGTTATAGTCTTTGAAATGGCTATTTGCGAAAGCTCGCTCCCTTTCGATAGTCAACCTTCTCCCTCGTCAGACTTCGAGGTTACAAGACTCACCAAATTCGCCTCCAGGGCGTCTGGAGTTCGTAATCTCCCTCCGTATTTAGATTTGTCGCACCATCGACTCGAGCTGCGCCATAGAATGTTCCTCTGGGATACTTCCCCTTGTAAAGTCGCTCAATTGCCTCAACATTTCTGATGCTCAGTTCATTGGGTCCGATGCGAATTACGTCGCTGTCATACTTGATGTGGTGGTCAAGAATAGTATATGCGTTTTTGCCCATGCGATAAAGATTTGCTTTGAAGAGGTTTGTCAAAGCATAATGCGGAGGTCCCGGGAAATTAGCCAACGGTGAGAAGAAAGCGCGTCGGACGAGGGTCAGTAGGCAGGCAGTGGTCAGAAATGTGATGTTTAGAGTCGTAACGCGGACTATGGTATCTGAAACAAGCCCTGAAGTGAGTAGATAGACAGCTAGCAGAAGGTTGCAGCAGGAATATGTAACCAGTACTTTGATGCTAGAAACTTCTGGTATAGGTGAGACGTAAATTTGGAAAGCAATGCCAAGCGCAACGGCTGTCAGTGTGGAAGTATCCATTTGCGAAATATTACTCAAGTGAAGAGAAGCCGAGAGTTCTCTCTCCGTATTTATTTCGGATGCTGGTGGTGTACAGCTAATTAGGCTAATATCGACCGTAGTCCAGTGACAGATGTTCGTACTTTGGTGTTACCCCGGATGCATTTGTTTGCGTGACACCAGTATGCCACTTGATCAAATCTTGAGGATGCAGTTCTTGTCAACCCACTGAGTGCTGTAGCATCGTAACTGTCACAAGAGCAATTATAATCCTTCGCTTGTTATTTTCTAACATGAAAACTCACTGGGAACTTGAATAAAGGTAAACAAGATGCACAGGAACACTAATTGATGATTCCCAGTTTCACCATAGTTCTGGTGCAGTCTGATCATCGGGTCTGTTAGACAACAACAGATAACACAGTAAAAAGTGGACAGAGATGAAGGGATTAAGGTTCTAGCCAGATAGGGTTGCTGTCGATTGGCAATTCCCACCTGCACGGTGTATCGATCACGTGACAGGAAGCACTCCCCTTAAAGAGTTCGCTTGGTGTGCAGGTTCTCTTCTCGATGCGCAGGGAATTAATACAATAGAGTCAAAATTGAACAGCCCCTATGAGAAAATACTGCAATGAGGCAATTCTCTGCAAGTTTACCCATAGTTCTCCAACATACGATGGACAACTGAATACAATCCTTCTCGAGGTGCGTCGACATCGGCCTAAGCTACGAAAGAAAGATCAACATTTTCTCAAGAAAGAGGTAGGTATTATTTCCTCAGCTACCTGAGCTAATAGAAGACAGAATTCTCCCCGGTGCAGGAACCAGGTCCACATCACTCAGCATGGGTGTGTTTTTCACCCTCGTTCATGATCATTTAATTGGAGTCCTGTCCAAAGTCCCATCCAGCCTCCAGATGTCAATATATGCCAACACCTGTCTTTCGTAAGTTCATATAATATAAACTGGCCGCATTTCCAAGATCTATATTCCCAAGTCCCAACAACCAGATTCTAGAACTCGTGCAAGACCTGTCTTTGGGTGCCATTGAGCAGCGATAGGACAGAAATCGATGCCGGCGTCGCATGGTAAAAGCTTCCTCCTGACGGTGTCGATGTCCCACTGTTGTTCAACGCGCTATTGTGACCATTAGAATACTGTGAAGTATCTGTTATCGTTTCACTGGTACGATTAGCTTTGATCATAGGAATATGTTGACAGAGACACACTGTCTTTTCTCGTGTCGATCAAGCAGATCTTTGCGAAAGAATGGTCGACCACAGCCCTCGTATTGACAGTGAAAGCGAGGAGGTTGATGACTGAGTTTGTGTCGTCTACAGTTTTACTTGTTAGATAGTGTTCTAGAATTGAAAAAGACGTGAAGATACTGACTCGAGGCCTTCGTTCCTGGAAAAGACCTATAATTTATTATTAACAAATTAAGCATATTAATTTTGGTGTTGAATCCCACCTTGCTGCAACGATCACAATTATGTACAGGCAAGTTCTTCTTTGCTCTGCTGACTCTGCCTTTCTTCGGCGCTGTTTTCTCTGGTTGGACTTCTTCTGACTCAGATGATTCAACAGGTGAAGAAGCAGCAGCGCGTTGTTGCGGAGCTACAGCTTGTGGTACAACTGGAGGTGGGGGAAGCACTACTAGTTCTGGCTCTTTTCTTGGCTCAAAATCTGGTAGCGGTAACTCATCCGGTGAAGGATGATACTTGCGATTATGTTTCATTAGACCAGTCTTGCTTGTAAAGCCACGTCGCCAAAAGTCGCACGTCGGATCAGCACATCGCAAAGGCTTGGTATGAATCTGTTCGTGTTCGTCGCGGTCTGCAGATGTCCTGAAGCCGTCGGAATACCGCTCGCATTCACGATAACGACAGATGAAGGCAGAGTCGGTGTAGATTTGCTTAAACTTATCAAGCTCATGTGGTTGGATTCCTTCTGGTAGGTTGTCGGTCGTGCAGTCTATTAAGGAACGAACTATTTCTTGGTACTTCAGACTAATTTTGCTGAAGTCTGTCGGATCGTGATGAAGTTCTTCTTTCTTCAGATCTGATTATTTATCAACGTGGGCCCAGAAGTTCGATCGCTGTACCTACTTTCAGGACTCAGATGGCTATACTTCTCCTGAGACAGAAATTTCCGAAATGTAAGAATGTCAAGACCCATCTTATGAGCTTGCGGCATATTGGCAAGAGCTTGGAGCTGATTGGCAATGCTATCCGCTGAAGTCGTATCATCGAGCTTCAAACGCTTGATGCCAACGCCAGGATCATGCTTCCAGAAGACACTGAAATCCTCAATGAATTCGTCTAATTCATCGTCTTGGATTGGGTAATCTTTAGATTTGGCGTACTGCAGAAAATGCTGAAACCAGAACTCGTTCGAATAATTGTGCAATCCATGAAAACCTTTCAGTACTCGAACTAGGCGCTCCTTCTCTGTGACGTCGGTGTCGATGAAACGCAAATTTGACCTCATATAGCTCATACTGGCGAAAGCAAGGTCATACTGTGCCTGTGTATAATTCAAGAAAGGTCCATTTGGACCGCTCTCTCCACGCAAGATATATCTATGCTTTGATCAGCAACAACTAACGCGATGAGGTAGGGCGTCAAACTCTTTTGCGGAGAAATGGACAAAGTCTACTGTGTTATTCTTGGGATTCAGCTCCACCAAGGGTTTGCACAAGTTTAAGAAGCTGGCATCAACTAATTTGGATCCCTCGTTGAGCTCGGTATCTTTCCTGTACATTACGATCCCGTCTTGTATCTCATGTACTTTCATCAGCCGGAACGAACAAGTAATCCATTCTAATATGCGGAAAGCCTTTCTCGAATCTTCTTCTTTCAGGTCCTTTAGAATTCTCTGGAGAATACGACCGTATCTGTGTGTATTAGGTTCGCTTCTACTCAGGAGAGATGGAATTTTACGCTTGGTCTAAACCTTCGGGAAGTGTGCTCATTGCATATCTCAATTCGTCTTGACTACCACAGTCTTCGAGACTTTTGAGTACAAGACGAGTCCACAAAAACATCCCTATCATTTCATCAATTATGATATGCCACGTAGCTGCCTGACTCACCTTTGGCTTGTTCGACAATTCGACGTTGTACCTGGTCGATGAGACTCTTCCCAAACGTACATCGAAGATCTTCTAGACTTGAGTGCACATAGATGTCAATGTCTCTCTTTACTTCATCGTGCTGGTCCCGCAAAGATATTGTTGGCCTGCTGCTTAGCGCTCTATCGATTTGTTTTCCTTCTCTGTTTGAAAACAATACTCTGCACTGGCTACTTGTTTCCTTAGTCAATTGGATCAATTCAGTCAGTATCTTTGTCTGCTCAGACTCTGGATACTCGTCTAAGCCATCAATAATGAATCGCACTGAAGATATCGTCTTCAAGAGCTCCGGAAGTAGTTTCTTAAGCTTAGGTATCCCAGGTTCCAGGCACTTGTTCGCATAGCTCTCAAAGACATAAGTGGCAAGATCTCGGTTGCTCTGGAGAAGTTGGGCTGCGAAGCTTCGTAATATCTCTCCTCGTAGGTCTTTTCCTGTTGTGTAGCTATTACAAATGTGATATGCAGTCGTGAATCCACCTTGTTCCTGCATTTGCTGTATGACATAGGTGCTCAAAATTGTTTTACCTGGGGTGTGTCAGTTTTTCTCTTGCGTTAAATTCTGAAGACATTACCAGCTCCAGGAATACCTTTAACCCAAAGAACAGGCTCTCCATGAGCATCATCTTTCCAAGTTTGGAAGAGTGGGTTCCTAAAGACCCACTCGCAGGTGCCTTCATGTCGTTTCTCTCCAAGCGCAGTAAGATCATCTTCACGAATGCCAGCCACTTTGAGCCACGATATGGAATCGTGATACCAGTAGTCTCTTGTCAATTTCTCTTGTCGTGCGATGTCTTCTTCATTTCTTGTCCTCCATTCTTTCGCTTCCACTAGATCGATGACTTGAACCTGCTGCCTCAGGAGCTTTTGGTGTTGAGCCAAGTTCTTCAAAATGCCATTGAAACGAAATTGAAATCCTTTCCATAAGGAACCAAAGAAAATGTGCCAAGCCCGTCGCCGGAAGAATCTGTACGCAGCACGGTGAAATTCGAGGATGTCTTTGTAGACTAGACTAAGGACGACTTGAAAATTCTCATCGTTGCCAAAGGCCTTGTGTAAATCGACGAATTGCGGCATGGCTTGGGCTATTTGCTTGTAAGCATCAATCAGCGTATCGAAAGCATTGGTATGTTCGGCAGCGAGCTATTAGTCAGTCGTTGTCGAACAAAGGCTCATGGTATCAAATACCTGAAGCACCAACTTAATTGGAGCCTGATAATCGTGTTTAATAAATGTCTTGGTGGATATAGATGTTCACTAACCCAGACCCATGGAAGATACGGTGTACCATTGCAAGCCACCTCGATAACTTTCGAGTACCCTCCCAGCGCCTTTAGGAAGGGCTCAATGCGTCTCATATTTCGAAGGGACTTTCTCTGACGTTGAGCTTCCTGGATGTCTTCAGCAGCTTTCCAAACGTCCTCTGACTTGGTGGTTGCGAAGGCTGTGGCATCATGTGAATTGAGAGTGGCTCTCAGGTCCTCAATCGCGGTCACAAACCTGTTCGAGGCGTCCGTGGAGGTCATGCCAGAATATACACTGTAATTAGGATGAAGTAAAGTACGGACAGAATACTGTACATCGAGATGAATTGGCACCCAACCAGTATAAAATGCAACTAATATCTCAGCCGCACCGGACTGCCAAAGGCTAGTGTTACTACGCTACGGTGGGGCGTAGAGTGTGGCTGAGCAGGCTTTGCCCATGTAACACCATCTTGAGTCGCAGAATTACGCGAGAAAAGTAGCAACTAATAAATTCATATGATGTGATTCAACCAGATTGTTTATGGACTTTTAAAGCTCTCGGAACAACACATCATTGAGAAATACTTGCAATATCATGAGCTTCTAAGACTGACCGAAGTTCTCAGCAGCATGAGCGATCCCATCAAGGCTGTCGACGACCGCCAGATCCGCCAAAATCTTGACGAGGCTGCAGAAGCCTCACTTTGCCAAGTCTGCCGAGAAATCAACCTTAGATCTTTCCTGCTTGGGAACCAAGACCACCAGCCACATATCGATCTAAAATTGCGGAAAGGCGAGGATCATTAGTGAGGTTGCATTCAGGATTCCGCCAGGCGAGGAGGTCCCAGAAGCAAAATTGACTCCCAACACACGGTTCATTGACGTAAGAGAATTAAGACTCGTCTCAGTTTCCGAAGTCGAAGAATTCGCTGCTCTGAGCTATGTTTGGGGCACATTGGTGAACGAGAATTTACAGACGAAGATTCAGAACATCGAAGCGCGCCATCAAGAGAAATGGATTGCGTGGTGTGGAGCTCCCCAAGACTATTGCGGACGCTATTTCAGTCACTGGAGATCTTGGAATCAGATATCTTTGGATTGATTCCCTATGCATTATTCAGGACGATGAGCATAAGCAGACCCAAATTCAGAATATGGATAGGATCTACGGACTTGCAAGTCTTGTTCTTGTGGCTGCTGCAGGGGCCGATGCATTGACTGGTTTGGTGGGATACGAAGCCAGTCCTAGGCCAACAATTGATCAAATAAGTGGAACAGTTCAAGGCTTGCAACTCGTTATCTCCTCCCCTCCACTACAGTATATTTTGGAAAACTCGAAATGGAATACAAGAGGCTGGACATTCCAAGAGTGGCATCTTGCTCGTCGAGCTTTGATTTTCACAGACGACCAAGTCTACTACATCTGCTCAAGTGCAAGCTACTGCGAAGACATCGCCCTTGAGAATTTTCAACCACATTTACTAATGAGCTTGATATTGGAAAATTGTAACGCTTCGACAATGAGACATTATCTGCCCAGTAGATACACTCAGTGCACCGGCAACGGCGGATGGGTGGAGTACATTCAGTTAGTTGAACATTACAGCAAGCGAGAGCTCACCTACGAATCTGATACTCTTCTCGCCATCTCAGGATTGCTGAACGATCTGCACCGAGCGAGCAGAAATCGCTTCTTATGCCGAGTATCAATTGGCTTGTTCCACGACGCCTTATTCTGGGTTCCAGAAAATAGAGCAGAGCTTCGGTGGGGTACTGGTGATACGCCAACTCTCCTCTTCCCAACTTGGTCCTGGGCCTCAGCTAAGAGCGCTGTGAAATATCGGGTCTTTCCTGCTAGTGGCAGATCTTTGATCGAGGACTGGGCAGTGTGGACAGATTCTCAACTTGGCATTCTTGGGACACCCTTGACGGAGCCTCAGAATGATCGGTTCATCGTGGGCATGACATTCTTTTCTGACCGTCCGACGATCAAAGACGCTGAAGCAGAAGCTCGGCGTAGAGGGACAGGACTACTTGGTGCCAATCATCTCCATCAATACATTTTGAAGTTCAAAGCTGAGGTAGCGACTCTCCAACTCGTTGGTGGGGTCATCAATGATTTCTCGAGCAGAGGAGAGGCATTACTCGACCAACGTGGTGCTTATATGGGAGTAGCAATACTCGATAAGCCAAGGTCTCAGATCGAAAAAGTAACAGGAGATTTTGTTAATGTGCAGTGTATGGCGATCTCTGTATCAAAGTCGAAAATGCCTTACATGGACGAACCTGCATTCACAACTCTGCCAGAAGATGAAGAGTTGGTGAATCTCATGCTTGTAAAGGAGATGGAGACGTTATTTTGTATTAGTATTGGACTTGGACAGGTTTCGAAAGATACTTGGGATGATTGGGCAAATGCTAAAAGTAGAGAAATTCATCTTGCATAATGAACAGGATAAATGATATGTAGTCAAATTGTGTACACTCAACCTTCTTCCCCTCAATGATTGTCCGAGTACTCCTTGCAATTTCTCGCTCTAGCTTTAGCTCTTTCTCGATCTGTAACTGAATCCGAGAGACGCAGGAGAAGCAAAATTGTGTCTTTCTTCCCCCTTGTCGAAGAACGCAGTTCTCATTGCTCCCAACTTCGTCCGAGTCCAATCCATATACTCATCAAACCAGGCTGGTAAATCAGTCAGTCAGTCAGTCATCAGTCGAGCTTATTCTCCAACTGATTGACTGATTATAATGAAGGCATCCAACTGACTCACTGATATCCACTTATCAGTCGCTGATCAGTCAAGAAACGTGACTTTTAACTAGTAAATATTTTTATTATATTTTTTAAATATAATATAAATAAATATATAATATTTAAACTATATTTTTATCTTAATTTAAACAATTATCTACAAGTGTTCATTTAAAAAGTAAATTTTCATGTTTTTCAAAATGTTCAAATATATCAAAAATCTAGGAAAAAACTAGGATTTTAAGCCAAAAATTGTTTTTTTAATACTAAAAATAAACCTTTTCAAATATCTCCCAACTTATAAGCAACTGTCAGTTGAACTTTTGGCTAACTGATAGACTGACATCATTTAAAATCGCTAACTGATTGGCTTTAACTGATCACTTATCAGTCGACTGATCAGCTAGCTGACTGCTTTACCAGCCTGCATCAAACCTAGGAGGTTGCTTTCCAACCCTTCCTTCCTTGTCCGCCTTACTGCTTGCCTTGAACAGTTGATTGATATACTTCTTGTCCTTCGGGTAGTTGAAATCATGGAATCCGTTGACCACGACACCTTCAGCTGGTTGGCTTGCCTTTCTTTCCTGCTTGAGTTCATTCTGCATGCCAGGCTTACTTGGTATGGTTATACGACCGGACAGCGCTCTTGCAACGTAGGCACTTTGTGCCTCAACAACGGTGAATATAGCACTCATCTTTGGAAGTCCAACGAATGCCAAAGTGGGGTCCTGGATCCAGAACATCTGCTTCCACACATCGAGAAGGCTCTTCCCGTCTTTGCTCACTTTCAGCTTTGGAATGAATGGGTACTCGTACTCATAACCTGTACAGAGGAGAATGATGTCGATGTTATGCTCCCTTTCGTCGTTCACGAACGCAACCCCTCTTTCTTCGAGTAGAAGTTGCATGGGACTGGACACATTTCTCTGGTTCGGGCTGCTAAGCATTGGCAAACGTTTCTTGGTCGAGATGAGAATGTCGCCTTTGACATAAGGTGAGATGCGTTTTGCGATGTCGAAGTATGAGGGACCGCCGCCAATTATCACTACTTTCTATTGATGAAGTCAGCCATCTTTTGCCTGTCAGGTCAGATATTGCAAGGTTGATTCGAGAGGAAATCATCTGCAACAAAAAGTCAGACTAGCCTTGTCTTCGAAATCTTGAGCATCTCTGAAATCTCCAGAATGAATGATGCTTCCCGGGTACGCCGCTTCCCAAAAGTCCCAATCCAGCTCCGGCGGCATGTGGAAAGTGTTGAAAGTTCCAGTGGCAACAACAACACAATCAAAGTATAACGCTGTTGCCCTCGTTCCTCTAACTGTATTGGCAACCTCCACTTTCCATTTCCACTGGTAATTCTTCGTCACCTTAGTAACTCATGTCGTTTCCGAATTCAAATTGATGTAATCGCCAATGTCTGTCGAGTGATCCTCGAGATACTGTTTGATTTTATCGTGAGTTGGAAATAGGGAGACATCTTCTAGATATGGACAGTATTTGTAGGTCATCATGGTGCGGGGTACGTTCGTCTCGAGACCTGGATACATCGGTGTTTGAAAATCGTCTTCGGTGGGCGAAGTGAAGTTCCAAATTCCTGCAATTTCTGAGTGGCGTTCGAACACTGTGACGTCGAAGATGCTTGCATCTGAAGTTGGGTCCCTCTCCGCTAAGAGGTATCTCCTTGAAGTTAGTCATGCATGAGATCGGAGAAAAATTCCTACTGACTTTGCCGCTGCGAGACCTGCGACTCCACTTCCTATCACGGCTACCTTCTTTGCGTTTCGTTCCATAACGGTAGACGTAATAAAGTATGCAGGAGACGCACGTGATTCACAACATCAGATACTACCTAGGTAGGTACATAGAGAAGATATAGGCAAAAGAAGACGAGCAGGAAGTAGCACATCATCTCATTAGCCCATATAGTTGATGAACTTGAGTTACAGAATGTTCTCTGTCATTCGAAAAGAATCACCCCAGGTCGGTTGTAAATTCTTTCATGATACACTTCATTCAAGAGGTAGCAAAGGATTCTAGTTATATGCTGAGACATACCACGGACTTGTTCTCTCCAACGTGACCACACGGAGACATCTTCGAAGATGCCTGCGGTACGCGAATGAATCCTGACTCTCCGCGAACGTCCCTAGTGAAGGCCCTCACGAATCAAGGCCGTGCATTGCCAAGTTGTGGTATTGTGAGCCCCATCTTCATCATGAGTGTGATTTCATTCCATGAAACACGCCACTCCCGACCACACCAAAAATTCGCATGAGCACATATCATCAACCTTCAGGATCAGCAATGATTGTTGCATATTGTACCTCAGGCGCGTTCCAGTTTGGTAACTCTTCTGCCTTGCGATTGATCCATTGCCTCGCTTGATCGAATTTGAGATAAGGATTTGTGAAGCTAGTGGGGTCTAGTATCGGGGTCAATATCTTCCCCTCCGCGAAACGTGCTCTCAAAACCAACTTCTCGCGCTCCAAAACTTCGTCATCAGGCATCCGATGAAATCTAGATTCTCTCTGCTTCTGTAGCTGATCGTCGTTGAGAGGAGGTATGCTGACTCTCAATTTCGGCTCTTCAGCGAGACTCAGGGTCTTCAAGGAGCCGAAAGAGAGGAGCGGCTGTCTCGGATCCGGTTTTGTCACTGGTGGTCCTACCATCCTTCGGCGAGGTCCTCTAGGAGTCCAAGCGTTAAGCCGGATGAACACATGCTGTACATGATCGATGGCTTCCTGGAAGAAGTATTTTTGGAGTGACGCCTCCTCTTGATGGATTGGGTACAAAATGGCCCAGGCAAGGTAAAGGACATCCGTCTCATAGTTCGCATATGGTGATCTGGGAGATCGTTTTCCCATGCCTTGGATCTCAAGCCATCTTTCGCCGGGCTTGGACATGACACCAAATCCTGTGTCGTCCTCTCTGTATTGTGGAACTGGACGAAAGCACGGTCTGTATACCTTTAGTAGAACATTCCTAGCCTCGTGGCAAACTGCGAGCTCCGTGATAGGAGGGCGGGGTAAGACGTGAGATCGCAAGTCGATGGTGTGAAGCCATATTTTATCACGAAGCTCAGTGGGGAGGTTGGGGAAGAGTGGGAACGACTCGGTAGATTGCATTATGACTGTCTTGTCTAACAATTATTAACAAAAGAGTTAACTTCGCTGAAGATTAAGTGGGTAAAAGTTGGAAACCGAAGGGCGAAGGATGACGTTGGTTTTAGCGATTTATTGTGGGGCGGATGGGATGCGTATGAGCACATGACTACCCATCGAAGTTTGAAGAGAAATGTTTCTTATAACTAAAGAATCTAAGACTAAACATATCACAATTCTGTGCATTAATTAATGTATATTTAAAATTTCCTTAGTAAACTACACTTAAAAATAGGGAAACAGGCGGGAGTTCGCAAGTGACTGCCCACGTGATCAAGATCAACTGCCAGAGTAAACCAGTATCCTGTGTATGACTATCAAGGATCTTTGTCACCAATGCTTACCTAAAATTCTCAGAGTATTGGAGCTTTCTCTGTAGATGCTTGGCCGTTAGATATCTGTGAGCTTTGCTCACGGTGGGCGCTATTCGCGCTGTCTGCGCATTTTGCGGGTGAAGGTCGAATTCGCGATGGGCAGGAAGTAAATGCATCATCTCATTAGGCTACATAGCTTATAAAATTGAATAACAGCGCGTTATCTGATATTTGAGACTCTCACTCGCTACTCGCTTCCAGACTCTTTCAAAATTGTTCAAAGTCCCTGTCTCAAAAGCGAAATCTCTCTACCGGCCAATGCATTCTGAAGTGACGAGGTTTCACTCGAGGGAGAAGTGATATATGTTTGAGAGGATTTGAGGAGAAATATGAGCAGGAGCCTAGGCGGATTAGATCTTGAGGTTCGTTTACATTCCGCTTCCGCGGCCGCTCGCTATATAGACTCTAAAAACGCGGTACCCTTGAGACCAAACCAAAGTTTCTTCGGTTGATTATGAAAAGACGAAATAAGCGAGCTTTAAAAAAGAGCAAAAAAAAAAAGATTAAAAAAAAGTCATCCACACCAAAGGACCACATTGATGTCTATAGTCCCAGCCGTCCGAGCAGGGAACCCCTCCTCAGATTCATCCCCGCCATATCTACTGATCATGGTAACAATCCACTGGGCGAACCAGTAACTAAACCAGACACGGAGACGAATAGTGCTAAAGTCTTACCTCCCCCGCAGGCTTGGCAACGACTAGGGACCGGCGACATCGGTTTGAAGAAGAGACTGCAGCAAGGCATAAGCTTGACTCGGGGCCACAGGATATTGTAATAATACCCGCCGTGCTCGCGCTTTCACTCAACTTCGGTTGGCGGAACTTTTGCTTATTTAACTTTATGAGGGACGGAATGTTGGCTAGCGAGATAAGGCTAGGAAGCACCTTTGTTCCGGAAGGCTGGTGACTGACGACAGTAGGTGTATACAAGGCTCGCTTGGTTGCGGCGCTAGTGCTTTCTTCTCTTGCTCCTTGCGGCTTTGCTCCGTACGAGGACAGCATCGAATTGACAAATCTGATCGCGATTCGAAGTCGATAACGCGAAAACCGAAGGATTGTATGCCGCAAATGCCTCTTACAAGCCCCAGGGGGCTACTCATGCCTGCTTCTAATTCATCTTCACAATCCGTACGACAATGTTTTCCGAAGCTGCGACTGTGACCTGGGGAGCTTGCAGTTCGACTTTACTCAAAGCCAAGAGTATTCTCTGGTGATATCCATGGAGAGGAGAACACATTTGCGGATCGCCACGGCCCGCTGCTGATGATCATGTTGATATTCTCGATTTCGGGTCGACAAATTTACTTTAGTTCATGAAATCATGGCTGGTAGTACAGTTTCCATGAGGGTTTCCTTTCAATTTGCACTTGCTTACCCTGCACCATGTCTGAGTATGCTCTAAGTCTTGGCGCTGTTGAGCCTTATCGAGGAAGCGTGCTCAAATGGAACGAATGACTGTACACCAAAGCACTCGCTGCCAAGAAATAATTGTCAGATATTGTCGTCTTAACAAAAGTTGCGTTTCAATGGGTATCTGATCGCTCGATCATTCTTGCAAGCTGCAAAGTTGACAGTGATGCTGACATTTTGCAATTGAGACCGAGACATCTGCTATCTGACTCGGAACAGCACTTCAACACTATCGAAGTTGTCCATCATGAGACAAGGGAGCAAATCGTCCAAACTATCGCAAGTGCGAGGCAGTCCTTATCTATGGTGGCGCTTCAGGAAAAGAAAAGCGCTTGACTAGGTGTTGATCACGAACATCAATCGCAAAGAAGTGAAGGAAGCATCGAGCAAAATGAGGAATCATCTAAATGCACGTCGCAAAGATGTGATCGAGATCTAAGATCAACATGATCTACCGTACTTCGCAGTGAACAGTCTATTTCAACTCCAAGCCTCCAGTCATATCTCTTGCATCGGACGGCAAAAGCTTCTTTCATGACGCAGGACGTGCTGAAGCTCTTTAGAAGCAGATTGCTACCCGTCTGGGATCCACCAGATCTTCGCGTATCGCTTTGCAGCACCGTGCTTGCCTTGCTCTACTGTAGCCAAGACCGTGGTGGACCCTGAGTGGAAGAGGGTATTTAAACTGGAAGAAAGTAGCGACCGAGTCACAGAGATACTACTATGCTACTCTCGAGAGCTGAATATTCATACTGGAGTTTCAGGGATTACTAGGTTTGCAGGGATTGCGTCTTCTTATGAATTTGAGGTTGTATTGAAGTACTGTACGAAGAAATGATTGCAAGCGCCCCAGAGCAAGTCAAGCAGAAGTAGTATACGGATGGAGCTGCGATACAGCTATTGCTCTAGGAACTCGGCGGGCGTCAATTTTATGAGCATTCGTCCAACTCCGATATTCGTGTTCTTGTTGTAATGCGAAAAGAATATCCCTTTCTACCTTTCTCCGTGGGTGACGGTAGTGACTTAAAGTTGGATCCCGCTTCAGAGATGATTGGGTGGATGTACCACCCTCTTGATGTCATCCGCATCGTTGTTACAGTACCAAAAGCCACGCACACGGGCCACAAGGTTTGCAGAATTCGCAAAAATTTGCAGGGCTTAACTCGCCGGGGCCGCGGCTGCCGCCCCAGCGCTTCGCTAATCTGGCATAGCTGGGTCTGGGCAGCCTGGGCAACCTGCAAAAGGCTGCAGATGCCTGGGGCTGCCGCGGTCGCGTGTGATAAGATGACGGGGGCTTGAAGAATGCCTGCTGAAGTTGCTGTAATGTGATCGAGTAACAGCTCGCCGGGCGCCGCTCGCAGCCCTCAACCACCGTAGCTTCGGGTTCTCCGCACTTGATAAGGGTCTGGCCGCCAATAACTTCAGAATGGACGACGGTACCTTATCTGTTGACTGCACAATATGATGCATACCTACATGGTTGATCATCCTTTCTTTTTTCTTATCTGGTCATCCTGTCCCCCAGCTTCAATATAAAGCAAATGGAAGCTTCGATATTGCTTCCTTGTCTTCAGTGCCCTCGACGTCTCGTGAACATCGACTGAAAACGACCGTATACCAAAACCACCAACACCTCCACCGCCCACCATGGCAACGTACGAAAACAAAGCGTTCGACTCGGACGAGAAGAATGGCTCCCCTTCTCCAGCCGCTTCCGCCTATGAGCCAGTTGTTGCAGATGGTCACGTGGGTAAACTCCAGAGACGCCTGCCCTTCAGCCTTGCGGTCCGTCAAGAGGAAAGCAGCTTTGCTGCAACAAAGAGAGCCTCCAATGCCGATTTCGACCCGATCCCTCCATCCAAGCGCACTTGGAACTGGGGCGCATATGTCGCTTATTGGATGGCCGATGCTTGGGCTGTCTCAAACTGGGAAGTTGGTGAGTCCTCCACAATGTGCTTTGTCTGTGGATAGAGAGTCAGAGACTAAATGTTCGGGTCAGCTTCTTCTATGATCAAGGTTGGTCTCAGTTGGAAAATGGCCATCGGCGCCTGTGTTCTTGGAAATTTCGTCATGGGTCTCGTTATCACGATCAATGGCAGAATGGGTGCCACTGTAAGTTCTCTTTTTTGAGAGAAAGATGAGCAGAACTTACTTATAACAGCTTCACACTCCTTTTCCCGTTCTTGCACGCATGCCTTTCGGTTATTACTTCAGCTACTTCGTCGTCCTGTCTCGCTGCGTTCTCGCCATCGTCTGGCTTGGGTTAGTTTGTCCAGCCAACAATAACCTATCATTGCAAGAGACTAACTGTATGCAGTGTGCAAACTACGACCGGCGGTCAATGCATGGTTGTCTTGCTTACAGCTATCTGGCCAAGCTTCAAAAACATCCCCAATCACATCCCCCTCAGCGAAGGCATCAGCACCGGAGGAATGATTGGCTTCCTGCTCTACTTCTTGCTCCAGCTACCATTTCTATGCATACCCTACACCAAGGTCCAACACTTCTTCGCCTTCAAGAGTGTTATTGCTCCGATCATTTTCTTGGCCGTTTTCGGTGACACTTTGCGCAGAGCCGGCGGTACTATCAGCAATAGTACGGTCATCACTCAAGGCACCACCGTTCACGGTTCGACCCTTGCTTGGTCCTTTTTTGCCAGTAAGTGATTATCTATATCCATATCCTACCTGGTCTTCTTTTGCCTTCTTCTATAAGCACAGAAGCTTACACTCTCGCAGATCTCAACGGAGTTTTGGGTAACTACGCTACATTGGGCCTCAACATTGCCGATTTCGCAAGATACGCGGACAAACCCAGCGCACAGAATGTCCAGGCCGTCGTCATCCCTGTCATTTTCAGTGAGATCTTCCCCTCCCTCTCACGTCGATGTTGCTAATCATCTGGATGAACAGCTATTGTTGGCTTGCTTGGTATCTTCACTGCAGCAGCCGCCGAGACGGCATACGGCCAGATCTTGTGGAATCCTATCGACATCATCACCTTGTGGATGCACAATGGCTCCCACGGTGGCCGTGCTGCTGCCGCTTTTGGCGCCATCGGTCTGATTATCGTCACCCTCGGTATCAACATCTCAGCCAACTCCATCAGTGCCGCCAACGATCTCATGTCATTCTGCCCTAAGTACATCAACATCCGTCGAGGTCAAATTCTCGCTGCCATCATTGGTAGCTGGGCATTTGTACCCGTAAGTCGATCTGCCTTCCTGCAAACCTAGCACCCCACGCTTACTCCAATCACAGTGGAAAATCCTTGCATCAGCTGCAAAGTTCCTTGCTTTCCTCGGCGGATACACTATTTTCCTAGGTCCCATGACATCCATTCTCATGACAGAGTTCGTCCCCTAGAATTCCTACCTACTAAGTTCAGATCACTAATCCATGCCATAGCTATTACATCGTTCGACGTGGGAACGTCTCCGTACCCGACATGTATAACTTCCACGGCATCTATCGCTACTCGCCCAAATACGCCAGCAACTGGCGTGCGGTCGCTGCCTTCTTCATCGGCTGCATTCCCCCTCTCCCAGGCTTCGTCGACAACATCGTTCAAGCAGGTGGTAGCCACACCACTGTCTCTCTAGGCGGTCAACATCTGTAAGCATATTCCCATTCATCTTCCCAAAGGGAACAACTTAGTGGAGCTGAGCTAACATTGGGTAGTTTCAACATCGGCTACATCTACTCCTTCATCGCAGCCGGTGTCTTCTACTGGGGCTTCAACAAAATCTCCCCACACACCGATTCCATCATGGACCACCCCGAGACAGGCGAGGATATCATTGCAGCCCAAGACGCCAAGAATGTTGAGGCGCGTCGTGCGAGTTTGGCTGGGAGGAGGCCTAGCATCGCTGCTCGAGTCTTTGAAGTTTAAGGGTTCGCGACTGCACGATCTTTAAAGGGATTCGGTATTTGGAGTTGTGATTGTAATGGACTGAGGTGTCCTTTGTTATTACTGCGCACATTTATGTAAAGAGATATAGACAAACAAACACGAATTTGACGACCACGAATTTTGCGGGGAAGAATACGTTGGTCCAGTGTATATAAAAGTATGGTTCCCAAAACAAAGATTATTGAACAAAACATACCCCTACAGAGAGGACGTAGAATCTGAGAGCGGGCACTAAAATAGTCTTGGCGCAGGGTCCGCCAAGCTAAAATAGCAGCATCTCAATTCCAACGACAATTGACATAAACAATTCACGTAAAAGAATCGTGTTTCAACACCACCTACAATCCAGCCATCACACATGAGAAGTTAACCTCAGCTACCTAGGTCGGTGCAAAGTACCGAGGCCCGTACGTACACTGTGCTCATAACGACTTTTTCAAAATTCTATGGCCACCACCTAAGCTTAAAAGGCACCAAATTACTATTTTTAGCGCTGCACTTAGGCTGCGACTAATTATATGGTGCATAGTAGCTTATATATCAATTTTCTAATGATATAAAATAACTAAACTATTGTTATGCGCAAGTGAAGTTGAAATAATTGTGCAAGCCTAAGGCAGCAGTAGCGATGGGTCGCTTTAGCGAGTACTACAGCCGCACTAGGAGGTAAGTTTATCATGATAAATGCACCTTAGCGAGTCGCTTAGGCTATGATGCCTGACAGCCTGATAGCTGTGCAGGGCATTAAGTAAGCTACGGCTGCTCCAGCGCAAAATAAGGACTCCTAACCTTATTATTTTATTAATAAAAAACATGATATATATGCAGAATTAAATTAAGTGCAATTGTAGTTCAATTGCATCGCGATAATTAATTATTCTTAGAGTTTTGGGGTCTTCTAAGCTTGGGTGGTGGTCACAGAATTTTGAAAAAGTTCACAGTGTACGCGCTACAAAGAAGGAAATCCGTCAAACCCTCACTCCACCGGCAAAACCGCCTCCCAATCCTGCGCCTCAACCCACTCCTCCACACTCTTTAACTTGACCTCAACCCCCAAATCGGCCGGCATCACAATACTCGCATCGACCTTGACCCCGCAATACCCAAATTCAATCGCAAACCCCATCATCTCCTCCCTCGCTCTCTTCATCTCCGGAACACTCATCTCGAAACTCGGCATCGTGTCCACAAACTCGATGCCCGTACCTAAGCTCTTCGCCATGAGTCTATACACATCCTGTAAACTAAGCCACTCATTGAAACCTAACAATTTCTTGCCAGGCTCAGCGAGGATCAGAGCTGCGATCAGGGGTCCGGTATCGTCGATGACCGAGTACCACGGGAAGAGGATTGAGGTGACAGGTTCGGCGTTTGAAGCAATCAAGACATTCCTCTCTTTATCCTACTCAAAACATTAGCCCACCTCATCCAGTTATGAACAAAACATAGATAACCAAGTGACATCTTACCAAAACAGGACAAAACCCCCTCCCCGTCCCCCCCAAAAAATTCTCCAAAAAAAACCCAGCGTAAAAAACACTCGTCCTGCCCCACAACTCCGGATACGTCTCCCTCCCATACTCCTCCGCCGCCGCCTTACTATCGCTATAATACACATGTCTGTATTTCCCGCCACTCAAGCGCTCCGAGTTCGCTAGACTCGAGAAAATGAATCGCTGCAATGAGGGGACGTTCGCTGCGGCGTCGATGATGTTTTTATTCTGCGTCGTTTCGTGGTCTCGCATGTAGAAGCCGAGGGTGGAGCTATCGTAGCCGGATGCGAGGGCTTGGGAGCGGAGGAGGGGGGAGGTCATTGGGTGGAGGAAGTCGGTTACGCTGAAGATGATGGATGCGCCGGCGAAGGCGGCGGTGAGGGACGCGGGGTCGTTGATGTCGCCGGGGACGATCTCGATGCCACGGGAGGCGAGAGAGAGGGCTGCCGCGGAGGTGGGCGTGCGGGTTATGGCGCGGAGGGCGTAGGGGGAGGAGGGGAGGGAGAGGAAGTGTGTGAGGATGGAGCCGCCTTGGTTGCCTGTTGCACCGAGGACGACGAGGAGGGGTTTGGTGGTCGACATGTCGTGTTTGAGGTAAGATGGAGTGAGGATGGAAGTCTGATGGTCGAGAATATTGCGTGGGAGTGTTGGTATATATAGACCACAGCACACTCGATACATTACAAATACCCTTGAGCCATCGGAGGAACTTCATCCTATGCACAGCCGTAATAGGTTTAGTTCCCACCAAGACCATTATGAACGAAAGTCACCAAACCCAAAAACACATCCCCACAAAAATCCAGCGTCCTCCCTCTCCAAGACTCCGCAAACTCATGGTACGAGTTGAGCCGTTCGCCCACTTCCTCGCCACATCTGGCGTGGGCTGCTGCAATCCATGCTTGTGGGGATTCGGCCATCCAGAGACCGGGACGGGCGTCGAAGGGGAGGGATTCAATGAAGAGCCAGTTGGAGCAGTAGCTGTATTTGTAGCTGGCTACTGAGAGGTTGAGGACGTAGGCCATGAATACGGTTCGTCGTACGCCTGGGAATTGGTTAGCGTGGTGCGAAGTGGGTGTGCAATGAGTGGTCAAAAAGTGCCCAAGACTTCATGAAGCAAGAAGACAAAAGCATCATAACTTACTCTCTCCTAACAACCAATCCTGCCACGGAGACTGGCTTTTCGGCATCCCGGCATCAACACACTCTAACAAAGTCTGCGTCCACTCAGACATAATACTTAAACACCTATCAGCCTCATCCCGCTCCTCTAGAACGGACGAGAAAACAGATGCCGCAAGATGAACTAATAGAGCTTGAAGAGCAGTAAGAACCTCTTTCGCAGACACTTTCTTAATATCAACCCGAACCAACCGCTCAAACCCTTCACACCTCACACCCTTCTCCTCCCTCTCCACCAGCTCCATAAAATGATTACACTCCCTAGGAATCAACAACCTAGGGTGCACAAACGTCCCCGGCTTCCCTCTACCCACCACCTCCGCGACCCTCCCAAACCCCAACCTCGTAATCTCAAGCGCATTCTCATTCCTCTCGCCAACCCGGATCGCCGGATCAACGCCCAAGGCTTGTAGCTTGGTCGTCCGTTTCAAGATGCAGACGCCGAGGGTATTGCGCGTCGACGGGTTGAAGCCGAAGGCGAGGATCTTCTCGGACTCGGTGGGTGGTGCGCGGAGGGGCTCGAGGTCGTATGTACAGGTCAGGTTCTTTTGGGAGCAGCGGCCGCATTTGGGCTTTTGGACGAGGCATTTGCGTTTTGAGGTCGTGCAGTTTGTGCAGGCTTTGCGGAGGGTGGACATTTTGCAATAGGTGGGTAGGTGTGGATGAATGGATTGCTCGGCTGGGTTGGGTGTGAAGCTAGCTAGGTTATGAAATCTTGAAGGAAAATTCTTGACACATATAGTTTATCCGTCGAATATTTGAAAGAAAGTATGAAATTCTTAAAAGTATTGTTGTTATGACGAGGTCGGGTTGTCGTCCATCCAGGCCATATCCCTGCCAAGGATTGATCAATCTAAGCCCTTCTAAGTTTAGCTCCCGCTGGCTTCAAAGTCCCTGAACTGTTGGAGCACGCGAGGCACAGTATACGAGATTTCAAATAGCAGTGTTTGTAAGCGTTCAATTCTCAATTCTAATCCTGGAGATTTCAGAAGTATGATAGGAGAAAATAAAAGAAACGCTTTTGGCAATACATCCAACCATAAGTTCTCAGCTCGTCAAAAAATTAGCCATTTCTTGAGGTGCTGTAGAAAGCTTTCGTGTTCAGCGCGGACAGCGCGGACAGCGCGGACAGTGCAGATTGCGCAGATTGCGCTGAATGCGCTGAATGCGCAGATCTCGCCCTTCGCACTGATGTGTCCCTCGAATAATTTCAAGTCCAAAGATCACTGTCACCTTTCTGGCACAGTGTATGAAGAAGTGCATGACACACTAAAAATAGCTCTTATGAAAGTTACGCACTTGCCAGAACCTTGAGAATGACACTTCGAGTCTTCCAGGCAGAGAAACATTACCCCGCACTACCCCGCCATACTTTGAACAAGATGGAATTTCGACAACTGCCAAAGTGTATCATATCACCTTTACTGTAGACTGAGCCTAGCGAAACATATTGTCTGAATTTCTACGAAACTGGAACATTCAAATATGTACATGGCGAAATGAACCGCATCAAGCTCCACCACTTCAAATATGTTTCCTATGATCTCTCAAACAGTCGCCGTGGAAGCAGCCGAAGGCGTGGCAGTCGGGCTACAAGCTGTCACAACGCGGGTCGACGGCCCTGCCTCTGTAATCGTCGTAACCGAATAAGCATACCTTGTCTGGGTAGCTGTGGTTGAAAACACCGCAGTAGTACCCCCCACTTGTCTTTCCAAGACTGTAACAGGCTTGGAAACAGACGCACTTGGAGTCGTTGCAACTGTCGGGAGCGCAGCACAAGCTGTATAACTGGTGGTGGTTGTGGTGCTAGGCCAATGCGTTCGGATTATGGTGGATGTCACCACGTCGGTAACGATTGAATAAAAGACGTCGAGTGTCGCGGAACAGGCGTAGGCAGTTCGGATCAATGGTACTGTCTGGGTAGCGGTCTGGACGGAGTAGATTGTATACGTATAGGGCGGACGTTGAGTCAGGGAGTATGTTGCAGTGACGGTGGTAAATACGCTTGCCGTAATAGCAGCTTCTGTGGTCGAAGTTGCTCTGGTGACGCTTGCAGAGGTTGTGGATGTTGGTGTCAAACTGGGTGACGTGGGGACTTGTCGTCCTTGGAGACCTTCAGGGATGTCAAGGCCAGCGGGTGCGATGGTTGCTGCTGAAGCCGGAGCTACCATAGTGGTGCCATTGACTGGTGCAATGATCGGAGAATATAGAGTTTGGGTGCAGTTGAGGATTGATGATAATGTCGACGTGCTGGTATAGACGGCTTGAGTATAGGTGGCTGACGTATACACTACTGGGAGGGTTGGAGGAACCACTAACAACCAATTAGCATTACAGAATACTTGACACAGAAAAAGGGGTTTGCGCGCTGAGAGCTGTCTCAAAAAGGTGGGATGCATAGAAAGAGCGACCGTCAGCTATTCTCTCGTTCCACACCGCTTCCAGCTCCAGAAATTTAGGGAAAAAATCATATCAATTTGGGATATGGGAAGGGTTCATACGGGTAGCGTAGAGCGTAGCAGTCACGGTGACAATAGTCGTGGTAGCTGCCTCACTGTCGACATCTCGTCGAACAGGAGTGGCTGTGATGTGGAGAGCGGACAGCAAGATAGAAGATAAGATGGAAACCCTCATATTTGCAGGTAACACAACGTGACGAAAATTCAATATCCCAAGACTCCAGACTTGGCGTGCTTTGAAGGGGGTTCTCCGATATTTATAACAATGGGTAAGGTTGCTTGAAGGAAGTCTCAGGATGTCCGATCGAAAGGTGACTGGGACGAGGGCTACGGCAAGTACGGCAACTTAGGAACGTCATAGAAGATGACTATACGGCTATTTAAGAAAAATGAAACGTTCCTATGAAATCTGCAGATTGAAAGGCCATTCCTAGTACAACAGAGAAATTGCACCCGGAGCATCCTGTTGATATTCCATCCATATATTTCATCCGAGCTCAACTTCATGCTCATTCATCCTATCATCGCAAATTGAAACAATAATAACAATAAGGAGCAAAACTGAGATCTGCAAATGATGATCAAATGTTCAAGTGCCGAAGAGTTCAGATGTCGCTGGCGGTGCCTGAAATGAAGAGGAGATCTCGAATGAAATATAAGGTGATTATGATGTGATAGTGAGATCCGAGCTGCAGAAGCAACTTTATTATATTGAATGTACCTGACAGGCTATGGAATTTTTCCAAGGGTAAATTCCCATCCTCGGAAAGGAGTGCGGGGTCCCCACAGAACAGCACGACACGTGATTAGTTGACTTAAGCAACATCCTTATCGCATTCTAGAGGAAGAAATGTACAGTTGCGTGAGATATCAACTTGAATATTATGGTACAGGGAAGTAGGATTGAGTACCCAGTGGGAATAATTCTGTTGCAGATAAGGAGAGAGAGGGGTATCTGAGTGGTCCACGCACGAACATGATCGAGGGATCTTGGACCTCTTCCCGTGAGCTGAAATATTATTTTCTCCTGGACTGTGTAGTGGATCACTGATCACACAGATATGATTCTTTTATTTCGTAATATCGGCTGTATCTACCAACTCGATGATTGCCCTTTCACGACAGAGCTCTGCCACTAGGGTCACACTGCTGACTCTGACGTGTACTCTGGTATTCTTTTTTGCAAGCATCCTTCATCGTCCCACACGATAGTTCGATTTTGTCTGCACCTCGCACTTAGAGATGGTTTGGGTTTCAGTGTTCGTGTCTGTGATTGGAGCTGACGCAATGAACATGGATAAAATCAACGCACCGAAGCCACTTGGCTGCTTTGTACTCATTGAATTTGAAAGTATAAGGAGCAACACCCTTCACAAGTAAATTACTGAATTAAACGAGAAATATTGAGCTCATAGCGAGCAATTGAAAAAGGAAAGAGCCTTGATGCAACGCCATTGACAAGCACTCTCTGTTCAAGTCCGTCCCAAGGTATGACTTCCATTCTACCATATGCTCTGAGATGATTGCTCAGCCTGCTAAAGCTCTATGCATCTCTAAAAGGTCTATAAAGCGGAAGTTCTGCCACCATTTCCTCGCGTCTGCATCTGTTGGCACGTGATTGGCTTCAACCACGTTCACTTCTGGAACGCCATGACAGCATACCGGAAGGTGCCATTCGCAAAGCCTCTCCTCATGGCTCTGAAAGCTTGCATGAACGCGAGGCCATCTCTTCCTTGGGCTACAGCAAAAGCCCATAGTGCCGGATTCTGGATCAGGGTCCATGAGATATCCCTGGGAACTGGTCAATGCTGGGCTTTAGTTCAAACCGGGAACCACCACTCACCATGTCTTCGAGACTTGCTTGCTGATGTCGAATGATTCGGCAAAGACCTTCAAACCTGCCTTCTCTGCCATTTCGACATATCCCTTCTGCGTGCACATTGGTGGGAGCAACATTCCATCTCCACAACAAATTAGTCAATCAACAGAACCAGATCTTGAGAGCATACCTTCAATGGGGCTTATGTCATCTTTGAACTGTTTCTCTGTCAAGCCTTCATCCTTGAACCAATCCGCGACAACCAGCTTGCCGCCATCCTTGAGCAGGAAGGCTGCATTCCTGAAGAAGAGTTCCTTGTTGGGTAAATGACTCATTGCTTCCGAAATCCACACACAGTCAAACTTGTCCGTAGTAAAGAATTCGCCCATTTTCTCCGCATCCAACTCTATGAATTTCACGGATCCGTCGCCAAGCTTCACCGCCGCATCAGGAGAATCAGGCTTGACGCCTCCAGCTTCAGCAGTAAGCTTACGCGCAATCTCGACCTGACGCCCACTGATAGTGACGCCTGTTACAGTGCAGCCGTGATGCTTGGCGAGGTGTCGGCTCGTTCCGCCGATGCCGCAACCGACATCAAGGACAGAACTACCCTTGGGGAGCCCGGACTTTTCCAATAAAAGATCGATGAGTTGCACTTGAGCTTTCTCCTTGGTGTCAGCCGGCGTAAGGAAGTAGCCATGGTGAATATGCTCGCCCCTGTTCTGCTTAGCCGACACGTTCCACAAGGGAGGGATGGCGACTCCACGAGTGCCTTAGTCGAGTCAATGTCACCTACCAAAGGGAGTAATAGTAGTCGGATGCAAGTTCGTAGTGATGTCTGATCCGATCTTTAAGGGCATTGAATGAGATGAAAGGTTCGGGTTCCGGTATTTCGTAATCCTCGATCTTGTTGACATTCTCGTCCGTTGCACGTGACTCAGCAATGTATGTCATGATTGTGGGCTCGAGGTGAGGTTTTGAGGTTGGGAAATGTTAACGATGCACTGCTTGGTACACCGCTTGGTAAAATCGACCAGAAAGAGAGGAATTGAGGACGTGTAGATGTCTGATTGAAGCTCTGTCTGTGCGACGTTTGAGATGGTACCTAGATACCCAGATGCGGCTAGTCCCAACACTAGTCTGGCCTAATCTTCTTTGGGAATTGCTTAGACCGATCCAGTTCTTCGAAACATTCTCCGCTTCAAAGCTTCGTGTTCTGTGTCGAAGCTGTTCCTTTCAGATTCACACCATATTTAATTGTGTACCCAATGCCTGTAAAAAGAAGCCATTTGAAGTTCAGATGAAGCTTCTCGTACATGCCCCAAGACCACGACTGTTGAATGAGTTGACCGTTGCCCCTTACTCCCCTGAGTCGAGATTTCAATCTGCTTGGTCTGGCTTCCAGTATGACATCAGGAACAATTTGGTTTCTGTGCTTGTTAGTTGTGTTGTTTGACCTCGCTTTCACACTGTGTGGCTTGTGCGTTAGCCTCCTTGCTTTTTCAGCCATACTCATCCCGCTACGCTCCAATCATTCTGTCATGACATTGTACCAACCTCTCATGTTCTTTGATATGAGTTTGAACGCATCAGTCACAGTAGTGCGGAGGCATGCAATCATGGGACGGTCGCGAAAGCACTTGAAGTTGCCCAAGAACACACGTCGAGTCGCTATGAATCTGAACAAGTTGAACGTCAGACCAAAGATCGGCTATGACAGGCACTCAACCTACACGCCACAGCTGAGCGGTACCCAGTCAGTAAAAAAGCGTTGCTGGTGGTCAAGTGCTCAATCACACCAAGTGCAAAAATGTCTCTTCATGACAATTCGTTGCTTGCTGACAAGTAAGATCTTACAACTTCAATCTCCCAAAGAAAATTCTGGGGACAGAGGATAAATAACAATATTCTGCAGAGATAGATATGTTTCCCCTGATTTGACAGCTAAAAAAGTCATCACACGAAGAGGTATTTGATTCGGAAGTGCAAAACGCGATCAGTCACATGACTTATGATGACTTTCCACCTTTCACATCTTACGTCCATCAGTGTCGAACATGTTAAGGTTCTAATTTCGAGTCCCATAAGATGAGACTGCTTTACAGGAGATAATAGGCTGAATGCAACGGAGTACGCAGCGCCATATTTGAGCACGAGACAGACACGTGAACATTATTGCTTTGAAGAACAGATCTTCAATGCTTCGAGACCCCATCTGCACCATCCATGTCGTTCGTTACTCTCTTCGTACCTAAATTCTTAGCGAGAGTATTATATGTATTGCATCTTCCTTCTCGTGTGGTGTTAGCCCGTCTTTTCCTTACGACGGTGTTTCCTCGGGCGACTGAACAGAGTGGCTGAATTTTCCGGATTTGCGACACTTCCAATAATATGTTAGCTACGAAATCGCTCAAGCCCAGAACAAATCAGCGCTTACATGTCTTGGGATTCTATAGTCTGGATCATGCATGTAAGTCGAAGTTGTGCTCCTCACTGCAGCGGCGCAGCATCAAAGGTCGTAGGTATAGTGAATAAGGTACGGCCGGAGCGATAACGATTGAGACTACATGTCTGCATATGTCATATGAGACAAATCAGTGCGCTGTCCATTGAGCATATAGCACGAAAGAGATGCAGAATTGGTTGGCTGTCTCGAGACCAATAGGAGTCAACTTGGTGTTTAACATCGACTGTGGATCGGCGAGCATGCACCAACAACATGATCGCTTTAGCGCCTCTCTTCAACTCATACCATTATGTTTACCCGCAACACTCAAGACTCTGTATACTCTGTGTATTTTCAAAATGGCTTGCATGATACACCCTTTTCACTTCTGCAGCATTTATCATGATCCACTTGTATTTGACTTTCCAATGCAACATCGAAAGATACTGACGCCACATTAGCAGTGAGATAGGCCAGATCGTATGGCTGGCCTATAACCACGACAACAGAACCGCTGTTTGCAATTGAACAGCAGCTCTGACAAGCTTGTGGGGTCTCAGTGGGGTCCCATTGGGGTCCATGCGGCGATGCATCTTTTTCCCTACATGTCGAGCGGCGGCGTAGCTTCAATGGTGAAATTGCCGATTCCGGTCGTCAGGACATATGCGAACCGAAGTCAATCGTGCATCGACAGTCACTCATATGCTATTGGACTGTATATCAGTCTGCGGGTTGCCCTTCTACGGCCGAAATAAACGCAAAGTTCCAAGTCCTTCTTTTCACACAAATTTGAAGAACAGCACCAAGATGACTCAGATTAGTGGTATCACTTTGCGTTCTCGACCCTCTCTCGCTTCCCGCTTGTCGAGTGCTGCCCAGGCCTTATCCCGATCTGTCTCTGCTCCCCCGAAGTATGCTTATACTCCAGGAAATGACGATGCCACGAAACAAACTGGGTTACTCAAAGACCTCCAGGCCCTTGGCATCCAAGATGCCCAGACTATGGTACTCCTCCTCAATACCTCTGCTACAGGTGTTGACGATGACAATGAGTTTCTCCTGGAACGAATGATACAGATGCTTTCCAAACTTCCTCCCCACTCCAAAGAAGGCAAACAAATGACCGATGGACTCATAAATCAGCTATGGGGAGGCTTAGAACATCCACCTAAGTCATCACTCGGCAAGGACTACCGATACCGTGAACCCGATGGGTCTTGCAACAACATTAGAGATCCACAGATTGGTGCTGCCAACACGCCATATGCACGCTCGATGCCTCCTATGGTGTTTCAAAGCCCTGATCTACCAGATCCAGAACAGCTATTTGATATGTTGATGGCTAGAGGAGATGACTTCAAGCCGCATCCAAATGGTATTTCAAGTATGCAATTCTACCTGGCCGCGATCATTACTCATGATATATTTCAGACGGTAAGTTTGGTGTTCGATAATCTAAGGATTTCATTGACGTTTCGTAGGACTCCAAGGACTTCAATATTAACACTACTTCTTCGTATCTTGACCTGTCTCCTCTGTATGGTAGAAATTTAGAAGAACAGAGGATCATGAGAACGTTCAAAGACGGCCTACTGGAACCCGATTGTTTCAGCTCCAAGCGTTTGCTTGGGCTTCCTTCTGGATGTGGAGTCTTTCTAATTATGTTCAACCGCTTCCATAATTATGTTGTTTCACAACTTGCTAGGTCAGTAATCCCAAATAGTGTGGAACGCAAGCTTATCACAGCATAGCATCAATGAAAGAAGCCGATTCACCAAGCCGAGATCATACGCTACGGGTATACAAGTCGAGAGTGCCTGGCAGAAGTACGACAACGATCTTTTTCAGACTGGCCGTTTGATCACGTGCGGTCTTTACATCAACATCATCATGAAAGATTACGTCCGCACTATGCTTAGTCTCAACAGAACAGACTCTGTTTGGGGTCTGGATCCCAGAACCAAGGAAGGGCAGAACATGCTCAGCAATCCTGCTCCGGAAGCGACTGGTAATCAAGTGTCTGTCGAGTTCAATCTTATTTATCGATGGCATAGCGCGCTTTCCAAGAAAGATGAAGCATGGACAGAGAAAGAATTCACAAACCTCCTTGGAGGTAAAGATCCTGCTACTGCGCCCTTGCACGAAGTCCTTGCAGCTTTGGGCAGATGGGAATCCATGTTACCTGAATGGCCTGAAGCAAGACCATTTGCTGCACTTTCTCGCAAGTCCGATGGAACCTATGATGATGATTCTCTCGTCAAGATATTGCAAGCGTCTATCGAAGACGTTGCTGGTACCTTCGGGGCCAACAAAGTGCCCAACTGTTTGAGAACAGTCGAAATTCTAGGCATCATCCAAGCAAGGTATTGGAATGTAGCAACCTTGAATGAGTTTCGAAGTCACTTTGGGCTGAAAAAGCACGAAACCTTTGAAGACATCAACCCCGATCCAGTGGTTGCGAACAAGCTCATGCAATTATATGACAACCCTGACTCGGTAGAGCTATATCCAGGTCTGTTAGCCGAGAAACCTAAACCGCCAATGAGCCCTGGAAGTGGGTTGTGTGTAAATTTCACCACTAGTCGAGCAATTCTCTCCGATGCAGTCGCTTTGGTGCGGGGCGACAGGTTCTATACTGTGGACTACACACTCAAGAATCTAACCAACTGGGGGTAAGAACTCTTTTCACTTTAAACATGCCACTTGCTCACATATCCAAGGTACAACGAAGTCGACTTCGACTTGAGCATAAATCAAGGCCAGCTGATGCATAAATTAATCTTCCGAGCCTTCCCCAATCACTTCCGCCAAAACAGCATCTATGCCCACTTTCCCTTTGTAACTCCATCGGAAAACTTCGTCATCTTAGACAAATTAGGAACCTCATCGAAATACTCCTGGGCACCGCCATCGAAACGACCAGATGTCGTTGTCATCAAATCGTATAAAGCCATTACCCGAATTTTGGAGAATAAGAAAGATTTCAAAGTTCCTTGGGGAGAGGCAATTGAGTTCGAGACTGCTCAGCCAGATGCTTCATATGCCAAGAACTTCGCTCAAGCAGGCGATGAAGCGGCAAATGCGGCAAGCCGCATCCATATCCAGAAAGCTCTTTATGTTTCAGGATGGTTTGATCAGATTACTACATACTATTCCGATGTCACGCGACATCTGTTGAGCACCAACAGCTTAGCCATGACTGCTGGTACAAAAGAGGTCGATATCATACGGGATGTTATTGGCCTCGCAAACACTCGCTTCGTATCAGCTCTTTACAACTTGCCATTGAAGAATGAAGTGCACCCTCAAGGAAAATATACCGAGCAAGAAATGTACACGATTCTTCTCTCAGCATACTCTGCGATCTTCTTCGACTCCGACATTGCTCAGTCTTTCAAGCTCAGGAACGTTGCAAGGGAACTGGCACAGCAGCTTGGACAAGTCGTCCTGATGAATGCGGATATGGTGGCCGCTACGAGCTATTTGCCTGACTTCTTTTCTCTCTTCAGTAGGCAGGTCAAGCCGGTGACCGAACCTTCTCTGCCCTCGTATGGCAATCAGATGATTCAAAGATTACTAGAGAAGGGGAAATCCGTCGACGAATCGGTCTGGGGAAATATCATACCGATGACTTCTACAGTTGTAGCAATACAGACTCAAGCTATATCTCAATGTCTAGATTACTATCTGGGAGATGGCAAAGAACATCTTCCTGAGCTGCATAGACTCTCGCACCTAAACACCAAGGAGTCAGACGAAAATTTGATGCGATAGTAAGTCTCCATCTCTTTGTAATCGTGTGCACCTGTTCTAATGATCAAAGCATGCTCGAAGGATGTCGCCTCAACAGCACCATGACCATTTGCCGCGACCTTGCCTCTGACCAGATTATCACCCACTCCATGCCTCCATTCACCAGCGTATCATCATTCGCCACGGTCACACCATTTCGAACCATAACCCACAAACTCACTACCGGTACCCGAGTACTCCTCAACCTATGCACCGCAGGGCGTGACCCTGCCATCTTCCCTGACCCAGGGCGAGTACGTCTTGACCGACCCCTTAACTCGTATATCCACTACGGCTGGGGTCCTCATCAATGTCTGGGCATCGAGGCCAGTCGAGCCGGTTTGACTGCAATGTTCAAGACGATAGTTGGCTTGAAAGGACTCAGGCGAGCTCCTGGACAGAGAGGTATGATCAAAAGTATGCCGGCTAAGAATTGGAATGGGCAAATTGGAAATACTTCTGGATGGAATGAGGAAGAAGAGGAGTTGGCGGGCTTGAAGGTTTATATGACAGCGGATCAAAGCTCAATCTCGCCGTTGCCAAGCACGATGAGGGTGAGATGGGATGCCTGAGACGGATGACAGCAAGGGACTACTTCTCTTTGCAGACTATTCGCGCGTTGTCTTTTGACCGCCCTTTTGCTGTGCGGTCTGTATCTAGATGATGAACATATCTCATGTTGTTAAGCATAGTTATTTAGATAAGTAAATACGAGTTTTTTTTGATTTCCAGCCAGAGCAAACTTCGACAGTCTGCCTCGAGGTGAATTCACCATGAGCTGATGACGGTCTCAAATGATGCGCCTCCGGCGACTTCAGCTCAGACAACTGAGAAAAGAAAGAACAACAGGGCCAATCAGCAACCTTCATTCCACCTCTCTCTGTAGGTGACTCTGAGAATTTCAGACACCCAAGTGTAATGTACGACAGGTAAGAAAACGAATGCTTGCGCTCAAATCGCCTCCAATCCCGCTTCTGCCAAACTTTACGATTGGTCTTCACTCCCAAGAAAGCCTCATGCCACGTTCATTTCCTTCTAGCTGCAGGAGCGTTGCTACACGACATATACTCGATGAAAGCTGTGCCACACGTGAGATAAAACGACGGGCTTCTAGCTTTCATTGTGCTACGAAGACTCGTATCCGTGCTACCAAGTCACAGCAAACATGTTCCATAAAGGGTATGGTGCATTCCGAAAGTGGTAAAGCTCCACAGTTTGGAGGCCGTTGCTGAAGATCTGAGACATCGATCGAAGATTCTCAGAGAAGTGCTTGTATCATGGCCTCGTTTGGAGAGAACCGTTGGATGTTTGAAGATGCGGTCCGGGGTTCAAGATGTTGGAGCTGCGGATATCCTTCCTTGTGTGACTTCCAGTGTGAGAAATTCAATAATACTCAATAACGAAATCGTCGCTCGTTACTCTACTCAACGCTAGTGCGGGAGCATAATTACTCTACTCAATAATACTCTGAGTTATTCAATAAGTTATCCAATAATAATCTGGGTACAAGTTGTTCCGGGCCGGAGGGCTGATGCGGGGCTGCGGCTTAGGCAGGCGCTACCCACTTTAGGTGCACGCCAAGACTCCCACCTCACGTGAAAAGAATAAGGATATTTTTGATTATAGAAATAAATATATCTATTCTTATATATTTATTAAGATTATAAAAACTATCAATAAGAGAGTTATATGCTTAAATTTAGGAAGATTATATAAGAGTATTAAATTTAAATAAGGCAAGATCACGTGCTATTGAATAACGTTGAGTTTATTGAATAACACTGAGTAATGGTATATTACTCTATTCAATAGCTTAGTCATAATTCAGATTTTTACTCTACTCTTACTCTACTCAATATTACTCACGAATTATTCAAGTTATTCAATAAATTTTTCTCACACTGGTGACTTCGAAGAAGGGTGAAAGCACGTGCTTTGGTCGGACATCAATAACTTTATATTTCGTTAACTGCACTTGCTCATTTAGAGTCCATATGACACAGCTCAGCTCAGTCATCCTTTACAATAGTTCAAAGACGCCATTCATGACGGCAAAGCGCCGCTATACACCACCACAGTCACGTTCACTATTTTCACCTTTCACCCTCGCATTCCCTTCGAATGGGTCCTCAAACTGATAGCTTAAGGTTATACTCATTATTGAACTTAACTATGCGTATATCGCGCCTCAGCTTCCCCTTTCAATTCAGCGTTAAACTTATTGAAATAACTCTTGGTCACCCAACCCAGAGGTAGAACTGGGCTGAAAGCCCACGCCATGATACCGACGAAGCTTTCTTCCTGCACAAAAGTCGTCCCACCTCCTGTAACAGTCGACTTCTCGAACCTAAACACATGTATGCCCCGGAAGAGGCCATAGACTGGTGGTCCGGTCCAGGAAAGAGTGTTCGCATTGCATTCCTGTTGATTTTCAATGAATCTGGACACCATTTAAGGAGATACCGTGATATATGGGAAGCAATGCAGCAGGAAGTCGAAATGATTATTTCCTTGTTGGAAAGTTGGGTGGGGTTCCGTTGGAATGGGGTGCTTACTATGATTTTAGCAGTGAAATTTACCCCGCCCATAGTACCACTGATGACATCGTCTTTCTAGAGTGGCTTTAAAGGATTGTCTTTCCGTATAGCGGTTATGAAGCCAGTGTGCCATTTGGGAAAGGTGGGAAAATCTAATAGCTGTGAAGAACCGCAAGAAACACTTAAATTAGTAAATGTCCCGACTGGATATCGAGAAGGGGCTAGAGACTTACAACATTTTTGACTTGATCTGGCGGGGCTGCTATTTCGACCGACGTATGAATCATTGTGTATTCGTTTCTGATGGAATGCTTAAACGCTAATCACCAGCTTGTGCGCAAGTAGAAAGAGACGGCACGCAGAGAGATGCGGCCAGAAGATGGAAGGCGATAGTAAGCTCGTGGTTAAAAGAAACGTCGGAGATGGTTCAAAGTCCAAATCGCTTAATCTGTGCCACTCCTTCCGATGCACAGGAAATGTTGGGATCTGCCACCTAAGTTATCTACGCGATTAATAAATTAAAAACACAAGTAAAAGTAAGGGAATTGGAACAGCGGAGCACTCTAGACCTGATGCTAGAAGAAAAAGAAAAAACTTGAGGATACAAAAGGTTGTCGTTGACCCTTTTCCAAATCATCGCGCAATTATAATTAATCTGAAACCTTAGAGAAAAAGAAGACATGTATTGGTTCTAAGCTTCTATGATGTCGTCAATGCATAGTTCCATGCACATTGAAGCGTAATCGGAGTTAACATTTGCTTACCCAAAGTGCTCGGAATCGGCAAGACCTGGAAGACCTTGCTGACCAACACCGGAACTAATAACTCCGACTAGCCATTGAATTTAATTCTTATATGCTCATACTTGATCAAAGAGAGATTGAAACTAGTGGTCTTCTTGTTCACTCATTTCCACTAACAATTCAAGCTGATAATTCTGTCACAACGGAAAATCACCAATCATAGAAGACGATATCAGAATGGTTTCACTTCAAATAGTGAAGCAGTCCAATGCTGGCATTGCATCATTACCACATGGACTTGTTGTTTTGTTCATCGGCGCAACATCAGGTATTGGACAAAGTGCGCTCCAAAGCTTTGCTCGACATGCCCCTTCTCCGCGAATATACACTGTAGCTCGCCCATCTACTTTTGCCTCTCATGAGAGCTTGTTGGCCTCGCTACGACAATCTAATCCTACTGCAACCTATAAACTCGTTGAAGCAGACGTCTCCCTAGTCTCAGAGGTTGACAAAGCTGTGAACAGGATCATTGAAGAGGAGACCAAGATCGACATTCTCTTCATGTCCGCCGGCTTCATGGCATTGGAAGGCAGGAAGGACACAAGCGAAGGGCTCGATCCCTCTATGTCAACTCGATACTATTCGCGTTTACGCGCAGTCCAATTGCTGCTTCCCTTGCTCAACAAGGCCCCAAGCCCGCGCATCGTCTCTGTGCTTGCTGGAGGGCTGGAGGGACCGCTCAACGAGCAGGATCTCGACTTGCGCGACCCGAACAACTGGTCTTCCTGGAATTCCTCAGTGCAGGCTACAACCATGGCCACGCTGATGCTCGAGAAGATTGCACGGGAGAATCCACGTCTGAGTATTGTGCACTGGTACCCCGGGCCTGTTGATACGCCAGGACTGGCAAAAATACAGAAGTTTGGAATGTCTTTTCCAAATCCGATGAGTCAGGAAGAGGCGGGCGAGCGCGCAGTATTCTTTACCACTAGCGATCGTTATGCGGTTCAAGAAGGACTTCTGCCTGTGCCTGCTGGGCTTGAGGTTGCGAAGAAATCAGGAGGGGGAATCTTTCTACTTAACCCACAAGGTGAAAGTACTGACAACGAGGCTGTGCTTGACGAGATGAGAAGAAGAGGGGTAGATGAGGTCGTGTGGAATTTTTCGCAGAAGGTATTTACTGCTTGTAATGTACAAGCAAGAGAATCCAAGGACGAGTTATGAGAATGTAGGACAGAATTGTTGTGTATTTTCGCAGGGCCTGATTAATTCAAATTGAAAATAAAGTACCTAGAATCACTTATTTCGACAAGCATTCAGAATGGGAAGCAATAATATGACGGGAGCATACTTTTCAAACGCTAGGCCACCTCAAAAAAAACTTCTTGCGACAACCTGCCCCCGCCAAGATCCCAATACTCCAAACCCACGTGTCATACAGTCGTTACATAAAGAGTGAACATGAAATGCCTAAGTAGAGTACTGAATGAACAACTACTTGTCCCCGCTGTGTAGATTAATACTCTCGACGCTCACACCAGCTTCATTCTCACTTCTCCCAAATGTACTTGGGCTGACTCCTCGCTCCTCCATCTCAATTCCTTGCAAGTCTCTTTCGCTTTCATTCGTTCCCTGAATGATTATTGTTTTCGCACTCTTATTACCACTCTGATCGGGTAATCTCGTCATGATATTACTTTCCGAGCCAGTATTCGTGATCTTTGGAATTCTGAATGCAGACCCAATCATCATGCTCCAAGTTCGGCGACGACGATTTGACGTTGTGCTCTCGGTACCAGCAGAATGGGCTCTGCTAGTAGAGAAGAGGGCGGGGAAAATCTTGAGCAGGAGGGGTCGGATGCACATCAGACACGAGCACATAACTGCAACATATGTTTCGATATCTGACCAAAGGACGATCTCGATATCATTCCCTTATGATAATCAGTATACATTGTAGAGCCGAATATTGGGTAGGACCATACATGTTCCGTCAAGGGTGAGCTTGTAGTTCCAGACGTACCGCAGCCGAATCATACTGGTGACACAAGCACTGCTTTAGTTAGCACCTCCTGTGAAGGGAAATTTGAGGGAGGTACTTGCAATGATCCCAAAGCAAACATAAAACAGAGAGACAGTCTTTTTCTGAGATCAAGATTCAAGCCGATTAACTCCGAGATCGGAAGTACCATGATAGCAATATCCTCGAAGATGCTTGCGAAAGCGCCTGCCCTCATGGCTGCGTTGACATTCATACATGTTCCTGGGATTGTCAAGTTCCAGAAAGACTCAACGGGAATGCACTGGAAGATGACAGTGAACGTGAAGGCTACCATGTGGCAGCACTGCCATACGAGTGCGAATTGAACGAGCCATCGGAAGTTGGGGGTGGGGAAGATTCGGAGGTAAAGGAACAAGATGGAGAGCTTCGCAAAGTTCTGTATGAGTGCATAGAATATCGATGCAACCCAGTATAACTGCCATCATTGTGAGTTGCGCGCAATATACCGAGAATGTGAGCTCATACCAAATTGAGTCTTGTAAAGTTTAGTACTGGGATGTCCCAAATATGTTGGCCGAAACCAAGGTACGAACCTAAGAGGAGATGTTCAACGATCGAATTCCGTGATGTTTGCATTGGAGGTGACTTACTGTATACCGGAATTACAGTGTTGGGAACCATAAATAACTAGCCTCGTGAGCACAAAGTCAGGACATGCCATAGACACAGCACTCACAGCACATATCACAATCATCCAATCATCCCACCACAGTCTTCGAGCAACCCACGTCCTCGATATCAACCGCAGAGCTATCATAGGGAATGCGAATGCAGCAATGATGACTTCAACCCGCAAGATCTCGGCCTTTCGAGATTCTTTCGGAAAAGTGATACAAATCTCGCTTTGCAAGACTTCAGTTGCGGCTGTCATAGTCAGTGCGGTCCTTAAAAATATCATGACGAGGGAACGAACTGATCAGGTCTGTCTCGTTACACGAAGTAAACATGCATATAGCAAGTTCATATTGTAAAGTGCTGCTTGTGCAGAGGCAGTTTCCAATAGTGGTAAGGTTCGTTACTGGACATCCCATGGGCTCCAAGACCTCAACCTCACAGTTCAACTAAGAGAGAGTCAGCCAGATTTAATGACACCAGAGCGAATGAAACCAACAAGGCAGGCAGGTGTCTGAGGTAAAGCTTCAGCCAACGCTGTCTGGCATAGAGATACCACTAAAACTGCAGCACCAAGGAATTGACGTGAAAAAATCATCCTGAGATTGAGAGATAGCATGGTAGATGCTGGGACGACCTTCAACAAGAGACCTAGTAACCATCTTATCTACCAAGATCGTGGCGAGTGACAACAGCACAAGAAAAAAGGAATCACGCAAAAAGGAAAAAGCAGACGCAACGGCTTGAACACGTAAATGTGGTCCCCATGCTTGATAAGTAAAGCAGATATCCAGCCTCGGTATGTTAATTTGCAACCTCCTCGGAACCACCTGGACATTTGCGCCAATCACGATTCTGCCCTCGCCAAACAAAGAAATGATCTCGAGGGACCAATGCACGTTCTCGATCAACAGAAATCTCACAAGGCAACATCTTGAGATTATGAAGCTGAAGTATCTTGATCATGAGCGATAAGCCCTTGGCTGGGGACCTGATGAACGGAAGCGAAAAAGAAATATCTTGCAGATCTGACAGCGGGCCACCGTTACACGACACCATTGTCCGGGGCTAGGTAAAAACGGACCGCTTTGTGAACAAGTTGTCACCGCACAAAGTAGATTGCGCACTATGCGGGAGTGCTATCTCAACGAAGCATGGGCTTGAAGATCTGGGGATGATTAGTTTTCATACCTACCACTGAATACTGTATCGGTATTTCGTCCCGGGCCCCACCTCACTTCATTTCAAAACCGAGGAATAAGATACACTTCTCACTTACACACAATCACAAGTGAAGAATGTTCGTTCCCAGACAATTATCGAGTAAAACTTGTAGAAGTGATTCTCGAGAAGCGATGAGGAAGTGCACGGTAGGGTTAGGGTCCGAGTAAAACGTGAACTCTCAACTCACTCCATAGTGAATAAAGATTAGAGGTGAAGTGGGGTTAATGGATCCTGTATGCAAACCGCTGTGGTAGTTCTATGTTTTCTTTTTGACGTTGAACAGACCCCCGCGTCGTCGCATTGACCTTGTTTCCATGTCAGCCTCGGAGTGCGTTCGACTGGTTGGATCGCGACATAGAGCTCGGACCTTCATCAATGCTTTCATATCGCATACGGAGGAAAATCTAAAACGGATTGCCTATTATAGCGAAGCTTGCGAGTGAACGCGGTCTTGGACGGGAAAGATACCGGTTTCTGACCGTGCGAGAAAAAAGAAAAGAAAAGCTCTTGCACATATTCTTGCTACTCATCCAATTGTGTTCGCAATTCCTGATCCCTCATCAATGCTTTTCTCCTATCAAAATGAGGAACACTTACCTCAAGTCTCTTCCGGTTATCGAGTGGATTTCTTCTTGATTGCATATTGAAGGCCTCAGCAGCAATTTCTTTCTTCAAGTCTTGGGCTTGAACAACGCGCTGTATGGCATTCAGCTTCACGAGTTGCCACAGTATATCTATATTCGTATTACTCACTTCTTCAAAAGATCCCCGAATTCTGTATCGGACGGTCTTTACTTCTTTTGCTTGACCGAGTCGATGAATGCGGCAAAGTGCTTGCTCCTCCATCATCGGATTCCATTGCGGCTCAAGAAGATACGCTACTGAAGCTGCGGTAAGGTCAAGTCTGTTGTAATCTTTAGCATGTGTCAAGGAACACTCATTTCGACCGAGGACGTGGAGTCACATGTACTCACCCCGCACCACCGCACGTGATAGACACGAGTATGACTTGGATTGAGGCATCTGTCTGGAATTTTTGAATTGCCTCTTCTCGCCGCTCCCCAGAGTGCTGTCCATCGATGCGAGTGTATGATATCCCAGCTTTGATGAGAAGAGATTCAATAAGATCAAGCGTGAAAGTCCAGTATGAGAAGACAACGCTATTTGTTGTCTCATTAGTCATGTTGGCTGCAGTCAACTTTGATAACAACTTACCTTTTCTCTCCTTTTGGGCAGGTTTGTAAATCTGCCATCAATGTCTTCAGCTTCGTTGAGACGTGTTCTTCGCGGATATCCGGCAGCATCTTTCCTTTCCCGGAACTGATAGCAATGTCTGGTGTCCACGACACTTCAACACTTTTGCACAATGGTACATGCGAGCATGTCGGTACCGGCTGACCGCTTGGGGAATCTTTGATACATGAGCCACAAGTGAGCGTCAAACACTTTGCGAGATAAGGTTTTGGGTTTTCCGAATTCGACCCTTGGCCTGCGCCATCGGAAAGAACATTGCCACAAACGGAGCAAACTGCTTCGTTTGCACATACAATGGTCTCAAAGGCCTTGTTTCCGGTTGACTTGTTCCAAACTTGAGTATCTTGTGGCGTGATACTAACTGTCTTGTTGACTTCGCGATTTGAATGTACAAGTCCGTGATTGCAGAGTAGGCGCAATTCATTGAGCCATTGTAATGCATTGAGATACTGCCCAGGCTGCAACGGGTTGCTTGATAGGGCTGCGTCTAGCTTCCTGATAGTTCCTTCTTTCGCTCTGTCGTAATATTCTTGTTCCTCGGCGCTGAATTTCAGATTGTGAATCAAGTCCTCCCGCTTGGGCAGATCGATAATTGCCTTTGTTCTGCACAAGGAAATGCAGTTCACTAGCTTCTTCATCCGTGTGATGTCTTTGTCTCCAGACTTCAGCCATGGCTTGGCAATTTCCGTGTCGAACACTTTCGGTGATGAGAAGGGGTAGATCTTAAGATACTCAAGAAGACTAGAGAAGTCTGTGACACGATTCTGAATCGGGGTACCAGTGATTGCCCATCTGTTGGTTGCGTTGACTGCACACGCTGCTTTTGCCATCGCCGTTGCTCGATTGCGTATCGTGTGTGCTGAACTATTAGCAATGAGAACAATACAAAGATCAGTGGACATACCTTCGTCAAGTACTATTCTATGCCAAGAGAATGAAAATAGAGTCTCTTCACGAATTTCGGTATCTTCATGTCGCTTTTGCTGTCTAACCAGTGTTTCAAAAGTTGTGATTACGATGTCGAAGTTGCCAAGAGTCCAAATCTTGCGTTTTTGAGTACCGTGAAAGCGCATCCATGTCAAAGTGTCGGGCTTCAAATGCCTGCCTAGTTAGTATAGAGGTACCTTAGTTTCAGGTCAAGTTGCGTACCTCTTCAATTGATTGTTCCAAGTTTCGAGAACTGCATGCGAATAAGTCGGAATCTGGTAGTTTGACGGACTTCAACTCACGTGAATAGGGGACAACAATGAGCGTGGACTTCAAACGGCGGAGATAACCTTGTGTGGTAAATATCCCTTTTTCGGTCGACTTGCAGCTGTTCAAAGCAATTAATGAGATCATCGTCAAGGACTTTCCGAGGCCCATCTGGTCAGCGAGCAGACCTCCCTTGGAGTCTGGTGGGACAACGTTCTGGCACATTTCTGTGATCATATTTGTATATCTTACTTTGTTAGCTAGATTGATTCCACTGGGTTAAGGGCTCTTGCGTCATTTGGCCTGTTTCATCGACTTCTTTTACCCATAAATCATCTTGAGAACCGTCATACTGCCAGCCCTCTTCCCTTTTCACCATAAAAGTGAGTGCTTTCTTTTGGTGCCTAGGGTCTTATATTAGTAATCGAACCACCCCACGATGCTGTTGTCTTCTCACCTATAAAGCGGAGTGCTGATGGCCTCGGGCGCATCTGTCAATGACAAGTGATCATCGCAGCTGAACTCTGAAAATATGTCGTCGCTCGAGATGACTCTTTCAAGTTCCGAGGCTGCGTTCAGGGAACCAAGCTGATTTGTCATTAGACGCTCTTCACTTCTTGTTAATAATTGTGGGTTCGAGTATAGCACCACTCGATCGCATTCCAACGGCTCCTGCAGATACACGCCGCACCTAGAGAGATAAAGTCCTACTTCATCGCAGAGATCTTCCGGGCCATAGATGATTGTGTTCATAACATATTGCAACTCATTTGCACCTGGTTTCGAGAACCTTTCTTCCCGGCAGCAGCCCGTCGGTTTATAGTTCGGCAATAGATCTGAAAGCAGATCCCCTCCTCGGTAGTCAAATTACTCAAGATCTTTGCTGTTCGTTCATCAAGTTCTCCGAACTTTGTGTCCCGTTCAGTCTGGTAGAGGTGATTAGGCTTCCGGAAGGCGACTGATATTTGGCATGTATCGAAGTTCATCAAGCTCGACTGAGACGCCGTGATTGGGATATCGGCAATCTGGAAGTGTTAGCAAGTCAGCTTGGAATAACAATTGACAATACTACCATTCCGTAGCAAACTTGATCCAAGATTGGTGTTGTAGGCTCCTGTATTTCAATAGTAGCTCCACTAGTCAGATTATTTGCATCGGGCAAGACATCCTGGTGGAAAGAACCGCCGAGACACAAATCCGAAACTTGTTCTCCAAATGAAGAGTTGTTCAGAAATAAATGATCTGAGTCGCGATACTGGTCATCGTATCCCACTGTCAAGTTGGGTTCCGACGTTTCAAAGGCTGAGGATGCGAAGTCATTGCTGTGTGTTTGCAAGAACTTTTGGGCCCAAACACTTTCAAGTTCGATTTGATCGGGGTCCGTTGTAATATCATGAGTTTCACTGTATTGCGGCTCGCCTGGACATGCGAATCCTGGTAGTGATGGAAGTTCGAAATCTCCATAGTCCAGCCGTTGCCTCTTTGAGCCTGGTTCCATAAAGTCCATCGCTCCTTCGCAGTGGGCCAAGCTTTCAGTCATCCTTTTGATCCCATTGATGGTATGTAAGCTTCTTCGATCGTTAATGCAAGGCTCTATTGTCTTCATAGAGTGGTACTATGAATGGAAGTCCGATAGTTAGATCTCAGCCTCGTCAAATTGTCAAGCTTGACCGTCGAAGTTGATGGCAAATGGAGCGAGCATCGGAACAACACGGCGGGTTGATGGTAGTGCTAGCACCTGCGAGGTATTCACTCTGGCTTGTAGGCAAGCTTGACTTTGACGTGATTCATGTATGAGAGAGAAAAAGAAGGAGGCTCTCACACACACTGTGCAACGTTGTGTGGCGGTGACTAGCGCTCAGCCACAATATGAAGGTCATGTGACAGATTCACCCAGCACTTTGGATACACCTCCTTCTTCTCATCAGAAAGCTATCTGAATTACCAGAGACGAGATGGAGAAACATAGCGTGGGAGAATGACAAAGTAAAAGGGAGTTATCATGACTTTCCTTTGTAGAGGAAGCGAGAGTAGCGAAAAGAGAGAATTAATGGCGTCGAAGAGAGAGTCCCATTAGAAGTTACTATTGGTACTTCAATATACTACGTCCAGTATCGAGAAATTACTTAATTTCGTGCTGCTAGCACTTAAATTAAACTGTACCGGTAGATGCTATTAGCACGGGAGTTGTCTCGCGCAGCATACCATGCTCGAGTATGCTTTGCAAACGTTGAAAGAGTCTTGAACAAATATGCCTAAAACGGCGTTTCGGCAGTACAATCTCTTCTCGGACTCTGTGCTGACTTAGAGTGTACTCAGCATAAGAAACATTGCGTGCCAAAATGTTCCGTACCCACGAAAAATTGTTGGATGTTCAGCTCGAAGTGAAGCGAGACGGAATCCTGCAGCCACCCGACGAATGAAAAGTGTCAAAGAATGTCTTTTTCACATGCATCCTTCGTATTCTTGATTCCATCGTTGACATCGCCGGCGGCCTAATCACTGCCCGTTGGCCTCCAAATGGGTGCCCGATCGCTAATTTCATGCAACTCTGCTCCCCGCGGTCTTTTATCTTTCTTCCTCCTCACTACAAACAACGAAAGTGCGTGGCCGCTGGAATCTCGCCCTCGTCCGGAAACACGACTGGATGTGGTAAATCAAGATGAGGCATGTCAGTTCCTAGGAAGATTCACCCCATTACTGCGGGATGCGCAGTTGCAGCAGACCGTTGCTAAGAAGATCGATCCATAGACCTTTGTCTGGAAACTAAAGAAAAGCGGTGATTTGTCTGGATTTTGACGGTATGTGATCTCTCTCACTTGGATCAAGTCTGGAGCTTGTTCTGTAAGTCGAACCAAAGAGGCAGCAACAATTCATGCCTGAGAAGGCTGCACCGCAACAGCTGGGGCATACTCGGTAACATACCGGAAATTTCTCAGTTGGCAATCACTCCTAGCCCAGATGGAACATTGAAAACGATAGATAGAATGGTAGAAGGTGTGGTATTCATCATTAGGATCATCTCAGACACTTGCAATTACCACACTCTCTGAAAGGCTAGGTAGCTCGCATCACTCGCCCAGATTTGCGAGATCGCAGGCCCCGTCATTCACTTGGTATCTTGTTTGCTTTGCTTGGGGTCCCGCTCCTCAAACTCGTCCCCCGAAGCTCGCTTCGAGCCGGTACCACCGGCACTGCTTTCATCGGCTGTTTGCGCGTCCTGTGTTTGCAAAGTCAGCCGCCATTCTGGCCCTCAGGTAACCGTGGGAGTCTTACTGAAGCATCCTCTCCACCGGGGAATGAATATCGGCGGACTCTCTCACCAGGAGGGTCTTTTTGGTCAAAGGTTTGCGTCTCGCCTTCTACCCTGTATGTCGTGTGAGCATCATTTCAAGTCATGTCATCAATTCACGTACACTACCGTCGTTTCCTTCTTGTCCAGATCGATAGTGATGGAAACGCTACCTCGTGAGTCCGAGTTAGCCATATTTTTCTGCAGAGGTTGTATGTCTTCCAAAGTAGCTGGACGAGCAAAGAGATGGAAACGTGGTTTATTATAAGTATCTACGGTATGGCCGCCAGCGTCCTCGATCTCGCCGAGCTATTCTTATGTTTGGCATTGCCGCAGGGGAGAAGGTTGAAGAAACCGTTGTCATCACGCAAAATCAGCTGAACAATGCCGCGCTGTTGCGCATTACCTTTGTTTCCTGGCCGCGGAGAGTCTGATGATACAAGTTCAGGGGAGGAACTGAGACACTCGTGGTCTGATAGAGAGGGCCGCCGCATCATTGACAACATGCCCAAAATCGTCGCCCTTTCTTTTCGCCCAAAATGAAGCTTTGGTCTCAATATTGGTCTATTTTTGTACACCGCTGCCCTCCAACACGCCCGCGTCGTCCTTCGCGTCATCTAAGTACATTGGTAGTACCTCGTCGGATTATAGTACTCTATACTGAATTTGGGCATTCCATTCGAGAAGTGGTGCTCATTTTATTCACAAGTCATAGTTATGCAAGCGGATCAAATCACGTTCAGCGTCAACATTGCGAGAACAATTCCAGAAATCTTTTTCCGAAAAAGCTTTATAAGTGTATTTTGGCATTCTGAGAATTATGTAGATCAGAAAAAAAAACCACCGCGTTCTCGGTTTCGTCTCAATCTTGAATACAGCGTTTCCATCACAGGTAAAATGCGCAAGGAAAATCGAAGCCATGTGAAATTGAAATCATTCGTCTCCCAGTTGGCCCCTCCAATCTTCGTTTTGCGATATGCAACTTGCAGAACTCGTCGCACTGATCAAAGCGCTCGCGGCCTCGAATTGCACCCTACAATTTGTAGTTAGTGGGAAAGAAATCCTTGGTTGATAACATTTGATCAACTCACAAGAGTCTTTCTCCAGACGACGAGCATTCCAGATTAGCATAATCAGCTCCGCATTCTCCCCGAAACAATAGTCGAAATTCTCTACATCCCATTTCGGAGATTGAGGTGGGATGTTGTTATAATCGCTGTATAAGAGAGCATACAATCTTGTATAGAGCGTGTACATGTATTCACAGCCTTCCATTCGTTCCTGCAACTGTTTCGAATCTCCATTCGGTTAGCGAAAGCCAAACAGCACCAAAAGAAAGAAGGGAACATACTGGCAGGGAAGCAACGGTAGCGCTCAAGACGCTGTCGGTAATCCAAAGCCAGACGCCACAAGCATATCCCCACCATCAGCACATTGTTCGTGTGCTCCTTCATGTGCTGGAAAACAGCGTCGATCAATTTCCCGAGATCCTTCTCAGCTTCTTCGATACCCAACGCAGCATGAACATGGAGCTGCTCCCTAGCCGTGTGTGAAAGTTGGAACTTCTCCTTTGCTTTGTTATAATCTACTATTCCGAAATGCTTTGGTGGGTTGGTTTTGAAAGATCGCAGAAAAGCCAAGCCCTCCTCAAGATCAATAGGTCGGCGGCTGCCAGTGAATCTTCCCAGATTAACAATCCGCAACGTAAGTCGAACGATGTGCCACTTGAAGCTGTTAGCAATCGCAAGCTACTTCGGAGGGAATCGAAGGGAACTTACCCATGGCGCTTGTTGAGAAAAGCGCAAATACCTTAGAAGTATCAAGTCGATTGTAGCCTCCGAATCGTGGTACACACCATTGTCCGACCACTTCTCAGCTTGTGATTCAATGTTTTGGCGGGCCCACTCGTCCATCCTCTCGTGACTCGGCATGAATTCAGGCGCAATACCATACGATTTTGTCTCAAAATCATCCTTAGCCGTTTCATGGCCGCCGGTAGAGACCATTGGCTGTACGGGCTTGTAAATAATATCTTGAATCTTCACAAGAAGTGGATCTCTTAAGTCAATTTCCAGATAGAGGACCTTTCCATGCTCTCTTGGGCCAGCACCCAGAAGGAAAGAACGCGGATCGTCGTGCATAGACTCCAGTTGCGGTTGGATACTGGCTTGTCGCTGTGCTATTCCAAATACATCTGGCATCGTTAGAAATTGACCAAGATGCTTGAAGATCCAAATGCCTACCTGGCTTACCCTTGAGTGCATCTTCGACTCCGACCCCTCTTCGATAGCACATAGCTCGCCCCAAGTACAATTGGTTCCCTGTCAACTCTAGACATTGTGGGCAAGGTCCTTCGAATATGGATCTGCACTAGAAACGCATTAGCCACAAAGAATGAGCAACAGTAGCTTACTCACCTTTTTGTGCGCCTGGATGCAATGTTCGCAAACAGTTTTCGAGTTGCGGAGCTCCCGTGTCTTTTCCTTTGCTTTATCGGATGGTTTGATTCTGGTGCGAGTTCGATTAGGAGATTCTCCAATTGAATGTTGTGGAGAGGGGCGCCAAGAAGCTGATGATCCTGATGATCCTGAAGCCGATGGTCTCGATGAAATTGTCCCAAATGACTCCGACCCGCTGGACCCTCTTGCAACCATGGTTGATCTGGCAGATTCGGATGTTTCCAGACCAACCATGGAATCACGATGGAGGATTTGCGCTCTTCGACTGTGAAGTGCTCTAATGGGAAAGGACGAGGAAGGGCCAGGCTGTACATGTGCCTCGGTATGGAAGTGCTCTGGTGAAGAAGTCCGCAGGATATGCATGCCAAAATCGCCGGACGGTGCAACATTATCATTAACCCAGTCATTCGGTGGTAATAACTCATTGTCGATGGAATGGGGTCCAGATGACCATGGTAGCGCTGTAATACTTCGTACTTCCTCTCGCTGTTCTCCAACACTAGAGTAAATCTCCCTCATGGTTTGATTTCTAGATGGAAGAGGCCCTGTGCTGTGGGGAGGCGCATAGGACTGATAACGCTCGCCGGTCAGAGCGTATGGTGACAGTGGGTAAGACACAATTGGAGCCGCCAATAGATTCGGATCAAAATCGTCGACGGTGGTATAGCCATGATGTTGACTTTGCAGCAACTGGTGGACCGGGTATTGAGGGCTTGCAAATCTCTCCGCCGGCAATCTTGACACACCAAAGGCTTGAGCATTCATCGGAGGCGAAGATAGTCTTGCGGATTGTTGACTTGAAAAGTGGTATTCGGGACTTTGTTCCATCCATGACTGCGTGAGATACGGTTTGTCATAGACTGCAGTGACACCTTTTTGCTGCAGGTTGACCTCCGCAATGCTAAGTCCCGAGTTGAAGAGCGGTGGTACTGGAAGAGAAGTATGGGCGGGATGTATGTACGGAACCTTTTGAGTCTCGTTGTAACTCGAACTTTGAATGAAAAGACCACCTGGGTTGTATGGATCTCCGCCAGCATTGGTGTTTCCATCTTCAGGTGCAACAACTGCAAGAGCGCTTCCCTCCACGTGATGATATGTCGGCTCAACGATGGAGCTCTGCGCGTTCACTAAAGATCCATCTATTCCTTGTGACGTAGAGAGACCACCTCGGAAAGATGTATCTGGAGTGACGTGTGTAAAGGAGTGAGGTTGAAATGGAGGATCGAGATCGAAGTCTGTCAACGGCCCGTTGAATGGGACGTCTCCCCAGGAGTACCATGGCAGATCTAAACCACGGTCTGGTATTGCCATCACTTGTGAATGCTCTGTCCACGTTCCAATCAGCATGATAGATTAAGTAACTCTGTAGAACTACGAAGGAGCGATATAGATGGAAATGGAAGTTGTGATGGACAGTATTGGCAAATTTTCGAGACGCGCTAATGGAAGTAGAAATATGTAACAGACCTGGAGTGAATCTGCGTATAGCTAAAGTGAAGTAGGTATTCGATCGGACTAGGCGTAAATTCAAGTTGAAGCGGACAGAATGATCTGTGAATTGTCCAAAACACGGTCAGTATTTATCCTACTTTATACACCCTCAACGGATGAGTCCACTTACTTAAGCAACATGGTATGAATGGCTAACGATGCTGACCGTTTTCACACAAGAGGAGGAACATCCTGGGTGAATCCATCTTTGCCCCTCGGCGGCACGTCAGAACTGATGGACCCAGCTTGAACACATCAATCGTTTACGTGTTACCATCATGATCCAATTGATAAAACGAAAGGAGCAAGGAATGCATTCCTCGTGGAAGCAAAGTAAATCTTGGATTGAGGACTGGTCTGATGGGATCGCCGCGGCCATGATCTTGATCGTTGAACCTAGTAGATGCATGCAGCTCTGCATGTGCCTGAATTAAGCTCAATTCATCAGAGGTAAGCGATATCGATGAAGATTGGTAAGAAACTGAAATATCATCGAATCCACAACTGAATCGACACCGGCGGAGGTATATTGTGCTTTGGGTTGCGAAGAAGAAGACCAAAGAGAGCCCAAGTAAAGAAGGCTCGTATGCGCACGGCCATCCTGGCAAGAAGGAGCGAAGGGAGAACGAACAACTGATGGTTTGCAAGGTTGGGTCGAATATCATTCAATGTTGTATGATAGTCGCCCTAAGCAGTAGTCGAGTATAGCGGTTTGAACCATCGTGCTGAACCACGAGGCAGGACGTACTCGGCGTCGATCTTTTCTGGGCACTTGGGGCATTCAAAAACAGGCATGGTATGCGGATAAGGCATGGTCGAGCTTCTAGAACACTCTAGCTGGAGCCATGTAAGCTTTACGATGGCTTTAAGGCCTTTAATGCAAGGCTTCCAATGTATCTGGGGGCATTCTCGCTTGGCGACTAGCATAAGGAGGAGGCAAACAAATCAAAAGAATAAGTGTGAACTTTCTGCTCTCGGAGTTCTCGCAAGTCGATTGACGATTCAGTCTGTAGCTGCTCGTAAATTGGACTGAAAGACGTTTTTTGTCTCTTAGTCCAAATGTCCCACCGAAGCTTTCAGGTCTCGTAAATGTAGCTTCAATTCTTCAGGCCGCACCGCCCTGTGGTCCCGAAGTCCCGCGTACTGGAATCCATTCTCTAGCACGGGATCTTCCGTTTATGGAAGCACGCTCCTAGAAGGAGGGCGGAAGCAGATCTTCGCCCAGGGCGCAACCGGGCACTTTGTGCTTTCGCCCACCCTGGAGACGCGCCTATCACACACCCAACCAATATTTTGGATTGCAGCCACTCATGCATATGCAGGCACATAATCACATCTGGTTGTATCTCCGTCTCACTGCATCGGCGAATCAGAAACACTCGGTCTGCACAATATCAGCTGGATTTTGCACTAGTATGCCCCTTTCTCGCCGCGGTCGAAACGTTGCCATCAAAACAAGTAATGACAACGTCCCTGAAATTACATTAGGCATCACTGAATGCATACTTTGCCGCCCTATTTGGCAGCCTGGAAAGGAGTCTCCTCTCTTTGAATGTGGCCGGCTCACGGTTGATTGAAGTCATGACGTCGCGGAGAGAATACTTGGTGGGGTTGTGACACCTTCCCTCGGATTATAGTTCGCTACTCCCAAAATAGAGAGAAGGCCCGTCAAGGGGTTGGGTCGGCTTGTCTTTCTCTGAGATATCGCCGACTCTCGAGGGTCACTGGTCCGAGCAGCCAGCCTCGACAACCGCAGAGCCTCAGTGTGGTGCTTGATGCCCCTCATGCAGGATGAGGGGTGTGCCACATCTTTGCGCAGAAACTAGACAGGACTCGTCGTTGGTTTGCCTCCATTAAGCAATCATCACGTAGCAAACTCGGAAAGGGGCGAAACCTCCAACCATCAAGCAGAGAGACTCGCGGGCATGCATAAAAGACTGTATTTGTGAGGGGGGTGAAGTGTAGTTGAGCACAAGTCTCATTTGAGAACATTTAGCTCCACTAGCAGAATAGGCTCTAGGCTTGATTCAAATCATGTGATATTTGTAAAATCAAACGCAGAACTTATTTCATAGACAAAATAGACATTTCCACTTGGACTCTCTAACCTGTTTGTGTGAGGAGCGTATTGCAAGAAAGTAGCAAAGAGAAGTATCCTGTCCAGCCACGTGACTAGCAGTAGTACCCCCTGTCTGATTATCTCAGCCAAGTATCGGACAATTTGGCACCGCGAAGTCCGCTCCTGAACCACAATCTTGCCAAAATAGCCTGACAATCTGCGCCGCACATCAAAACACAAACTATTCCGTGGTCGCGATGCTCTTATTTATACATAAGCAACGGATCTCGGGCCACTACTTTTGCGTGTGGATACGGAAGGACAGGGAAAGGGGCCGGAACTTCTAAATCATTTCTATATATCTAACCAGAGTTCCCTTCGAGATTAAGCGATTCCAATTCAAATTTTCAACGATCGTGGTCAACATACTCGCCAATCAATCAAAAATCTCTCTCTAATTCATCTATACACCGTTCAGCGCTCAGTTACTACTCAAGATATTGTCAAAAGTTCTACCCCCACAATGCTTTCAACAACGAGATATCCCCTCCGCAGTCAGATCGTGTCCACACCGGTCGCTGTTGCAGCAGTCCTAGCCACAGTTGGAATCTACAGCTACTCAAGATACTCAACAGACAGCGCTCCAGCGAAGGTATTCGGGAAAGGGCCAGCATTCACCTCGTTACGCTTAGACAGTGTCGAGACCCTGAGCCACGACACCAAACGTTTCCGTTTTAAGTTACCCTCGGAAACCACAGTGAGCGGACTCAACCTCACATGTGAGTTTGACATAAAACACACAACCCATTTGAGGAGGAAACTAATCAATTGTAGCGGCCGTCTTGACTTTCTCCAGACCAGCGGGCCAATTCTTCCCCGTGGTCAGGCCATATACCCCAATTAGTGATTTGTGTAAGCTTCCAACCTGTGCCGTCGAAAGAGAGCCTGCATCTGATGGGATATTTTAGCCGTGCGGGGCTTCATCGACCTCGCTGTGAAGAGATATCCGAAAGGCAAAGCGAGCAACCACATCCATTCTCTGTCTCCGGGAGACACTTTATTCTTCCTTGGATCCATTAGAGCTTACTCATGGAAACCAAATGAATTTAAAAATATCACTCTTATCGCAGGTGGAGCGTAAGTTTGCATCGCTCCACCTCCTGGTTGGACAAAAGCTAATATTCCTCAGTGGGATAACTCCAATGTACCAATTGATCCGAGGAATTTTTCGGAATCCAGAAGAAAACACCAACGTGACTCTCGTTTTTGGCATCAACAACGACAGAGACGCTCTATTCAAGGATGAATTCGCCGAAATGGAGAAGAAGTTCCCAGGCCGCTTCAAGGTCATCTACACCGTCAGCAACCCCGACGAAGGATCACCTTTTCCAAAAGGCTATGTGACGAAGGAATTGCTTAGCAAAGTGATGGCGGGGTCGAAAGAGAGGAGCGAGAAAGTGTTTGTTTGTGGTCCACCGGCAATGGAAGCATCGTTGACGGGGTCGAGACGAGGTCCAGGAGGAATCCTGAGCGAGTTAGGGTTCAGAAAAGATCAAGTTTTTAAGTTTTGAGATGGTGCGGAGTTCTTTGGCATGTAGGGAGCGGTAGGATGGAGGCGTGGTTAGAAGTACCTTTGTATAAGAAATCAAGTCCTATTGAAAAACAAAATCTTTTTGCGATACCTTTGCGTAATGGGGACATTTAGCGACCCCAAGTGGCCCGTAGCTCCAAGAACTGCTTTCTGTATAAAGACGCAGCATTCCAACAACTTCACACAGAAGTGGCTAATGGATTAGCTAGTCTAGGCTCTAAAGTATTGATTAAAACAATTCATTTGCTTACAGATATTGTTGTTGTTGAGTGTTATAAATTTGCATGTCGAAAGTGCGGGGTAAATGAGGGGTCAGATTCGCTGTTACTTCAGGCTTCTTAGCGAAGCAAGCGCAACCTGAAATCTCGATAGTCCAGCACAACGGATAATGCAAGGAAGAAGCAGACTTTTATTCAACTTTATTCGAACCATCTCAACCAACAGTAGAACCAAATCGTTGTGTTTCAACATTTCGTCCATTTGATCTGTTGTCAAATCAGAAAGTCAGATGCAACTTTTAGTGAAGCTCGCTAAGTTCAGGGGCTCGCTTAGGGGCTGTGCCATGAAGTGAGGAGGTTCAGTCGTGAGTACTGAGTAAACATCATAATCGCAAGGAGTGTGATACATAAAATAGCATTTGATTGATTTTGGCAGATTTTTATGCTGAGACAAATCTCTAGAAAGACTAGGCAAGCCAATTATATGCTACACTAAGACAGGGCACTAAAGTAAACGGCCAAATCTCAGCTTTGTCACTAGAATAGTATTATGGACGGTGTGCAGCAAAGAAGTAGACATTTGTTTTAAAAGTGATAAGAGAGTGTTAATGAACTATTGAAAGGAAACGTGTCTCTTTTGGTGAGAATGTCTTTGCTTCCCCTTTGTTATTGAGCGAGTCTTGATCCGGCGACTTCAAACAAAAACCTCTAAAACCAATGTCTCTTGTGAATTTTTGAAATATGGTTTCTTTCTTTAGCTTAAGATAAGAGTCTCTTCCACTCAGCCATCCGGTTGCATCCAGAACCTCGAACCTACAAGCCTACTCCTCCTTCTAGAAGTTATCAAAAACACACATTTGCGACCAATCAATTGTCATTGAAATTCCGCCACCCAATAATTTGACTGCCAAGCATGGGAACATTCTCCAAGACAGCGTCAGGATTTATAAAGAAATATCGCCATGATCTGATAGCGCTCCTCTTTCTTGCTTTTATAATTTCTTACAACTATCGACTGGTTCTGTCTTATTGCGCTTACCACGAAAAGTATAGCGATGCGGGGATCTGGTCCTACTTTGGTGGTGAGCTATATACTCTAGCTTTTATGATGATTATCAACGATATCAACATCCAAAGAGTCGCGATCGCGAAATCACCATCTAGATTGCTGCGAACACTTTCAACCATAGTCAACACTCCACTCGATATCCTCGACGTTTGCTGGCGCAAGCTCATTCAGGGTTTCAAGTGGATCATTTCCACATTCGTTGGCTACTTTGCAAAGTTCTCCGTGATCGCCTTAGTACTGTTAATATTTATCATAGTACAGTGGTATGTGACCGTACCGGCGTTGTTACTTATAAAACTTTTCGCTGTTTATTGGGCTATGAACTCAACCTGGTATCAATTGTCCTGAGGGTTATGTACTATTACTGTATTATAATATTTTGGGATGTAAGTAGCCCAATTCGATTCGCAATGTTCTGCGCTAACATCATCTAGATTATAATTTGCCTTTCGACAGCACTTGAGGAATTCTGGAAGTTTATGCATGGAGAGGTCAACCATGTCTCAATGGTTCCAGTGCTTAGCGGGTTTGTTAGGATCATCACGATTGTGCGAGGTGACCCGTTTTATTTTGCAGAGAATTAGGAACAGTTGAGAACATCATGGGAAGACTAGAGGAGGAAAAGAAAGTTGCCGTGTGCTGTCGGACATATAATATATACTAAGAGAGGCGGCGTGGGAAACCACGTGAAGGCTCGTGTTCAGATATCCAAACTAACATCTTTCACAATGAATGAGATTGGTGAAAGATACTCCAAATCAATTGACGCTCAATCCTCTATTCCAAAGCGCTGAAAATCTCCAAGTCAAGAACATCGAGAGCTTGCGCGTGAACCCCCACTTTCCTAATCGAGCGATCCCAATCTACCCCGCCTCCAACATCTCATCTCACCCCGTCCATCCTCGTGAACCACGACCACAAACCTCGACATGGCCCCTAAATTCACCGTAATCGTTGGCATCACAGGCAATCAAGGCGGTTCCGTCGCTAACACCTTTCTCTCTGACCCTGCCTACCGAATCCGAGGAATATCTCGCAACCCGTCTTCTGCAGCCGCCAAGAAACTTGCAGAGCAAGGGGTTGAGATTGTGAAGGCTGATTTGGATGATCCGGAGAGTCTTGAGAAAGCGTTTGAGGGCGCAAATTTGATTTTTAGTGTGACGAATTATTGGGAGCCGTTTTTTAGACCGGATTGCAGGGCGTTGGCGAAGGAAAAGGGGATGAGCTGTAGGGAATTCGCTTATGAGGTTGAGTACCGTAAGTGAGGGGATTTTTTGCTCTGACGAAATTTTTCGATTGAGGATGAAATCCATGGTCAAAGTACTTCAAATCTTTTCGATCATCGAAATTAAAGGTGTTCAAAAATCGGCATTTTCGCCAACAATAGCTCTGGACACGAACATTTCGAGAAATACCAGCTAACAGAACCACAAGGACAAGGAAAAAACATAGCCGACGCAGCAGCAAAAGTTGTCTCAAGTCTAGACAACAATGGCTTCATCGCAAGCACGCTAAGCCATGCCGGAAAATGCAGCAAAGGGAAATACAAAGATCTCTACCATTTCGACGCCAAAGCCGACATCTTTCCCGATTATGTGGTACGTTTTCCTCTCCTATCTCACCCGCGCCATCTCATCACACTATCAACCTCAACTTCTACCTATCCAAAAACAAATCCCACTGACTTCACCCCCAGAACAAAACCCACCCCGCCCTAGCAAAGAAATCCAGCTACATCCAAACCGGCTACTTCACAAGCAGCTACAAACTAGCCCCAAACTCCTACTTCAAAAAGGTCCCTCCCCCATCCCCTTCTTTCCTTCCCCCACCCACCTAACACCACCCAGCTCCCCTCAGGAACCTACGAAACCTCCTTCCCAACCCCACCCCACACCCCCGTCCCGCACCTCTCCGTCCGCACCTCCACCGGCCCCTTCGTCTCGGCCGTCTCCCGCATGCCGCCCGGACACGCCTACATGTGCGAAGGGACGACTTGTTCGTGGAGCGAGTACATGGCGCATTGGTCCGAGGTCACGGGAAAGGAGGGGAGGTATCGACAGTGTAGCCTAAGGGAGTTTGTGGAGGCGAATCATGAGGATGAGATGTTTGGGGTGGAGGCCGGGGTGATGTTTGAGTATAGTGGGGAGGTGGGGTATGATGGGGGAGACGAAGGGTTGGTGAGGAAGGAGGATTTGTGGGGGAGGGGGTTAAGGTTTGAGATGGTTGGGTTGAGGGAGTGGATGGAGGGGGAGGATTGGGGGTCTGTTTTGGGTCGATAAATGACTATCAGGGGGCGAGTGACGACATTTTGATGGTATCATGTTGGACGTGTGAAGTAGTTTGAAATTATGCCGTACATAAAGTTGTTCTGAAGGACTGAGGGTTGTTCGAGCTCATCAAATTGAATGAAACGAGTGTTTGTGAGATTCGAATCAAGTCAGAGATCACATCTTGACTTTCGGATTAAGCTCCTTGTCGTCCCTTGGGTGTTCGGCATAGTGATAGAAGCACGCTTCTGTGAGGCTGTCAGTTACGTTGAGATGCAGATTAAAGAACTTCAAGTGAGGTGGCGATGGGCTATCACGCACATGCCTGAGGTCCCTAGTGGAAGAAACGTTCAGAGAGTGCGAGGTGTTCGTCTGAGGATCAATGCGGATTTGGCTTGGGGCTATTCAACTTTTCAACTGTAGAGAGAGTTCAATTGCCCTGTCGCACTTCGTTGCTCAGTAGTGTCAAGTCACGTGGCACATGAAGTTTGGTCGTGTGTCTTGATTGATTGTTACGCTTCCTCGAAGCAGAGAGCATGATATGAAGCTAGACTAAGCACATACTTGAGATACATTCTACGACATCTTCCCGAAGCATAGCAACATGAAGCAAAAATGATGCAGGTGCCGACATCGACAAACTCTGAGTCCAAGCAAACAAACAATGCGACCTAGACAGTGCTTCTTCAGAGCTTCCTAGCAGTGAGAGTAGCGTATCAATCCATTATGATTGCTCTAGCAACTGAGCAGGCCTCAACAATGGAAACCAAACATGCTAGAAGTCATGCCACCCCAAGGCATACCTTGATCTTTGTACCAGAACACTTGATTTGAGGACCACATGAGCCTCTGTCCAGCGTACCAGGCGTCATCAGCAGTTATCATGAGATTTGGAACGTATGGATTGTCTGGCACAGTGACCTCAACTGTCCATCGGAGCTCTGAATCAATCGACACGTGTTCTGTACCGTGTAGTCAGTATTGAGAATCTAACATTGCAGAATATAGGCCACGCACCACCCAGATTTGCCCAGATCACTCCACTGATCTCTGTGCACCATGGATCAAAGACCTCCAGCTTGACGCTGTACCAGTTGTTGTTGACCAATATGGATTCCTGGTAGTACATTGTCATGCGCAGCTGGCATAGATTAGGATTGAGTGCCGGCTCGCAGTTGACCATACCGGTGGAGGGATCGGTCGAGAAGGTAGATGCCGGAGTGAAGAGACTCTAGAGAAGAGTCAAGAGGATAGTGAAGGTAGACATGACACCGGTGTTGGACATGTTGAAGAGAGTAATTGGTTGTTGACGAGGCTGTGTGACGCGTTGTGTATCTATAAAGTCAGGATATTGATCTCTAATTGGTCAGATGGAATGCAAAGAGAAGTGGTATATACTTCGAGACCTTTGATGATCGTCGGAAGTCTTGAAGGCCGTGGGAGGCGCGCTTTGGGATGGTTGAACGTGAGCTGAGATGACGCTGCAGGATGTCGGAAGAATTCAGACGAGTCTAGAGATGGGAAATCAGTTCGTCATGCTGTAGTATTGGAAGATATGAACTTACTCAATTGGCAGGTGTGCTGAGAAGAACCTTGCTGATCTGACCGTGGCGGTGGAAATTGAGGTGGACTTGTTGAGGAGAGAGACAGAGATTGAACGGAAGAGAAGGATTGAAAGGAAAAGAAGTTCTCATGTAGGCAGAGCGGAGCCTATTTCGCTTGTGACTCGATTCCATGATCCGATGATCCGACTTTGCTGCTGCTGAGGGAAAGAGCAGAGATGTGAAGACCGAAAACGGAAGTCACGCTCAGCACCCGAGCTGAGATGTTCGACTCCGCCTTGTCCATTGGGTGTATTTGTTTTTTCAATCATAAATCAAGATACAGATTCTAAATGCGAAGTCAATGGAGCTACATTTATTGGACTGCATTTATTGGACTGCAAAAGCTTCTACCAGCAGAGATAAAACTGTACGACGGAAGAGGGGTTGCAAGCACGTGAGATTATCCAGCTTACAACTCACGACTTGTACAGTTCCAAGAATGCTTCCATATGACAGGAAATACAAGATGTTACAGCTTAAGTAAAGAACACTTGTGCAAGAAGCTAAGAATGAGGTAAAGTGTGGAATAGCTTCAGACATTCACGTGCCTCGAGTGATCTCGTCCAGTGGAGAGTCAGGCCGAATTGCTCGACTAGACTGAGGCGGATAAAGCTCACAGTCCAATACTACAGGTCCACAGTAATTGTGTAGTTACTTTGTCACGGCAAGTAACATTTGTACGCTGTTGCCAAAACAGATCTCTCTTGTCCCAGCACCAAGGACGACGACAAGCAGAGGATGGACCATACTGTTGACAATTTGCGAGAAGATACGATGGAGGACTCTTTACAATGATGGAAACCTTTGTGTCTACAAACATCAGCCAAAAAAGCATCCAATGCAAAAATACTAATGCGCACGGGAATAACGAGGCTGGTAGTGGGGAAGTCGTCCTCCAAGACACTTGTATCAAGATACTGCACAATACATTCTTGCTTGGTCCTAAACTTCATTACATAATAACCCCAGCCAGGATCATCCTGATTTTAAAACCTCGCCGAGACTTCTCGGCCCGAACTCATCACGATCACAAACTCTCGGCATATCTCTCTCGGCATCATGAAGCAGTAACACGGAAATAAATCACAAGAAGGGTTTGCATTAAATGACCAGAACTCCATTACACACGTCGAGCAACCTTGGGTATAAAAACAATCCAGCAAAAAAATATGCGCCAAGTCGACCGCCAAGCTCCCAAGACCGTTCCGTCTCCGTACCAAGGATTATGAATCGTCGCATCATCATTTTTCCAAGACAATCCCGTCGTGAATTTCTTCGTGTTCCGGGTCTTGGCATATTGGTTTCCAAGCTTCGTAATAGACGGGATGCGCACTCGATCGCGCGTTCTTGAATGCCGTTCGATCGTAGCTTTTGCTATGGGGAGATCTGTGCTCCATCGTAATGTATGAGGCCTTCAGAGCTTCTATTTCATCTGCTCGCAGATGTTCAATAGGTGCAATGTCGTATCGCGACGGATGGGATTCGTAGAGGGGTCGCTGCAGCGTAACGTTTGCAAGATCGCAATAGCATAATTCGTAAGCTTCGAGGTGAGATATGGCGGATCGAATAGTGCCTCGAAGGAGGAATCAACTGTTCACTCGTCAGCATTGCTGTCCCCAACGTCCGTCACACCGCAGACCTACCTCTCAGCAACCTTGCAACGCAAATGCTTCTCTCCCCTCCTCAAGTCAACACAACAGCCAACGACACCGCCAACGAGATCCCCAACACCACGCACAAGACAATGATAGCCCACATGCAAGTCTTGCTGCACAATACCGACCTCTTCTTCTCCTTATACACCACCGGCATCGGGAGTCCCTCCTGGTATTTCGGCTCCGAAGACACGTAGACCAACGTCCGTTCGCTGGTTGGACTGCCCGCCATATGAGCCCTTGGAAGTTCCTTCAAAGGACGAAAGTCCGACATCTTATCGTCCCTCTCCAACTTATCGCGTCGTAGCGCTTCTATATGCGGCGTGTGCTATAAGCAATATCGCGATCCCCAAGCAGATTTTCCTTGTGTTACGACGATGCTCTGGATCTGCAGTCGATGATAGTCGTTGGACAGAGGGAGGAGAGCAGACTCTTTTGTGCTCTTGCCCAGGAATTTCCTTCTGTCATTGTGACATTATCCGGGACCTTGGCAAGCCTTGGGCGAGCCTTGGTCTTTGAGGCATCACCGTAACTTGAGACATCGCTGTGTAGTCGTGAAGCTCTTGGCGGTGGTGGTAGGCGCCTTGGCGTTGCTGGGCATTCCGCGTGTTCCTTGGGAGGAGCTGTGAGTGGAAGGCGAGTGATTGGCGTAGATTGGAGTCTCTTGGTAGGAGGCGGAGGGAGGAGGGGAGGTGGAAATAAGATGATAGGAAGACTCGGCGGTGTTTGAAGGAGGTTTGGCGTTGTCACATGACTATGTCTGCGGCATGAGGTTGGATGGACGATTCTTGTGATGGCATACTCTTGGAGTAAATGTTTGATTAAATATGCCCAGTCTTGTCTTTCTTGTCTGGATTCTAGGCAATATGAGCACTTTATTAGGTAACTTGAAGGGGATATACACGTGACCTTTCGATCAGGTTAGGCTTCCAAGGTTTCTGTTGCACATCGCCCTTGAAAGTTGAATAATCCTAGGCTTACTTACTACTTACTGTATCATGTAAATATCGTACTGCCAAAGGTATATATGCATGATATTTAGCAGGAACGGCACACGATGAAGACTTCTTTTTGTTGTACATCGTTGTCAGAGGGTACATGAGTTCAACGATGCTCATCTAAATTGACTCATCTGTGACTAATTTATCGTGACATATAGGATGTGGCGCTATATAAACTGTGTGAAGCCTAGCTATACCTTCATACGATGACTAAACAAGTGCCTGCCTCGTTGTAGAACGGCTGGGGTATAAACAACGACTTGTTTGAAATGCAGTGTTAGTGAATCTAACAATTTTGTCTCTATTTATGAACCGTGAAGGTTGTTCCATAAGACAAAGCATTTATGGTGTGGGTTAGCTAAGCTGTTGACCCCGATCCGCTATAAAACATAGTAAAGTCTGATTTACCTAAAATTTATACTTTCACCTGAACATCAGAAGCGACATTGACATATGATAAATCCAATTGCACGTAAGTGCGAATGTCAGACGATGCATCGGTACTTTGGAGTAGGATACAAGAATGACACAAGACGAAGTGGAAACAGAATATCACAAGAATCATGAACAGCCAGAGTAAAAAGGATAGCATCTGCATTATTAGACTCTTGATACAGCGCAAAGGAATGTCATTTTCTCATAAAATACAGAGTCTCCACTTTTCGCTCCCCGAACGCACTAGGACTACCACAGACTAAAAAGGAAACTCCACCACCTCCTCCCATCTCTACATTCCCATTCCCCCTCGACCGATCTTTCAATCAACTCACACGCCCCCACCGGAGCAGTGACGACTGATTTATGCACGGAACTTAGCACCGACAAGCTCACGCTTCTCAGCAGTGGTGTTGGCGGCGGAGGTAGAAGCGCCACCAGCCATTTGCAGGGCCATGACACCACCGAAAGGTCCGGCACCTGATGGGTTGACGATCTTGACGAGGCAGACACCACTCTGGCCACCGACGGTACCGGTGCAGGAGGTGCCAGCTGGGACGGTAGCAGCGAATGGGTAGTCCTCGTTGACGTTGGAGGCACGCTTCATGATACCCATGCTGACGAGCATGCGGGGGATGAATCGGCGTTGCTTGGGAGCGGCGATGTTACCGTTCTTGCCTGGGACTTGTTGGGTGACGGCGAGCTTGGTACCGGTGGAGAATGCTCCAGTGCCGGTGGTGTCGAGGACAGCGGTGTATGGGCCGGCACCGTCGGTGGTGACAATGTGCATTGTGCCGGAGATGGATCCACCGTTGCTGACTTGAGCGAGGGTGGTTCCGGATTGTGCCATGACTGCGGACATGCCGGCGAGGGTGTTGGGGCCAGCCTTGGTCTTTCCGAGACCGTCGGTCATGGCGTTCTTGCTCTGGAAGACGGTGGTGTCGACTTCGGTTTGCTTGTTGGTTCCAGCACCTGGGATGACACCTCCCTGGATACCGAGACCAGTGGTGTTTCCACCGGCATCACCAGTCTAGTAAGCATGTTAGTTGAAGAAATGAGATGATTGAACCCAATGAGACTTACCATGACTGCGATCTTGCCATGGGCGGCGACCAATGGGGATGCTGCGAGAGCAAGGATGAAGAGCTTGGAGAACATGTTGATTGTGGGGAGATGTCTAAAATAGAACTAAAAATTGTTTGTAATAAAGACTGAAAGCGGTTACGAGTCAATCGTAAGCGGCTGAAGAAGTGAAAAGAATAGGCTGAAAGTGAAGTAAACTGAGGAACTGTTGATCGCTGATGCTGTTCAATGAGAGGGACTTTGAGCTGTATTAATACTTTTCCACTCACTGCTGCTGGGTACAGAGTTCGTGATGTTTCGGCCATTGACAAGGACCAGACCTCAACAACAGCCATCAGTGGACATCAAAAACATGCCAAGAACAATCACAACCATCAGTGAAAATCATAAACATGCCAAGAACGCTGTGAGGTTCCATGATTGAGACGATGCTCATGCGTACAGTCAAGAGAAACTGCAAGTCATGTTGGAGAGACAGCTGATTGGCCAGTGAAAGGTTATTGGACCATGAAGGCGGTCACCGTTCTATGGCTCAAACAACAGGTCGCTTGTCAGAAAGGCGTTTCCAAAGGAGAAGACCTTGAGCTTGAACAGAGAAGCGAGTATAACCAAGACTGAAGAGGCTAAGCGCGAGAGACCAGTCCAGATGTAGAGGAGGATTATCGAAACGGAATGCGGAGAAGTATCTGATCCGCCAGGGATTAGGACATGCTTAGTAGGGCGATCAATCAGATCACCTCGTAACCTTGCAGATTCAAACTGATTTTCTCAAGGATGAAGTGCTTTCGCAAAGTTTATGATTGGATGTTGGTGAGGCATAGTGTCAAACAGCCCGGGCATTTGGTCTGTGCATGTTTCCAAACATGAGCCAAGCGACACAAGGATTTTTGCCAAGAGAAGTAAGACGAGACACAAGTGATCTCTTCGAGCTGCCCAAAAGTTTTACGTCCGAAACATTTTGCCGGCTTTGCTCTGCCAAAGCAGCTCGAAGGATTTGCGATGAGTTCCATATGACAGAATGCATGAGGCTTCAAGGTGGAACATAAATGACCCGAAGGGAAAAATTAACGTTCGAAGCAATTGACAAGGCTTCATTTGAAGAACGACAAGGCCATTGGCCACAATGAGGCAACCTTGGAACCTGTCAACACTGGTGGTAAAGTTAAGCATCGCCAACCAACCTGCTCATGCGCCTTTGCCGCTGCGTGGCCGTCGATTACCCACTGTTTCGCACGCGAACGCCAATGGGTTGACTCTTCAACAAGGGCAGTCGGCACATCATGCAGCGGGATCCAGGATCCATGTGTCGATTATTCTTGCGCCTCTTGTAGATCACAGATTAACTCTAACCGCGCCTCCGTCTCTGTCACACTGTCGCAATGATCGCAAGAGAAAGCTGTTTAGGACCTTGACCCCCGTGTTTTAATTTTAAGCGAGATCCCACAACAAAACACGAACCGCGGGGAGGCTGGTTGTGGCGTGGATCAGAAGATCATGCAGTGAGTAAAGATCCAAAGCTTCCGAGGCATGGCAAATGGTAATGCCGGCAATGGTACGAGGTGGAGGTGGCTGAGCGTTCATGAAGGCGGAAGAGAGACCTCGGGATGTTCAGACTGTTTCAGTTCTGTAGCCTCAATCACGTGCTCTCTTAGACTTGGTAGAATCCGAACTAGTTTAGTCTCTCAGTCTCATGAATTGGAGGTGTCAGAGCGGTTGACATGCCGTTAGCCGATATAGATTCCCCACTGAACGTTGATGCGAAGATAAACCCTACTTGTATTGCGAAGTATCGACACAGCTTTATTGTTCCACGATGTTTCCGGCAAGGAAGGCAATGCAGCGTAGTCATTCCCTCCGCTCAACGGCAGTTGCTGTTGTTGAATGCCAAGTTGTCTGAGTATCTAACTCGTAAGTATGCATCTCAGGGGTTTCTCTGCTTCAATGTTCCTTTGATAGCTTTTGTGAATCATCCTCTTCTTCGTTTCTTCGACGAATCTATCTTCCCCAGCAACGACTTGATTTACCAAGTCTTACTATCAAGTCGTGCTTGACGATATCACTCCTCGTATCAGCGAACACACATGGCGGCATCTTCGCCGAAATTGGACAATATCGAGCCGTCTTCCTTTAGCATACTTCCAATCCAATTTCGTCCTCCTTCCACTGTACGAGCACCAAATTTGACGACAATACACCCGCGAACCTTGGCAGCTGACCATAACACTCCATCTTCCTTCTCTTGGTTCAGACGTGAGTATCTCCAAGCTTCCTCCCGCGAGATGCCAATTTGGTCATCTTTCTGCTTTCGATCTTGCGACCGGAAGTCTCGCGCTCCTATTCGAGGTAAAGCAGCAAACTCGGACATGAAGAACGCGGCCAGAGTCTCCACCAGAGGGCCTCGTAGAACCAGAGTCCCAAATATTCCCATGCCGTTCATCTTCTTCCGCAAATCTTGAATACTCGAATCAAGGCTTTCTCGTTCGAGAATAACATTATCCCGAAGTAGAAGCCGTGCTTTGCATTTTGATTGCGGTGCTGACCAGACTTCATTTCGACCACTCCAGGCACGCAGGTCCCAGTCTTCCCCACGAGCTGTTCGACCAGCTGAAACCCAATCTAAGAGACAGAGGCTACCGCCTTCAGTAACGTAGAACTTCTGAGACTGTTCATAAACACTGCCTTCGAATGGTTGGACAGGATCCGGAAGCAAACAAACTGCAGCACCATCTTGAATGGTCACGTGGAGGCTTTGACGTGTAATGACTTGTCGAGTAGGTGATTTGAAGATCTTCGTATGTCCTTGTGTGACAATACTGAGCCTAGCCTTCTGCTTCACGTCAATAGTCAGATTGACTTGGTCTCCACCAACGAGTCCGCCGCCATATGTAAGGAGGAAGACTAGGACACTCTTCTGAGCAGCGGATGGTGACGGAGATATAAGCTTGAGTGGATACTGGAACGTAATCGTAGACAAAGCCGATACACTGTGAGGTAGCAATTGCACCACCAGACGTCCTTCTCCAGGTGCAGAGGAAGACAGAGGAAACGGGGATGTCATGAAGCCTGTCGTCGTCGCATCATTCTCGTAAAAGCAAGCACTTTGGGTGGAGACAATTAATATTGAGTTCCGTCCCAAGAAAACCAAGAGAAGAATGTCTGTCAGCTCGTCTGATATCCGAGGAGAACTGAAAGTTTATCAAGTGATATCGATAATTAAAACGGCAGCCTAAGGCTACAACAGCGCTAGGCTTCTTTCGTAAACCACACGATCGACGATCGCGAGTCGCGAATTGAATCAACATAACCATTATCTTCAACGCGACACAACAACTCCGACTACCTCTGAACATCATTTTCTCAGTCGCGTCAAATGTATCAATGACTACTCCGAGAACGCCGCTCATGGATATCTCCAATAACGACGTGGCGAGCACTCCAGGCGCGACTGCAAGTCGGCGTAAGTCAGGACGCGCCGTGAAGGTTCCCGAAAAGTTTGTCCCAGATGTGCCATCGTCGCAGCCAGGCCCTGCGAGCGCGAAGAGAAAGCGGGGAGAAGATGATGCCGAGAACGACGCGTCCGACATAGAAGACGACGAGGATGAAGAAATTGAGGACGAGGAAGAAGAGAGCGCAGCAGAAGAAGAAATAAAGGAAACCAAGAAGAAATCGAAGAAACCAGCGAGGAAACCTGCTGCCAAAAAGCCCAGAGTCAATGGCACGACATCGCATGAGGTGGCGCCTCCTGTAAGACTTCCAGCTCGACCGAAGAAGACGAAGCAGGTCGCGATCGCGGACAAAGATACAGGAGGACTCTATGGTAAGGGATAATCTGCCAATAATGAAGCACAATGCTGATTGTCTTATAGCGGATGTGTACACAAGCGGACTATCTTCAGACGATGTTGCGGGGCAATGGCACAGCAGACTGGCAGAGGATAGCCCTACCGCAATGGTTGAGCTTGTCAATTTCTTGCTTCTAAGTGCAGGCTGCACTCTCGAGGTCACACGAGACGATATAGATGATGTTGATAATGTTGATGCAAAAGTGGGAGATCTGCAAGAAGAGTACCAAGCAGTGAGTTTTGATTTTGATCTGCCATCCCCCAAGACTAACACAGAACAGCAAAACATCACAGATTACCCTCTAATTAAAGCTCGAAGTAGCCATCACTTCCGAGAGTGCCTTATCAACTTCTTCGACAGCCTGCTGGATGCGATACATGAATCCAAGATTATGTACACGGAGACTGCGCTGATGGAGAACATCCATTCATGGCTCATTGTTATGTCATCTTCCCCTTCACGACCCTTTCGTCACACCGCAACTATCGCAGCACTTGCGATGACCAGCGCAATGTGCCGAGTGGCAAATGAGCAGATTGAGGTTGCAGCGAAGGTTCAGCGACAACTTGAGTCGGAAAAGAAAAACAAGAGACCAAACAAAGCTAGGGTGTCCGAATTCCAGAGCAAGGTAAACGAGAACGAGCACCAAAAGGCTGTTCTTGAGCACCGAATTATGGACTTCTTTGAGGGCGTCTACGTGCACAGATATCGCGATGTGGATTCAAAAATTCGTCTCGAATGCTGTGAGTCTCTAGGAGACTGGATTTTGACACTCGAAAGTGTGTTTTTTGAAGGACAGTACCTACGATACATGGGATGGATGTTGTCGGATACTCACGGACCAATGCGACAAGAGGTCATCAAGCAATTGCAGGCCATCATGAAAGACCTCAATGCTGGTGGCATGCGACATTTTATTGAGCGATTTCGTCCTCGACTAGTTGAGATTGCCACGCGTGATTCTGAATCTACGGTACGAGCTTCCGCGGTTGAGTTGATGGACTCCATCAGAAAGGCTGGGATGCTCGAGCCCGATGATATCGACGTTATCGGCAAGCTCATATTTGATTCTGACCCAAGAGTCAGAAAGGCTGTGGTGCCATTCTTCGCAGAAAGCATCAATGATCTATATGATTCGAAGGTCGAGGATCTTGGTGGCAATGAGTTCCTCGAAGAACATTTAGCTGTCGAAGACGAAGAAGATTATGACACACCTCGGCGTGAATGGATCCAGCTAAAGTGTTTGTCGGAAAACTTGTTGAGCTATGACATTCAAGACCAGGACGAGATGCCCAGCCAAATTGATTCTGCCGACTTCTTGAACGTTTCTGGATCGGAGTCAAGGTTCACTCTTGCTGCTCAAGCGCTCTACGAGAAAGTCCCCGTCCTCAAGAATTGGGAGCTTCTTGCAGGTTACCTTCTTTTCGACCATACTTCAGAAGCTGCTTCTACCGATGCTGAGGCAGAATTGAGAGCGAGCTTCAAGCCCGATGAAAAAGAGGAGCTTATTCTCTTAGAAGCATTGAACGCAGTGGTGAAATTGGGATTGTCAGACGCCGAAGAAGCTGACAAGGAGAAAGCGAGAAAGAAGCACGCTCGACGAGACAATCACGACGCAAGAGAAGCTGCGGCGCGACGATTAGCTGGTCTCATTCCGCCATTGTTGAAGAAGTACGGTGCAGATCCGAAGACGGCTACCGTCGTACTTAGACTTGAGCATGTACTGAATCTGAACGTCTTCCAAGAGCTACGACAGGATTCGACAGTTTATGCCAAACTACTGGATGAGATCAGCGCGCAATTCAATAGCCATGCAGACAAGGGTGTTCTGAACGAAGCAGGTGCGGCGCTTCTTCACGCACGTGGTTACGAAGAACTTGAGGAAGTGGCTGATAGCAAGGTTCAATCTCTTTGGGAAGATACCACGAGTGTTCTTCGAAAAATCAATAAAGCCGGCGAGATATCTGCCCGTGGCACACTCAGCATCAAGATTCTTACGGAACTTTCTCATAACTTGGCTCGCTTAGAGCAGCTTGCAAGCATTTCGAGTTGCGTTGAAGCTCTCGAGGCCGAGGGGGCCAAGGAATCGACGCTTCCTATCGTCATACTTCTTGATATCATCGCTCGTGGGGTCTTTGAAGACTCAACCGATGAAGCTCGCGAAAATTTGGAAGACGAAATCGTTCTGTCCGCAATTCGATCTGGCATGTTCTACTTTATGTGGAAAGTTCGTTCCATCACTGAGGCTGTCGAATCCGGCGAAGAGATAACAGATCTGGATATTGATCATCTGAAAGAGTGGCAAGACCTGTTCACTACAAACCTGATCGCATCCTTTTCTTCTCGGTCGACCCTAGACACCGTTCGGCTGGTCGGCGCTGGAACTTTCCTCGATTTACACGTGCTCTTTGCCACCCTGAGACCTACCAAGCAGCCAAAAGGAAAGAAGAGCCAGTCAGAGCAAGCCTCCGAGGAAAATCCCTATCTACAAAGTCTTGTCAAGGAGGTCGGGCCCGAAGTTCAAACAGAGCTCGCTTCTATTTTCGACGGATTAGAAAAGCAATTCGCCAAGAAATCGAAAAAGAAGCTTGCGGACCCCAGTGATGACGAAGCTCCCGAAGACCTAGAATCAGAATCTGAAGAGGAAGAAGATGACGAGGTTACCGACAGCGAGCGGCAAGCAGAGACCTTGAGAGCCGAGCAACAGCTGTGCGAGTTGTCCGGCAAACTTGTTCTTGCTATCCTCGCACAAGTGATTGACGCCTCAGGTGACCTGAAGGGCAAGCTCCGATCGAGACTTCAGCGGAATCGACAACGACTTGGTCCAAATTTCAAGGAAGTCGTCGCATATCTGGATGAGCCAAAATCCAAGGCCAAGAAGGGCAGCAGAAGCAAATCGCAGTCAGCTGATCCCAAGAAGAAAGCAGTACCAGCAAAGAGTGCCGAGCGGGTAGAGGAGGAAGAGGAAGAGGATGATCCGTTCGCGGATGTCGAACCTGAGGAAGGCACAGTTGAGGACCTCCGTCGAAGAGAAATTCTCGACGAAGAGCTAGAAGGCGGAGGTGAAGAGAATGGAGAAGAGGAGGGCGGTGGTGCTGATGATGATGACGACGACGTGATGGGAGATTAGGCGATCTGATTGAACAAAATTATGGTTGTAGGAATAGTGTGGGACTGAAATGCTTGCGGAGCTTGGCTTACATACTACCACGGTACTTGGTTGCATTGTCTGCGCGGAACGTGATTGCGTTCGTGAGCTTGTTTATGTTTATGGTATGAGGTGCATTGGCTAATGACGGAGATTAGCTTTTGTCCATAACATGAATCTATATTCTGCACACTTGATTGTTGTGGTGAAATACCGTTCTTGATATTTTTGGGTGATTGCGAAGTATTTCTTATATATATACCCATGTGGGCACTCGAAAAAGAGAGAGAGAGAACCCATGTCTTGTACTGCTAGGAACAACAGAAGCTAGGCTTCCAAATCAACGTTCCCAAGCTGGGAGCTCCAGGGTCACCCATGTGAGGCCCCGTACAAATCAGCAGTCCCCCACATGAGACTATCATCCCTTTTCGATTGACTGACGATGGCTCTGACATTGTGTGTGTTGAATAAATGGTTATTTCTAGATTACCTCAAGAAGTCCAGATACAAAATAAGCAGGTCCTTCCAACCTCTCTGTTCCATCTTCTTGAACACATTCCTCGTTATTCATCATCGTTAAAGATTACTCCGGTGCTGATGCGAATCCACACGATTCTCGATTCCGGCTCAAACAACCTCCGTGCCAAAACTTTCGATTTGAGTTTCCCCATACCCCCCTTCTGATTCCGGTTTCACATCTCGTCTCGATCCATATGAAGGTCTTCGTGGATGAAGTATGTGTCCCTGTCTTTGGTCCTGTTTGGATATAGATGGGGCTATATTGGAGATCCCCGATATGGATGGGATGCCAAAGTCGTTTGCTCGAGAACGAGATGTTTTTGGTTTTCGATCTGTGAGTGGCTTTACGCCTCTACGGTGAATGGGGAAGTTTGCCTTCTAGCTAGAGAGTAGCTCGGACATCTTGATTGCCTTTCAAGTGTTCTCGAGGTTTTGTTTCCTGATATCTTTTCAAATCTCTTGTGGGCCAAATACGCTGGTCCTAGCGGGTCGGTCCGCAAGACCAGCACTGTTTCGGCATGGTGTAGGCTCGTAGTTAGAAATAAGTTTAGCTTTTCAACTTTAATACGTCTACATTGGTTTCTGAACTGGGATCTGTTGAAACTTTATTTCGTTGTCTCGTTCTGGTCAGATTTTTACATTGTCTCTTACCGTGTGTTCTGTTTGCATTTCTGCTTCTTAAGTTCCCAATACTGTGTCAAGATATTTATCGTCCTTTATATCAGTTCTGTTGTTTTTTCTAGCACTATTCCTCAGCCCGAAAGTACTACGGCCGATGTCCTTGCAGTGTACATCATTCCAATCACGTGAAGCATAGGCGCATGGAATTACATGCCTTCCAAACTGGCTGTACTGTGCTCTAATTAATTTCACTATCAGACGCCTAAGATATCTTGGTTCTGAGAATACTTCACCATTTTGTAGTGATCTCGGCATCATATTGCGTGGTTCAGCTAGCATTCGGAACATAGATGCACGACGCAAACATAACTTTTGAGATGTAAAACTTCTCATATATATTCCCGGCAAGGTTATATCCTCTATTTTTAGGGTAACTCAAAGTTCTATGTTTCCAGGAGCGAAACATCGTTCATCGATGTCACGATGTGCTACAATGTCACTTAATGGCTCCTTCCTTCATATAGAACCAATGAAATCAATCACAATATCTTCTCCCATGCTTTCATAACCTTCTTCCTGAACTTTCTCTCTGACTCACATCAACATCTTTGGAAGATCAGACATCCGTATTCTCTGCCATGGATAATTCCTCTTGGATCAGTAGAAAGTTCTGATGATCACACTCTCCGCTATTGACAATAGACTCGGGACGGGCTTTTGGTATGTGCGTTAGCTACTGTAGACATCCCTGTCAAATCTCACACTCTCTCAAGGGTAGCCGGTCGAGAATCCAATCCACGCCCGGAATAGCAGGGGCGATGCGTCACTTTGCAAATTCGTCTCGTCGATGGCTCTCACGGCAGCTGCAAGTGGTCTGATAATGAAATTATATTCTCTGCTCTTGTTCTTGCCCTGCTCAGTCCAAAAAGAATTGTTAGGAGGAGTCTGCGTGTGTGTGTGTGTGTATGGTCTTCCTGATCACGTGCACTGAAATGTATCAACAAGCTCTGTTTACCAGGTTCTTCGAGATAAACTGTTATACAATCGAGGGTCTTCATACAGTTGAAATTATGAGTTTGTACATTTGTACAATTTGTACAGCTTTCAACAGTTTGTGTGTGCGACGTATGGTAAAGTAGCGACTCCCTCCATCCCTCACTGGCTTGCGTGTGACTCTTTTCCCACCGTCATTGCTTTCTCTGTTATTCTAGGCTATTCTCCTCTCGACTTAGAATGCTGACGTTCCTGGAGTCATTGCTATAGCGTGGGTAAGGTGTTGAAGCTTGTGGTGTTTTTACTTTCTCGCTTAGCCTTAACGAGAAAGGGGTAAACTTTATTTGAGCCTCCACGCACCCCGAATATGTTGAATGCAACTCAACCACTGAGCAAAACATCTGAAAAGTTATAGTATTGCTACAGCTGCCTGTTGAATTTCCATAAACGCTTCTTCAAATGTTCACATCAAATGCACCGTGATACCGTCCAAGTGTTGTTGACATATTCGTCTATTCCATCGTGATGAGAGCATCCTAGCCACTATAGCTCCATAGTAGTCAGGCGCTGGATGGCACTTATAAAGTGAGTGAGCTTGTTGATCCAGGTAAAGCAAACAATGGAACCCATCAACAAGTGTCGACGACATCATGAAAACCTTTCCAGCACCATCAATAGTTCAGATTCTCATCTGGACCAAAGTAGTGCTCGCACAATGGCTTTCAGCTGTACTTATTCCCATCCTCGTAACATCTCTTGTTCCTTCATCTTACAACCTGCACGAATACTCATCAACACAACTCTCAACCAACAAAACGACCACTTTACAACTCAATCGAACGCATTCAATACTTATCTACTATCCCTCTACAACTATCTCAACCCAAAAAGACTTTACTTCATCCGGAATCTATTTATAACTCAACAAAATGTCTCGATGCCCGCCGGATTCATCATGGCCATCTTACAACGCCTCGAAAGACTGGGACGATGAATTCTTCAACGACGGCAAATTCAAGGACGAGGGCAAAATCTCCTGTTCAGAGAAGAATGTTGCCATTGGTAGCATTATCAAACTGAACCAACACAGTCTCAAACGCCACAAACTCTATCACGATAGAGTGGTCTGCGTTCATAAGGATTGCACAACTCGGCCCGAATTGGAGAAGATGTTTCAGCAGTAAGTTTAGACCTCAATACCCTTTCGATGTTGCATTGAGACTCTCGAAACCCAATTCCTCCAGAAGAAGACAGTATGCTAACTTACAATTTCTTGAAAGCCCAGCGGCCGTTCTGGATATTTGGAGAGAAAATGGGGATGATTGGGCTCTCGTCAGCATCGTAAGTGGCTCTTCCTCAGGATAGTGATCCAAAGAGACACTCATGGCCGTGTAACACTCTTCATGATCATTGTCCAATCTTACTTATCTATGACCAAGCGGATTGCTAACAATTGAGTAGATTTCCAGCAAAAAGCTGGCCTCGGAGGGTCAGGGTGCAAATCCTTTGACCCTAGATCGACCTTATGACAGAAAGTACCATCAAGATATGTACAATGGCGTGGATCCCAAAGACGTCATGCACCTTGAATACTTCGGCGGCACATTCGAAAGAGCATGTTGGTTCCAAACAAACCATGCCTGGAAAGTCATGCTTAGCATGACAATACCCTTCAAAAAGCTTATCTGGGCCAATCGTCTCACCAAAGCAAGCTACGAAACTCTCATGGATAGACTTCACTTGAGTCCAGCCTTTTGGGTCACAACCAAAGCCTTGTGGGTAAGAAGTCTCCGGGATCCTGCATTTTCAAAGTCCTGCCTCTCGTCGGACATACAAATTCAATCTCCGACTTCTCCAACACCCTCCAAGGCCTCAAGCTCTCCAAGCTCTGGATCTTCGCCGCTTCAAGATTCGCCACCACGGAAGCGAGGAAGAGAGGATTCATTTGATAAAGAATCACCGCCACCCGCCTCGAAGAAAGCGCGATCAGACAGCCAAGAGAAAGACAAGCATGAGTAAGTACACTGTCCTTCTCAGTGATAGACACTGTATTAACATTACCTTCAGTGAGAGACCAAGGAGTTACGCCCGACGTCGAACTACTTCTCCAGTTCCGCAAAACAGAGGCCGCGAGCTTATGTACGACTCGTATCGCCCAAGCGATAATTCATATAGAGCACGATCCCCTTCAAGGTACGTCCACAAATGGTGCATTCAGACTCTTGGACTAATGTGAACAGATATCGAAGAGAGCAAACGACCCGGGACGACAGAGACGGATCCAGTAGACGTCAAACATTCTACGAGGATAGAGAGCCAGAGCGTTTGCATCGTCGTCCAGTAATACAAACGGTGGAGCCCCCTTGAACTACGATGATTGAAAACTTCGACATTCGACATCACAGCAAAACTTCATTCAGAAAGTTCAATTTGCGCAATATCCTGATACATACAAGACAACAAAATGGATAACCTCTTTAACTTCGATATTGTATGGAATTTCGAGACAGGGACGCAACCTGGAAACTCTCCGAGTAAGTGTCCTCTCTTCAAAATGGCAGCTTCTCACTCACAATAGCACAGTGAACGAATAGACAACACAACGACATATTGCCGAGATCGAGAGGAAAGTATCGATCTACCGATACACGAACAGAAGAGAGAATGGTGGTGTTCCCTTGGGTCATGCAAGGAAGTGTGGCCTAAGGGAGAAAGGGATATGAACATGGGCATCATTTTGTTTCGCTTGCTTGTAGAAATTTTGTCATTCTCATGGACAGGCGGGAGTATACCTTTTCCCTCTTGATTCTTCAATTGCCATGAGGTTTTAACGGTACTCCGGGACTTCCGAGTTGTTTGTTTCTGGATTAGAGTTTCGAAAGTTTCAGTCTTTGGTCTCGCTTTTGTATTGAATAGAACGAATAAGTCATTGGGATGACCACATCTTTATTTACTCTACCAATTGTGCCTTACTCGATTTCTTTTTCGTTGTTTCGTCTTTTCTCATGATAAGATCCTTGTGTGAAGTGCGTGGCTAACTTGGGTGTCGCCATCAACCGACGAACCCTGAAATGTAGCGAGTTGGAGCTCGAACCCTGCCGAATTGAGAAATAGGGGAGTGCATGCAGACTTCAATACATTTCATCACCAAGATAGGGAGGTGGCTGACGCCTTTTGCGCCTCAATGTTTGAGATCTCCCGTTTCTCGAGTTCCAACATTCAGCTGCCGCCGGTGGCGCTAGCGAGGCGACAATCCTTTCGAGTGATAGGGAGCATTAGAGATTACTCTCATGCTGTGACTTCTGAGTATGCAATACTTCCCGTACTGCCCCTGAGAGCGAGATGAGGAAGTGGAATCTCGAGGGCTTATAAATAAGGGCGAGGGTTCACACAACATCCTTTCCATTGCAACTGAGAATCATTTTGCAAAGTCCTTCTCGATTTCAGTTGTTAATTTCACATTCTCGTACTCTAGACTTGCATCCATCGAACAATATGGATCGGTTCTTCGATAAAGCCAAGAAGGCCCTCGATTCAACAACTCATCTCATCGCTGAGAATCAGAATTTCCGGACAATGGATATCGCTCGATTTCGTGGCACAGGGCATTCTTCCCCGCATCACTCATCACCACCAGCTACTGCTCCTCATGAGTCTACAAACAGCCACAATCATGTCTCACAAGCGCTAACACCCTATCCTACCACAACTCCTCTACCTTACCCTCCATCACCGTCATCGACCGCACACCATGGCTCAAATATGAATTATCCTATTCAATCGCTACCTCCAGCGACTTCCAATGGCTCTAGCCCGTATCCTCACTCTAATCAGCCATCACCTCTGTCGACACCACATGCTTCTACCGTGGATAATCCCTATCAGTTTTCACCAACTCCAACTACAGCATCTTACGGCACGGCCATGCATCTCCCTCAGGACCACTCACCAATCCCAACACCATATGGCTATTCTCCTAGTCATCCCGCCCTACCAGTCACAACGCCTTATGGCTCAGTCACTGAGCAATCGAACCATTCTGCACCAAGTGCAACACCTTACAATTCCAATATGTATCCACCTCCTATCTACTCCTCCCCTATACCAGCACCGGAAACTCCCTATTCCACCGGGCCAAGCCCTTCAACTCAGCCCTTAGCATACAGTCAAGCCAATTATTCTGAGACTCACAGCACAGTCCCTTTCCCGAACGCTGTTCCTGGCCCCAATGCAAATCCACCAACAAACAATACTCAGTCCCTTCCTGATCAACCCGTTCTCACTTTCCAACAGAAACTCCAACTCAAGAAGAACCAAGGCAATCTCGACAGTCAACTCATGCAAGCGGTTATCCGCGACAACGCCGAACAAGTGGAATCCCTCCTAAAACAAGGAGCAGATGTCAACGCACTCGTCCCAGCAGAATCACTTGGTCACAGGTACCCAGTTACTCCGCTCTACCTAGCTGCGTACAAAAAGCACAACGACGTCCTTCGAGTTTTACTTCTGTATCACCCCAACGTAGACGCATATTCAAGTTACAATCATGGAACAGCATTGAGCGCAGCCATCACTCAATGTAATCTAGAAGCGTGTGAGGAGTTGCTAAGTGCCGAAGCGAATCCCAACCTGGAGTGTGCGGGAGGTTTGCCTTTGTTATGTTGCCTAAATCGGGACGATACTGACATCATGGAGTTGCTGGTTATGGCTGGGGCTGATGTTAATGCGAAGCCGAAAGATAAGTCGAGTATGCCGGGTGACTCGATTTTGGGCACGGCATGCGTGTACATTCATACCAAGGTGGTGAAGTATTTGATTAGCGAGGGCGCAAGAGTTGAGGACTTGAAAGATGAGAGACAATACAACTTTGCAAAACGGTGTATGGAGACGTAGTGGGACTTTGTGACTTTCTGGGCTGCGTTGGCTGCGGATAGATCTTCTTTGGATGTGTGTTTGTACCAATAGTTCTCTCTGTTTTTTTCCAATTTCATGATTGCTCTTGATCGCTCTGAAAAGTGAACAGCATTTCGTTGTAAAATTGGGATAAGGTTTGCAGTTATGGAATCATGGTGTTGAACTCACCTCAGAATAAACATTAGGCAGGGGAAAAAAGGATGGCCGCAAACTTTTCTCAACTTCGAACGAAATAGCAGACTACTAGTTTGATTGTACTTTCGCTAGCTTGCTCTTTATTTCAACGTCAATCCAAAGCAGCAAAAATGATCCTCGGTGTTCGAAATTGGACAGAATTTAAGCTTATTCTTAGTATGAGGCGAGGCGGTGAGAGAGTGAACCATGAGTTTCATTCGTCTCATTTTGGATCTTCAAGGTCATGGAGCAAGGAGGGTGCTAACGTGGCGCGCAGTGTGCAGTTGTGCAAATGTCCGTATTGTCCATATAGTACTGTAAGCTTGATAAGATAAGGAAACTCTTGCCGAAGTTTATGTAACGCTCCAACAACACACCAACATACGGCACAGCAGTACGAAACTAGCGGTCAGACTTCCTGTCTCCAAGCAATTACCCGCAGCCGAAATATCTCACGACTTTTAGAACCTATTGCTTACTTTATCCAACCTTTATTTTGCATCTACTCAAGAAACGCAAGCTTCTCCGAGCTCCTTGAGTCTGTCTGTACCGTTTCTTTGAGACAAGAAAGCAAGTATTATGGCTACTTTGATCGTGGCCGTCGCAGCTGCGACAATAACGATTCTCGTGGTCATGTTCCTCACAAAATTGATTGAGAATCGCCAACAGATATGGAAGCTCCAGACAGCTAAAGCCGTGAGTTCATATTTCTACAATTCTCTCTAGATCATCGACTGAGCTGTGATGGTATCGCAAAGCCAATGCCAGTATTCCATCCTGTTTTCGGCCACTTCATTGCATTGAAGAAATGCATGCAAGCACTCCCACCGAACATCACAATGCACGTCATTGTACGGCAGATGGCCAAACAATTTCCGAGGGGGATCTTTTATCTCAATCTATGGCCCTTTAATAAGACGCTCATGATTGTTGCCAACCCTCTTATGGCCGTTCAAGTCGAAAAGGCCTTCCTTGACAAACCCCCTGCTATAACGGAAACTATGGAAATAATCAATGGTGGGCACTCACTCATGACGATGCACGGAGATGCTTGGAAAAGGTGGCGCGGCGTCTTCAATCCCGGCTTCGCCTCCGGTTACATGACAGGGCTTGCTCCTGCCATTGCTGATGAAGTCGTCGTTTTCTGCCGTTTACTCCAAGAGCAGGCGAGGAAAAATGAGATGTTTCAACTGGAAGAGTACACATTGCGCCTTACATTTGATGTTATTAGTCGCGTAACCTTGTGAGTTCTCGACCCGCAAATCAAGCCATTCCTAGAAATCATTCTAATTGTGATCTTACATTTGAACTCTCTACTAATATGATATCTCCTTTATAGCGGTGCTCGGCTTCATTACCAGACCCAGAAAAATGTTTTGGCAGATGGTCTTCGGCGGCAGGTCTACTGGACTCCGTATGGAACAACTTTCAATCCATTCCGCCGCTGGTTAAGCCCTCGCCCCCTAGTTCAGAAGTACAACAGCTATTCCATCAATCGGTATCTTCAACGTGAGGTCGATGAACGATTTGATGAACTCGCGCTGTCTCGTCAAGATTCTCCAGCAAAGTCTCAATCCAGGTCCATCATCTCGTTAGTCATGGATCAATATCTATTGGACCTAGGTAAGACAGGGGAATTGTCAAAGAAGGCTTTCAAGAAATTGGTTATACCACAACTTCGGATGTTTCTCTATGCTGGGCACGATACAACAAGCAGCACACTTTTATACTGTTATTACCTGCTTTCAAAACACCCGGATGTCCTCACAAAGGTCCGAGATGAACACAATGATATCTTTGGCACCGATTTTTCCACCGATCACTGTTATCAGATCATCAACAGCAATCCGGCTCTTTTGAACCAGTTGCCATATACACTAGCGGTCATTAAAGAGGTTCTTCGCATATTTCCCCCAGCTGCAAGCTTGCGTGATGGTCGTCCGGGGCTAATCTTAACCGACAAGGATGGCCAGCAGTATCCTACCGAGAATTGTCATATCTGGACTCTGAATCTCGTAATGCATCACAATCCCGACATATTTGTCAGAGCTAGTGAATTCATCCCAGAGCGGTGGCTGGTAGAGCAGTCAGACCCTCTGCATCCTAAGAAGGGATCTTGGCGAGCATTTGAATGGGGTCCACGTGCTTGTATTGGACAACCGCTTGCTCAAATGGAACTCAAGGTCGGACTTGTTATGACGGTCAGGATGTTTGACATTGCTCCTGTATATGATGAATGGGACATAAATCACCCTAAGAAGGGTATCACAACAGTGGAAGGTGATCGTGTCTACCAAGCGGAAATGGGTGGGGGTGGAGCCCATCCCGTGGACGGATTTCCTGTCAGGGTCACTTTGCGGGAACAACCAACTAGGACATGATGATCTATATTCAATCTAAAATATCGTCCCCCCATTTTTTTCCGCCTGTACTGTGGAATCAAGCGATTAGATAAATCAGATCCTTTTCAGTGCATTCCTTATGAGGACATACTTAGGAGTCAGTCTTCGGCAGATGACACTATGGTGCATGTCTTTCGAGATTCAAAGTCCAGAAATTTCCTTCTCGCATTCTGCTATTGGTATCGACTGGTTAAGGAGCAGAGTATCATAACAGTTCTCTGCCGTCTGATTTATAATCACTTCAACGTCTCGTCTTGCAAGCTCAATTTCAAGCGAAGGTTGACCCAATAGCAAAGAGGGATTAGAATAACTCAAAATCAGACAAACTTTTCTTGTTTCACTGCCCTCCGCCAAGAGTATGAGCAGTGAAATTGATACGGACTATATACAGGCCACAAATTTTCCATGGAAAAATTGAAGTAATTTTGAGGTTTCAATGCGGTCGAGTTGAGAGATCCGCGAGGTTGGAAGCGTTCTAACAGTTAGTGATTTGGTTGAAATTGCCATCAATGGCCGTGATAGACACGGTTTGAGGTTTCAGAAAAGTGAAGATTTTAAAATTATGTTTCGATTGCCATCTTTAGCGTTGTTGTCAGCCTCCTTTGCGCTCACCACAATATAAAGCCGCCGTCATCCACAATCAGATCTTATTGGGAAACAAGTCTTAAATGTCCATGCATGAAAATACAGAACTCTCAGGATCTGCTCAGTATACGCTCCGAGTTTTCGCCTTTTGCACGCCTTTCTGCAAGCACTGCATAGATTTGGTGCATGCTCAGACTTCTGTGTCGAAGAATCTATTCTTCGTCTCAGGCGCTCAGCTGATCGTAAGTCGCAATTTAGGAACAACATCTTATCTTGAACAAGAAAGTGAATACAACTGCTGATCTTGAATCCGCCATCCTTCATTTTGTCATCTCGAAAGTGAATCCCGCCGCTGAAGATGCAAGAGATGACAACAGGAGGAGAGGAGGCAACAATTGCGGTCATCACTCCTAGTGAGCTCTCAGATATGGAAATTTCAGATCAATCTCTGTATAGATTGACAGTAGCAATGTCTTCCCGGCCTAAGGCTATAGAGTCTTGTTGAAAAAGACTGAGACATAGAAATACTGACAGCAACAAGCAACACAACAATAATACTTTGTCTAGAATTTGTCCGCTGCATTAGTGCCAGCAAGCTCAGAGCAGTAAGAGTGGTTATCGTGTGCACATGCTCTTAAACAGAGCCAACGTATGCTGGAAGAAGGTCTGGAATTTTTGGTCTGGAACAGGTAATTTTCGGCCGGACGAGGTTTAGTATATATACTTTCGAGACAATCATGAGCAACAGCAAAAGGGCGGATCTCGACTCTCTGATTATGGGCTCAAACACTCCACTAGCGTTGTTGAAACCTCATGGCTCTTTCCAATTGAAAGAGTCGTCAGGTAGCACCCGAAGTAGATCAAGTGAATACTTGACCTAACATTAGTCACGCTCTCAACCGAAGCTCTGTAATCTTGAGATGTCTGGATTATATAAACCTCCTTTCCAATTTCTTAAAGAACACAAATCAAACTTACAATTGACTACTTCTATGGCTGCCAAATTCTTCGATCCAAAGGCTTCAGGTCTAGTAGATCCCTCGGTGAATAAAGAAAGACCAAGTCCTTGCAAGGGCTTTGAACTCTCTTCTTTTGGGCCAATTATCTAGACTTGACTTCTTAGCGCGATGCAATGAAAACAAGTGGTGGAACGAGAGTGAAGTCTTACTGTCACTTTTATCCTGTTGTCAACCCATGTGCCTTATCGTGTTGGCTTCACTGGTTGAGGAGGATAGGGTTTGTACCCGTTAGAGGTTCCGTGTAGAATTTATCTAGGAGAAAGAACGCTGCCGTAAAATTGAGGATCTAAGAATAATTTGCTCACCAATATTTTAGTTACCAGAGTTCTCAAACTAATGGAGAACAATTACAGTGCAAAGAAGAAATAATCGTGTCCCTTCTGCCTCATACTTTCCAGCTTGATAGTTGCCTTATCAGAACACTTCAAGTAGGCACAAAGAGAAGTGAATACCGAAGCGAAGCATGCTGCAGCCTCTCCACTCTCTACTAAACCCATTTCTTCGTCTGGATCTGTATATATAAATCGCGTCTCCACGGTTTAAACTCCACAATCAACACAATTTCAAGCCATTCTTTTTTACGCATGTTCTTTGCGGAGGTATCGGGATACCCTTTATACCGCCGGGCACTTCGCAACTTTGAATTATATCTCATGAGTCCCGTGTTTGAAAATGTGGTGAATGAGGGCAGCATTACTATTGTTGACATTTATCTTTTCGCTGTTAACGACCGAAGTCACACACTGTGAATTCACCACAAGACTAACCTGGCGTGCATAAAAGCTCAAAATAAAAAGGATTTAAGAGAAAACATACCTGGTAGCGTTGGGGCTCAAGACATAAACGAAGCCAACTCATCAAGATCTTGGTAGGATGGCTTTTTGGTATAGACGATTTTAGGGAAAATGAAAGGGGAGGCGACACATTTATTTATCGCGACGCGCCAAGAAATGAGTTATGCATGAGCCTTTGATTCCAGAGATCAAAAAAACAAGGCAGACAGTGAATTACCAAAGCGTGCTCGCCACTTTTCATACAAACACTTAACTACATAAAGGTTACTATACATAAAACACTTTCACCATTTCTTCAAAAACAATTCTTTCCAGAACACCAAAAATGGAACGCGACTCAATCAGACCATCTATCTAAAGTCAGAGGACTGCTTTGCTTTTCTTGAGATAGTCTCCAAACTCCTGCTTGAAGCGTATTTCTCTTGCGTGTGACAGCAATGGGAAACGAAAAGCAAAAAGAAGGAGTAATTGCCATTTGGGTTTACAGTATCGTTTCTCCAGCTCTACATCCTATTTTCATTTGTAGAATTGACGTGGGACGGATCCGCTTTACATACTGCAGGCATTACAGGAAGTAGACTTGAAGGGTCAAATCCGCGGACACTTGGCGCTCAGTGATAGACCACCGCAAGTCCCCCCATCCCCCCAGATTTGGAATGACCGTACTGTACTTCCATGAAAAGCAGTCTGAATAAATATACCAGGTGAGAAGAAAATATTAATAAGCTCCTCAGCCTCTGCCTCTTTGTATGCAGGTTATATCTGGTACTACGCGTGAATTTTTCATTCCAAAGATCAAGATAAAGTTGAAAAAGGTGAATACCTAACCACAACCTCCAGTTTGCTCAAGCTCTTCTGGACTTTCAACAGGACAGGGTATATTAATCGCCTCTCCCTTTCACAGTCTCGAGGTTTCAGATCAAACCCACATGGCAAGAAATATGGAGATGGTGTGTCAAGGAACGACTTGAATATTGTACTGGGGCGTATGTGGTTTGGCCGTAGGTTGCTTGTCTCGATGGCATGAGCAGGAATGTAGAGTAGAAGATCATATTGTTGTCACTTATCATCCACTGTCAATACCAGGCATCTTCACGTCACTATCACCCTCACAACCTATGGCTGAAAAGTTGTCAAGAGGAAGATCTATACTCTAATTTCGAGAGCCCACAGACAGACAGACAGAGTGCCACTGGGCAATTAGGTGTGAGGAATTTAGATGGAGCTGAAGATCTAGAAGTAACGAGAAAGAAATATTTATACCCTTGACGACCTTTGTTGGTAATTGGCCTGACTCAGCTCTCCTGACTATAGGAAACGCACCTTGCCTCGTCCCAAGATTCACCACTAGAGCATCTTCACCCAAAGCTCACTTTTCAAAAACGCAACTTCCCATAATTGGCCACCATGGTCGCATGAGAAAGAACCAAGGCTGGGTGTAACACCGAGGTGGATGTCAATCTTCTACCTTATCTCTCCGAGAGAGCTTTAAAAAAGAAGTATAGGAAAGGAAATTGTTGGTGCCATTAGTTCCTTCAAAATCAACTGTTTGTCCCCTAACTTCACTTCAGGATACAACACCTTGGAAATGTTTTCCAATACTACCCTGGAGAAGAGTGCTGTGTGCTTGCGGAAAGGAAAATCGAGAAGGAAGTGGTGTGTTGTCATCTCTCCCCCGCTGTCAACTTCGTGCACCTTCACTTCATCGACGCCACGAGCAGCATTTTCACCTTGACAGTCTGTCCAATAATCTTAAAAGGAGTAAAAGGTGCTTGAGCAAGCATCACGAGGTTCCATAGCCGAGAATAGTGGATGTGAATGGCAAAGTTGTATTGAAGATGAGCAGCGTAAGGGAGATATTTATAGACTTGCTTCTACCGCTTATTTTACACGTAAGGGCTAGTGCGATGATTCTAGAACTCCTTGAATCAGTGAATTAAAGCTGACCGCGAAGTAAATACTTAATTTTACATTCACTCCACCCCACATCAATTAACTGTGGATGGATGGGGTATATAAACCACCTGACAACTCCTCTTAAAAGCTCAATCCTTATGCGGTCCAATGCCAAGGTCCATGAGAAAAGAGTAGCGAGCTTTCAACTATGTGGAATTGCAGCTCAAACCTATAGTGAAGAGAAAGTTCGTAAAGTTGCTCACGTGAAAAGAAAGAAGAAAAGGATGTACTATTGTCATTCATTCTCCCATTGTCAATTCTCTATAACTCTTTTTGCAAGACTAGTTTTACTTCACCCGCAGAACGAGTAATACTTCCACTGAGACCGAAATCTTGGAAAGAAACAAGCGGCCCGCGACATGCAAGAACACAGGATTCAAATATGATTGGAATCTTCCATTGTTGAAGTCTTCCATTGTGTGCGAGGTTGTTAAAGAAAAGGAAGAAGACTGCGAGGGGAGGTGGTTTATATACCTTTCACGCCCTCATCTTTTCAAGCGATGAGTGAAACTTTGATTTCAAAAATAGAAGCTGCAGGAAGTGAATGCCGAAGGTCTGACACCAGTCTCAAAAAGTTCTTCGATCCTGAGACGAATAGAGTATATAAACCCTGCTCCCCCTCGTG